CAAGAGAGAGATACATATAGGAAATAATGGCTTGGTAGATAGCAGTACATGTCTTACATGATGTCAGTCCGTGGAATTTGTTGGGCTGTTACGTTGTTAAAATTGTTCTGCATGTAATTGCATTTATATGTTATGTTGCCATTTTCGATGAACTTTTTTGATTCTTTTCTACTTTTATAATGCGGATGTGTTGTTTTTCTTCTTATAAACAGTACTTTGCCTCTGTGTCTGCAAGATTCTCATATTGTTTCTTCACAGAAGCTCTTTTCTAATTGTGGTGTTGCGCGGTTTTCCCTTTTTACTCATAGACCTTCTAAGGAGGCCTCTGGAGGCCAGAAGTGTCTGCTTGAAAAATGGTTGGACAACCCGGGCCCCTCCAGTTTAGGACCGCTGAATTTCTTCTGTTTGCTGCTTTGGCACTCAGCCTTATAATTCTTTCGGTGACAATGGGTTGGTTTGCCATGGACCTGGCCCTTGCGCTTTCTTGCAACCCTTGCTCCATACTTTGTCCGGTCATTGTTGTTCAGTTTGCATTTTGAGCAGTATGCAAAATATCGGAAGTCACCTTCCATGGCCCAGTCATTTTCCAATTTATTTCAAGTAGAGGTGCTAGGGAATGTTTTGAGTTATTTGATCATTTTTGGAGTTCTTTTGGCATGGATTAGGTGAATGGGAAAAAAAAAAAAAAAAAAAAAAATTTCCTTTTCATGCTCCTGTTGATTAAAAAAAAAAAAAAAAAAAAAAATCCTTTCATGCTCTTGATTTTACAATTTTTTTACAGATCAGGAGTTCTATGATATTAATATACATTGTTCATCTCATTATATTTGGATAGATTTATTAACACAACTGTTAGATTTGTCAAAAAAAAAAAAAATCTGTTAAATATCTCTTGTTAGCTTCACTCTTAAATATAAGATATTCTTTGTGATTAACAGGTTTATAGATTACACCAACTGAATAGAGCAGCACAACTGGTGACAGCCCTATCATTCACAGTGAGAGGAGCTGAAATGACCTCGCACAACATGGAGATAAGCAGTTCTTTGGGTACACTTTTGAATGTCCTTCAATTCCTTGGCGTCATCTGCATTTGGTCACTCTCAAGCTTCCTCATGAAGTTTTACCCTTCCACTGCTGAGACTGCAGAGTGATGTGTGCTATTAGTTTAAGGATAGGGTAAAATTGACGTTCATCATTGTAGAGAAGACTGTGGTTGCTCTTGATTCAGGTAAACTTATACTTGTAGAAGGTCCAACACCTTATATTCTGGTTAGTGCGATTTTGAAAGCAAGTGGATATTGAAGCATTCACCTTGGCCAAAGCACAGTAGAAGTTTGTGGCAGGATATCTTGAATGAAGGGTCTAAATAGAAGCATTGTTATTGGAAGTTGCAGAGCAATTTCTTCCATTTTGTGTTAAGCATTTTTGATAAGACAGAATACTAGACAGCATTTGGTTTTTGTCAGCAGCCATGTGCACCTGTATATTGATACTTTTCATGTAGGATCCATTTGGATAGGTGCAGAAATTAAAGTGGAATAGATGTGTGTTTCATATAAAAAATAATACGTTTTATTTCAGATTCTCATTTCTCTAAAATGGGCCCTCATACACTTTAACATTTCTGAAACTTTTTCTGAATTATCTATGCTGGTCAAGGTGTATGTGGATTGCTGAGATTCATTATCTGTGTTTATCATTCATCAACTGAAGAATTTACTGAAATTTTGTTTTTGGTAAACAGTAGCCCAAGACTGAGACTCTTTTTGTTTACAAAATGAATGGTTTAGGGCACATTGTTGCTTCTTTCTTTTCTGCTCTTGACTGAGAATGTGTCACCTTTTCACTGAATTTCGGGTTTAGAACCATTTTACTCTTTTTTAGAGGTTTCCTAGCATGCTGTTATCCTTGTTGTTTCTAAGTTACCCTTGCCTTTTATTCTTTCAACATTCTAGTTTCTAGTTGGTTCCTTGTCTGGTTGTATTGGTTTTAGTTATTTAAAATGCTATTTTACAGATTTTTCTGCCATCAAAACGTCTCCTATTCACTGTTTATCATGCATATACATAGTTGTACAACTAATTTCAAATACTTAAATCTGTTGGTCTGCAATGTTTATTAGAAGTATTTATTTACTCAGCAGTTGGGGGTTTGCTCAGTTGGTGCACCTGGAGTGCCTCTTGCATATATAGTTAGCAACTCTTAATCTATTAGCAAATTCTTGCTTCAAGTATGACAAAAGCTAGTGATCAAAGATTTGGATCTTTTCTCTGGAGTCTGATAACTAAAAGAGGGCCTTGGAAGAAATTTAGCAGTGGTTAGCATAGTAATAGCAGACTTTTTGGGAAGGCATGATGAAGTAAGGACCATGTAATAATGATCAGTACTTGGAATTTTATTGTACTATATATGCTAAAAGCTGCCCTGGTCACCGAAAGTGGGAGAGGTACACCAAAAGTTGTTCACAGTTAGCTGCTCAATTACAAGGATTATGAGTTCTCTTGATCAGATTATTCCCTAAAATAGGTGCTACTTCATTACCTGAGATTAATACTCTGCCTTAAAGAACAGGTGGGAGCCATTTAGAAATAATCTGTGCACATACTCTGCAAATCATTTCTATTGTTTATTTCTTTGCTTAAAGTGGTATCATTAGACATTCTTGCTTCAGTAGATGAATGATTGTTTTATCATAAGAGGAAAAGCATAAACATTAACTTTCTTATATTCCTGTATGAAAATATGACTCAAAATAGCTATTTCTTTCACTTGGGTCATTCCCTTTTTTTTTCTTTTTTTTAAAGTATAAATTATCATATTGTATTGCTCTACCATCATCTTCTTCCTCATTCCTATATTCCCTTATTCAATAATGTTACCTTCTTCTTTGGCTGTAACCCATTGTTGTGTTGCGATTTTTCTCCCAAAGTAGTAGTTTCAAACATACTAACCCTACATTTAATTTGTAACATTATCTCTAGCAATAAATCAGTTAAAAACAAACTTTGATTAGGTAGGGCTTGGAAATTTCTCTCAGAATGATCTATTTGTTTAATGTGGAAGTTTGATTTGTTTGTTACTCTGGATGGTAACTTGTTTTGTCTGTCTTAGAATGTCTTTTTGGCGTGACCTGTTTTTCTTTTTAGACATATAATAGTAAAAAAAAAATGTTAATTTAATTGCATTTTTGCATGTGGTACAAACATGTCTTTAAAATGCAGATATGCACAAATGAGAATGTTTTTGCCTAGCATCAATGAATTGCATGTGTTGAGAGAGAGCTATTGGTATTTGAATTTTCACATATTGAATTGAACTAAATATTGTGAAAAAATAAGCTGAACTGAAAAATACTAAGGAAAAAAAAAAAAAGTCAAACCAAGATAACCAATCAGTTGAAATTTTGAAAATTAAATATAATATATAAATAATGATATGTTAATAAATTAAAATTGTGTTATCAATAAATTTTTATATATAAGTTTCATTCAATTATTTTGATTTTTTAATTAAAATTGAAATATAATAAAATCCAAAATCAAATTGAATTAAATAAAAAGTTAAATTGTTTTTTATCACCCTTCTATTCTATGCTTGCCAATATTTGCTCCCTTGAAAAAGCAAAAAGGTAATTGTTTGAGAATTTAGGTGGCAAAATGGTCCATGTGGCCAACCACTTCCTTTCCATGCCAATAAAATTTTGATGGGACAGACCTTTTTGGAATATCTTACATATTGGTTGTGTACGCTTAGATCCTGAAAGGTTAAGCAGAGGGGAAAGATCTAAAGCTACCACTGAATGCTACACAATTTTCCTATCAAATGGCGAAGAGAACTTTGTCTTTACATGTTTTGGTTTTTTTTAAGAAGAATCCTTTATATACTTGTAATATTATAGAAGAAATTGTCTTTCTCTAGTTTAATAAAACATAATTGGACCCATGAAAGACTGAGTTCTTGGATGGTTGGAGCACCAAAAGCACATGTTCTTGTTTTGAATATTATTAAAAACTTGGTCTCTACTGTAAAATTCATTGTGGTTGTTCTGCTCTTCTGTTTTCTTCTTGTATTCAATTGGGTATTAGGTGGCTTTAGGTAGAGAGAGAAGAGATTTGGTATTTGGACTCTCTAAAGCTACAAATTCAACACAGAATATAATTTAACAGAGAAAATCTGAGAGGTTTTGGATTCAATGCACACTCACACGCACCCACATACACAGATACAGAGGAAAAAGACAAAAGAAAAAAAAGCAACTACTCCACATTTATGAAATATCATCATTAACCCATTGAAGACAGTCCATGTGAATGCATGAATTTCACTTGTAGTTATCTGCAGAAATTCTAATTGAGCCAATTTGATTTATAAACTATTAGTGGATGATGTCATATATTTTATTGGAGTGTTCATTTATTAACCTTTATCATTCTTTGAAGCATCCTATAATTTTGGTAAGATAATTAATGGGTTTATACCTATTTTAAGCTGACAATTGTTGAAGTTTCATTGACTTTTATCTCTTAAAAAGTCTAACCCACTTAATATTTTGGAACAGTACTAATGGATTCTTACCTTGTCTGCTTAACACTTCCCCATCTCACAAGCTATTATTCATGGTTTTCCCACTTAATGATTGACTTAAAGAGAATAAATTTAAAAGATATAAATTCTAAATTATAAAAGGAAAAATGATGATTAGCCATGCCTCCTTCTACTGCACTATATATAAACTCCAAAGCTTTCATCATCACCATAACCAGTTTCAAACTTTTCTGAGAGCATATTTTATTAAAAATTCCGCCTTTTCATTCTTTATTCCATCTGTTCTTGTTTCTTGTCTTACTGATTCTCTACAGCTTGAGCTGCTCTTTCCTTTTCTTTCAATATGGAACTAAGTTTTACAAGAAACTGTATCGAATCTTTCGAAAAAAGTATCTGATACTGTCTTCTGTATCATGCAACTTGAAATGGGTACTGTTCAAGTTTCTCATTTGATGCTGATTTTGGCAATATTTTTTGCTGCTGGTGCTAGTGGATATAATTCAACAGACTCCTATTGGCTTCTGAGAATAAAATCACAATTGGTCGATCCTTTTGGAGTTGTTGAAAGCTGGTCTGCAGAGGCTCATATGTGCAGCTGGAATGGAGTTATGTGTTCACATGATCAAACCCATGTAGTGGGCTTGAACCTATCTGGCTCAGGATTATCAGGTTCTATTTCGCACGAGTTCTGGCATGTTTCTTCGCTTCAAGTGCTTGATTTGTCTTCAAATGTTATTACTGGTTTGATTCCTTTGGAGCTTGGAAAGCTGCAAAACTTGAGGATTTTGCTTCTGTATTCCAATTTTCTCTCTGGTAAGATTCCTGAAGAATTATGCTCTTTGAAGAGATTGCAAGTTCTTAGAATAGGAGATAATATGTTATCAGGTGAAATTACACCAAGCATTGGCAACTTGATTGAGTTGAGAGTTTTGGCTTTTGCTTTTTGCCAATTTAATGGAAGCATTCCAGTTGAGATTGGTAATTTGAAGTATCTTGTATCTCTTGACCTGCAGAATAACAGTCTTACTGGCCTAATACCGGAAGAGATTCAGAACTGCAAGGAGCTTCAAAATTTTGCAGCATCGAATAACAGGCTTGAAGGAGAAATCCCTGCATCAATTGGGAAGCTTAAATCACTGCAAGTATTGAATTTAGCCAATAACAGCCTTTCAGGAGCAATTCCTGTCGAGTTAAGTCATATCTCCAGCTTGAAGTACTTAAATCTGCTTGGAAATAAATTGACTGGTCAAATTCCATTGGAGCTAAACCAGTTGATTCAACTTGAAAAGCTTGACTTATCAATAAACAATCTCTCAGGAACCATTAACCTCCTCTGTACCCAATTAAAGAATCTTGAAACTTTAGTTCTGTCTAATAATGATCTAACAGGAACAATTCCTAGTAACTTCTGCCTCCAGAACTCAAATCTGCGACAACTTTTCCTGCATCAAAACATTCTTTCGGGCAAGTTTCCTTTAGAGCTATTGAACTGCTCCTCTCTTCAACAATTAGACCTCTCTGATAACAACTTCCAAGGCGAGCTGCCATCAAGCCTTGGCAAATTGGACAACCTCACAGATCTTAAGCTCAATAATAACAGTTTCAGTGGGAAGTTACCTCCTGAAATTGGGAACATGACTAACTTGGTGAATCTTTACTTGTTTGATAATATGATCATGGGAAGACTTCCAACAGAAATTGGCAAGTTACAGAAGTTGAATACTGTTTATCTTTATGATAATCTGATGTCAGGGCAGATACCAATAGAATTAACAAACTGCAGCAGCTTAACAGAAATTGATTTCTTTGGCAATCACTTTACTGGGTCAATTCCTCCAACTATTGGGAAGCTTAAGAATTTGATTGTTCTTCAACTAAGACAGAATGACTTGTCAGGTCCAATCCCACCAAGCTTAGGCTACTGCAGGAGGCTTCAAATATTGGCCTTAGCAGATAACAAGCTTTCTGGAACATTGCCACCAACATTCAGATTTCTTTCACAACTTTATAAAGTTACTCTTTACAACAATTCCTTTGAAGGTCCTCTTCCTTCTTCTCTCTTTTTTCTTAAAAACCTAAAAATTATCAATTTTTCTCACAATAGGTTTCGTGGAAGCATTTCTCCTCTCTTGGGTTCAAATTCTTTGACTGCTTTAGATTTAACCAACAATAGTTTCTCTGGTGTTATTCCATCTAGACTAGCCATGTCTAGAAATCTAAGTCGTCTTCGTCTTGCAAACAACCAGCTCATCGGTAACATTCCTAATGAGTTTGGCAAACTCGTGCAGCTCAGATTTCTTGATTTATCATTCAACAATCTCACTGGAGACTTGGCGCCTCAGCTCTCGAACGGTGTAAATCTTGAACACTTCCTACTTAGTAATAACCATCTGAAAGGCACTATGCCTTCTTGGTTAGGTAATTTACAACAACTTGGAGAGTTAGATTTCTCATCAAATAACTTCCATGGAGAAATACCTGCACAACTTGGAAACTGCTCAAGGTTACTCAAGCTTTCCCTCCATAGCAACAATCTTTCAGGCAAGATTCCGCAAGAAATAGGAAACCTCAGTTCTCTAAATGTTCTAAACCTACAAAGAAACAATCTTTCCGGCTCTATTCCTCGGAATATTCAAGAATGTCAGAAACTCTTTGAGCTGAGACTATCTGAAAATTTCTTGACAGGTTCTATACCACCTGAGATAGGAAAGCTAACTGAGTTACAAGTTATCTTGGATTTAAGCAAGAACTCTCTCTCCGGCGAAATTCCGTCTTTTCTTGGAAACCTTGTGAAGTTAGAAAGATTGAATCTTTCTTTCAATCACCTTCAAGGAGAAGTGCCTTTTTCCCTAGCAAAGCTGACAAGTCTTCATATGCTAAACCTGTCATATAATGATCTTGAGGGACAGCTTCCATCAACTTTTTCAGGATTCCCACTTATTTCTTTCATGGGTAATGACAAGCTATGCGGCCCACCATTAATATCATGCTCGGAATCAAGGGGCAAAGGGAATAAAGGCCTCTCAAATACCGCTGTTGTTGGGATTGTAGCAGCCATTGTGTTTACTTCGACAGTAATTTGCTTGGTTATGCTTTATATCATGGTAAGAATTTGGCGTAACTGGAGAAGAGTAACAATATCAAGCTCAGATGGTGGAGGAAATGAACAACATAAAATTATAGAGGAAGCGAAATGGAGTAATGGCTATGGCTATGGAGAGGAGAAGAAAAGGAATATCGGTGATCATCAATATTGGAAAATGAACTCTTCTATGGCGCAAGATAATAATAATAAGCAGATTTCTACAACTTGCATTTTCCATTTCAAAATGGATACAAAATCTATAGGAAATACATTCATCTGAGAAGATAGATTCAGTCTTTATTTCTTTTTTCTTTTTTTCTTTTTTAAAGGTTTTCTGTTTGTATATTTCCATCCTTTGATCTTTCTAGTTTCTACAGTTCTGTGTTACTGTAATTTTAACAGTTCAAGTACATAAGCGTTTTTTCTTGAATAGGCTAAAGAAATGTATTGAATTTGAAAGTCTCCTTGGTTATGGAAACTTAAGCCTTTACCTGAGAATTTATGAGGAAATAGGAAAGAAGGAAAATAATAAATATATGGCACCTCAAGTTCAAGGTCCAAGGAGTTTATCAGAGTCCGAGATATAAAGATAGGTTTGCATGTTCATTTGCAAAATCAAGATTCCTCATTTCTATGGTTTTAGATGTCAAATTTGTTTATTTAGAATCAAAATTCAATTAATTATCGATTCAAATTTCAAATTCTCCTCTATTTTTAAATGTATAAAGGAGAAAAAAGGGATTTGCAAGAAATGAACTCATGGGTTTTACAAACGTCGAATTTTTCTTGATGATGGAAAAGTTTCTCTATTGGGGATAAAGATTTCCTTGTCGGACAGAAAACCTCCTTTGTCGTTAGCTCATCACTTCTTTTAATCTTTTTTGGTTAAAAAACGCCAGCTCCTCATGCAACTTGTCGTTTTGTTAAACAAGGCTCTTATATGTTAATATCTTATGTGAGCCCAAAACTTAAGCCAGGCCGACCACCAGAATTTTATTGTGGGCCATGAAACCTTTTTCCTTTGAACTGGAGTTCATCCCGTATGCATTTTAAAAAATTTCATAAAACCTTAACATATTACTTCTTGGTCCCAAAAAGACCGGTGTATCTTTCTTTGTTTTTTATTTATCTCATGATACAATATACTTCTCTTTTTTTTTAATTCTTAAATTATCTACTATATCTTATTAAATTTTATTTTATTTTCAATAATTCTCATTAATTTTTAATTATTACTTTAATATAACAATTACTCTTGAGTTATTGAAGATGAGAATAACCGTGAATAATATTGTCATTTAACCATAATTCTTAACATAAAAACAGAAAGTGGACTATCTTTTTTTTGAGAACGATTAGTATTATCTTTTTGTGATTTCGAGTGAAAGATATTGGTAAAAATAATAATAATAATAATAAGTTTAGGATTATGCAACTCAATCAGGGAGCAATTCAGAATACATTCAGCGGGAATAAGGTAAAAAAAATATTACTACTGTTTCGTGAGAATAAAAGATAGTAATAATTGAATAGAAAATTTAAGTTGTTGCAGTTATATATAATAAAATGTAAAGAACTACATAGAAACGTTTTTCTTTTTCTTGTTTTTCGAAAATATCATAGTAAAAGTATTTATTATGACATAATATACTTTTTTTTCCCCTTCAAAAATATTTTTAAAACTGAAAATATGTTCCATACCTAATAAGATCTCTCCAGAAGGAAAGATCTAATTAAGGGAGGCATCAATATCTCAATAAACAAAAAAACATAATATAAAATGTGTGCTAATCTAATAAGGTTGAAGTGTAGCTTGAAGAAAGAAATCACAACAACCTTTTAGAAAGTGCAAGAAGAAAACATATATGCTAATACTTCTTTTTCAGTCAGTTTGCGCAAAATATGGCCGCTATGTCCACTATTTGGGTCACATGCGGATGGAAGTTTTTTGCACACACCAACGCATCACATCTATAAAAATAGATCATTCATTACAATTTCTAGTAATGTCATTTCCTTATAACCCTTTCCTAACATTTCAAGAAATGGTATTCTATAAACAGAAAGAGGAGAACATGAAAGAAAGAAAGAAAGAAAGAAGAAGAGAGATGGTGTGCAAAAGAGGCAAATGTTAGGGTTTTTATAAAAGGAATGGTGAGGGGAAAGCCTTGGTGCTAGGGTTTCGGGCAGCCGGCAGGGTGTCATCTCAATATTGGGGCAAATTGGTATGACTGCCCGGCTTGTTAAACAATTATTATTCCATGCAAGTTGCTTAGCTTTGAGCTTTGGGCTTCTCTCTTGCAAGTTGCTGTTTTAGCTCCATGATCGAGATATACTCCTTGTAATTTATTGTAAAAAAATGAGATTGGGAATTGATGATGTTCATTATTGTACAACCTAACCATCCTTCCTTTATTTAATTATCTATGCATAGTTTGGTTTCAACCTTTCCTTTCAAGAGCGAGGAAAAAGTTTTGAGTTCAAATCCAACCTCCTCTTAAAATATAGTCCAGGAGACAAAGTGAAGAACAGAAACAGCAGACTAAGCAAACAAAATATAACAGCCTTTTGCTTCATGGTTATGCTTCGGTCTCGATCTTCTCCTGTGAAATATGCCGAGTATAACCCATTTCTTGATTCCAGAAAACAATACTGCATTTAATCTTAACAATTGAACAGTGCCAAGAAAGAAAAAAAAGAATCAGACATCAAAGTAGGAAAGTTCAAACTAATTGCTGGAGTGTTGGATTTACATTTGCATGTACATTCATGGATTACACTGATTCAGTTCTATTCTCTAACCTACGATTTTTCAAAAGATTGAAAGAAGTGACTGTGTACTAACATGATCGTTAACCACCAACTACACCTGAGATTGTTTCTTTCACAAAGCTGTTAGATTACAAGTTGATTCCATCGATGGCCAAAACCCCTTTCAAGGGTTGAAAACTTTGCACTTTCTCTCTATTCTTGATACATAAAGTACATCAGAGATCGATCTTCAAAATAAAAGAATTGAGCAGAGTTGCAGATAGAATCTACATATTTACATCCTTTTCCACCTTCACTAAATCCAATGATGTTAGTTCAGCCATAAGCTGTTTATACTGGTGTTGAATTTCTCCTATCTCATTTCTAAGAGCTGTCACCTGCAAGAATAATGATGATTCTCACAATTCAGAGAAATTAATACAAAAAATCAAGGAGTTGTCATGCAAATCGTATTCAGTTAGACTTCGGCAACTTTCTTGCATTAAATGGTGGCACGATTTTAAGATTACCAAAGCAACAAATGGAACCAAATGATCACATTATGTTTTTTCCATTATTTTTTTTTTTTTAAATGCAACTCCTAAGATACTCCCAATATCACCTAGAACTGTTAAAACGTTTGATTGTGTCAAAGAAAGAAAAGCGATGGATTTTATAATTTAAAGATAAAAAAGTAAAGCTAAGGGCACTGTATACCTTGGAATCAAGTTCTTCCTTCCTCTTCTCATAGTCCAAGCATCTGAAAAATAAAATGTAAATTAAATAGATTTTTCATAAAAAATGATTTATAACATGATCTTTGTTCTGTAAAATTTAGGGCACAAATCTGTATAGTCATTCAAGTCAACCCTTCTAGCCTGAAAAAGTGGACAGATGTTATACATGTGTTTAACTGGAGCTAGTCATCCTCAAATTCAGGAGTCAAGACACTAAAGTAAATCTTCTCAAAATAGTGACTTAAACACCAATTAGATAATCCAAATTATGATCCAACTATTCTAGCATGGATGACCAGATCGAAGGGCTAAGGCCAACACCATTACCAACAAAATATGGACCCAAGGCGTGGATCTGTGAGCTGAGATGTGAAATCTGTAAATTCATCTATGAAAAAATATTAACTAGCTAGCTAGGTGTAAATTGACATGCTGAGTGAGATTAGAAAAAAAAAGGCCCATGAGATTGAAATAGTAAATCGTAAATAGAATTCAGGTTCAAATTCCATAGAAAATGTGGATAGCATTATATATAAAGATAAACAAATGAAAGGCTTCCAGAGGAAAATTCACCGTAAATCATCACAGATGTAATCCAAACACTGCAGTAAACTGAAAAAAGTAGATGCTCAAGCACAAACAAAATTCTAATACTTGGTTACTTACTGTGATTGAAGTTTCTTGTTTTCCTGCATCAATTTTATAGCCTCCTCATGTTTTGACTGACTTGCAGTATTGATGGGCTACACCAAAAAGGATAAAAAGTACATGATAAATGAGCAATGGATTTCTTGGCAGAGATCAATATAACACAGTGCAAAATAAATATCTGAAAAGCAAGGCCCTGTACTTTTGTCTCAGAAATAGAATGCAGAAGTGGGCTACATATATATTGTGAAATTTAACAAATAACAAGCAGACAAATAAGGATAAAAGAGATTAGTGAAAAAGTTTCCTAGTTCCACAAAGGGGAAGAAGTTTCCATTTCTGTGTACACAGTGCAACTACATGCATGCTTGCATCTTGGTGTGCATTTATATCTATAACTGAATTTGAGTTTTTTGCAGGTAAACATGGATGCTAGTACACTAACCCTTCCTGAAGAGAACAAAAAATGACAACAACAATCATGCATCCAGAATTCACTTCAGTCAATTATACTTTAGATTTACGTTCCTCATACAGACCTGTGATTCAAAACTCTGCCCTGAAACAATTTCCTTGGCCCCTGATGCCTGTCTTTTCACACTGCCAAGTTCCACCAAGTCATCATGTTCTTTCCTTTTTGTGCGCAATCCTGTCAAAACATTTAGGGTATAATTTCAGAATATATCAGAAAGCTCATAAACATTAGCAGTCAACTTTTATTAAAGCACATGAAAAATTAATGATAACAGCTGGCTTCTGTTCCTCTTCAGACTGAAATGCTTCTACCTGCAACAGATGATGCTTTTGCTCTACCAACACAAGGGGCGCTTTGATTCAACTTGACAGATTTTGCATTACCATGTCCCATACCAAAAGATGAATTGCATTTGGGCTCTGTTGCTGGAGTCTTTTTCGTGACTTGGTACCCAATTAGTCCACAATGATAATCCCTGCCAAATTCAATATTTACATCACATAGCTCTTAGATATATACTAATACACCATAAATCACATGCGTCTCTATAAGCATTTGCCACCACTTGGAAACTCTATCACTCTGAGTATATGCTACGTAGAAAAAGGTCAAACTACCTAGCTCATACTGAGAATAATAAAGTTTGTGTGTGTACGTATATATTCGAGTCAGTTTTGGAAGCATGACATTGTAAAATATCCTTTTGTCAACACATCATGAAGCACAATGATGGATCAACACTCAAAATTAAATTAAGATCCTTGAAGTATTGGGTGCTCCCTAGAGAAAACCAGTTGTGAAGAGACAAAGGGAACTTTTTGATGTGTAAAAATTTACCAGTATTCCCAAGTCATCTCCTTCAATCGAGTTTCAAGCTTCTGAAAGAGGGAAGTCCTTTCAAAATCCTGCTTGTTATGGGTTGGTTCAATAAAATTTGCTTCCAATATCCCTAAGAGAATATTAACCAATAATCATCATTCATTCATCACCGTTTATAGTAAATTTACTTAAAATAAAAAAAAAAAGGATGGAACATGAGAAGAAAGTTTTAGGTGCTTCTCACCAACTACGCCTCTACCCCTACTGTTACTAGGGCTCACAACTGGCCAAAATGCCTGCAAATCAAGAGAAGATAACAGATTTAACAAGTTTGCCATGATTGCTGCTGAGAAAAGAGCTCATGGAGGAAACATAAATTAAACTACAAAAGTGGAATGGAGGAGGGAAGGAAATGGGTGATACAAATGCTCCAAGCAAAATTGAGCTACGTAAATAAGCACATACATAGAAAATGTAAATATACTGATGTTGACACTTAAAAGAAAAGGAAACTTAAACACAACATTGAAACCGAGTTTCCAATTTTTTTATTCCAAAATTTGCACTTTTCTAGGCACTTTAAAGGGTCAATTATTCTTAGCACTTCGATACCATTTTTTTTAAGAAAACACAGGATATGGAATTAATATTTCCAAGAATGATCTGACTTTTCATCTTTTGAATTCGATATCCCCTGCATGAATCCCATAAACAAAAAAAAAAAAAAGGATGTTTTTACTCCAACACAAGACTGCAAGCTCCATTTAGCTGTCCACAAGGCTACGCTTCTTACTATTAGCAGTAATAAAATTTTCCACACCAATAAAAATCATTTCCTTATAATTGCATAAATATCATTTTGACATACACAAATAGTATATTTTTGACAAATAAAAGAATTTATAAACACTGCACAGAAAGAGTGATGAACCCAACAATACATATGTGATAACACCAGATCTTTGACATATCTGAAAATTAAAGAGAAGGAAAAACATGTTAGAAAAAGACATTTACCAGTATTAGACGATTCTTGTGGTAGATATTGAAACCATGAACACTGATATGTGGAGCTTCTTTTAGAAAACCAATCGTGGTTACAACTTCACCCTGTAAATCAGAAAGCATGTGAAACCTCTTAGAAACCCAAAGATGTGAACCATTAGTCTTTCTGTGAGACATTAATTATAACCTCTACACATCCGCCACTTTGAGGTCTATACAATATGAATTCTGGAAATTTGAGATCATTGGCAAGATTATGATGCTCAACAAGTCGTCCACGCAATATTATTTGGAAACTTTCAGGTATCCGCAAGTACAAAATGGACAAATACACCTGTAAATCATAAAAAAATAATAATAATAACTCTATTTTCTTATATACGCATGTGTGTATAGGAGAGCATAAGAACACATGAAAATTAATTGCCAAAGTGAACTTACTCGGAGAGAATAATGCAACCGGTTAGCAATATGCTGTTCATTAACAGTCCTCCAAGCAGGGTGTGCGCCTACCTTTTTTATATCCCCACCAATATGAATGTCCTACAAACCGAGCCATGATATACCAATTAAATGAGAATAATAGCAATAAACTAAATAAGGAAAATAAAAAGGAAAGATATAAAGATAAGTTTCCACCTCAGGATCTTTATCAAAGTCTAGCTCCATAACCCCATCATCATTAAACCACAAATTATAGATGATAACTTTTGTCCCTTGCGATCCAATGTCATCAAACTGCAACCATATTGTATACCCAACAAAATAATATTGCATAAGAGAAAATATTATGTGATCGACAATGAAAAAAAAATCGAATTACATGTGATTAACGAATAACCCCGGAACATTAAATTTTTTCATCTCTGTTAGATTCATATCCATGCTACTTTTCCTCGAAATGGACTAAAGGTAACAAACCAATTTTTCAATGAACTTCTTTAAGGCCGTCATGTGCAGCTTTGACCATTATGCAGACAATTATTATCTCCAAGGCAACGTTGTCTTCAAGTGCCAAATTTTGCTTCTCAAGATAAAACAAACCATATATCCCTGTATATTCCTCTAGTGCAGGGAATATTTCATTATAGTAATACCAAACCAATTACCTATCTTAGCTCATGACCCAAACATTCTATTTCATTCATATCTATCTTCCTTATTCTTGTTTATGGGCAAGGAAACTATAATGCCCAAAAGAGTTTTTTTTTTTTTTTTTTTTTTTTTTTTTTTTTTTTTTTTTTTTTTTTTTTTAAAATTTTGCTTCTCAAGATTAAAACAAACCTATATTATCCCGTGTATCTCCTCTAGTGCAGGGAATTATTTCATTAGTAGTAATACCAAAACAATTACCTATTCTTAGCTCGATGACCCAACAATTCTATTTCATTCATATCTATCTTCCTTATTCTTGTTATGGGCAAGAAACTATTAATTGCCCAAAAGAGTTTTTTTTTTTTTTTTTTTTTTTTTTTTTTTTTTTTTTTTTTTTTTTTTTTTTTGTAGGAAAGGGTTGGAGATAGTTGAAGGTATTTTTTTTTTTTTTTTTTTTTTTTTTTTTTTTTTTTTTTTTTTTTTTTTTTGTAGAAAAGGTGGAGATAGTTGAAGTATCATTTTGTGAAACAAACACACAACCCGCAAAAATAAAAATAGATTTATTTAGAAGAAGCAATGAGGTCTAGCGAACCACTTGGTGCAACATTTTTAAACAGCAGAGCAGATAATCATTCTGCATTAGATTTATACCAGCTTAATTATTTTTATAAATAGAATTTTTTCATGTGGAGAAATTTAGAGATGGAGCCTAATGAGTCAGATTCTTATCATAGCAAGTCAAAACTAGGCACAAAACTGTAACTTTCTTGGTCATTTTAAAGATAGAATTGAAGGTGAAAAATATGAGGATTTCTTAGCCTGAAAACTATAATGCAGGATGTCTAACTCACTAAATGAATGTGAGTGGCAGCCTAATTCTGATATGAGCTTGCATGACACATTCCTTTTACCCAGCTGTTACATTCTATGTGAAGAGTACCATCACATACTTGACATCAACAGCAGCACGACTTAAATAAGCATCAACTCTACAAGCAGCTCATATTATCAGAATAAAATCCAAATCTAATACTTGTTGAGAAAACAGAAATTAAGAGTTTGGTTGAGAGAGTGCATGTGCAACTGCTCACATTTATATATACATCTGCACTCTTAAACAGAAAGCAAGTGACAAAGGAATAGGCCACCATAAGAACTTGGAAAGCATGGAATGATGTTATTCTATTGTATGAAATTGAGAAAAAAATATATAAATCAGCAAAATGAATATATGGAGCAGGAATCTGTAAGTAACAAAAACTATATGGCAATGGAAAAGGGAAAGAAGTGTACTTGCTTCAGAAGCTCCGCTTCTGTTGAATATGGAGACCAACGTAGCAGAATAGAAAGATTAGACAAAAACTGCTCCTTACCACAGCGATTTGAAACTTCCAAATTTCCAGTTTTTGCATTAAACTCATAATCTACCTGCAAAGTAAACCTCTTAAAGTCTGTTTGAGAAGCACAAAATTGAAAACAGCACTACAAGATACTAGCAGCTTCCCGCTCACAAACAAAATGTCAAAATTATGTAAAACCACAGTGGCAAAATGACATTCAAAAAGTTGCTGTTAAATCCTCTAACATATAGCAGGAATAAGAAAGAACATTTGTTTCTGAGAAATTGGAATAAAAAGGAACATTGACTAACAGCTAACGTAGAAAATGAAACTTACCATTGGCACTACTATCCTGTCATAGCCTGTTTGCAACAAAAATGTATAAGAAAGAAGACCAATGCTTTGTGTCAATGCCCTGCTTAAAAAAATAAACTAATAAGGCAACAAGCTAACAGGGCCAACTACATATCACCTAAAAATATCAATATAAGAAAGGAGAAAATTGTTGATGGGCTATGCATGGAATTGCTTATATTTTGACTGCAATTTGATAACCATTTATCCACAAATATAAAAAAGTAAAATAAAATAATAATAAAAACAGTCAAAAAAAGTACATAAGCAGTTGTATTGGATTGACAACAAGAAAACAATCCACAAAATCTCCAGCCAAATCTCTTCGCAAAACACAAAAATGTCAATTCCAAACAGCCTGACACATGATGTCAATCATATGTTCACACTACATAGCACTTAAAGACACTCCTTAAATAGCCCCTGAATCAAAACCACAAAAAGAAGCCAAGAAAGACGTTTTGTACCTAGGTAGATTCATTGTTTCCACAATATTGTGTACATGAAAAACTTGAAAATAATAATTTGATCAAAGAGAAACTACTACCATAAAATATTAGATGCTACCCCACCCTTTTTGCTTATACAACAGTAGCAAACATTTTATATTCTAATGCAGAAAATGAGGATAAGATTTCAGCATTGCAACCAAACCTTTCATGCAAGTGGCGACTGAAAACAATAACATCTGCCCCAAGTCTCATTGTGCTGGTCTTAAAGCCATTACCATCTGAAAGACAAGTTTTAAGTTAATAAATCTGAAGAAGAGAACTACATATCTTGTAGAATGCATGAACAGAATCCCTACATTGTCCAATAGCGGATTTGGATTTTTTATCTGAAAACCCAAAACTCATGCACTGTCGCATTGCTTCTGGGTCCATTCCACCACCATTATCTAGTTGCAAAGCACCAAGTTTGTAGAAGAGTAGTACAAGAGTTAGGTGGTATTCTTTAATCCAGATAAATTTCATATCAACAAAGACCACCCTAATTAGTAAGTACATCATACCTTGAATTAACAATGCTGGACTTCCATCTCTTGGATTTGACATTTTATCTACGATGACAAAAGTGGCTCCATTTTGGATCTACTCCATAGAAGATAAAATGAAATGAAAAATGAAATGCAGGGCACATAAACATCATCACATGTAGTGCCAAATAAGCTGGTTTATTTGCCGAATAAAGTTCAGAATATTAGTGAATTATTGTCGGATAACTACGACTAGATGTTTAATCTCTTTCTAAATACTCATTATGCATAAAATGTATGTGTCTATATTTTAAGTCAATTTCATGGAATGCCAATCAATTATAGTTTTAAAAAGCTAATTTGACAACCGTGATTCCAACAATTTTTGGATATGCTTATTGACTTCCCATCACTTGCTTCCATATGATCCTTAACTAACCGAGCCATACAGCAGTAAAATTTAATTTTTTACCCTCAATTTGAAACAAAAATTCCATAAAGAATTCCACTGGGACTAAAAGATTGCATGAATTAAAGTTTTATAGAACTTTCTCCTTAATTAAGCTAGGACTTCAATGTCTACTAAGAATGTTGTTGCACTTCTACTTTTTCAGCCATGCTGCTTTAATTCTACAATTGATAACCTTTCCCGTCTTTATATAATACAGCACAGATACTAATCCATGAACTTTGCAGGACATAACACTACCAAAAGAACTGCCGCTTTATTCCTTTCCCCTTCTATTGATAAAATTCAATGCATATATTTTTTTTTTATTTCCGCTTAACATGAAACTGGAGTGCTTCAACAAGTAACCAATTAAAACTATATCACCAACAAGCATCTTGCATAAAAAGATATATCTTGAATATGCTTTGTCAATTTCATAAAATCTTCCAAAAAAAAAAAAAAAAAAAACAACAGCATTCTTGCATAAAAAGATATATCTTGTAATATGCTTTGTCAATTGTCAATAAAATCTTCCAAAAAAAAAAAAAAAAAAAAATCAGCAGCTTAAATTAATTTACGCTCATCATTTGATTATCAAGCAATTCTGCAATAGCTTGCAGAAAGAAAGAGTTGAAAAAAGATACTGATGAGTAAATCTTATAAAAAAAAAAAAAAAAAAAAATCAGCAGCTTAAATTAAATTACCTCATCAATTGCATTATCAAGCAATTCTGCAATAGCTGCAGAAAGAAGATGAAAAAGATACTGATGAGTAAATCTATAGAAAAAAGTCCATCATCAACAAGAGATGCGAACAGAAATTAGATTAGGCATACGTACCGCCAAAGGCCCATTTATGTGAAGTGGCATTTGAATGAAGAAACATAGGGTGGACATGGAGATAATTTGTTCCATCTGCTATCCCCAAAAAGTATGATAAGTTTCAAGAAAAAAAAAAAAAAACATATATCAAAGGGCAATTGATCAGCATCAATAAATACATGCATAGATATTCGTGTCAATTACACAGTATTATCAACCAATTCAAAAGCAAAGACAAGTGAAACACTAGAAACTTTACGATAAAAAAAAATAAAAAAAAGATAAAGCCATTCAAAATCACTCCTGAATTATACAAAAGCTAGTGTGATGAATGTTCGATGTGTTAAAACTTAGTAAGCCAAGTCCATTCTTAGAAAATTGTATGATAAATGATTTGAATGTTGCATTAGTTATGCAAATGTCATTTAGGTTACTAAGCTACTTTGTTTTTGCATTTATCAAGCAAAGCCATGTTCATTTACATTTACATCTATAATAAGAGATGTTACTAAAAAAATTTATTAGAAACTTTTTTAAAAAATTATATTTTTCTTGAATTATAATTATTTATAATATCATCACTAAAAGGTCCTATGTTCAAATCCCCAACCTCTCACCAGTTAATTTGCATTTGCTACCCTTTATGAGTTGGGACGCCCTTGATGGGCTTTGATTTAATGATGTATTTGAAATTGTAATTATGTAAGTCTGCTAAAATTGCAGTACTGCCTGAGTGTGTAGATTGTAACATATGCCTTGTACCTAGTATCTAATGATTAAGAAAGAAAAATTCTATGATTAACACATTAAGAAAGAACAAGTCCAATCAATCTTTTAACATAATACTCTAATTCATTTGCATGAATATTTGAATTATTTCATCAACAATTTTTTACATAAAGTTATTAAATAAGATCAATCTCACATAGAAAGAGTGTTAACAAGAACACAAAGAATGAGAATACAACCATTTAAGAGAAGGATTCTAATAATATTTGAGGCTTTGTTACAACTCATTTATTTATGTAATTAGCACTTTCAACCTATGTTGGGTACATGTTTAGTAAACAAGCTAAGTTTGACTTTGACCAAGCAAGCATGGGCAGAGCTAGACTCTAAAATTAAGGGGCCAAAAAAAATTTTCAAAAATTAAGGGTGCCAAATCAAAGAAAGAAATTTTTGCACAACTTCATAAAGCAAATTTAAAATTTTAGAGCTCAGGGAGACTGACACGGGCTCCTTTTAGTCCCCCCTCCCTCTGCCCCTGTAAGCAAGTGAAATGTGAATTAAACTTCACTTGACTTCAACTAAACGTTCTAAGGAATTGAATAAGTTAAGAGCCAATTCAATAAGCAAAACAAAGCTTCAATGAGCCACAACATGGCTCAATATGGTGATAGGCAACCTTAATGACCTTTATATTATGCAAAAAGATTAATGCATACTTTGAAGAGTGACCTTGGAACCAAGACAATCATCATAGTTCCCAGCTTTCCAAAATTGACGACAAAGTGGTGCTGGACATATGGTTGAAGCAGAAGAAATGCCAGTATCATCTGGAGATTGTCCTTGCTCCAAAACGCTAGAGCTACTTTGACCAGGGCTTAGCGCAGTTGAACTTCTATTTTCTTCAAATTCTTGTCTTCCAAATTGAGCCGAGGACTTTAGATGCTTGGCCAATTGGACACGTTGCACTTTTTTCCCCACTTCTGCTAGTCCAACCGCAACAAAATCCGACTCCAATTTAATAGCTTTCATATCCACCTTTTCAAGTTCATTATCACTACATTAGTGCAAGAATCTCAAAATTTGATCTTGAACAACACAAAAGACAACAAATGCTATAGCCATCAAGATAATTAAGAGTAAATGACTTAGGAGACATTAAACATTAAACTTGTTTCTAACTATCACAAAAGATTATCTTCTTTCAAATGATTTACCAAAACAATTTTTTTTTTTTTCAATTTGGTTATATTTGAGATTTTTCAACAAATTGTTCATCACATGAACTACTAGCTCACCTATTTAAATAGATTTATCAAACACACGGGCTCACAGAGAGGTATCTTTTACTATGTGTAAGCCCCACATTTGCTAATTTGAATTATACGAGTGGATATTTCCAATGGATTTTGGCTGGAAAATTTCAAATGTGAAAAAAAAATATTAATTCATCCACATCAAATTGATGCTTAAACATAGTATTATTCTATACTATGCACAGACCTCAAGTATTTATTTTTTCAATGGAAACTATTTCTAAAAATCAATTCATTATTGGATTATACCTTGTTACGTCTCACAAGTTTTTAAAAAGATCCACCTTTGTCTAAAAGGATAATTATATTAACCAGGTACACACACTTACCGTTTGCAGTTGTATTTTAGTTTTTAACTTTTCTCATGAAATAAATATTTCAAATTAAAACTTATTTTAATTAAAAAAGTAGTTCAAATTTTTGACTTATCATTTAAGTAACAACAACAATCAAGCCTTAATCTCAAACTATCATGGATCGACTATATAAATGGTTGTTTCCATTATGCTTTATTCATAATTAAATTCACATTAATTTCAAGAAACAATAGATTTTTGAGACAACATTCCTCTATGTAGTTCTAGGACTATATCTTCTCCTTTAGTGATATTTACCATTAATATATCGCACTTCCAAATTGGAGCGCATGGGGTGTAGGAGATGACCATACCATTTGAGACGTCTTTCTCTCATTTTATCTCTGAATTGTAATAATCGTACTTTTTATCGAATGTGGTCATTTCTAATCTTGTATGATATTCAATCAAAACATCCATCTAACAATCTATATTTCTCCAAAATTCATCTTGTAAATATTTAGGCATTCAAGGCCCACAATTTACTCTCACGTAACATCGTAGATCTCACTGTCTTTTTATATAACTAACCTTTCACTTTGTTAAATATCTTCCTATCATATTGAACATAGCAGCATTCCTCCGTTTCATATTCATCCGATTTTAATTATATGGGTTACATATTCACTCATCATGCCAACCTGATAAAGTACAAAACTTGGATATCTAACATCCAATTTCATCTTTCCTACATTCTCCTTGATGAGGTCAAACTTGCAATGCATGCATTTTATCATACTTCTACTGAACACAAAGTACCTCAAGAGAGCTTCTCCATAATTCCAACTTTTGGTTTATTCTCTCACTAGTTCCATCGATTAAGACAATATTGTTTTGAAATAAAAATGCACATGAAACATCATCTTGTATGTCACTAGTTTGCTCATCCATAACCAAAATATACAAGTATGGAACTAGGCATTTGTATTGCTGATCTCAACTCCTTTTTTCTCCAATGCCCATCAAAGTATTTTTCTCAGCACTCTATCATAAGTTTTCTCTGAGTCGATAAACAATATACATAGATCATTCTTCCTTTCTTATAAATTTCCATCAACCTTCATATCTTTATAATTTTTCATAAACCTTTATAGCAAAAATAAAGCCTTTGTTACAGAATCTACCAAGTATAGAACCAAACTGGTTCTCAAACACCTTCTTAATGCCCCCAATCTATCCTCCATCACTCCTTCCCAAAGCTTTACCGTGTGACCCACAAGTTCAAGTAAACTTAAATGGCAACTCAAAATTTTTCAACTTCAAATTTTAACATAAGTGCGTAAAAGATGATTCCTAGCAAGTTTTGAGAGGAAATAGGGAGACTAAAGAGAGATTGGGATGCTTTTTTAACAAGCAACTCAACAAAAGCCACGATGGTGACACTATAGATCTTCACGCCTCTACAACAAATAAAAACATTGACTACACTCATAGAATTAAGCCGTGAAGCCAAGGAGACCATGAAAAATATAAAATTTGGAAAATCATGTGAAATTGGATGACACCTCTAAAAGGTTGGAAAAGTTTTAGAGACGTTGAAGTAGCTTGGGTAACCAAGCTATTCAATTTTATATTAAAAGGTAGAAAGATGCCAAACAAGTAAAGAAAGAGCATTTTAGTTTCTACATATAAAAACAAAAGAGAAAAACAACTGTGACATTAAATTTATGAATAATACAATGAAGCTTTAGGAACAAATTAAAGCACACATACATAGGGACATCATAAGGTGTCAAAGGAGCAGTTTGGTTCAATACACAATAGATCTACAATAGAGACTATATTTTAAGTAAGAAGATTGATGCAAATTTATAAAAGGAAGAAGAAAGATCCATGTGCTATATTCATTGACTTGGAAAAGCATATGATAGAACGCTAGGAAAAAACTTTTGGTGGGTGTAAGAGAAAAAAGGAATTCACATCAAATATATAAATGTCATTAAGTATGTGAAGGTGAAATCAAGTGTGAGAACAGTAGGAGTACAGAAAAGTCCTCCATAATTGTAATATCACATTAGAGCTTTGTCTTAAACCCATAATTATTATCCAAATTTCAGATGAGTTAATTAAGTTCCATGTGCATGCTGACGAGGGACTAAACCAAAAGTTGTAACTATGGAAAAGCACCCTTGAAAGTAAAGATTTTAAATTAAGCAAAAATAAGATAAAATACGAACACTGCAAGTTTAATCCCCATAAAAAGAATGGAGGTCAAGTGATGTTGGATAGAATTGTAGCACCTAAATGCAATCATTTTAAAAAGAGCACATGATAGGTGAAGATGTAACTAAGCCAATTGAAATTTTACAAAAATTTATAAGCAAAATAAGATAAACATTTTCAATCGAAATTTTATAAATATGCTTTTTTGAATGAATTGATCCTGATAGTCATCGTTATTGATGACCAACAACCACAATTAATTACCGATCAATGGCAATCACCATAGTCACCATCAACCACTATCATTAATCGATGGCAACTAACACAATTATGATTGACTAACACAATTTACCATCTTAATATATTTTTTCTATTTGCCAATAAATCTTTAAAATATAAAGTTTCTCTAATTTTAAATATTTCTTGACTAATCTTTGTGCATAAAAGAAATAGTTTAGAAAATAATTTCCAATGAGAATTTTTTCTTCAAAAAATTTTAAGAAAAATAAATGGCCAAATACATAAATTTCACTAACTTATGGCACCCTCAACTTTAACTTTGAACCATCGAATACTTCAATTTATAAAATTATACATATTACGCACGTCAATTTGCAAAATCATTTTATTGAATACTTTAAATTGCAAAATTTAGAGTGTCATAGGATCAAAGTTACAAAGTTCAAGGGTGAATTCAGCCAAAAATAATTATTTTTCAAAAAACAAACAAAGGCTAAGTTCAGAGGATGGGGTTTAGGATGGGCATGTGCATTAAAATTTTAATGGGTTTCAGGTATCAATATTTAAAAAACAAAAGAAAAACTTTTGATTGCACAAGTACTAAAAATTTGGTGCTCGCTCCAAATCCATCCCTACCCTAGGCTCTACCATATTAGAAGAGAATGAGCGCCGTAGACGATAGAGATGCCGTAAACCCTAATTCTGAAGACGATGAGAAAAATAAAAAATGGAGGATGAGACGCACGGAGAACAAGGGAGCCTTCTCTCTCCTGTCGCCAAGATGATTCCAATTTAACAAAACAGTGCTTCGATTACACATTCTGATTTTTTTTTTTTTTTATGTTGACATATGTGTCAAACCAAAAAACGAATGTAAGAAGTGCAAGAGAATGCAAGCCCTTACCTCTGCATAAAAGGAATTCCAAGGTGCCAACTCTTAACTGTAAATTGCCCCAGACTCTACAATTTCATGGATCTCAGAAAAATCCACTCATAAAAGAAGCTTCCAGGAATGAATCAGCCAAGGCAACAAAAGAACCACCTGCAATTTCCAACTCAATGTCTCTCTTAGTCTCACCCCCTCTCTCCCCCCTCTATGTATAATTCTTCTATGTAAAATTATATAATATATATATATATAACTAGCAACGGAGGCTAACATTAATATTGCCAAAATTGCCCTTAATTATTAATTAATTTAGATTTTAACTGTATTGGCTGAAAAAATAAAAATAATTTAATTTTGATCGATTACAATTAATTTTATATTTAAATATTATATAATAAAATTTATTACAATTAATTTTATATTTAAATATTATATAATAAAATTTATAATTATATTATATATTAAATAAGATATATATATATATTAAAAATGATAAGAATATAAAAATGTAATTTAATAAAATAATAAATTATATAGTATATTAGTTATTATATGATTGAGATTTAGATTGAGATTGTCAAACACACTTTACTAAGTTTATGGATGGATACAGATATTAGAAAATAAAGTTAATTTAATATTGATTGATCGTGTTAATTTTTTATTTAAATATAAATTATATTAGATACAATAAAAAATTATATTATATACTATATGGTATATATTATATATGATAATTATATAATATTTTTAAAATTTTTAATTTTAATTTTATTAGTTGAAAATAAAAATAATTAAATTTTAAATTTGTTATGTTAAAATTTTCTATTTAAATCCAAATTCTATTAGATAAACTAAATAAGGTATGCTATCAATATAGTGAAAATAAAGATCTTTTATTGATTACAAAAGTAAAAGGTAACAATTTTTTATTGGTTTACTAAGATAGATATTTAAAATAGTAAAAAATATAAATATGTTTAATTTTGTTATTTTTAATTTCAATTGAATTATTTTTGTAACAATTAAAATTTTTAATTTTATTAGTTGAAAAATAAAAATAATTAAATTTTAATTTGTTATGTTAATTTTCTATTTAAATCCAAATTCTATTAGATAAACTAAATAAGGTATGTATCAAATATAGTGAAAATAAAGATCTTTTATTGATTACAAAAGTAAAGGTAACAATTTTTTATTGGTTTACTAAGATAGATATTAAAATAGTAAAAATATAATATGTTTAATTGTTATTTTTAATTCAATTGATTATTTTGTACAAGTAAAGTATTCTACAAATAATAAATGATATTTATTATTATTTATTAATTATTCTACAAAGTATTCTACAAAATTATAAAAAATACTAAAAAATTATGATTAATGTATTATATATTATGATAGCTTTCTATTTATAATATATAATATCTATCATATAAATTCCAAATATATTACAATTTATTTATTTACTTAATGTCCAAGTAGTAAAAGTAATTCATTTTAAATTCATCTAAAGTTAGTTTCTCATTTCAAATCCAATATAATTATTATAAATTAAAAGTAAGTGGAGAGCCAAAGAAATCGTTCCTCTCGGTCGCCTCCCTCCATAATCTTAACGTTCTCGACGGAAAATTTAATCGTGAGGCGGTGAGGGGAATAGAAAGAAAGACGAAAATTATTACGCGATCGTATATTTACACAAGACAGACCAACTCATAACAAGTTGGAGAAAAGTGGCTTCTTCTGAAGCTATCCTAAGTAGGATTTGAATTAAGACAAATTATGTAAATTACAGAACTTCCATGGATGACACTACAGCAACAACAACTAATGATTGGCTTCATTTGCTTTTTGCTTCTCGTTCAACCTTTCAATCTGTGGGAACAGCACTGAGCGAAATCTGGAGCCTTCAGATAGTTTTGAGCAGCAATCAAACCTGTTCGTGAAACTATGCATAATACATGTACAAGCTATTTCCAGAAGCACAGGCTATCAAGTTCGATGTTGGATGCCATGCCAGGTGCAGCAGTTTGGAGCTTAAGTCGCAGGAAAATTCATTAATTGAATTTTCATGTCCTGCATCATTAGCAGATAAAATTAGATAACTATGAATGCTAGATGGAGATTAAAGTGAATCGAAATGCAAAATAATTAATGGAAAACCAACCATGCCGGTAAAATCCACGTGTTAGGTTGCTCAAGGACGATCTTCTAGCCCTTGAAGTTGAATAGAGAAGTGCTTTCCTGTTTTCAATTTTTGGAAAAGAAAAGTGTTTCAGTTATCTGAAAACAAGTTTTCCTATACTCGCCGGAATCAATAGTGATATTGCCATTCACTGCAAGATATTATTTGCATTATGACATTAACATTCTCGATCATATGTTCTTGTAACTATGTGTATATTTGAACTGATTAAGCCCACCCCCACTGTGGTAACAACCCTAGGGTAACAGGCGATGTTATCTTTCACAGACCATGAACAAAAGATCTGTATTTCGAGCCACTTGGCTACGAGTTTATCCAATTAAGAAATAAATCCCCCGATCTTCGACAGCTAAACATTCAAGAACAAGTACAGAAATAACCTGCTTGGATCTTTATTAGCTTCAACTGTAACGCCTTCTTCACTTCCAACGCCATAGGAGAATATACGTAAAAGATTGCTGAGTAAACATCAGAAAAGAATTATCACTAGAATGGCAATGTCTAGTTTATGAAAAGTGAAGACTCAAGTAGAAGGTAAATGGATAACCTGTAAGATCCAGTTGCAAAATGAAGTCCATCTCCACTGATGCAGCACTCAAATTTATCAAATATGGAGTCATTATTATATAAATCACATAACTGCAAGCGCAAAATAATAAAGGATGACATTGCATTTTTTGAAATTATCAACTATACATACATAATGCAGTGCAAAATCTGAAGTGAAAACACATAACTTATTTCCGGATATGAAGAACCATGATATAACTATAATAATTTGAAAAATTATAAATGATTAAAAATTGTGCTAAAGTATCAATATTGAGGAGCCTTCTCAAGCTTCATGCTTCAAATCGGATGAATTTCAAATCAATTATTTGAATATGCATAATAAAAAGAGACCCACTTTTTGCCTATTCCATTTCCACATTGGCTCTTTTGTGGATATTTAAGATGAATAACCAACCATTTCAGCAACCCTTACATATCATGCTATCTTATCATAACAAGCTGCTTTTTCACCAGTAACTTAATCCTGACAAACAAAAAGGAGATAAATTTCCTATTTGATGGAGACCTTTTGCCCAATAGCAACACAAGATATTTTCATGCAAAGTTTTATTTAGTTGCTTGTAAAAGCAGCAGAACCAAAATAATATATGAAGGAATGCTATAGAACCACTTTCCAGCATAATAAAGATTCAGGAAAGGAATAAGTTTTGATCAAGATGCTAATTATAGACCAAACAAAAATACAACAATCAACATGTCCACCATTCGACCTGCCGGAATCGAACCAGCGACCGAGAAGATCAGTCCTCTGCTCTAGCCACTGAGCTAAGGCCGATATTTGGGTGAAACTATGTTATCAAATGCAAACAAGTGATGATCTTTATACTGAAAGTAAAAAGAAATATCACAAAACAAACTGTCTCCATGATAAGGAAACCACAAATGTCAATAAGCGAAAAGGAAAAGGCCGTTTTCTGAAAGTAGTGGACCTGGGTTTTCCCAGGTAATGCAACTGATAATTTAACCAAAGGAGTATTCGACAGCAGAATCTATTTAGATTGCTGAACTATTTCCTAGGATGATGCGATCTCCAGGGCAAATGATAAGAATGGAGAAGCCCATTCATGGTATCAATTACAAACTTCCACAAAGATATCTTAGAAAGTTCGCAAGTTGAACTGGTGCATGGTAAACATAAAGAGATCTGAGAATGGGTGTCACAGTTGAATCTCACTGCAAACAATCTCTTTACCCATATAGAAAGTATATTAAAAAAAAGGTAAAACATAATAAATTTTTTGTACCTTAGGTTGTAAGTGCTCATGAATCTTGAATATCGCAACCGGCAAAGCATTTTTACGCATATCCCACAGCTAAAGTAAGAAATGAAAACATTAGCTGGAACAAAGAGCTTGAGATACATACACCAAAAAATTTGACATGCATTTGAAAATTATGTGGCATAGAACCATAGTACAGATAAGGACAAAAAATAAGTTCAACTTGTAATGATGTGGAGAGTGCTTGCCATTTTCCAAAAAGAAGCATCAAAATTAAGATGATCAGAAATAGATTGGTTAGAAGAGATTTTCTCACATCTTCAAACCAATCTTTTACAGGACAGCTCGCATTATATATATGCAAAATAAGCCAGGTCCACTTTTCCTAGATATTTATGTGCCATCATAAACTAGTTAATGACTCATGAACTATGTAACTATTCTGCACTATATAGGAGCAATAATGGTGGAAAAATAACTGGAAAAGCAGATTTTAAACTGAAAAAAGAAATCATGTATAATTCAGATCAAAGACCTTTAAATTCAAGTAGTCACGGCTTAAGATGTGCTGTCCATCATTTGTGAATTTCATATCAGAGATGGATGCGATGATCTCTGTAAAGAACGATTTTGGCTCATGGCAGTCCGCATCTTGTAAGCTGAAAAACAACTCGTGAATCAGGACAATCTGTTCTACTTGAGGAGATTAATGTACTATAAGCCTGAATTAGGATGAAATTCATAAAAATAAAATAAAAAAGAAAGAAGAAAAGAAAAGTGAAACAGATAATGAACTAAACTCACATCATTGCACTCTGATCGCATAGTGCTGACTGCCGCATGTCAACTAGGCGAATAAAACCTCTTGAGCTGCTGTATGCAAGCATATTACAGTAGATTGGATGGAATTCAGCTGATGTTATGACCTCTGGATAGAAGTATAAGGCTTCAATTAGGAGAAGATAACTAATAGAGATGACTCAATGTAAGATAAAATGAGCAGGTCTAGAACAATTCTGCCAGTTTTTCATGAATAAATGAATGGATAACTCAATGGGCTATCCAGTAGTTAAACATGGAAATTGAAGGACTAAAAGAGGAATTCATGTGAAAATATTGAAGATAATCCCCAAATTACTTTGGGTACGGCAGACCTAACCCGTAACTGTAACAAAAGTTCTTAACCTGACAAGCAACGTTCAGTATAATATATGCAACTTCTCTCAATCGTTTAATTGGATCAGAGTGTTAATTAGGAACAAATCTGTCTTCAAACGCAAGCTTGCACTGGATCATCAAGTACAGGGAATTCCTACAGATGAATATATGAGCTGCTTGTTGAGATATAGGTAAATACTTTTATCATCCTTGCATTTAGAGTACCAACTGAATAATGATCATAGCAACCTATCATGTTTAGGAAAATGCGACAGCTTAAAGACATTTACAAAGTACACAACCAAGGGTGGAGCCAGACTCCAAAATTAGAGGGGGCCAAAAAGCAATTTTCAAAATTACGGGGGACCAAATTAAAGGAAAAAAAAAATCTTTGCTCTATTTATATGTAAAACGTTTTAAATTTTTTGAGTTTGGGGGGCCCAGCTCCCCCCAGTTCCCCCTCCCTCCGCCTACATACACAACCCAACCCATTCTGATGGTGCAGTTGAACAAAGTTCCAAAAGTAGTCATTGTATAAATCATCATCATAAAAGGTTTTCTAGAGCACAAACTTTGGAGCAATTGCTCCTGAATATTAGTGGTTCAAACCATGAAATCAAGTCCTTGTTATACAAAATGAAGACTGCATATATTTCCATACCAGAGCTCATAAAGTAGAAAGTCTTGTGTACTGAGAGGCTAGGACACCATTTTCAGTAGAAAGCCTCATGCTTTATGAGCCTCATCTTTTGACAACTCTCACTATCCTTTCCCAACATATACAACATTCGTCGCAAAGAGGAGTGAATGAGAAATTTGATAATTGTACTACAGAACAATCAACAAAGGGATTGAGTACTACAAGAGCTGGCACAAGCTAATAGCACAAATGCATAGAGATGCATGGAATTACCGGTAAGATCCTCCATGTTTGCAGGTTTCATGTCAATGATATTGAAACACTGATTGCTGATCTCAAGGTTCCATAAATTTATTCGAAGGTCGTCTGCAGAAATAAATGTCTCACCATCACTGTACAGAGATCATTGACATCTTAGAAGCCACAGAGAATATACATAACAGATCTTTGTAGTGTCTTATATAGCATATCTATACACTATAATAAATGAGGCTAAAAGCCTCAAACATTTTATTGTAATCTCATTTTCAACTTTTGCCCTTTAATTTAACATTATTTACGTTTTAACTGAATATGCCACATTTGCACCATACTTAACCTGAATGAATAAGATTATCATTTGTTGCATTAAAAGTTTATGTCCAAATTTCAAGAGTTATTATTATATATTCTTTTAATACTTGTAGATTTCAACTTTAACTCATAAGTTCAAAACTCAACCTGCCTATAATCTAACATTTCATTTTTTTTGTTTATTCTATTGGACTTTAAATATTAAGAGAACACGTATTGATAGATTATTCTTTTGCAATCTTCTTATCATGGTCATTTAATTATAACAAGATTTATACAAGCCTCTTTTATTTTAGTGTATTGATGGTGTAACTAAACAGAAAAACACATGTTTATACACATTGTTACATATATCCAAAGTAACCATTTTAGTTAGGTTAAAATTTATTTAATATTATTGCAGTTAAACAGCCAGTAACCCCAAGCCACGTGCCAATCCAGCTAGTAATATTAAACAGATTATGTGAAATTTATGAGATTAACACACTAGTCAAAGCTTTACCTATTATTAGAGATAGAGTTGATATTAAAATCGTGCGCATGAGCATAAACCTTTCGACAACTTGCACGAGTTGTGTCTTCCGCATGAGCAATCTATTAACATAACAAACTAGTAAAGTTACAAGTATACTTAATATCTACATGCACACATAACATAAAGAAATGGAAATTTCACCATGATTCACAAGCAGATACCTTGGTGTGCCCCTCTTGAAATGGTGAGATGTTCTTCACTATGTCCCCTGTCCACTCCAGATGACGGCCATTAACAGTAGATGGTTTTTGTAGCTCACTTGAGAAACTTTTTTCAGCCAAAAGAGCACTTTCTGAATAAACAACTGAATCGGCGTCTGTTTCTTTTACTTTCTTACACTTATGTTCCTTAACCTGGCCTCAAAACTCATAGAAGTTAACAGTTACCTAACCAAAATATCCTAGTAAAATGAAAAAATGCATATAGCCTGGATTCAATTCATAATACTGACTAGAAAACCACGTGAAGAAAAGAGATGAATCAGATAATTGAAAAGATATGAAATATATAAATTCAATCATTGCATTTGGTTCAGTGTCACAGCTAAAACCCAGTTCACCTCTGCTTTAACCTGAGTGGGCCTCTGCTCAATGTTTGTGGATCCATATCAAAGAAATAGCATAGAGAGGGAAGTGAATAGCCAGCTGCAAATGCTCTTTCGTCAGGAAATTGGCAAAGATTAAAGAATGAAGTTTTTTGGTACTGGTTAATTGTAGACTTATACTATTATTATGGTTCAGGCATTTCTAAGGTCAACATCCATAGTAATTGATCTTCCTGTGGGAGCCTTTCTTGAAAGAGCAGGATAAAATACAAGATGCGTCCATGTGTACTTGACAAAGAAAGGTTGGAAAATGAATAATTTGCAAAATAAATCAAGAAGCTAACCATAAAATTTCCCCATTAACTGACCCAAACATGAAACCTTTTATTTCATCAGTAGAATCCTCTTACTTTTCTTTCTTTAGCTTACAGAAATTCCTCCATTTTTTGCATTTCCAAGAAAGACAAATAAGTAGTCTCCCAATTATTTTTCCTTCATACTTATCCAAAGAAACCTGACCCTGTACCACCTACCAAGAACTGGACAAGTGGAGAAAAGCCCTTCATATAAAATAAGAAAACGACAAAGAACTAAAGTAGAGAAAATCTACAAGGTATTTGTACAAGGCACCACAATCAGGCATCTCCTCAAAACCCCCCCTTCCAGAAATCCATTATTCAAATTCACTGCCAAAATCTTACCATGACTGGTAACTGCATAATTCCACAACGACTTCATTTCTGTTCAAGACAAAGAGCGGATGAAACCTAAACCAGCTTATTTCTGTTTCTTGCTAACTACCACTTTGTACTTTGCCCTTCCTAGCTGGCTAACAGATTAAGATAATTCCCTCTGCAGAGGCAACAATTCCACACTTGCAGTCATATGCTAAAATGTAACCTTCCATCTCCTTACTCTTCTTCCTGAAAGACTTCCCCTTTTCTCCCTCAAATAACTTTCTGCATCTTGATTCTTGCAATATGCTAGATTTGCCAAAGCTAACTTCCACAAAGCTTTGTGGAAGAACCATTTAATACACCATTCAGTTCGTGCCGATAATCAATTATCTCTAAAATAAGTCGATAAATCCTTATAAAAAAGAAATTGATTTTCCTTTTTCTTTTCCCCTTCTCATATAAAAAATCCAATCATGTCCCAATCTGTGCCCCTTCCCCCGCTAACTTCCACAAAGCTTTGTGGAAGAACCATTTAATACACCATTCAAGTTTCGTGCGATATCAAATTATCTCTAAAATAAGTCGAGTAAATCCTTTAATAAAAAAGAAAATTGATTTCCCTTTTTCTTTTCCCCTTCTCATAATAAAAAATCCAATGCATGTCCCCAAATCTGTGCCCCTTCCCCCCACCCAGCCCCCCCCCCCCAAAAACAAAAAACAAAAAAAAAAAAAAAAAAAAAAAAAAAAAGGAAAAAAAACACTCTACTTCTGCTCCAGGGAATAAGAAACTATTCATAAATCAAAACACATAAGAAATTGGTAGGCAATGACAAAAATTTCCAGCATCATTGAGAAATAACTGGCTAATGACCAAACAGCAATATCTCTCAACAGCTAATTCACCAACAGTCCAAATCTTCACATTATTGATTATATTAATACTTTCATTGTTAACACTCAACAACCATTTAATCTATTGCTAGAACTAAGTTCAGTTCTTTAGAAGTCATATTTGTGAAGTGACTTACAAGGAAATTACTGAAGCACAAGGGATCAGATTTATGGTGAGACAGGGGAAAAAAATAATAAATACCTTCCATAACTTAATTGTCTTATCATTTGTTGAAAGGATAAATAAAGATCCATTGGGTGTTGTACACCATTTTATTCTGTTAATCTTCTCCTCAATCTCCTTTTTTTTTTTTTTTTTTTTTTTTAAGTTGAATCGGGAGTGGTCAAAATGAAAATTTTTTTGTCAAAATATTTTTACCCAAAGAGCAAAAAATAATAATAATAAAATTTAAGAAAAAAACTACAGCCTTTAATTAAGGTCGCTGCAAATTGATCTCACAAGGAACAAACAAACAAACGGTCAACGGCTGTCTCCGTCTCTGTGGGCCGGTCTCATTGTATTTGATTGAAAGAAATAGAAATATGCTTTTCGCAGATTTTGACCTCCAAGTCTACACTTTTACAGTTATAGGTCAACATCTTTTGATATTTGCATATTTAGCCCATCGAAAGTGTAAGAAACAAAGCAAGAAACAAAGGCCCACCCTCGCCGACTTTAAACCCTTAAGCTTAAACTTAATTATGCTAGCCATTAGATCACGAAAAAAAAAAAAAAAAAAAAAATTAAAAACATTTCCAAAAGCTTGCAACTAAACTGATAAAAATCCTCACCTTTTTCCTGTCTTTTCTTTCAAAAATCACAACACGACCTCCTCGATCTCCAACCGCAAGGAAATCACCGCTCTTGTCGAATTCAATTGCAGATATAACATCAACTGCAATAAAATTCAAAAAGTAAAACTGAAAATCAACAGTTGACCAATAAAAGATTCGAAATTTGCAGTAATTGACAATAATATCAAACCATCTTGAACGTCTTCGCCGGGAACTCTTTCGCCAAAGACCTGCGAGAATTTCCAGTCCAAAGGAAGAAGAGAAGAAGACTCTCCTGAGCTGGAAGTCATGGCTGCTTGCTCCCAAAATGAAGTCGTTTCCAATTACAATCTCATGGACTTGCCACACGACACCACACTAAAATTCAATTTCCTAGAAATAACTAATCGTAAGACAAATTTGGAAAAAGCTTGGAAAGTAGTCGAATTTCTTTTCCACTGACCAAAACAGATTCTGATTCTCTTTTGGGCGCTGACTGTTGACACTGTGCTTCCTCTCCATTATCCATTTCAATTTTCATTTCTTTTTTTTTTTTTCAATAAACAAATTTCTGTCTTATTTGGGCTTTCATGGTGGGCTCATGAATATTGGGCTCCAAGCCCATTGTGGCTTATCTGTAATTATTTATATTCTCAACAAGCCTTAGGGTCTCATTTTTCCCGCCCTTTGTGGATGGGAGTTGGCTTCAACTTTCAACAACCATGATCCATTATAGAAACTAGTTGCTGATAAATGCCAAATTCAATCGTTCTCTTATATCTTGACCACAAGTTTTCACCAATTAGATGATTTAATGGGAGGATTATCCATATCGTATAACTCGTCATGCTATTTCAATCCATTAAGTCTCCTAATGAATAAAAAACATCATTCTCTTCGATATTTTTGGGCAAATTTAGAGTCAATGAACAAATAAACCCATTTCTTATTATTGTTATCTAATTCTGTACATGGTCATTGAATGATAGGAATTAGAGACTAGTACTAATTAAGGTTGAAAAAGGCAACCTAAGAGAAAAACTCCCCTCTCCTCTCCTCTCCCACCTCCCCCTTCTCCATAAAGCTCAGACCTTCTAAAAAATCATGGGCCACTTCTTTTCCAACCCAATTGCAAATATTGTGCCTTAATATTCAAATTCTTTACCAACCCATTTCAGGCATTGCAAAGACAGGTCTGTTTGTCGCTTCTTGAATCTTGGCCTGCATTGAATTAATTTATTGAATGCACATTGATCTGTTTCTCAAGATTTTATAAAAATATTGAATTTGGTACTATTTTGGCTTAGACTGTTCTACTGGACTCCACCCAGGAGTAGCTGTAACCAATGAATGTTGGGTATCAATTGAAGGTGATGGAGCTACCATTTGTGGATTAACGGTTATGGAGGAAGTTCTTGTTAGTGGAACTTTTGTAATAGAGTTTTCTGTGAAGTCATCTGCACTAAGTATACTAGCATTCAAGAATGGAGGTTGTTTTGGTGAAGGCATTTGGCATTCTTTATCGGTTAGCATTTGAATTATTTCAGCCATTGTTGGTCTTAATGAAGCTGAAGCTTGTGTGCATAAAAGTCCTAGTTGAAGCACAATTTCTGCTTCTTTACATGGTAATATGTCTCTAAGCTTGGGATCTATTGCTTCAATGATTCTTTTCGCCTTGTAATGCCTCCACACCTGAAAAATGTCATAATAAGGAAAATTATGTCGCTTAATTTTCTATTCACCAATTACAATTCTTCGATAATTAATTTCTGTTTCAGATTTTCTGCAAATGGTGTTAAAACTTATAATCTTACTGTCTTGGAGATAACTTTAATACCAATAAATCTTGGTTTTGATAATTGATTTTCAAGAAAAAGAAACAAGAATCTTACAGAATGCAAAATTGAACTTGATCCTTGTGAGTAAACGCTATTCTTTTTGCCAGTTGCAATCTCTAAAACCAGAACACCAAAACCATAAACATCAGCTTTCTCTGTTAGTTGTCCTCTAATAAGATATTCAGGAGCCATATATCCCCTGCAACAAAAAGAAAAAAAAAATTCACAATTTAGACTCAAAAGGGGATTTATTAATTTTCCTTTTTCCCCCTTACAATGTTCCTGCAATGCCTGTACTAATATGAGTGTTATCGGCAGTGAAGCAACGAGCAAGTCCAAAATCAGCAATCTTTGGAGTAAGCTTTTCATCAAGAAGAATATTGCTAGTTTTTATATCTCTATGGATAATTTTGACTCCTGAACCTCCATGAAGATATGCAAGCCCTTCTGCTGTTCCAAGAATGATGTTATACCTTTGTGGCCAACTTAGTATATTGACTGTGTCCTTTGCTGCAAGAAATAAATGTATAAGAATATGTTACATATTCTATATAATAACCGAATGTGATGTAATGTAATCAAATGCAATTTTAGTCACATAACTTACCGAAAAGAATTTGATCAAGACTCCTATTTGGAACATATTCATAAACAAGAAGGCTTTCAGGGCCTTCAATACTGCAACCCAAAAGCCTAACAAGATTTTTATGTTGAATGCCACTAATCAAATTTACTTCATTAAAGAACTGATCAACCCATTGTCTTGTATTATAGACTAATCTCTTAACTGCAACTATTCTTCCATCTGTTAGATTTCCTTTAAATACAGAACCAGCTCCTCCTTGGCCTAATTTCATTTCGTCACTAAAATAATTAGTTGCCTTTTCAAGCACTTCATACTTGAAGTTCAAATTAGACATAGCTGAAAAGCGCCTGCGAACAGTAAGATCTACAAGAAATTAAAGAAAAGTAAGTTAAGAACACATAATGTTAGGACATAAAATGAAAATCAGATTGAGGGAAATTATTAAGAATATCGTTTTCTAGGTAGAATTTTACCTTCTTTTTCCGTGGATAATCTCCGATACCCTATAAAAGCACCAAAAGAAGCTAAGACAAGAAATGCTATTGCTGCTAATACAATTGCTCCTATTATACCATTATCAAATCCTGCACAAGTACCAAATAAGCAGCTTCAAATTCTCATAAGCAGAAGCTATAAAATAACAAAACCATCAGTTTAGTTTTGCATAATGGAGGAACTCAGGGGTTCCCCTATAAAATTTTCCAATGAACCAAAAACCATTTTATATGACAACAACCTTAGTACCTTGATGTTTGGATTTTGAGGTGGTCTTAAAGAATTTTTCTGTAGAATATCTCATATAACAACCAGTAAACAGAGCCTGACCCTGTGAACTAGGAGCACATTCCCTTAACTGTGACCCAGCTTTAACCAAGCAATCTCTACAGTGGGCGTATGTAAGCGAATTCCAACACTGAGCCAATGCATAAGCAGGAGCAACCCCTCCTTTTGCCTCTACAGTAGCAAATGTTCCGTTCTGTAGAGCCCTATCAGTTACATTCTTGATAATGTCTGCAACTTTTTTACTGAACTCCATATGCAAAGAATTATCAATCAAATCCCCAGTTGGTTGGCTACAGTTAACGGCGTCATATTTGGAATTAACAGACTCGTTGAAGAAACTGTAACTATCATAACGTAGAAAGCAACCATCAAGATAAATACGACCAGCGCTCTTAGGAACACAACGAGGAAGCTTTATTCTGCCCAGGCTAAAACAGAGCTGGCAATCAAGGCTAGAAAGATCACTATGACATTGTGCTAAGCCATAAACTTGAGGCGACGGTGACGTAATAGAAGCAGACCCCCATTTATTTCTAGATACTTGTTGTTGAATTGATTCCATGACTTTAACAAAATTGGACACAAATGCGGTAGTAATAGTAGAATTTAGATTGTCTTTAGGAGAACCGCATATAAGTTTAATTTCAGAGCTACGTGTGGCAGAGGAAGAAGAGAAAATCAAGAATACAGGAAATAAAAAGAATATCCATGTAATATTTTGAAGGAATTTGAATGATAATTGCATTGAGATCGCTCTAATTTCTTCTTCTTTCAATCTCTCTCTGTTTTCCTCTGTTACCATCAGAACAGAGAAAACAGAGCACATTGGATCATCACCTTAAAAATTTGTTTTTTTCTTGTCTTCTTTTCCTTTCTTCTCTGCAAAAAAACAAAAGGGAAAAGAAAACAAACAAAAAAGACCTCTATCTTTCTCCTTCCCTTTCTCTGTCTCTCTGGATGGACTTGCTAGAGGTTAGAGAGAAAATTGAGAGGGAGAGAATCTGAGAGGGAGAGAATCAGAGAACACAATTGGGAATCAATTATATTGTGCAGGTATCATGCAAAGAGAAGTTGCATGCTTGGCGCGTTATGTAGTTATGTTTCTTGTGTTTGTTTCAGGGAAAGGAAGATGGAGAGAAACGAATTGGTTCAATGAACTGGATTTGGTTTCTGTTATCTTTATTTAGACTGTTGTTATATTCAGAATCAGAATCAGAAAAAAGAAATTTTCAAAATTTAAAGGGGCGAAATTGAAAACAGTTTATTATTTCAAAATTAATGAGCATTTTTACATCTTTATTAGGCATAGAATTTTCTTTATAGAATTCCTTAGAAAATCTAATCACGAGTATGATCGATGCTTAATTGACTTGTACTTAGCATCTAGAGAGAGTCGACAAATTTCCCTGGTATGGATTCCACCTTGACTTGCCATGCCAAGAAAAAGATCCTTTGTGCCGATAACTTGATTTGGAAGCAACAATAATATTTCTTACGTTAACAAATAAGTGTCACGCTTGTGAAACTATCGTGTATATATAAATGTCATATTTATAATTTTTTTCATTTTTACCATTTGCAAATGACAATTATTAATTGCTATAATTTTCAAAAATCTCTCTCTCTAAATATAATCTATTTATTTAATAATTTATTATAAATTAGATAAATTAAATAATTTTTTTAAGAAAAAAAATATAAATGCGACATTTATTTGCCATGGAGGGAGTATAATTTAGGACTTCTCTTTTAAGTTTCCTAATTACTAATTACAAACCACCACTCAGTAATTAAAGATTAAGGAACATGTGTTTGTTTTGGGACTCAAAACAAGACAACAAAACTTGCTTTGAGTATTTAAAAATTTCCCTAAACATAATTTTACTAAGCTTTGTTCTTGGATTTGATTTAATGAAATTTATTGTTCGGTTAAAAATTAAATTATTAAATAAAATAAGATATCATTAAAAATAAATATTATTACATATATTAGGACAATATAGAAAAAGATGCTCTTAATAATTACAAATTAATATTTAATACTGATGTAAAACGTTGGTAAATAAAAGATTTGTACATGGCAATTTCACAAGCTAAATAGTACTTGAAATATCATGTTTTAATATATAAAGAAAATTTATAGTTATATGAATTCTAAACTCATTGTTGATATAAATAATTATTGAAAAAAAAATAACGTTTTAAAATGAAATTAGTTATTTTAGTTATATTATTAATTTTATTTCAAGTATAATCTACTACTAGTGTCTAAATAATTAATAAATATTATTTAAAACAATAAAACTGAAGCCAAAATTAAATGTATATATAATATATAATATATATATATGATATATATATATATAAATTTAGAAATATTTCGAGACATTAAAAAAATAACAAAATAAAAACAAAATGAAACGAAGAAAATATATTTTTTAATCTTTCTAATATAAATATAAGAGGTTATTTTTAAGAATCAATCGCTTAGGCATCCCTATTTTATATAGGCCTTTAAATTAGCTTAGAAATCAAGAAATAAATGTTTCAATTTGTGAAGAAAATGAAGAACATGGCTAGAGCTTTAGAAAATTTGATGTTTCCAACTTCCAAGTTCGACCTAGCAAAAGAGTTTGTTTTTGTCCAAGAATGTACAAACTACCACAAGATAAAAAAGCCCGACACTCTCCCTCTCACTCGTTCATGAAATATGATCCATATATACTGTCCACAACACTAAACTGCATGTTCTCCGATGGCTTCCAATGCCTCTTTCTTTGATTTATAAACCAGTTATTGATCTGCTTCTGGTCTAGCCCTGTCGCTTCTGCCAATGCAATCTTATCTCCTTCCTGCATCAATTCATTAACATCAAAATAAATGTCTTTTCGTAAACCCTAATTTCTGCATATTGTTAGGGTTTTCACCCTTACCGTAGGGTATGGCCATTTGTAATGGATGTTCCACCAATTAAGAAGAACTTGTCTTGCTTCCTTTGGTAGTTTGCCCTTTTTCTTCTTTTTGGAGAACTCATGCTTTAAGTTACTAATGTAACCACTGTACTTTCGCAACAGTTTGTCCTTGAGCTCTCGATCTTCATTTGGGCGGAGACAATCTTGCATCTCAATCTCTACCTCTCCTCCGCTCACATCTTCATCGGACGAACCAGCAGCTTCATCTGATAATTAACAGCATAATAATAACAATAATAAAAGACCAAAAAACCATAATTACAGAAAACTAAAAAGCAAGGTTGGAGAAGTAAAATAGCATAGTGGCGCACAAAGAGCAACAAATGGTAATGGAGGCAAAGATTCCATGTCTCCATAACCATGGATGTGATGTTACAGAAGGCTGTGCATTGGTTGGGACCCACATGCAATTTTCTCCTTTAAAAAAAAAATTATTTGAAGGGCACAGTAAATTAAAGCGAGTAAGAGAGAGTTGTTGAGTCGTGTCCAGTCAGTGAAGGGTTAAAGTCCCCAGAAAAAGAAAGCAGCAAGAGAAAGAAAGAGAGGAGATAGATAACCCGCAAGGCACGCACTGTCATTGCCTTCTCTTACCTCAAATCTCTACTCCCACTGAGTACTGACAAAACTTAAAAAAAATCACCATTCTTACACTTAACCCTAACAACAGTACTCTTTTGCTTACATGGTAACACCTGAATAATTATTAATCAATCCAAAAACCAGAAACTTTTTCAAACATAATAGTAATTTTCACAAGAATGAGAAAAAAGAGTGGATCAAGAATCGAGATGGGGTTTCTAGTTTTAACCATTAGTCCAAAGCAAGTGCAAATAATATTTAGTTTATCTTTCTTACAGTACAGCTCTACAGTTAACGAAGGAACATATCTAGGGAACTTTTGAGTCATTAATTAGAAAAAGAAAAAGGCTGGACTGACCATTGAGTCTTATTGTTGCAGAAACTGGCTCTGCCCAGCAGCGGTAACTGCGGGGGGCTCCTTGTGGTTTACAACTTTGCTTACCTATTTTAAAATGTCTATTGTGCCCCCTCATTCTTAGTTTTAACCCAAACATGCCCTCCACCCTACATTTTCTTAGCATTAAATTAAATGAAAAGGTTGCTGAAGCTGAATAATGTTCAGCAAAGCTTGTGCCTATGTTTTTTTGCTAATTTTCCTTTTCATGAACTAGTAGATGGTAGAAAACCTTACTGAAAACATAAAGAATACAATTTTGTACCTCACTTGTGCTATTTGCTAAATGAAGAATACAATAGCAAACACAGCAAATCCAAGTATTCAAATAGAAAGAAAAACAACAATCAATTTCAACATCAAAAATCCATTCATATATCTAGTTCTATTGCAACTTTCAAAGAGGGATACAATCTCAAGAGAAAATGAAATGTAGTTCTTGAGAAAAAAATTGATTTGGTTTTGTAGTTCTTGTTACTCACAAACACTAAAAAAGCTGCATGAAAACAACCTCTACTCAATGACAGTATAAATACCACTATGATATTATGTTGCAAGAACACATACACACACATGGAGTTAGATATAACAAATGAACAAATATAACAATTTCGCCTAGGTACCAAAAGTCTGTCTAAACACTTCACTTCACTCAACTGTTTGATATAAAGTGCAAGTAAATAATTTAGTATTCCATATTGAAAAAAGAATAGACTAAGTGAGGAATATATAAATGGGAATAACACATAAAATCATTATATTAATATTTTGAGTTAAGGTGTGTAATGTCATGCCCATGAGTGTGTCTCCTCACATGGTCCGTCAAGATGATCCCCCAAAGTCCCAATATTATAAAGATCATAATCATGGAATGAGAAAAGCATTCTAGTGCCCATAAGGAATGCCTAGCTAGACCAAAGAACGTTGCTGTAATTGATCTAATCTCAAAATTAGAACTCTCAGATATAAGCATGCAAAATTATGATATTTTCGACCAGAACAACTGGAAACAGTGCATGAAAAACAGCTTTATCTCAAATGATACTAAAAATAGCTAGCAAGTATTATATAAGTAATCGTTATATCCTTGGCCACATTAAACATTACAGCAATTCTTGCGACAAAACCCATCTGTACATAGTACAAAAGTAAATGGTTTCAAACATTATTGAATTATAGTAAGCTTCAAAAGCAGGAGATGCAACAGAGATCAAGTATTCTAGTATATCTTAAAAGGAAGGAATAGGCAACAAAGGAGAATGCAAACAATATCTTAACATAACCAGATTTATTTTCCCTTCCTTTACTTTGTCCGAGGTATATTTAATACTAACATTTTGTACTTCTAACTACTCTGCCATGATATTTTGTCGATGTAAGATTCAGTTTGGAATCTAATTGATTTGATGATGTGGATGATTAAGTATAAAAAGGAACTTGCTTTCAGTTTAAGTTGTATTTTATAAGGTTGTAACTCCCTGCAACTCTCCCCAATGAATTGTTTATGTGCAAATGACAGATTTTATCCAATCATCATACGACCTTTCCCCAATAATTACTTTTTTAATTCCCATCCATGGCATGCACTACAACTCATGCTGCATTGGAACTTTTAATTTCTAATTACAATTCAAATAAAAGTTGATAACCAGTTGCTTAAAGCAAACTTCATTACCATTTGCACACATGCCATTAAAGAGCAGCACCCCGACACTCGCTCACTAGAATCGTGTTTTACGATTTATAAAGTATGAGTCAGCATTGTCTCAACCTCGCAAGAACAAGTATGTTAATGAGCTTGACTATGATCAAGCCATTTCAGTAACTAAAACACTAATATTTTTTTATGGGAGAGAACTGAACATACCCACAACATGCTCTTTTTAGTTCCCATAAATTGTTTAATGGTTTCACTACTCAAAAGCATTTTCTATCATTCTACTAGGTACTGTCATTTCCTTTCCTTCAAATTTTACAAGAAAAAAAATGAAGATTTCTTTCAATGTGATTTTGAAAACCTGATCAAACTATCTATCTAATAGGAAAAAGCCCTAAGGCGAAATGAACCAGCATCAAATATGGAATTTTGGAAAAATATTTTCTCAATTGACATGAACAATCAAGATTTTGCACTTTAAATATCACCATAAGCTCACAAAAAATACTAACTTATGTCATGAAGGGTACACAGACACTTCAAATTGATTGCATATTCCAGATAGAAAATTCATTTAATACTTATTAAAAGAAATTTCATTTAATACTACCTAGAAGACGACTCGGGGCAAAATTAAGAACTGCGAACAAAAAATTAACTGCAAAAGTTGTCTAACCTATGATTTTTGAACTATTGTATTTCTAATATTTATCCTTAAAGGCTTATAATTTCATTCAATGCAGAAGAATAGCATCCCTTCCATATGTAGAACCAACAACCCCAATCCACTAAAGCTTTGTGTAGCTACATATACTCCAGTTTACTGTAATTAGTGCGTATTCATTTCCAAGAAAGAGATACTTTTTCTTTTGTTTTCTTTCTAGGGTTTTGTTTTAACATTACCACAAAAGAAATAAAACCTGGGTTTCTAATTTAATTCTACACCCAGAACAAGAAAAAAAAAAACTAAATATGCAGGTTTTGTCTACATCCAATATGGGAAATTGGCCTATGAATGAAACAACCATTCTTCATGTGAGTTTGCATTGCTAACATGCGCTAGGTTTTATGCTAACGCGCGCCTTTCCTCCTTGTTATGTTATGTTGGTTTCTTTAATTATGTGAACATACCGCAGCCTCCTATGGAACTATAAAGAAACAGAAATCCGTAGCACAGACATCCAAGAAAACAATTAAAAATCAAGACTAGAGTATATATATTCTACAGAGAGAGAGAGAGAGAGAGAGAGAGAGAGAGAGAGAGACCAGAAACGTGGGTTCTGGAAGAAGTGTTGCAGAGAGTATTTAACTGTGCTTCAACATCGTTCAAGAAAGTGGTGGCTTCATTGAAAGGCCTTGAAAGATCCGATTTATATTTCACTAAAATGTCACAATAAGTTTCCTGCAAAGGTACAATAACAAATTAGCCCGAATTATGATGAAGAGAAACCTAAAGAAGACATGAAAATCCCATTTGAAGTACAAAACCTAGAGAAAAAAAACGATCTTCTCGTTCAAAGAAACTGATCAGAAAGAGAAAATAAGTAACCTAAAACCAAAACCCAAAGGGAAGAGAAAAAAAGAAAAAAGAAAGAAAGGAAATGAAAGCCAATCAAATATGGAAGTAAGAGACAGATGGTAAAGCTTTTATTTTAGGGTTTTGGTGAAGAAGACAGAAAGTTTCTCGAGGGAGATAGAGAGAGAGAGACCATGAATTCATCAAGCTCGGGATCTGTATCCAAGCAAGTAGCAACGACCGTGGACCTACTGGAAAGGTCACCTCGCCGGATTTCATCTAACAGATATGCCATCTCCGGTGGGGCTCCTACCTGCAACGAAAAAGCCATGGCAGATATTTATAACTTATATTACTACTAATTTTAGACCAATTGCATAGGAAAAAAAAATTAAAAAGGAGATAGAACTTTATGATACTCATTTAAAGCAGCAGTTTACAGGAGAAAGACATGCAATTGCAAATATGCATATCAATGACATAATTATTATTATCAGTGTTTGCTAATTTTCTTTATCAAGCTCTACGAAAACACTGCTCAAATTTTTTTCAGAAAAATAAAAAATAAAAATAAATCTTGAATCCCCTTAATTCTATCATTTTGACACCATGAGAGGCATAATACATTCTATGGCTGGCAGATACCTTCTGGCAGTCGATATAAGCTTCAAGTAATTTCGGATAGAGAGGATGAGAAGCAATTTTAGCCCTAATTGCACTAGAAACCTCCTCCTCTGAACCACCGCCGCCGCCGCCACCACCACCATTACCTCTCTGCATCTCAGCCACCATAGAAGCAGCATCAGACACTGAAGAACAAGAAAAGAACTGCTCCGATCCTAGAACCGGAAAAGACACTCCAGGTGATGGAAAGCCATGATATTGTACCGGAGCAGCAGTAGCGACAGTAACCATATTCTCCGGTAACGGCATAGAGTAATCAGTAGCAGTGAGGTGGAGACCGTATAAATCATCCATCGGTAAAAAAGAAAAACACTTGTTACTGGAAAGAGAAAGTGCTGCTTTATAGGGCACACTACCACTACCAGTAGCAGTAATTGGGTGTTGGCGTAATCTTTTGAGTGTTTAATGGAGTAATTACGTGAAGAAGACTGATATGAGACGGAACGGTAAAGGGACGGTGTTGGGAGAAGTGAGTTTTAACGTACAAACAATGAGAAGCTCTGATGCCTACTGCTGCTACTACTGGTTTGCTCCTTTCTTTAAGCTCTTTCAATTCAATAGTGGTGAGTTATGGTGACGCGCGTTAGAGTTGCAGCAAATAACTGGATAGAGAGATGGCGGTCTTTATATAAACCAGAGAGAGAGAGAGAGAGTGAGACATTACCATCGGCGTCCATTTATTTAGTGGAAGTTAATATTGTTAATTTTTGGATTAATGTTTGATAATGACGTCTTTTTTCTTAATTAAGTAGTGGTATGTTGGAGCTACATTTAGGATACTTTTACCTGCCCGTCCCCTCATGTCCAATGTACTGCCTTTGTTCCAAGACTAGCTACTCACCATTTTCAAAATAATAAACTAAAACATCATTTGATTATGTTTCATTGAATCATATCCCATTATATATTATCAATTCTAGTGGGGTTAACTTTAATAATAATTGATCCCCTCAAAAAAATAAAACTTTAATATACATAGTAATTGATAAAAAATTTTAAAGAATAATACTTCGAAAAACTATGTCCTCATATTAAAAAGTGCAAAGTTTATTGTAGTATTACATTCCGTTTGTTTCCGTAAAATAACTTATAGCGAAATATTTTTCACAATTTTTCATTATTTGCGACGTTAAGAAAATTAAGTGGACGGAAAATATTTTTCTAGTTAAAGAAAATTAAGTATTTTTTAAGAAAAATAACTTTTTATTTTCAAGAGAGTAAAATATTTTCTGGACATGGGTAAACTTTATAAATTCATATTTTTTTTAATTTATTAATCATCATAATTACTATCATCAGTTATCATTTATCACCAACTACTGGCGGCGGCCACCATCGGTGGCTTTCATAATTTATATATTTTTTTGCATTCTTTTCATATTTAATAATAAAATTTTAAATTATATAAATAATTTTATTATTATTATTATTATTATTTATGGTCTTATGAGATAAAGCTTTAATATGTTTAATTAATTTTTAATATTATAACCAAACAACGGAAAATAAATCATTTGTAAAATATTTTTAGCAAGTTATTTTACACAAACAAACGGAACCTATAATTGTATAACAATGACAAAATTTAATTAGATTCGGTTTATGGGCTTAGATCAAAGTAATGAAAATGGAGCCATCTAAGTGATGGTTTAGTTGTTCTTCTTACTTATGTGAGGAGTGAGAGGTCTCGAGTTTGAATTATCTCGACTATAGTTGTTGTCACCAGTTTAGTAAACCAAGAGGAGGCTGTTGTGTAGTGTTATTTCACCAATTTGGTGAACCAAATAGAGATATCTTAAAAATTATTTTCACTTTATTCCTTTTTTTCTCTTTGTGAATAGTCAACAATACTCTTATTTCTATATAATAATGAATTGGTTAAGATGTAAAGCCATACACTGAATCTAAACAAATCATTCTCATATTGTTTCTAAGTTTTGATAAAATTATTAAAATTATGACAACTATCGGTATAAAATAAATCAAATGATTTATAATAATCACTTTATGCATTACTAAAAAGAAATATATAATATTTATTAAATTACTGATAATTTTTTATTTTGCTTCTTATATTTTAGAAAACTAATCAGATCATACATCATCAATAAAATATTATATTTTATTGCATTCATTAACTCAAACTAATTTTTATATACTTAATAAATAAGTTTTTAATTTTGAGCATTAACAATTAATCATTTCACGTCATACAAGAAAAGGAATATTTGTCCTAGTAAATATAGGTTTAACCAACGAGAAAGATTTGCTAAATCGAACAACCTCCTGTGGAATAATGAACACACGCGTGACAGTGAGTGAGAGTATGAGTGGAAGTAGAATTAAAAAGATAAAACAAAACAATATGAGATGAGTGACTCGTCTCGTCCTAGGACATGGTGGACGTACGCCATAGACCAATAGTCACAGACGTTTGACTCGTGAAAGAAAGAAGGAACAATACAGATTGGTTTCTTGTTGGCCAAGAGCAAAATTATTTTCATTCATTAATTGAAGCCAACAGTGAAGATATCTGTTCGTTAAGCCGTTATTTGGATGGATGTAAAATTTGGATGGAGTAAAATAAAAAGGTAAAAATTTATTAGAATTATTAAAATTTCTTGTTTGGTTTGAAATAAAATATTAAGGAGCGTGTACAATAATTTATTTTACACTCATTTTAACTTCATTTTCACTCAATTTTTGAAGGAAAATGAATAGTAAAATTTTACATTCTTACTTTACTTCCCCTCTTCCAAGTTGCGCTATTTTACGAATATAGCCGTTGAATCTCCAATTTAGACTATTTATTTATTTGCAAAAACTACATCCTTTCTTCATATATATATATATATATATGTAAAGAAAAATGAGAGAAAATCAGAATCGCTCAAACGATAAAACATGTTTAAATTGCACAAATGATTACTAAAAAATGAGATTCGATCGATAGAAATCTGCTTTTAAAAAGTGCAACAAATAGAGATTTTTATTTCTTAATTAAAAAGAAATCATTTGTGATACTTAAAATGAAATACGTTTGCTCTGCTAGATGTGAATATAAATTAATCAGATTAATAGATTTCAAATATCGGATAATATAAAAAAAAAAATTCTAAAACAAGACAATTGTGAAAAAATTATAGAATTGAACTTGCCTAAATCATGTTTATAGATTGAATAAATTAATGAATTGTTTTTACTTTTCCTCCAGCCTATTATGATTGGAAATATTATTTTAATAAATCTGATTTAGATAAGTAAATCCAAAATTATTGATGACCTTTCGATTCAAATTTTTGATATAATTAAATTGCAAGTTGTAAACAAATTTAAGAGAGAAAATTTGAACCTCATTGGTGCAAACCACACTGCCATTTGTAATCAATCGCTGTTTAACAGTCAACGTATTATAAATTACAAGTTGACGGCTCTTTCTTTCCCACTAGAAAGCAACAAACATTATTAATATATAAAATCACAAAGATAAAAGATTAAGCGGCCGAATTAGAGATTAGAAAGGTGATTATATTCTAAATAATATTATAAGTTAGGAATAAAGGTATCAAACCGATTCCCCATAAACCTAAGAATAACTATCACCAAACTTGTTTTGTTTCCCATTTTCTAATGATATACTTTTACTATAAGTGCCCACTAATTCCAAAAAAGACCCTTTACTTATTATTTTTCTTTTCTTTTTTCCCCTTCTTCGGCAGAAAATTTCAGCGTTCTTTTCTCTCTTTCGTGATTCTAAATAAATTGCAACACAGTTGATCCAGTTTGCATGTTGGCAGCATTCCACGCTGCTCCCATCCCACCCCTTAATTTTTACGATAAGAAGTTGTTAGGGAAGTTGTTAGTTGAGCCTATATTTTCATATTCATATTAATTAGTTAAACATTTGCATGTTGATACACCACAACTTAACATGCTCATCTTCTTGAGTGGAGAATTTGGATCAATCTTGACGAGACAAGCAGAGTCAAGAACCGAGTAGGTGTTGAGAAAATGAAAAATGGGTTCTCCTTCTTTCGTGGAAAACCTACCTTTTCCATCATTTTCCATTACGATCTTGTACGGGGTAACCCTGAACTTTTACACAGATTTGTCATCTCATTTTTACAGTATACAAAATGTCCACATTCTCCATTCAAGATCGGAATCAAATAATCTCCTTCTTCCATGTCTCTCACACCTTCTCCCACGTTCTCAACCATTATGCGTGCAAACCTTTATTTATACTATATTTTTATATAGAAAAACATTAATTCAAAAGGGTATACTAAAATGTATGACTTACCCGACTGCTTCGTGGCCTAAGATTCGTGGAAATGCTCGTTGATAACAACCTAACCCGTTTATAACAAGTGAGTTCATGTATTTGATGAGTTGGATTAGGTAAGGGTGAGCATTGGTTGGAAACAGAAGAGTTCAGTTTCAACGGTTCAATTTCAATTCTGTTTTTAACAGAGACAATCGACCTCAGTTTCAGTTTCATTGGTGCCTGAACTAACTTTTTTTTTTACAGCCCAAGATAATTAAATGGAGCCGAACTAAACGAATCGGTTTAATTTGGTTATTTTGTTGTTCTGTTCAGGCTTTGTTCTCTTTATACGGGGGGGGGGGAGAGAAGAATGTACAACAGTAACCACACAATCATGTTAACTTGGTTCTTTTCCCTTTTTTTGGTTTATAGGAAAATTACTATTGCTGAATGAGAAAATAGATTACAGAAATAAATTCTCATCACCACAATTAAAATACTGTCTTCTTAATAATTCCAAATACATTCAAGGGTCAATCATTTCGTGTGAAACGGTGACCCAATGCATCCAACCATCCCTGGCTTGATGAAACTAAGTGGAGTTGTCATTGTTCTAAATCTAATGTTTGCTTCTTAATTTGAGTACAGACCAAGATCGTTACGCAGCTTTTCAGTGAATTATATTGTGCTTGTGTTCTGTTTGCAGTCTTAGAATCACCAGGAGAAAGATCTGTAACTTTTTGCAGTGTCAAATGGCCTTGGTAGCAGTTACTCTGGCCTTGGCTAGTCCATACTTTTTAATATTGTAAACAAGCTCCTCCTGGAGTTGCTTATCAGTGATCAATAGTATTTCATAGTCTCATTCGTGCAATCCTTGGGCATAATTTGTAAATATTCCATGAGGGGGATATTCTTGCTCTTAAGTTGCTCTCTAAACTTTGTTTTGTTCTGTTTAAACTAGCTTTTGAAGTCTTCAATGCATTTAACGACATGCCGTTCTCAATCTCTTTAACTACATTTGAGAAAAAATAATTATTTTCCCCTCTCTTAGGCCCAAGGGTGATATTCAAATAAAACCTTCCAAAATACAAATTTGGAACTCTTACTCTCATGGGTAAAGTTACTCGGACCGCAATAAAACCTCCCAACATACAAGTTTCGAACTCTTAACCTTACAGATAAAGTTAGTCCAGATGCAATTCACTTCTGTTAATTCAATGGCTATAACCAAATAAACTAATTTCATCGAGCAAACATAGATGCTTCTTATTTACATTACAACAAAACTATATGCATTCCAGTTCCCTGCACTTATTGACTCCTTACAGACAATAAAAAACAAGGGAGATGTTATTATGTTGTAGAGCTGTGGAAATGATATGATTCCACACACGAACTCGCAACAACATCAAAGAAATCAAAAATAGCTTCACAAACTCCAAAGTCATCCCTTTCAGACATGTCATTTTCGTTAACTTCAATACGAAGCAGAGCTAGTTCTGGAACAGTTAATAAAAACTTGAATTCCTCATTTCAAATAAGTGTCCAATTATTTTTCTCTGTCTTTGTATTCTTTCTTCATTATAGTATCTGCAGGTACTCCGGCAATCCCCACCTGCAGAGAGAAATCAAATCAAATATCATTTGATTAATCATTAATTTTGACGACCCAAACTAAAGATGATGACTAAAATGCGACAGACACCATGTATAAAGCTTCAATTACCACCGAGGGGAATGACGATGACACCATAGATCATATATAGGACCAAGAATTGAGTAATGCATATCAAAACAAGTGAAGCAAATTGCATGTAGTAATTTGAAAGAAAATAAGGGAGAGGAAAGAAGATATCAACTTACGTACCCTAACATAAAAATCTGGCGAGGAAAACAATCAAAAGGAACGTCTTGGAAATCTTTTTCCATCCTTCCCCCAAATATACTTTGACCTATTTAGCAAGAAGAAAATTACAATTATTTATAGAGACAAAAGCAGCATAAACAAATTAACCATACAAGGACGATCAATAACTGGAAACAAATGCTCTGGCTTTATAGCACTCACCTTCAAAATTATCTTCACAGGCAACTCAATTCTAGGGTCACGTGGACTAGACTCCGACAGGAAATCTAGTTTCTTTACATAAGCACACCCACCATTGGCTCTGAACATTCCGTGCATCAACCAGAGTGATTTCCCGTGTCCTTGCCAATTATAAATCTGTTAAATATATTTTGGCAAAGACACACGTCCACAAAATTAAGCATGAAGCATTATATATAGAAACCGATAACATGTTTAACGCATTTGCCAACCCGTTTCATAAAAGCAACTATACTCAACAAACCCTTCATTATATTCTGAACCACTCAATCGCTGCAAAATGCTCAGTACTACTCTAGTGTGTAAATAAGGCCTAAATGTTGGGCATTAGACTAATAAGAACACCACAGAATTACACCTTCAGCTTCATAAACTAGATAAGGATTTATAGATGCAAACCTGCATGTTGAAAGCAACCATCTGAGCTACATGCATCCAGCCAATTAATGGGTTGTAGCTGGATGAGTCAATACGAATACCCTTCGGGTACACCCTAAGAATATTCCGCTGGGTAAACCTACATTGTAAGAAACCATTAGACTTTGCAAAGCTTGGTTGCTTCAGTATTTATGCAATTACAGATGATTATGAAATGCATACAAGATAGTTGTAAAGGCACATAAGCTGACCAACAGTGTAACATTAGTTGAAAAGTAAGACGAGGATTGCATAAAGCCCCACACCAGTAGAGAAATTATTGAAAATGGTTGTACAAGACATTCAAATTAATTCCAATCCTGCTTGATAAACACCTTTTCAACACAAATAACATCTGCCTTGTTGTTTTCTAGCGATTGAATTAGCATGGGTGAATTGCATTCTTATTAACTTCACATGTAAGGTTATGAGTTCGAAACTTGTGTATAAAGAGGTTTTACTTGAATATCCATTTTTAGTCTCAACTAATTTTATTTGTAAAATTAAAAGTTCGAAACTTATATATTAAAAGTTTTATCTGAATATCACTTTTTAGGCCGAGCCAAGAAAAATGAACTATTTTTTCACCGGTGGTTAATGAGATTGAAAACCGCGTGTCGTTAAATACGGCGAACACTTCAAAAGCTAGTTTAAACCGAACAAAACAAAGTTTAGAGAAGGTGAAATCGGAGCTGCCATTTCCCATTTCCCGCGAACCTTTGTTAATCATTCAAAGAAAGCGGTACTCGGACATGTTCATACCGCTAAAACTTATCTTCATCCTTGATTCAAACTGAAATATTGGGGATTAAAAGTCTGGGAAATAGCAAACTTAAGAACTTCAGGTTTAGGTAAGTTATCGAAAGAATTGATATCTCTGATTTACTCCGCTGTCTCTGATTTTTTTTCTTCACCTTTGCTTCCGCCTGATAATCGATATGTTCCCTTGATATGTTATGGACTTATAGTTTGGCGAGGACGTAGACAACCTGTTCGACGAAATGCCCACGTATGTGATTACTCGTTGAACATAAGGAGCGGCATGAGAAGGCAGAGAGAATTTGAGTTGATCGTTTATTTGGCGACAACAGTTGCATCCGATTACAAAGTGGGTCATGCTCTAACTCTCTACTTCTTTCTTGTTTATGGGTGAGTCCATGGAAAGGAAGAAATTGAGTTGCGTTGTTTGGAAAATGTTTTATACCTTTGGTTTGTCTCTGATTAGCTTCAGAGCTTAAGCTTTCAAGACAGGAATTTGAAATGAGTTTGATATTTTGACAAACTTTTATAGTAGAATGCGCTTTTCGTTGAAACAAAATTTGCAAATCGACTGCAAACTTAACAAAAGTGTAAGGGTACAAGCTAAAACTGAAAATTTTCAAAGGATAAGCTGAGAACACTTAATGTGGACTGGTCGATTGACACAAATATACTAAGAATAGTCCGGCTGATATTCTTTCTCCTCTGTTATGGTTAGTTCATTTGTCTTTGATAGTTATGGCATTTGTTGAATTCTGTGATGTGTGTTTGCTTGGTGCTTGAAAAAAGCAGGAAATTTGAAAGAAAAATGAAATAAAATACGTCAAGATTGATCTTAGATGATAATCTAGTTGGTCGTGTTTGGATGAAATGGAGTCCACACATTTGAGATTTCATGTCTTCATGTTTAATGTGAATGAAAAGTATTCATTTTACTTCCAGAATTCAATTAATATGAAAGAAAAATTTTCATTTTACTTTCAGATTTCAGTTTTATATAATTTAATATAACTATATGAAAATTTTTTCCCCTGTAAATGAATTTTATACGTCAAATTAATTTTTTCTAAATAAGGGTTAAACATGGAGTTACTTAAAATAACATGTAGTTGGACTCTTGCAGTTGTTTTGTTAGTTTGAAGGATAACAAAATGGGACCTAGATGGAAAGGAAAGGGCTCAGAAGCCAAAGCTCTTGTAGATCCCATGTCAAAGATAGTGTCAGAGCTTTGTTCTTCTCTCATCCAAATAGCTGCTCATGGGTTACTCTCAGGATGCAGCGTGCTTCTCGCAGTGGAAGCAGAGCAGACTGAACTTCTTACTCGAGCATGTTTTGGCCGACCCATTATTGTAGCTGAGAAGGAAAAGCAGTGGTTTCAATTGGGTTTAGAGGAAGCGTTTTATTTGTGTCATTCTTTAAAATGCCTCAAGATTGTTGGTGAAGATAATTGTCAAAAAGATATTGTCGAGTTATGGCAGTACATGAAATCGAAAAAGGCAACATTCCCTGACTTTTACAAGGCATATTCTCATCTTCGAATGAAAAATTGGGTTGTGAGGCCGGGATCACAATATGGTGTAGACTTTGTTGCATACCGTCACCATCCATCTTTGGTTCATTCTGAATACGCCGTACTTATATTGTCAGAAGAAGATGGTGATGCGAATGGGAGATTGAGAGTGTGGTCTGATTTTCATTGCACAGTTCGACTTTGTGGAAGTGTTGCAAAAAAATTGTTAGTTCTTAACGTCAATAAAAACGGTCATGGTGCTATCTCCCCTTCGTGTTTAGAGAGATACTCAGTTGAAGAGCACACAGTTACAAGATGGAGTCCAGAACAAAGTCGTGAGAATCAGATGATCACTGAAAATGGAGCCAAGTAAGATGTAGTCTAAAATATTTATGTTTTACTTCGCATACATTTGTAAGCTATTGTAATTTTATTGTCTGATGATATTTTTATATCTATTAGCTGTCTTATGTTTTTTCTGTCAAATTAATCATTGGACAGTTGGTCGTTATATGAAATGGCAAAACATATTTTTTTGTTGTCATAGTTGTAACTGAAATGATTGAACGCCTTTCATGTGTAATGCCCTAAACATTTTTGTTATATGCGTGGGACAGAGGAACCTTTTTCAAGCTGTTAGGGTTTATGGAAAACTTACAAAATTTTGAAACCTCTCCAAGAAGTTTTGTTTATATGGTAGGCAGTACTAAGAAATAAATAAAATTCCCGTTTATTTCTTATGACAGTAATTGCACATGTATACGCATAATGTCATGTTCTCATAGATCATAGAAAATTGCACTAATGCATAAATTTGATTTTGTACTTTTTGTAAGTATTCTTGCGGCCCTGAACTTTGTAAAAGACCCATCATACTCCTGTATTTCTATATTTCAGAAATAATTATGTTTCTCGTCAAAATAAAATGTGAAAGTGAAGGGTTTAATGATATTAATAAAAAAACAAAAAGACATTTAACTAAGGTCTAATTATAATTACGTTTAGAAGTTTATTAATGATATTTTACGAGTCATATTCTAATTTACTAAAAGTCTATTTAGATTTCATATTCCACATGAGTTATATTTTAAATTAAGATCTAATTATAATTATCATTAAAAGTTTACTAGTAATGTTGATAAGTAGCTTTAAAATTTTTTTAATTATAACATTATTAGCATTTTATTCAATTAATAACTTTTTTATTTTTAATAAATTTCATAATTACCAAACTATAAAACATTCGCTTAAATTATTAAGACATAACATGAATACTATATATATAAATTTTGTTTCATATATTTTATGAAAAAAAACTTCAATTTATTAAGGTATTATAATTTAATGTATGTAATTTTATTAAAATTTTACTTATAAATAAGATTATATTACTATCGCATAATATTTTATTCATTAATAAATGTTTATAAATTATTATAGTTTTCAGTATATATATATATATATTTTGCGTATTTCTTATACAAGTATGTTAAGTAGCTTGGTAAGGTAACTTAATAGATATACAGAGATCATGGGATACTTTAAATCATATGCGTAAGGGACGATTTCCTGTTACCCGCTCACCTGAATTTAGATCTCTTCCGCATCCTGTGCGAGTAAAAATACTATTCAAACCCGCAAAAAATCGAGCTGGATAATCTTTGTGAGCTCTATTTTTGTTTATTAACACCCTTATCAAAACGCATTTTAATTTATACGAAGCATATATAAATTCATTAAAAATTAAATATTAGCAAATATAACAATTTTTTTCCAAAAAAAGAAAAAAGCAAATATTACGATTTAGAATTAATGATTCTTACGTTAGAAATATATCTACGTCAACAACACGTGTGGGATTTGAACATAGCTAGTAGAACTCTCGCTCGTCGCTCCCAAGTCATTGGAGGATTTTCTTTCTATCTATTTGTCATAAAGGTTCGAGCCGTGAGTCTGTATTTGTTGCAAATCAGCTGCTTTCAACGAACAAAACGGAAACGGTAATAATGACTCTGCCCGTCTTTTTTGGCGTTTCTCTTTAACTTTCGTATTAGTATAAACCAAGTAGGCGAAGTCTGTGTCGATAAGCTGTTTGAAAAAATACCCCAATCAATAAAATTGACTTCAATAGCAAACGCTTAACAAATTTTTGTTAGGTCAGGAAATGGAAGTGGCGCACTGCTATCTTGACGGCAATGCAGATGCAGTAGAGTTCTGCCCACATGACTTGCACCGCCACGTTTTAGCTGCTGCAACTTACACACTACAAGAGGGCGATCGGCCTAGCCGATGTGGAAGCATTTCGTTATTTGATGTTGATACTGACGTGGGTCGCTTTGAATTGTTTCATCGCGTGGAAACAGCAGGTATCTTTGATATTAAGTGGAACCCTGTTGGAGGTAATGTTGATAGGCCAATGCTTGCCCAAGCTGATGCCGATGGGTGCTTGAGAATTCATGAGTTAAGTTGCTCTTCAAATGGAGAAAAAGGTAGGTCGGTAAAGATGAGAACTCTAGTTATGTGACAATGAAATATTCTAGAATGTTAGAGGCACTTCACAAATTTTAAGGGTTTTCACTTGTTCATGTATATATATATATATATATATATAGGTCGTTTAAGATAGACTCTAGTTACTGTGGACAATGAATATTGCGAAAGTTAGAGGTGCACTTCACAATAGTGAAGGTTCTTCAACTGGTTCATGTGAGTTATATATTTTATTATATATATATATTATTATTATATTATTTGGATAGCGATATATATATTTGGAAACGAAACGAAGCCAGTGTTATATTTGATAGTAGAAACAAATGAAAATGAACCCTGGACTCATCTATAACTTTCTATTGTCTTTGCTTTTTGTTTGTTTTTGGTAACTTAAATCAATTCTTGAGGCAGGAGGATTTCTTAGAGAAATAAATGGTGAAAAAATAAGCTCCTCTATGTGCCTTTGCCTGGATTGGAATCCGTCGGCCACATCAATCTCAGTTGGACTCTCAAATGGTAGTGTTTCAGTAGTCTCATTCTCAGAGTCCCAATTAAATATAATTCAAGAATGGAAAGCACATGACTTTGAGCTGTGGGCTGCTTCCTTTGATATTCACCAGCCACAATTGCTATACACTGGTTCTGATGACTGCAAATTCAATTGTTGGGATTTGCGTGACAGTCCTTCCAATATGGTTTTTCAGAATTCAAAGGTTCATAAGATGGGCGTTTGTTGCATTGCAAAGAGTCCTAGCGATCCTAATATTTTGCTCACTGGTAGTTATGATGAGTACCTTAGGGTTTGGGACGTTAGACAAATCTCAAAACCGTTAAATGATATTTCAATTCATTTGGGGGGTGGAGTTTGGAGAGTCAAGCACCATCCACACGTTTCAGGTCTGGTCTTGGCAGCTTGTATGCACAATGGGTTTGCAGTTGTAAAGATTGATGATGAGAAAGGTGAACTAATTGAAACTTATGATAAACATGGGTCTCTTGGCTATGGGGCAGATTGGCAAAAAAGGGAATTATCTCAGGAGGACAAGCAAAAGAATAATGTGGTGGCCACTTGTTCCTTTTATGATCGGCTTCTGCGGGTATGGAAGCCAGAAAATAATATTATGTTACTCTGATTGGTTCATGCAAAATTAAAATGTTTCATTAGTTTATTTTGAACTGTCCATTGCCGGCAAATTGGGGGATTCTTTGTTAGGCAGGTATAATTCATGATGTTCACCTGTTTTTATATTAGCAATTATTTGCAACAATAGTTTCTATTTGTGTCATAGCCCTGACCTGGTCAGTATTGTCCGCTATAGGCTTTGCAACCCTCACGGATTTGTCCCTCAGGCAGGCTTTGCAACCCGCCTAAAAGCGCGCTAACCAAGTTAGAAGCTACCCCTCTTATGTATAGATCGTTTACCCCGTACTTAACCGATGTGAGATTTGCCTAAGGTGTGCTGGCCTTGCCACTTGCACATACACCCCCTTGGAATCTCAGCGTTCCTCCTGAGGGTTTTGCGCCCCCATCGGCCAGGTATGACGAGCGAGGTCGCTTTCTGATTACCAATTGTCATAGCCCTGACCTGTCCAGTATTTGTTTCCGCTTTAGGCTCTGTCAAAATCAATACTCATTTTGTTAACATAAAAGTGATAAGGCATAGTACACTAACCTGAACTATATTCGTCCCTAGCCCTTTTCCATTAGTACATCACCCTCTCCTCAACTCGCCTTTCTCTTAGGCGGTGTAGAGTATATCAATACTCACATTAAATCATTACACACAATGTACACACATGCGACTTCTATAATAATGTAGATAGCTTTTAAGCATTAGAATGTAGGTCTCATGCTTTTCTTTTATTTTCGACGGTATACTGTCAATGTTATATTGATCTGAGTTTTAATGGCATGAACACTTTCATATCCAACACTTAACCACATCCTAGACACAAATGACTAACAATTGAAACAATAAAGAATAGCATCGCTTTAATTCGTTTCAACGGTTTATATAAATGCACGAATTTTCATCATTTTTGAGTAGTGTCATTGCGCGTTGACTTATCTTATCCCCATATCAAATTCCCTGAATTTTTGAAGCCATGTTCCAAACATCTTAGATGTACTGTTCTTAGAAAATTTCATAATTTTTTAAAGCTTCATTCTTGCATTTTATGCATGATATTAATTATATTACGGGCGACATGCCATGTCTTACAGTAGGGTAAGGTGTGACATGTTTATTTTGGTATCAGAGCAGTTTTAATTGCATATTGGATCACATTTTTACTGCATATAAATGTGTGAAATGTAATCTGCTCAAATATGAATGCCTGTTAATTGTTGGATATCTACATCATACAATATTCTAATACGATGCATGGTTTTCTGTGATAATATACAGAGAGCGTGTTATTTTACAGAAGCTGAATGTCAGGCAGCATAACTGTAACATGTCCAACAATGGTAAGTTTATTTAAGTATTCTCAACTCACTTCCAGCACAAATTCATGCAATCCAACTCTTCTATTACCTTCTATTACTTACATAACATCATAATATAAGAATATCAGAATCCCTAGTTCATGGCATATCAAGAACAAACTCAAAATCATCCATCTTGGTGACTTAAGCAACTTAGACTTTGAATTCATGCATAACTACTTTCAATCATCTTAAATCACCTTAAAATCACTTCTCATCACTTCATCTTCAGCAAATCAGATTACACAAACAAGCACCTCACTTCAAAGTTCATGGAATTCAAAAAGTAGTCCATAGAAATGAAGGAGGAAGTGAAAATAACTAACCTTTTCTTAAGAAATACTTGAAAATTCTTTGAATCTTCATACCTTTTCTTGACCCATTCTTCCTCGATCAGACCAGCTTCCACAAAAACTCTGAGAGACTTCTTTTCGAGCTCTATCAGTAACACTGCCTCCATTCCATATTCAAGTTCAAAAGGAGAAGCTCCATTCACTGATTTGAAGGTAGTGCGAGGTCCCCAGAGCGTGAAAGGAAGTTTCTCGGCCCAACTTTTGTACCTTTCACACATCTTCGACAGTATTCTTTTAATCTCCTTATTCGCAGCTTCTACTGAACCATTAGCCTGAGGGCGATAAGGAGAAGAGTGGTGATGCCACTTGGTAAAAATCGTACGGAAATTACCGTTTTTCAGGCTTTTCAGGTAAAATCGTGCTTTACCGAGAAGTCATTCATCTTTCAACTCATTTTTGATTTCTTTTAAGCTTTCACATGGATTTGTAAAGATCAATTAATGTTTCATTTCATTAATATTAATATCCTGAATCTATAGTGTTTCTCATTATTTTAAATTTTCTTTTTATTCGGATAACCGAATTCATCGAAAAAGCTAAAATAGAAAGAACTACAAAATTGAGGATATTACAACTATGCTTTGATTTCACGGTAGATATTGTAATGTTGTTTGTTATAATTACTATGATTTAATTTATGGTTATAATACATAGCTTTCGGTTCAAGGTTTTCTCATACTTATAATTTCTTTTTTCCATTAGTTCAGAATTCAAATCATAATGGAAATCCTAGGATGGGTGACCTCTTGGGAAGTTTCCCATATCCCCCAAGAACAAAATCGTGCGGGCCGTAGGGCCCAGAGTGGACAATATCACACATGGGCTGGGCCGTTACAATTTTACAATTAGTATCAGAGCCGAAGCCTCGCTCCTCTGGCCGGTGGTGGGGCAAACCTCAGCGAGGACGCTGAGTCTCTAAGGGGGGTGAGCGGTGGCTGTGAGCGATGGCTGTAGTGACAGTGCACTCACAGTGCACTCACCTTAGGCGAATCCCACATCGGTTAAGTGTGAGAGGGAAGTGATGTACTTAAGGTGGGCGACTTTTAAAATATAATCCTATCTATATTTATCTATGAATTAACTTGCAAATCAATTTTTTAACTTTTAAATCATCTCTCTCTCTCTTTTTTATCTATGGATTGGCTTGCAAATCATGTTTTGAAATTCAAGAGCGCCGACAAGCTAAATGCAAAGCAGCCAATTAATTCTTTGGTTGATTGTACTTTTTTTTTTTTTTTTTTTTATGTGAGTTTGTAGATGCCAGGTCTAGATGTGCACATTAGACACTGATGCGCCCTCAGAATTGACTCTATAAAAGCTGTAAAAACTATATTATTGATTGATGATTTAAATGGTATTGAATTTATTTTTCTTATTTTCTTTAACCATGTGGGATTTTTATGAATTGTCATAGCCCTGACTTGGTTCAGTATTGTCCGCTTTAGGCTTTTGCAACCCTCCACGGATTTGTTCCCTCAGGCAGGCTTTGCAACCCGCCAAAAGCGCGGCTAAACCAAGTTAGGAAGCTACCCCTTCTTATGTATAGTAACGTTTTTAACCCCGTCCTAACCGATGTGGGATTTGCCTACGGGATGGATTTGCCTAAGGTGTGCTGGCCTTGCCACATACACCCCCCTTGGGGACTCAGCGTCCTCGCTGAGGTTTGCCCCACCACCGGCCAGAGGGCACAGGGCTTGGCTCTGATACCAATTTTCATAGCCCTGACCTGGTTAGTATTGTCCGCTTTAGGCTTTGCAACCCTCACAGATGTTCCATCTACCTATGTGGCAAGGCCAGCACACCTTAGGCAAATCCCACATCGGTTAAGGACAGGGTGAACGATCTATACATAGGAGGGGTAGTCTCTAACTTGGTTAGCGCGCTTTTGGGCGGGTTGCACAGCCTGCCTGAAGGACAAATCCGTGAGGGTTGCAAAGCCTAAAGCCCCAACCACCGGGCCAGAGTGCACAGGGGCCGGCCTCTGATACCAATTGTCATAGCCCTGACCTGGGTCAGTATGCCGCTTTAGGCCTGCAACCCTTCCGGATTTGTCCCTCAGGCAGGCTTTGAAACCACCCAAAAGGGCTACCACAAGTTCAAGACTGCCACCCTTTATGTTACATTACTCCACCTTGTGCTTAGCGATGATGGGATTTGCCTAAGGTGTGACACACACCCCCTTTGGAGACTCAGCGTCCTCGTGAGGCTTTGCCCACCACCGGGCCAGAGGACAAGGCTTGGCTCTGATACCAAATTGTTAACAGCCCAGCCCATGGTTGTAATATGTCCGCTTGGGGGCGTACGTATCGCCGTCCCCCTTCACGGTTTGTTTTCAGGCAGGCTTTGCACCCACCCCAAAAGGCCTTTACACAAGTTCAAGGACTGCCACCCTTATAACGTGGCCATGCCCAACTCGCGGCTGAACAATGCTAGCTCGGCGGCTCGCTCTTCTGCATAACTCATAATATAACATTACTTCCAACCTTGTGCTTAGCCGATGTGGGGCAAACCTCAGCGAGGACGCTGAGTCCCCAAGGGGGTGGTATGTGGCAAGGCCAGCACACCTTATGGCAAATTCCCACATACGTTAAAGGACGTTCTTCTCGGGCTCAAAACATGACGACGATCTATACATAAGAGGGGTAGCTCCTACCTTGAGGTCGTAGCAGCGCTTTTGGCGCGGGTTCAAAGCCTGCCTGAGGGACAAATCCGTGAGGGTGCAAAGCCTAAGCGGACAATACTTGACCAGGTCAGGGCTATGACAATTGGTTATCAGAAGCCGGCCCTGTGTGCCCTCTGGCCGGGTGGTGGGGGCAAAACCTGCAGCAGGACGCCTTGAGTCCCCAAGGGGTTGTATGGCAAGCCAGCAACACCTCTAGGCAAATCCCACATCGGTTAAGGACGGGGCGTAAACGAGTCTATACATAAGAGGGGTAGCTTCTAACTTGTTTAGCGCGCTTTTGGGGCGGGTTGGCAAAAGCTGCCTGAGGGACAATCCGTGAGGGTTGCTTTGGGCGGGTTGCAAAGCCTGCCTGAGGGACAAATCCGTGAGGGTTGCAAAGCCTAAAGCGGACAATACTGACCAGGTCAGGGCTATGACAATTTGACTATTCCAAAGAATTAAATATGATTGTTAGCCAAAGTGAAACTCAACCATTCATCCTTAAAACAGGGGCCTCAATATGCTATGTATACTTTTCCAGCTGGTAGGAGATTTTCATTTTGCTGCTTATAGATATCAATACCAGACATGACTTTTGTATATTTTTATTTAAATGCTGAAATTGTTATTTATTAGTTCCTAGATGATCCATATTCATGTTCTATTCTGTTGTTGTAGCATTATTGTTAAATTGCTAGGTCCGCGCTCATGTTCTACTCTGTTGTAGTAGCACTAATGTTAAATTGCTAATTATGGTGTCCAATTTTTTATATTGTCATTTCTATCGATATATATATTTGGTATTATGATTGTGAATGTTGCTGTGCTTATTTAGGGAACAAGAGGAATCTTTTTAACATCACCTATCATTTTTGGTAGCTACTTTGCTTTGTTAACATAGGTCATATATATAGATTGATATAGTTTTGCCTAAGAGCTCCACTTTCATATGTTAAACCAATAACTTTGCTTCAACCATGTTGGACACTTTCTCAGTTTAATATGCACTGATTTTCCGTAGGAACTTAAAATATTCAATCATAGGAATAGCTAATTTTCATTAAGGCTTAGGCCTTATTTAGGGCATTGCTAACAAATTGTTGTAGCCAAGACGTTGTATGGTGGTAAGCAATATTTAGAGTTGGATACAAATCTCCTTCACTTTGCATTTAGTTTCAAGAAACATTAAAAGATTACTAAGAGTGATTCTGAGCTGGGTTCCAACTTGTAACCCTTTTCCTAGGTCCTTGATCAGGTATTATTTATGTCTAACCACATTTTTGTGTCATTTCCATCTTTTGAAATTAGTGGGGGATCATATATTGTGGTGTTGTGGTCCACTTTGTCCACTTCTCTAGGGCATTCTCCTGGACAGGGCCCTTGTCTCTATTTTGTGCCAGAGGCAAGAAAATGTAAGACAGGCCCTGCAATCCAGTTCTCTTGTGTTATATGTATATAGTTATGTACCTAAAATACCTAATTGAGCATGGATATATTGCGGTTGCTGAGGCCAGCTAATTCGGTCCTATGTTACTATAGTATAACTTCTCTGTTGTCTTCTCTTTTGTTGCTGCTGTTATTGTTCTAAAGTATATATATACACACACATTTTCCAGTTGAACGAGGAAACAGATGATACTGTTATTGGCTGAAGAGATAATATTTTTGAGGTTGAGCTTTGAAGACAGTTTATCTTACTGCTACCAGTGCACTTGCTAAAAGGATTGCTTCAAGATCAATCATATATTTGTCTTTAACTCTTGGCTATATATAGATATATATTCTACTGATGTGGAGCCCACCCCACCAAAGGACAACACAATTTTCAAAACACTTACTGAAATTATTTCTAGGTTTGCATCAACTTTTTAATGCAGTGATTCTAATTTTTACAGCTTAAAATTATTTAATTGAGAAATTGAACATATATGCTTTATTGTTTAAAGTCTACAAAAACAAATACAGAAAGGGATGTTTTTTTGGGGCATTGGGTTCGAGCATTTGCTTTTGTAATGCAAAATCAGACGTATTAATCTGAAAATTTTCATTCACTCTAAATGTTTTCAAGGCGGAAAAAATAAATCACTGATACGAAAGAAATATTAAATCTGAAAGGGGATAGATTTTCCACCAACATTCAAATGTTAAATAAAAAAAGAAACAGAAAACTTCACAAGATTCTAAAATTAGAAACCATCACATCCGACAAAATGTGTGAATAACATAAATCGAAGATAAAATGAGATGTCTAAGATGGTTTAATCATCTCTTACGTAATCGTCGTATGCTTCTATTTTGCTAGTGTGATCGATGATGGAGGATGTTAAAAGAATAGAGGTGAACTTAGAAGTCGTGTCAAAAGACGAGTTTTTTTTTTTTTTTTTTTTTTTTAGTCGTGTCAAAAGACGAGGTTTTTTTTTTTTTTTTTTTTTTTTTTGAACTAAATATTAATTTTTTTTTTTTTTTTTTTTTTTTGAACTAAATTATTAATAGAGTGAAATGAAAACAAATGATAAGTTGTTACTGTAGGTTGTATATAAAATTAGAAAAAAAAAAGAGTTACGACAAATTAAAGTGACTAATGATTAACTCCTTTTACTATATAAACGATCAAATAATTAAAGTTGAGAAAAATAAATAGTTAGGATCAAATAATGTTAGAGATAAAATAAGTGGGGTTGTTGGATCGAATCTGCAAACAATGTATACAAAGGGTTTATTAAGGATGCATATGATAAAAAAAAGAACAGCTGTGGAACAACAACAATATGGTCTGTGTCCATGGAAGCTGTACATGCAGCACGTGATACGGTTTCTTTGCTTTACTATAAAAACTTCTGAGAAAAAGGAAATTACTGATTTCTATTTTTTACCAACCAATCATTTGCTGAACCAACGACAATGTTATGAGAATGTTACTAGTAATTGTCTTTAGGGAAGAGGAAGATGTTAAAATGTTTTGGCTCAAAGCAATAAAGAGAAAAAATAAATAAAAAAGATACTATTTTTCGTCCAATGGGAAGTTTTTGGAGCACAAAACATGGTTTCCTATACATGTGGCATCGGTTGGTCGAATGGGTATACTATACATGCTGAAGAATTGGAACTATACAAACTAATTATTTGGAGAAGTTAGTTTGATTAGTTATGATCATATAACATAGAGAATTTCAGTTATAACACTAAGAATCCCACTAGGGCTTCATATTTGCTTCCTTGTAAATTTTTAAAATTTAATTTCATATTAGACTTATATTGAATTGAATAATAATGATATGATGAAAGAGATAAAGGGTTCACAAATAACCTTTTCATTTCAGGAATTCTTGAGAAAAAAAATACAAGATTAATTAGTTTTCATTGGACTTATTATCTTTTGTAATTATCGATATATTCTATTAAGTTGGATCTTAATTATGCTTTGGATGGTGTAGTCAATAGTCAGAAGAAAAGTGCAAGTTAGATGAAATGCTCATATCATAAATCACAATCATAAATATGGAGGAGGAGGAGGAGCCAATTCTGGATACATACTTTTCTTGCACATTTTTCAGTCAAAGACAAAAAAATTTATGGCCAAAACAGAATTGGTGCTTCTTTCTTGTTGTCTTCTTTCGAATACAAATCCTTCTTAGAGAATCTCACTTTCTATCTCTCTCTCTCTCTTATCTCTACAGAACACACCCTGGTTCTTTACTGTCAGTCTCATGTGCACTATCCTTAAACTCATCCTTCATCAACCACTAATCCCATATTCTAAGCCATTCTCTTACTTCAATTATTTCATCTAATCCCCTCTCTTTCTTTCTTTACCACATTTTTCCCTAGACCAAGTTTCATGCAATGTCCTTTGCTGCCTTCTACGCTGACCCAACAGATGTCTATCATTTACTTGCAGAAGTTTTAGGCTCTAGATAGTTTAGACTTCGGGTACAGTCAATCCAGAAATGGGTTTGCTAAAACTTTCGTGGCTGGTTTTGCTTCTTTGGGTTTTTTCTCTTTGTTTTAGAGCTCTTTGCGATGATGCAGAGGTATTTGTTAAGTTCTTGAAAGCTCCCCATGCATTTTCACATTTGAATACAGCCACATTTGAATTTCAAGTTCTGGTGGGTGGAAATGAGCGTTCTTGCACAAATTGTACCACAAATTGTAAGGTTAGTTTCTTATTTGGGCTTCTGTTTTTGTCTTAGTTGCTTAATTTTGGCTCCTTTGTTCTGTTGCTTTCTCATAATATGAAACCAAGACCGCGCTTCTTATCAGCCATGTGAACAAAAAGTTGAAAACTTTCAATTTCCTCCGATTTTCCTATTTTTTCAGAATCCTTTTTCAAGTACAAGTTGCACTATTTCTAAGCTACTGAAGGCATATACTTGTAGGGTTATTGTTTTCCTTATTCATGTTCTGCTGGAAGTCCTCATTTTAAATATGTGATGCATGCAGCTAGATGATGGCATTGCCTCTGATTGCGGAAGTAGGAGGGTCTTATATGAGGCCTTGCAGGATGGAAATCATACATTTGAGGTCTGCTTCAACGGGTCTCAAGGAGTTGGCTGTGCTACATATGACTGGACTGTTGGTTAAGAAATTTCCCTTTTTCAATTTTTGAGCAAGTGTTGCTTAGATGTTATGTTTTTTTTTTTTTTTTTTTTTTTGAGCAAGGTTGCTTAGATGTTATGTTTTTTTTTTTTTTTTTTTTTTTAGTTCCTTATACTAACAATTTCTTTAGGCTTTGTTATGCTAAATCACAGTCAAACCTAATTGATGCTAACTTGAAAAAAAACTTGAAGTTTTTGTAAAATTATGTGCTGTGACAAGAAAATGTTGACATATATATTGATACTTTGTTTTACCTAAGCTGAAGAATTAGAATGCGTAAACGTCTACAAAATAAATGGCAATGACTCTAAAATACCCTGGCTAATTTTCTTTTGCAGATACTGTCCCCCCAACAGCATATATTAAACTCTCATCAACATCTTTTACCAAACGCTTTAAATTTACTAGCTAAATAAATTTCTTTCACAGAAACCTTTTTTCTGGTGGAGGGGGTTCAAGATGTTTCATCAGTGAAATTCATGCCCAACATCCCAGATAAGGCGGAGTATTATGGGATGCCAGAGAAAATGGTATCAAAGTTCTATATTTTTTTTTTTTTTTTTTTTTTTAGTCTCCTTATACTAACAATTTCTTTAGCTTTGTTATGCTAAATCACAGTCAAACCTAATTGATCTAACTTGAAAAAATTGAAGTTTTTGTTAAATTATGTGTGTACAAGAAACTGTGATATATATTATTTGTTTACCAAGCTTGAAGAATTAGAATGCGTAACGTCTACAAAATAAATGGCAATGACTCTAAATACCTGGCTAATTTTTTTTTGCAGATACTGTCCCCCCAACAGCATATATAACTTCATCAACATCTTTTACAAACGCTTTAAATGTTACTGTAAATATTTCTTTCACAGAAACCTGTTCTGGTGGAGGGGGTTTCAGATGTTCATCAGTGAATTCATGCAACGTGAGTAGGTGCCAGAGAAAATGTATCAAAGTTCTATATGATTCTTTTACATTCTTTATGTGCTTGGTACATGACATGCATAACTGTGGATTTATAGTCAATCTCTCAGCATGAATCCTATGTTAATTTTGTTGGTATTAATAGAAATTAATAGTTTCTTAAAGATTGCTGTAAAATTTCTTTACAGCTTCTGGTCTATGGTGCTGGTCAAGTAATACCATCCTCGCTGGTTATTCTGCAACCAAACCTCAAATATTCTCTTCTAGTAGGTTTATCAACTACTGTCCTGTATGGACGTGTCATACTGGTAATGGACAAGAATTTTTGTACAGACATTGCTGGAAACAGATTTACAAGGACAGCAAATTCTAGTTTCTTTGTACATTTCGGTGAGTTTTTTTGTTCATTCCTCGTGTTAAAACTACATCCACATCACTTTCAGAAATGTGATGCTGCCTGTAGTTTATGACAGATAGAGAAATCATCTCAAATTTTATTTTCTGTTCTGATCTACATACGAACTTTCGTCTTTTATTTCCTTAAGAAGGTGTCCTGCAAAATAATAGCATATGGGCAATATTTCTGAATATATGGGTGTCCTTTAAGATTTTAAACTTACTTCTAATTGATGTGACTTAACAGCTTTTAAATCCCATTCCTATTTTGGCCGTTGATTTCTGAATTCAATCTGTTTATTTGGTGGTTTATTCTGTAGATAGAAAAAGTGTTTTTGTTGACCTGAGGATTCACATTCCTGAAAAGCTACTTCAGCTTGACAATCAAACTAGAACAGTGCAGGCTACAAATGATTATGATAAGTTGAAGGCGTACTTGTACTTCTCAGAACCAATTCTCAACTCATCTGCTGACATTCTTGATTCTATCAACATTAGTGAAGGTGCACTTCTTCCTATAAGTGGAGAAAAACTTGGGAACCGCAGATTTGGTTTTCAGGTTAGTAGGTGTGTATAGTGAGAATTTCTTTTTTCTTGATGAAGTTTAACTATGGACCTATTTTTCCTTGGTACTTTTTAGTGCTCACTCCATCTATGTTGTCTCGTTTCAGTTAGTCAATGTATCTAGCATTGCTATCATCACAATAAGCTTTTATTCGAACTCTATAATAAGCAGATCGGGGACTTCCATTTCTCCTATTGCGCCAAGTTCTTTCCTTTATGGTACGATAATATGATCTTCAATATTTAGAAGAGCTTAAAAGGATTAGAAAAGATTGTGTTCTACAGATTTTGTTTTTATCTTTGCGAACTCTGCATGTTTACACTAGAAGAGATATGGTCACCCCCTTCTGACATGTATATTGATGCCATTTTTAGATTCTCAAAGGCCTGCTGTGAAACTGAGTACAACATCTAATTCAAGGACAAAGGAACACAGCATCCTGATATCAATAAAGTTCATGAAGCCTGTATTTGGCTTTAATTCTTCCTTTTTATCAATCTCAGGGGGTCATTTGCAGAGGCAAGTCAAACTTACCAACATCTTCATTTGCTTACCCACATCAACACTAGGAATATACACAACACACACACATCTAGGGACAACAGAACTTTAAAATATTTTACCCACCATGCTTGATATTTTGTTCAAGGAAAATAATATGCTTTCATATTTACAAGTCATATTTTTGATTTATTGCTTTTGATGGAATCCAGCTTTCAAGAAATAAGTAGAAGCAAATACATTGCACAGATACATGCTGATGATGAGATTATATCTATCAATATTCCTGCAAACATAACTGGAGATGTTGCTGGAAATAAAAATCTACCTTCTAACACTCTACAAGTGAGACACTGTAAGGAGCATGTTTTTCACTTTTTGCTTCTACCAAGTGTTGTCTGATATAAAATTTTGGAGGAGTTTTAGCTGGAAATTTTTGGTGCTGTGCTGACTTGTATTTTAAAATGAAAATACAGATTGTGTACCTACGATATCCTCTGTAACTTCTGCTTTTGCAACTGCTATTTTCCTGGCAACATCTTTTGCTGCTGGACTGCTCACTGTGTCAACAGCAAGCCTTCGGTCTGTTGGAGCATTTTCCAGATCAACTTCTTTGCTGACTTCTGAACCTACAAGGAATCTTTTTGTATGATGCTTTATCTTTTTGTATAATTTATAACCTATCACGTCATCAAATAACAATGAAAGCTAACAAGCTCTTTATCATTGTTACGAAACTAAGAACATCTTATATTTTCCTTTTACACAGAGAATTGCCTGCTACATTCAAGTTTTTGCATTTTCTAGATGGTTGGCTGTTGGACTGCCCGTTGAATATTATGAATTTGCAAGGAATTTACAATGGAGTATTCCCTACTTCAGTCTCCCATGGGAAACTGGGGGTGTTCATCCAGTCATGTTGGGCCCAAATTCTACTACTGCCCCACATTCCTATATTTCCAGTGTTTATGATTCAGAAATTTCAAAGAAAAAACAACTGGAAGAACAGAATTTGGCTATTGCTGCTTCAGTATATGGATTGCCACTCACTCCACTGGAGTATAGAATATTTTTTGAGGTAGGGGTGGATTCTTCTATGAATTTTCAACTTCAAACAGCTTTAGCAACTATTTTTATAAGACAGAAACCCCTTTTTATCCTTACAGAGCCAAAATATGACGCCAGAAGCAGAATATATTTTAGATCCACAGTATTCGAATGGGTGAGTTATTGTGGTTTACTTCTGTTCCTTCAATTTACTCTTGATTGACATAACATCATGATAAAAGGTTCAATGGCTGAACAAGAAAACTTGGAACTGCTGAACTATATAGAATGGTAAAAACCAATTGTTTAAGAAAACTGCAGCTGTCATCTGTGCTTCTTCATTCATTCATTTCCAGTCAGTGCTTCCAGAAACATTGCTGCTACCTTCTGCTATTGCAGACTATTGGTTATGACCTCAAAATGTGGATGCTTAACACCTCTTTTTGTCATTTCATTTATTCTGATCAATTATTTGCTTGAGCCTTCTAACATTTAGGTTCTGGCATTCAGCATAAAAGAATTTTACTTATTAACCTGATATCTTTTGCTTTTAACTATTGTAGGTGGAGGGTTTTTGATAGAAGTATGTTCTGGCTGGCTTTAGTTGGTGGCAGTTTGATACTGCTACATGGTCTACTCTTTTTTATTTTAAAACTGAGGAAGAAAGACCTTGAAAAGCCAAGGAATTATGGAGCATTAACATTCCCAAGATTTGAGATATTTCTCATGATTCTTGCATTGCCTTGTATTTGTGAGGCCTCTGCTTCTCTCGTTAGAGGTACTATGCATTTTCATTTTTTACCTCTTATGTATCTCTTTCTCTATGCACAGTTAGCACACCTGAGCATAGAATAGAGAGCTTGCATCATAATATCGAAATCCGATGAATCAGTCCGGACCGGTTTACTTATGGATGTCCTACTGCTTTACAAATTGAATACTTAGTGTCAAAAATTCCCCGAATTTGTTTACCATTTCCATAAATAATATAATTGAAAACTTGAAGTTTCAGATTCTCTTTTTCCTGATAGGGGACCTGAATCATTTATATTCTCCACATAAATGTATATTACAAACCTGCTTGGCTGTTTAAATATGCAAATAAATCATGATTATGCATTCTATTTTCCTTGCAATTTCTTTATAAATTTATTAACCTTTAGGAGAACTTGAAACTACACATCTTTATACGGTTTAACTGATATCGCTTTTATGGTTCAAGGAGGGACGCAATTGGGGGTTGTCATTGGTGTACTGCTGCTGGGGTTTGTGGGATTTTCAGTTCTGACCTTGTTCTTGTTCCTGTCTGTTGGAATTTCGCTTGGAAAGCTACTCCAGTACAAGGAAATCCATCAAGAAGGCCAGATATTTCACTGGTATCAAGACATTATTCGAGTATCTTTAGGTCCAGGTAAAAGAGGCCAATGGACATGGAAGAACCAAACTAACTCTGTTTATCTAATAATGCTTGGCCCTTTATTTGAAGATCTAAGAGGTCCCCCTAAATACATGCTCTCACAAATTTCTAAAGCTGATCCCAAAAAGCAAAGGGATAATATTATTGCATCCGACGATGAAACAGAAGATGCAGAAGCACCTTTTATACAGAAACTGTTTGGAATACTTAGAATATACTACACACTACTTGAAACAGTAAAGCGAGTTACTCTAGGCATTTTGGTCGGTGCATACTTGGATGACTGGTCATCTAAAACTCCAACAATTATGTTATTTTGCATAACATCATTTCAGCTCTTCTTCCTTGTCCTTAAGAAACCTTTTATTAAGAAAAAGGTGCAATTAGTTGAGATCATTAGTCTTTCCTCCCATGTAGGTATATTTACCACTTGTTTCGTACTCTTGGAGAAGAAATTAACGGCCAGTGATGAAACTAAAGTTGGAATTTTTATGATTGTGCTCTTCTTAATTGGATTTTTGGGGCAAATGATCAATGAATGGTATGCATTGTACATACAGACAAAGCAGCTGGATCCTGCTGAAAAATCATTCTCAGTAGGTTTGAAAGCTGGATCAATAGGGTTTCTCTTGTTCTTCACTCCACAGAAAATGAGCAGATACCTGGAATGCAAGCTGCCGCAGAATCAACAGCAAGATAGAGGAACTGGGGGAGAGACAATTTCCTCTGCTGAAAGAGCAGATAAGCCATGGCCAAAACAGCTGAGAGAACTGGCACAGGCCAGCTTTACTGCAGATAGAAATGGAAGTCCAAATGACCCTTCAACTAGCCACACAAAATGGAGTGGATTCTGGGGAAATAAAAGCAGTGGTGGCTCATCCCAGAATTCTGCAGATTTCAAGTTAAAACCAAGTCGGTTATACAAAGATTTAGAAGCCATTTTTGCATCAAAATGAATCATCAACAGCTATTGTATATGAAATTTGTTTTTTTACAATGTTTAAATGAACTTCCAAATTGGTAATTGTGGCCTTTTGTGCTAATGAAATTGGATTTAATTATTATTTTTTTAAATAAAGGTTAATAATCCAAATTTTAATTATCTTTTCTAAAAATTAATAATATATTTCCTTGACGAGACTTGATGGGTATCTGATTCGCTTTGCCCTAGTGGAAGGCCGCCACCTAATCACAGTTGATAACACCCACAAGCCACCTGTGAATACCGTCTCTCTGCCACCGAAATTTTGCACGAAAATCGAACACAAAACACCTGTTCTTGATCTCGGTTGCCTTTGTCTTTCTTTCTTTCTTCAACAGTAATAAAGACACAGAAATGGGTTCGTTATTTAGTTCAAGCAAAAAGAGCAAAGAAGAAATCGACATGGCACTTAATAAGGCCAGGGAACTCTCCACCTCTGCTCCTGTTGTCGTCTTTAGGTTTTTTTCTTTTTCAAATTCTCAATCTTTCGCCAATTCCCTTTTCATGTTTCATTTTTTCTTATGGTATTTAGGTTATTGAAATTATTGGAAATATTCTTTTTGAAGTTTTCTTTTTATTTTTTTGTTGCTCCTTTCTTTTTGGGAATGGAAATAGGATATTGAAAAGTATTTGTTTGTCTCTCTGTTTTTGTTTGATCTCACAGTGTCCTGTGTTCATGTTTGCAGCAAAACCTACTGTGGTTATTGCAACAGGGTCAAGCAGTTGCTGACACAATTAGGAGCAAGCTATAAAGTTATTGAACTGGATGAGGAAAGTATGACTATACTCCTTTAAGTACAATTCTTTATAGTCCATTCCATTATTACATTTTTTTTTTTTTTTTGACATTTTCCATTATTACATCTTGATCAAACATAATAACATTTTGATATTAACAAGAATTAGCAGTATTTCTACTTTTGAGGTATAAACCGCTTGTATCAACATGCTGTCATAAATATAAATTTGCTGTTAATCATTGTTTTTTAAATTCATGTTATATTAATATTTGTTACCCTGAAAGTTGCCAATCAGGCTTTTATTAAGGTAATACACTGTATTTTAAAAGGAACTTCTTTCTTTTGAAGTTGATGGAGCTGAAATCCAAGCAGCTTTAACCCAATGGACTGGGCAAAGGACTGTACCAAATGTGTTTATCAATGGAAAACGAATCGGTGGTTGTGATGGTCAGTGCATTCTATATTCTTAAGTTTACTTTTCTCTACTTCTCTGTTTCTCCGTTTTTAGAGAGGGGCTTTAGTATTGTATTATTCGAAACTGCTATAGGTATGAGAACGAATACTTATTTTCCTAACTTCAATTTTCATGATCCCAGTTTATATGACTTGACTTAAATATCAATCAATTAGCTTGTTGGATTGTTGTAGATACACTGGAGAAGTACCAAAAAGGCGAGCTCTTGTCCCTTCTCAACGATGCTGGTGCCATTGCTAACAACTCTGCTGACTCTGCTCAGCTGTGAGTAATGTTGAAAACCCAGACGATGATACTGTAGAAATACGAGAATAAAAATTCATCCCATGTTACCAATGTACATGAATCCTTCTCATGGACCTAACTAAATGTATAATGTGCTTTGTTTTGATCTTTTCCCGAGTATGAAAATTGCAACTTTTATTATATTGGTTTTGTGCAATGTTCATTTTGCCATTTATAAATTCAGCATCTATAATTTTGGATTGGGATCATTATATTCCTTTCAAGTTGGAAACTTTCTTGCGCTAAAGAAAATATTCCTTACAAGCCAATCGTTCAAAATTTGGACCGTCTTGACTAGTTCTAACTATGAACGTACAAAGTCTCTTTGTTGCTCTTTTAATTGTAGAATTGCCAATTGTGCAGTTGACACTATGGCGTTCACAGCTTTCTATCATCAAACAAATTTTCAGGCGGTCTTGACAAGCGTTTCTTCTTTCACCTTCTGTTGTCCAACAAAGTGGATACAAGAAAACTAGTGATGTTAAAATTCCAAGAAATAACAAAAACTGCACATAAATTTTCACTTACATTCGAAACTTTTATCCACAAATCGAGTGTCTCGATGGCTTTTCCTGATGATTGCGCCTCACGAGCCAAGGCTATACCATCAGCTAAAGTGTTCACAAGGCCACTTACCAAGAGAGCTGCTGCTGCATTAAGGATCTGATATATTATCCTTGCGTTAGAACTTGGATAACCCATTTGATTGATTCATATTCATACAACTCGCATGTGCACAAACAGGAAACCATGAAATTTCTAGAAGTGTTGATGGAACTCACAAATGCGTCAGCAATTGGCCCTTTCTCCCCTGACAACACTCGTTTTAGCATCTCTGCGTTGTATTCTGGGCCTCCACCTCGCAAGCTGTCTAAGGTGCAGCGAGGAATGCCAAAATCCACTGTTCAATGAACATTCTCAGTTTATCAGTGATCTAATAATAATCACATCTACATTTCACAACTCAAGTATAGGTGATGTTCATTTTGGAAGTTTTAGTTTACACCCCTCCAATCCTTGGAGCAAAAGTTTTATGTAGTTGAAGGAAGATATGGACACATTACCAAGTTAGTGAGAAGATCTTACATGGATCAAATAAGAATTTCTCAATCTTTTCTGGAGAGATGTCAAGGACTAACCCAGGTCCTGTATTCAGATAATCATGAATAAATGAAACGAGATTAGATTGAATCATGAAGACAAAATGGACTTATCAAATCTGCAGCCAAAGAAATCTGAAGTTTTTGTATTTCATATAGGCATTAGCTTGAGATACAGAAAAGGACGAAACCATACCGAGGGGACTCATTTCATCTAAGCCCTCCGAGTGAACAACTAATGCTCTCTTCATTCCAAATCGTTGCAATGCTTTAGCCATTTTATAGACCTACTCAAAGAATGCAAGAAGAATACTCCTTTAATAGAAGAAAAAAGTTCCACAAAAGAATGCAGGTTATATGAATGGAAGTGGAACAGCCAAGAAGCCCAAGCCAACTACACATTTCTTGAATGTTAAAATGTCTCTTTTCTGGCATCTTCAGAATGTCTAAGAATAAGATTTTTCACAGTAATGATCTCTATTGATGTGAACCTTCTTTTTAGTTATCTTTTTGGACAAAAGGTCTTCCGTAGCCCTTACCCCTAAAACTTCTTTCTTTGGCCCCACAACCAATTTGTTCTGGCTCCATCACTGAAGATATAAAAGTTTAGCTGAAATACCTAATATAGCTTCTATATATGCTTCAGATGTAAATAGAGGAGCATCTATTCACGACTGTGTGCACAACAGATTGCAGTCTACAGTGTACTGCTAACAATATGAAGAGATTCAATATTGCAGCAAAAACATCTGATAAAGATGTTGAAAGCTTAAATTTTAGTAATTTAACTGAATAAGTTCAGAAATTCCTTTTTCCTCGGCTTATAATATTAATAATTAACAAATCTGAAAAATGATAGCATGACATATTTACTACTATTATAATTCATGGTATAGGAACTTACCAAGTCTTCCTTGTATACACCAACAACAGCAAAAGGTACGCGTGCAGGATTCAGCATAGGGCCCAAGATATTGAATACTGTCTTTACTTTTAGCTTTTTCCTCACAGGGCTGACAATCTTCATGGCAGGATGGTATTTTGGAGACATCATGAAACCAATTCCTGCCTCATTCACGCACTTGGATACCCCCTGGTTTCATCAACAGACAGAGAAGGAACCCACTAAATAAATGTATCAAAAGACATTACATTTCTACAACTGAATTGATTTCCAAACATATGGTGTCTATTTCACCTACCTAGGTTATGATCTAAAAATAAATTCTGAACAAAAAGAAGCCAAAATTGAAGCACTTAATTTTGACAAATTTCTGAAAACAAGAATATATCATTAGAAGTCATCGAAAAAGACACACCCTATTTTTCAGCTCTCAGTTAGATTATACCCCAAGAGACATGGACATCAGATCAACCGGAACCTCACAGCGTCGGTACAGTACTACTCTTTCTTTACAGACTCCAGCCATGGTTCAAGAAGAGAAATGATAAGATGTGGGCACGAAGAATGTTTGCAAAATGAAAGAAATTAACGCATTACTAGTAATAGCTCTTAGACATGGATTGGTTAAGGTTTCAAATTTGCAGTAATTGGAAATTCTGCAGGCCAATGGAAAGTGTAAACCCTGAAAGGCACATTGAAAACTCACCTTCAAGAGTTCAAGCGCACATGGTTTTGACCAGAAGTTCAGTCCTTTCACTTACAATAAATTGTATCAGATATCAGATGGATTAAACACCAACATTCCCCCACAAAAAGCGATTTGATGAATTGGCCTTAAAAATGCAAGATGAGTATTAGATCGGCTCGCATTTGTGGGTTCTGGCATTAGCATGTTACTATCATGAAGAAATTGGTAGGAAGAGGGACTAACAATAATGATCACAAACCTAGAAAATGGTCCACATTCATATGCTGTCCGTGAGCTGTAGGACTGTTGGTTTACAAATATCCACCATATCACATCTAACATGCATTTCTCATACCAAAAAGAGCTGGTTTGAATACCACAATGCTATTCAGGATGTATCAACACACCAAATCAGTACTAGGACCAACTAAAGGTATTAATGACTTGCATTCATAGTAAACCTACCTCTGGGTCCAGATCAATTATTATCCCCAGTGCTTCTAGTACATCAGCACTTCCACAAGCAGAAGAACTCGAACGATTCCCTTGCTGTGAAGCAAACAAACGGTTTCGTGGCATTTAGCATATCACTATGAATCATTGGACAAGTCTATTGTTTCACTTTAAGATTAAAAAGTGTTACCTTGGCAACTTTTGTACCACAAGCAGCAGCAAGTATTGATGCTCCAGTAGAAATATTAACTGTATTTGCCCCATCTCCACCAGTTCCAACAATGTCGACTGCATCAACTAACCCTTCAACTGTCCTAGCATGCTTAATCATTGCTCTTGCCAATCCCACAATCTGTCAGCCCAAAAAAAAAAAAAAAAAAAAAACCCTAACGCCTTTCAACTGTCGCTAGCATGCTTTAGATCATTTGGGGCTTTTGCCAATCCGCACAATCTGTCAGGGCCCAAAAAAAAAAAAAAAAAAAAACCCAAAATTTAAGATTATTGTTCGTTCCATTCGTACGTAACTCTCACATGGCTTACGCAAACACATTAGGGCAGTGAATCTTTTAAATAATTACTGTTTGGAATCTAAATTGATGTCAATCGAAACCAATAAAAGCAGCATAGACTGATGGCAATTAAAAAAAAAAAAAAAAAAAAAAACCCAAAATTTAAGATTATTTTCGTTCCATTCGTAACGTAACTCTCACTGCTTCACCAAAACACATTACAGTGACATCTTTTAAATAATTACTGTTTGGAATTAAATTGATGTCAATCGAAAACAATAAAAGCACATAGACTGATGCAATTATTGCCCTTGAAAGGAATCAATGCACTAGAGCACAGGCTTAAGTCACTAACAACAAGCCAAACAACTCCAAAGCAGATAGTAGTTGCACTTACTTCTTCAAAAGTCTCCCCTTTGGCTCTCAGCAACACAAGGAAGGCACTAATCAAAGCCTCATTACCATCATTTAATAAATAATAAAGCGAAGTTTCAGCTTCAGATTCCGTCAAATCCACCCGACTAATCAAAGACTCGATTAACTGTTGGAAAAGGAAAGACCAAAAAAAAAAAAAAAACAGAAAACAGAATCATTAAACAATAATTACAAGAAACAGAATACCCAAAGAAATTTAAATTCTGAGCATACCTCATTAAATGCAGTCGTGGGTGTCGACGATTTTTCACGAACACAAGAAAGGGCAGTAACAAAAGTCGTACTTTTTCTACTGCTACTGCTTCCATTTTTCTCTGCGGCGAAAACAGAGCAGTTGAATTCTCGAAACTGGTAAATTGGCGATAAGGGTCTCCGATTTATTGAAGAAGAGATATGAATTTTAGGCTGATAGGAATAGAGCGAAGAGAAAGCGAAAGCTAAAGCCATAGATGCCAAAACAAAGATGACAGAAAGATACAATAACCGCAAAAACTAAGACAGACTCTTTACTGAGCAATTGAAGAAAGAAAGAGAGAGATAGCTTAATCGAATGGATATACAAATATAACAATATGGATTGAGCAGTAATTTTGATGATTGAATTGGACATGTAGGATTATATAGTTGGGGGTTGGTGGGAGTAGCGGCTTGGTTTTAGCCTGTGCATTACCATAGAAGGGAAGGTGAAGAAGTTAGAGATTAGCAGAGCAATAGGTAATTCTCTGGTTTTCACGCAAAATGAATTCCAGCAACGGTGAAGAATCTCTATTGAACTATGCATTCCAATAATTTAGTCAAGACGAATCATAAATTGAATTCTGAGCTTTAATATATATTTTTTATCGCTGTAATTAATTTTGGCGTGCCGTATAATTATTAAATTCTTGTCTTATCGTGTAAAATCTCTTGCTGTTTACAAAATATTTATTAAAAAAATTACTCTGAATAGTGGAGCGTCTCCAGTAGAGGAGCATCTGACTTACCAAAATAGCCATTTGGCTGAAAAACCGTTTTGGATTTCCTTCAATCCAAAAAGAAACGGAATTGACAACATTGGCAGTTTTTCGGATTCAACAAACTCGGATAAGATTTACCGATACTATATAAAGTCAGATCATTAAATCAAATTAATATTTTATTTTTTAAAAAATACTACTCTTTATTACTATTTTGTATTTTTTAAAAATTGAAAATGGGCATTATTACAAATATTTTAATTCCATTGATTTCAGGTATGGTATTAAATAATTTATGATTAACCTATTAATTATTTAACTCAGTTGGCAACGCAGACTGCGCATGTGAATGTAGCTTTCGGATTCGATCCCATCCGTAGAGAGAGGTGAAGCGAAGAGCCTTAACCAAGTTGAATAGGATATAGGATCAAGATACAGATGATTTAAAAAAAAAAAAAAAATTCCATGTGCTTTAAGGTGTAATTAAATGGGTGGAGAGGTACACAATTAGATGAATTCATTTATGCTTTATTTAAAACTTGAGAAAAGTGATGTTTTTTTTTATGAAATTTAATATAATTAGACTAAATTATATTAAAATTTAATATAATTAAACTAAAGGAGATGGAAATGCATCAAGATTTTAATTTTTTTCAGATTTCAAAATTACTTAAAATTTGAATTAGTTTTAATTTCTAGATAAGAAACACTATCAAAATTTTTATTCTAATTTTGTTTTGCATAAAAAAAAAAAAGAAAAAGAAATTTAAGGAACTCCAATCCATACCGTCATTTTGATGAAATAATTACACTAACAATGCAATGCAAAATCAAATGCACTTGTAATTACTAATTAAGGGCATTGAAATTATTATTTAGGCTTACTAATAAGTTTTAGAAAAGAAAAACAATTAAATGAAGGATTCCCATACATCTAAACAAAGAAGAGTATGATGGATAATAAATATAATATTTTTAAATAATCAATCACAAAAATTTTCCATATTTAATTCATATAATATGGTAGTGTTAAACTTCTTTTTCTTTTTTCCAAAAATATCCTCTCTCTCTTCTGCTGTTCTGTCAACCGGAATTGCCAGCTGCCCATGCTAATAGACAGATCAAATATCCTGCAATTCATTTAATAACAAATAATTAAATCATTAATTTACTTCTAAAATTATTATTATTATTATATATTTTTTCTAACAATACGACAAATAAAAAAAATGAAAAAATTTGAATTGTCAAGAAGCTATAGATGGAAATAGGCAATTACCTAACTTTGTGATTTGCGTTATTTTCGGCCATATGAAGTGAGTTGTTCATGGCCCATACGTAATTAGGTAATTAGGTACTTGGATAAGTTTAGTTGCGAACAAGGTACCTGCTACTGTGCCCAACCTCGACCATCTTCTGCTGCTTGTTCCTGAAATAACTGCAAAAAATAACAGTTCATTTATACAACGTAACAATAACAATGAAGGATAGTGGTAATTTGTAATTGTAATCTCTGTCTTTTACGAGTTGCAGAGTTCTTAACAAGTATTAAGGTAATTTGTATTTAAAATTGTAACTGTGTAAGTCTGTTTCAATGTACCTGAATCACAATTTGACGTGGAGTTGAAATCTGCACACATGCACATCTGTCTAATCCCATCAGAGCCATACCCACAAGTGCCACCAGTTGCCTCACAAGCTCTACAAAATTCCTCATTCTCTTGCACTGAATACTTCACTCTTATCCCAAATGACCATTCACTAGGCCCATCAACCCTTAGCGGTGCAAGACTGTAAGCACTGCTATACCCTTCACACTCTAGCTTGCTTAAATTGATTGCCTTAATAGCCTCAAATGCCACAGCACAACACTCCGGTGGGCCGGACCCAAACATTGACCCAGCATGCCGCCGGCCCACTACGCTCCACGCTGGGCACCCATAATACTCCTCACATCCCATCCCTGAAACGTTCCGACAAGGCAAGTGCTTTCCGGGGAAGCCTTGGAAGAGTGGTGATTTAGCTGAGCAACCTATAAGCATAAACACATTATCTGCCGTTGGATTAAAGTACGGCGACCGCCACGGCTCGACGGAGAACCCATTTCCCTTGCTGCCGAGCACAATAGTGTCACAATTTGACAAATGAGGCTCGTGAAGAGTGAGAGATTGATAAGCATAATCAATTTCTAGTACACGGTAAGAACCTGAACTTATGTGAAACATTAGTACGTCGTTTATGCAGAATAATAGGTCTCTAAAACCAGGGTGACCACAGCCATATTGAAGTGAAAAAGGGTAATCTATAGTGATATTTCCACAATAAGAACGGCACGGATTCAAATGGGCATGGTTGAAATGGATTAATTTCAAGAAAATTATGAGAAAGATGAAGAAAATAGTAGGCATGGCTTTGATTCTTGAAATAGAGAAATCAAGAAATGAAGAAGAAAATATTTTTCTTGGAGAAGATGTGGGTGTGGCGATGAATGATGATACTTTGCTTGGATTGAAGAAGAAATGTTTATTGTTGTATGGGACTTTATGCACATGGTACTGTTGAGGAATCTATATATGTTGTATCTTTTAATGGAATTCTTTTTCTTTATCTTTGGGCAGCTGACTTTTTGATGTTGAGCAATGGAGTATAGGCAGCTTTAGTTTGCTTTTTTGGTGAGTAGAGAGTGATTAGAGAGGCATGAAATGATTTTGTTGTCTTAAGATGCTTCTTCATAATCAAGTCATATTTTCTGCTGTGTCTACGACTACAACAGTGCAAATGGAAGTTATATTCAAATTTGTTGCTTAAGAAAGAAAGAAAGAAAAGAGGAAAAAGAAAATTCTGGTTTTTTCATATCTCATACATTCCTTCTTTTTTCTTTTTGGCATAGCTTATAGTTTAATAATACCAGAGTGAATGGCTTAAAATAAAAGTAAGAATTTAATCAGATTGAAGATTAATTATTATTATTATTGTTATTCATCCAAATCCAATTTCAAACCACAGCCATGAATATGATGAGGTCTTCATGACTGAGTTCAATAAAATAAGAACAATATCCAACAACTGGAAAGCTCATCATGATAAAGTAAAATTTTTTTACCAATTCATTATGGCTGCACTCAATAGATAAGAGTTTGAATTTTAAATATAGGTTTTTATTTTTTTTTTATTTTTATGAACTTTTGATGAATATATACATGTTTAGAAAATTATTTTGAAATATGTTGTTATTCTTTAATTTTTTTTTTTTTTTTTTTTTTTTTTAGAAAAATATGTTTTGAAAATATGTTGTTTTCTTTAATTTTTTTTTTTTTTTTTTTTTTTTGTGTGTGTGTGGTGTGTGAAAAAGAGAAGTGAAAGGTAAGATAAACTACTTATTTATAGACTAATTTACTCTTTATAATTTAGTGAAATTTTATAAGTTAAAATTTATAAAATTTATGTTTTCACATTTTTTTTTTTTTTTTTTTTTTTGTGTGTGTGTGTGTGTGAAAAAGAGAAGTGAAAGGTAATAAACTACTTATTATAGAGCTATTTACTCTTTATAATTTAGTGAAATTTATAAGTTAAAATTTATAAAATTTATGTTTTCAAAAAAAAAAAAATTACCCTTACATTTTGTTTTTTCAACTCAGTTATATGTTTGTTAAAATTTTGCTGATTTTTTTTACTAATCAAATAAAAAAATCGAGCATAATACTTTTTATTTTAAATTTACTTTGAGAGATAAGAAAATCAAATTTTATTGTTAATTTTATTTAATAATTTAAACCATACATATGAATAATCTGATAGCAGTTTAGTAGAAAATTTGATAAAATATTTTTTTTTTTTTTTGAAAAAATTAGAATAAATCATATATTACTTAGATCAAACTGGAGAATATCTATTTAATTGAACAGCCTACAACAACAAAAATAGATGGGTCATTTAATTAATTTTTGAAAATAAGGGTCTTAACTTGTAAATTTTATTAAATTATAGGATTAAATATTAATTTATCCAAAATGTACGTAACATGTAACGGGTAGAATGGGAAATATAGAAATAAGAAGGGTATATTGGTCACTTTAGTGTTCAGTGACCAACTCGTTGGGGAAATGAGTAACGAACCGCCATGGAGGTCATTTCATAGGTTCGATTAACTTCTGTTTGGTTGCTGAGAAACTGAAGGAAATTTAAGAACATCAATCGGCATTCATTTCGAGTTCAGTGTGAAGTTTCTACTTTAACAAGTTGAATTTCATTGTTTGATCAATGGACGCAACTGAAAAAGCTGAAGAAACGGTCTCTAATGTAAGACACGCACTCTCTCTAGCACTCACTTTTTTTAAGGTCCTCGTGTTTTTTCCCCACTTGATTAACCTCCAATTACACTTGGATTGTGAAAAATGCTCTCAATTTAGGTTAATATAATATAGTTCTTTTCGAGCAGTCGTTATACTGTTGTAGTTTTGATACCAGCTGAAATTACAGAACTAAGATAACCTAATTGCTTGTTTTTTGTTGTTGCTGTTCTTGTTTTCCGGCTCTGGATTAAAGATAGATTTCGATAATTTTTTAGTCGTCAACTTCAGTTTATGTGCTTTAGAAGTAGAATCAAAAGTTTTTTGTTTTTTTTTTTTTTATTGAATGCATATGTTATTGGCAGTTTTGGGGTTAGGAACAGAGTTGGGATGCTAACCTTGATCATGAGCCGGAAATATTTATTTCTGATAGTCTTTAGTGTAGTCTCAGTTGCAATTGAGTGAGAAATTTCGGTTTCAGTAGATTGGTGCCACTTTATGTTTTTTAGGACAGTAAGAAGGTTAAGACGTCAGTTCATTCTAATATATACTGTGAAGTATGTTGGTAAATTGCAATCAAATTAAGTGCAAGTATCCAAAATTTTATCCAATCCAAGTGGTTTTTATTGAACCACTTTCTTGAGTGTAGATTTACCAGTATAAACTTGGTCGTATCAATGTCGTTGGTATGTTAAGATATTACAATAAATTTGGCATGAAATACCAAGTTCTTGAAGCGTACAATTTTTTTTTCTTTGGTTATTTTTTCTTGCTATCCATATTTTACATGTAAATAAATGGTATTGGAGAGGCCTTGCATGTATGAAGATTCTTGGCCGTTTTGAATGTAGTGTGTATATGGCAAGCAAAACCAATCTTTTCCTTCTTTCGCTCTCCCTCTCTTTTATATATATACACATATAATTTTATTTCTCTGATCAGGAAAGTCCACATTTGGCTGGAACTGTTAACTGGGGCACAGCAACTGTTGTTGGAGTGTTTGCAGGCATGTTATATGGTGGCAGCAAGGAGGCAGCTGCATCAGTGGTGAGTTAATGCTTGCGAAAGACACCACTATTCTTTCTCTTGGCGACTCATAATACTATTTCATTGCGACACCCATCCATCATCATTGTACTGCTCTGAACGCATATTAAGATGGGGACTAGATTTTGTGGATACTGATACGAGTATATGTACTTTAAAAAACCATTAAAAGTTGTGGAATTTGAAACTATCAATATTAACTTAAATTCAGTTAAGTTTCATATTTGTTTACCTTAGTTCTTCAAGGACTTGGTACTGCGTCGGTACACCTATAATAAGGTATGGAAGGGACAATGAACATTTTTTATGTTAAAAATTGCAAGTGAAATTCAACAAATAATGTTTTCGGCTTGTATAATGAGTAGAAGTGACGGGCTGTATGAAACCTTCCCCTCATGCAGTGGTAATGTGCTTAGTTTATAATACTGTAAATTCTGCATGCTCCTAGTTTTACTCAGATGTGGACATTTTTGTAGTCATTAATGAACTATACTCAACTCTCTCTCTCCTGCATTTCCTGCTGGCGGCAATGGTTTATTTTGATTAGGGGAAAGAGGGATTAACTTATTGCATGTTGAATAGTATTTGTTCTGGAACTGCCCTCCTTATTCTGTAAATCTTCTTCCATCCTTTTTGTCTGGATTTTTGCCTGGTAACATTTTATTTGCTCATGCAATAAATTTTCCTGTATATATGCATATATGCATATAGATAGTGACATCTGTGAGGAGTTAACCACTATTTCAGAGCAAGGATGCAGAAGTAATGTTGAAGCTTGGGAGCACTCCAGACAAGCGTGAACAATATCGATTGATGAGAGATGCAATGGAGAAGAGGTTTGTCCGAGTTACTCGTGGTTCAATAGTTGGTGGAGTGCGCCTTGGGATGTTCACTGCTGCATTTTATGGTTTACAAAATCTGCTGGCTGAGAAACGTGGTGTGCATGATGTTTTCAATGTTGTAGGAGCTGGCTCAGCTACTGCTGCTACATTTGGTTTAATTTGTAATACTTCATATCCCATGCATCAGACTTGTTTTACTTGCTGATTTTTGGAATTTGGTTCACTAATTCATCAATAACTTTCATATGGTAAAAAGGTTATCTTTATTTTAATTTCCACTTCTTATGATTATTAAAGGCGTTTCCAACCTTTTCTTTTTCCTAATTAAATTATATTTTAGTGCCTGGATCTCTCCGATGGCGTCTGAGGAATGTGCTGCTGGGATCAGCTCTGGGTGCAGCGTTTTGTTTACCTCTTGGTATTGGATCATTCCTTATCTTATATATTTGAAACTTTCTGTTAGGTGATTACTGGATGTGAAATATCTAATTATAGTGGATTCTTTTCTAGGTTTTCAGCCTCATTACTTATTGCAACATGCTATGTCATTCTTGAGTTATTCAAGAAAGAAAAACCTCTAATATTACAGTTATACATCTTGTCATAGGGTGGATTCACTTGAAGCTTATAGAGAAAGCAAATGAAGGAAATCCTGATTTGAGTGGGAGTGGAGACGCAAAGAGTGGTGTTGGCGCTGCAATTGAGAGGCTTGAAGGAAATCTGAAAGCCGAGTAAGTAGAATTATCATTTTCTGTGGAGTGTTACCTCCTGATTTTGCAGTGAGTTGAAAGAGAGAGTCGTGCTAACAGCAGCAGCATCAAACAAGATGGAGTACATTCGCCAAGCATCTGTTTCTTTTTCTCTTGCAGTGGCCCATAAAGAATGAATTAAGACTGGAATATACTCCATGCATCAGCAACTTTTGTTGGTTGCTTTTGAAGAATTTTTGGATTAATAAGCATTCATCATATTTTATATAAAAGCAATGTGCTTTGGATGCACCGAGTGATAATTAATTAAACATTCTAACGTTTTAGCGTGTTGTTTGTTTTTTTTTTTCTCGTATAAATAGCCAGCTACGCATAGGAATTCTCTATAAGCCTATTTAAGCGGGCTTATTAGTCTTTTCTTTATTTTGCTGCTGCTGTGCAATCTATTATGTTCTCGACTTCAAAGTCTGACTTCATTTGATTTTTTCAGATCTAAAGCTGGGTGACTTTTAAAAGCTCCAAAAGACAACACTATTTTTCATTCAGCCTCATTTCAAGTAAAGGATAATTTAAATTCCGTTGCCACAACAGCCGAGTGAAAGAATACGAATAATCATAATGTGTCATAAAAAAACATGATCAGCCCGTACCTCAAATATTTCACAGGTTGACTAATTACACAACAAAATTTTATGTTCGATCCTAATGGAGGCTAACTTCTCAAGTTTTCCTTGGAGTATTTTGCAATCTTTCTCATCCATCTTGGTATCATTTGATTTCTCTCAACGCTCCTCAACCTTTTCAAGAGGAATTCAGGAGAGATATCTTCATAAAATAATTAGGCCTCTATTTTGAGTTTTCCCCTGTCCATCTAGTGGCCATAACTTTGAAAAAACGAGTTGAAACTGGTTCACGGATCTCCTTGGGTATGAATTTAGTTGTTACTCTTTGTCTGCAATTTAATGAAAAGTCAGCGGATCTCAAATTTGGTTTAGATCAAGAAAATAGACCAGCACTTTGACTTAAATTAGTTGTTACCATCATTGTGATTTAGCAACGAGGTGTTGTCTCGTCCTTTCTTCACCATCCTTTTTACTGCTTCAGCTATCATCCCACATAAAGGTGAACATGAACAGAAAAAGTACTCTTAAGATAATTGATAATTATTAAACCCATTCATTATTCAAAGTAAAAAAGAGAAAAAGGCCTCCAAGATGCTATTAGTTTCCTCTCAGTGGTTACCTTTAGATTTTCTTTTCTTTTTAGCCCTCCTCCTCTTCCTCTCTTCCTGTGTAAGTTCAGCTTCTTCTTTAATGTCCCCTTTGCCAGAGAAGACTTCTTCAGGCGCCAGCATGGCTGCATCTGAAACTGCCATTGGTGCAATCTATTCATGGAAGAAACCACATGCATCAGTAAATCTTTAAGTCATAAACAAGTTCGGACCAAAGATAATAAGGAAATCTCTTTACCTCCTCCATAGCAAGAGCAGGGACATTTGCTTGTATTGACATGTCTTCTATAACCTATTCAAGACAATGTACAATAGATTAAATGAAATTAAAGAAAAAAAATCATTATAAAAAGCATGTTATAATGGTTGAGATGCGTACAGGTTTTGGAGCAAAGTGGAAGTGAGATAGAGCATCCAGTTTCAAGCATAGTTTCTTAAACAGAACACTTGCCTAGCAAAGAAAATGCCACAAGTTTCAATGAATCAAAGATATGTTTTCAATCAAAATATATGGATCCACAACATATAGCTCTGGAGCCAGATGTTGAGGAGTCCATTCAAGACGTGGCAGTCAATGATAAAGGAAGAATAAAAGAACAAAATGGGTAAAGAATGCGACATAAAAGTCACCTCCTTCTTTTGTTCATCAGAGAAGGATAATGGAGCAGCAGCTGGGTTTGTCTTCTGAACATATTCTTCCTGTGAATGATTTTAAATGAAACAAGTTTCAGTAAACAGAAGTTCCATAAAGTGAGAGATCATTGCAATTGCCAACATTATGTGATCCAGATACAGAATTAAAAAACCCAGAAAAGCATCATTTTTGTGAGTGACAAACCTCATAAACTTCAGCAAGACCTTTCTTGCTCTTATTCTCATCCTGCGAATTTTCAGACCAAAAAAAAAAGCAGCTTCAACAATATATTCTCTACAATAACAGAAATTACAACTGGAAGTTAACAAACTACCTCTTTCACCAGCATAATGCTTACCAATTCTTTTAATTCTCTTGGTGCTGTAGAGGGTAAACTAGGAACCTTCTGAATGTCATCAAACTGCCCCTAGAAATATCACAAGATCTTTTAATTGTTAAGAAAGTTCCAAAGGCGAGTATAATCGTGTCCAACAATCTGTACTAAAGAGCGACTGAAGGAGCAGCGTGCAATAAAAAGCATAGGCGAGTTTCATTCAACACATTCTCAAGTTCACATCTAGTTAGCTACGGCGGGTGTGTGCATCAATTGGTTTTCTATTAGCAAACGTTAGGCAGCATAATCAAGCAGTTTACAAGCTACCAATCAAAATATATGATCCTGCATTAACCCAGGGAATTTTTGAAACTCATTTGGAAATTCAGCTGGCAAAATATGAATTTTACCTCAATGATCCTATTCTTAATCATATCTTCGAGTGATGCAGTAACCTCCTCTGTGATTACAGGAGCAGGCCTAACATTGTGCTCAAAATCCAAATCTACTTCTAATGCACTGTTCTTGGGCCTGCTAGCAGCTGTCACCTGTTATGAAAGACCATAAATAATAAAATCAAAATCACTATTTAATATGAGGATCTGATTTGTATCCAATTCCAATAAACACGTTTAATGCAATGCATTTTGGACTACAGAAGTAGAAATAACCAAGTCACCTCTCCTTGCATTGTCCAAGATTTTGGCTCCAAATTTGCTTTCTCCATCTGCTCTATCTCAGACCGAAGCTTCTCAAGTTGTTTTTCATGGGTAGAAAGACCACCCTTTTTCTGTACCAAAATAAATAAATAAATACTGAAAGGAAGGAATTGAAAAGGAATTTCATAATAGTTTTGCCTTTACATATGCGTGTTTTCATAAACATAAAATTGTACTATGATGACACCACAAAAAATTACCATTTCCATTCAGCGTAAGTAGCTACATAAACTGAATATATTACCTCATCTACCACCCTCACACCCTCTTTATCATCTGAGCCTGAGTCTTCATTGGACTCATTATCTAATTGGGATTTTCTTTTTGGAACTGCCTTCTTTTTACCACCAAAGAAGTCTTCATATCTAAATATCAAAGATACAAATGAATCAAATAATTTGCAAAAAATTACATATTTAAACTTTCAAGTAACAATCACGGATGTGGTAAGAACACAATGGTGGCAACGATGGTACTTAGGTGAAACAACAAAAAAATAAATTGAGAACTAGCAAAAGACATAAAACGTGAATCAGTGTAACGCTGAAGTCTGGATTTAAATCACAGTTTCAGTTTTGGTGGTAATCCAAGGTGAACCATCAAGTTACAGTTTGTGGCTATGATAGTCAAACTGTATCTGTGACACCCACACTTGGGGCCATCATATTCTATTCAAAATAATAATGAACCATAAATTTAGAATTTTGTATGTATTTTTTGATTTGTCTGCCGCTTTTAATTTAAGCTCAAACTTTATGATTAGTAGCGATTGCAGCTAGACTAAGAGTGATCATGTGATATGTAACAATGTTGAGATGGCAATGCAGAGATATGCCAACATTACTAGGCAAACCAGACCGGACATGGAATTGGTTTCCACATGCGCAAATGATGGGCCTTAGGCATCGTAATGGCGATGATACAAGAAAAATGGAAAATATCGGTTTTATAACATCTTATACATCTAACATAATATTGGAAATGATATTCTACCAGATACAGATAATTCATAAGATCAAAAGAAAGCAAATTTAATGAAATTAGTACCTTGCATTTCCCAACTTGTCTGCATCTTCATCTCCATCATCAAACTGCAAAATCACAATTTGGAACGAGAAAATATAAACAAATGACCGACAGCAAACTTATCATAATATAGGCTAATTGTGCTTCTGTTTGATTAGAATTTTTTACGGACTCTAAAATCAAAACGAACCAATTCCCAAAGAAAAAGTAGGAAATTCCAAATAAACCATGCATGAATCACCTCATCGTCCTCTTCCTCATCTTCGTCATCCTCCTCTCCTTCTTCAACTTCATCTTCATCCTCTTTGTCTAGTTCATCTAAATATTTCCGCTCGTCCTTCTTCTTCTTTCTATCTAATCCATATTCCCTGGCCTCATCGTCCTCCAAATACTCTTCCAATTCTTTTATCTTCAAAAACTTATCCTCTATCCCTCCTTTCACTTTCTTCTCTCCCATTTCTGTATCCTCATCTTCACTATATTCATCCTCAATTCCTTTTTGTCCCTCTTCTTCTTCCTCCTCTTCCTCCTCCACATCATCATCATCATCATCATCAAATTCATCCATATCCATGTCATCATCATCAAAGACATTAGCTTCCTTCTCCTCCAAGACCTTCCTTTCCTTTTTTGGAACCTCATTCTCTTTCTTCTCCTTCAGCACTATTTTGAGTTCCTCAGGATGCTTTTCCATGTGCTTGACTTGGCGGCGGAGGTTGGAGAGAAGAGGCTGCGATACAAGGTCAATTTGCTGCCAAATCTGCTCCGCGTGAAATCCATCAACTAAAAGTTGATCGAACGGCGATTTGGGGACGTAGGGCTTGAGGGAAGAAAATAGGTGCTGAGACGCCGTCCGCGCCGTCTCGGATAGTGTGGCAGATGGTACTAGCCATGACGGAGGATCAGTGGATTTCAGTTGGTGAAGGGCTTCCATAGCCGTTTCGCTTGGTTTCGCCATTCCTAGAATTGATCGACCTCTGTGTGACCTTCTGTTCTGTGGTTTAAAGCTCTAATTGGGGTGTTAGGGTTTTAGGCTTTGGCAGGAGGTTTTATGTGGGGTCTGAATGCAAATACAAGGAAATTCTTGGTTAATTAATGGTTATTAATAAATTAAGTGTCATATTCGTTATTATCTAATTTTTATCATTCTTGGAGGCTGAAGAGCGAGGCAAATTACTCCTGAGATTCAATGGTAATCATAACTCCTCTCTTATTGAATGCTATTGATTAGTGTCTGGATTTTTTAATTTCTGGTAAATTATTTAATTATCCTTAATATTTTTTTATCAAATGTAAAGAATTAAATAATTATTTATGATTTATTTTAAAAATAAGAGAAAAAAAAGATAAATCGAGGTGTAAGAATTTCTATTTTTAAAATTAATTATGAATTTCCTATATATCTTCCATTAATATTTTGGTGCAATTTAAATATTTATTTTTAATGAAAATATAAAAGTTAAATTTATAAATGAATTCTATTTAATTTAAAACTAACTTTTTAATAAGGCACCAGTTTATTTTTCCAGAGGAAAACGTAAATTACATACAACAACCATTCTCATTTCGATGTCCATAAATGGTGCCAGTTTTACCAAACAGAAACAAACAACCTCTTAACCGTTCAAAACAGAGAGCAAAAGACAACTGAACTGATTCACAAATCCTCACGGCAACACTCTCTTTCAAACACAAAGGTAAAATCGCCTCTGCCACGGTGTCGCCTACACTCTCTGCAACTCCAGACTTTGATTCGCTCAGTCCCCCAATTTGATTCACTGCTATAAAACCATAATCTTTCTGTCTTTCCACTTTAAACGATATTCTCTCTTTAACGGGTGAGTCACTTTCTGGATTGATTTTGTAATTCTAAGCTATCTTTTTTTTTTTTTTTTTTTTTTTTTTCTTCTTTTAAAGGTGAGTCACTTTCTGGATTGAATTTTTGTAATTCTAAAGCTATCTTCTTTTTTTTTTTTTTTTTTTTCTGGGTTGACTGTTATAAATTTTATCAAGATTTTGATAATACCCAGAATCAGATGATCATATGGAGAGGGGGCCTCATGAGGACGTCTCTGGGACCACCTCTCCGATCTGTTCGATTCTTTCCCGCCAAAGCTGTCCGGTGGTGGCTTTTTTTTTTTTTTTTTTTTTTTTCTGGGTTGACTGTTATAAATTTTATCAAGATTTTGATAATACCCAGAATCAGATGATCAATGGAGAGGGGCCTCATGAGGACGTCTCTGGGACCACCTCTTCCGATCTGTTCGATTCTTTCCCGCCAAAGCTGTCCGGTGGTGGCGATGCATCTCCTGGATCGCTGTCGCAGTACTCCTCTTGCGGAGGAGAATCGGAGTTCGAGAAGTACTGCAGCGCAAACTCGGTCATGGGTACGCCTAGTTTTTGCGGCTCGTTTGTTCCTCTTAATGATTTTACAGAGTCTGAGTTTGGTTCGTTGAGAAGTTTGGATGGTAGTTTGGAGAATTTTAGTTTGGGAGGGAGGTTGGATAGGAATATGGAGGAGCAGAAAATGTCTGGTTCGGGTTTGGACTGCTTGAAAGGGAATATCAAGGAGGGAATTGCCGAGAATGGTAGTAATAGATTGGAAATGGATGATGGTGAAATTACTTGTGGAGAAAGTAGCAGAATGAATATTGGATTGGGCAGTAGGCAAGAGTGTGTTAATGTGGGACGTAATGAGAGTGACTTGAGTGGCAGTGATGTCAGAAATGGTTTGAATTTTATGTCAGCTGGGTTTGATTCAGAAAGGGAAATGGATGGGGAAGAAGATGGGACCTCATCTAGATATGAGCATTCTGAAGCTGATGATTCAATGTATGGCTGTGGTTCTGATGATGAGAATAGGAAGAGCTTGTACACCCCAAGGAACATACAGTATTGCAAGGAAGCAAAAGTTGAGAATGAGAACCCGCTACTTATCAATACATCTGTAGCCTTTGGGTCGGAGGATTGGGATGATTTTGAGCAAGAAACTGGAGGAGGTACTCTTTCTTCTCTGAGCTTGAATGAATTTCAGGAGCAGAAAGAACAAAACTTTGAAGCTGAAAGTAGCCTCGTAAATTCAAAGTCATTGGCCACAATAGGGGTGCCAGTTGTTGGTCTAAGAGAAATAGGGGAAGATGTAACCGCAGAACTTCCAGGCACCAGACTGGTTGAAGGCAATGAATTGGTGGAAGATTTCAATAGTTCTTCAGTAGTCCCTTCTAATTCTCAGAATTCTGACCTGCAGCAAGCAGAAAAGGTGAGAGACGTTCCTGTGGCTATTTGCCAGGTCCAAGGAACTCATGAAATAGTCATAGATGACAAAATTACCCCAATCACATCATCTCATTTACGAAGCTTTCATAAACTAGAGCAAGAAGATGTCAAAGACATTTCTGTTGTCTGCAGTTTGGTCGAAGATGCTAATGACAGAATGGAGCATTTTAAGAGATGTTCTGCCAGTGACATCTTTGAGATGAAGCAGGATCCATTTGTTGAAAAAAATCACATGGGGTTTGGATCAAATGTCGTGGATTGCAGCATGGAAAGGGAGGGTCTGTGTGAGAAATCTGTGGATATCATTCACGTTGATGGTGGTAAAGTTTTGGAAAAGCAAGAAACTCAGAGTTTAGAATTAAAACCAGATCCCCTTTCTGACTCACCTAATCAACTCTGTTCCCATCCGACTGAATATTTTGACAATGGAAGTGCAGAGTTCATTGAAGACCATAAACCAAATTCAGCGAGATTGTTGATTGAAAGTAACAGGACCAGAACAATGAAAAACACTCCTACATCTGTGGATCTTTCGGAAGACCATCCTGCAACAGTTAAGGTCAGTGTCTGTAAGTAGCTAAGTGGTAATTTTGTGGTAGGGGTTTAATTCACTCAGTCTCTTTGCTAGTGATGTTTATTATTAAATATTTCTGAAGCTTATGCATTATGAAATTAAATCATGTATGTTTCATATCATGTTATACCTTTTCTCAGATAGACTATCATGCAAACATATGGAAAGACTCATTTAGGTGGGAAAATATGGAACTTAGATATGCTGCAATACTTACAACATGTATTATTTTGGACTCTGGCTATCTTTCTGAGTATTTCTGTATATTTGATCATTGATCTCGTCAAACTTTCAATGGATATCATTCAGAACATAAGCACACATCCATGAACACCAGTATAAAATAACCCATAGATGTGATTAGGTATTATCAAGTTTTTATAAGTATGATAAAATAGTATGTTGTCTATTATTTTGCTAACTGATAGCATCTATCTTGGCCATCTGGAACCTCAGTGAGTAATTGGAGGGCGGCTTGTCCTGTATTATAGCATATGTATGCAAGCAAATGCGGCTCACTGGAGTCTTTGAATTAATATGCATCAACTTTCAGTTCCAAGAGTATTTTTACTACAAATTTGGTTCTTTTCTCAATGGATATTTATTTGTCTTGTGGCTTTTTTAGTTGCATCTGAAATTTGGCACTCCATGCCTTTTGGCAGGCCGACAAAGTTGAACTTGATGAATTTTATGATGAGATTGTCAATGAAATGGAAGAAATTTTGCTCGATTCTAGCGAGTCTCAAGGGGCTAGGTTTCCTCAGGGTAATCGCATGTCCCAAGCTCAACTATCTTTGCCTGGAAGAGATGGTGGGTCAACTGCTTCCACTTCTGGGGCAGGTGACGCCTTCCCTCAGCCACTTAGAATTGATGGGATTGAAGTAGTCGGTGCCAAGCAGAAGAAAGGAGATGTCTCACTTAGTGAAAGGTTGGTTGGAGTAAAGGAATTTACTGTCTACGTAATAAGAGTATGGAGTGGCAAGGATCAGTGGGAAGTTGAACGCAGGTATCGTGATTTCTTTACACTCTATCGTCGGCTAAAATCATTATTTACTGACCAGGGTTGGACTCTTCCACTCCCCTGGTCCTCTGTAGAAAAGGAATCAAGAAAAATATTTGGGAATGCATCGCCAGATGTTGTTTCCATGAGAAGTGTTCTTATTCAGGAGTGCTTGCATTCAATTATCCATTCACGTTATTTTGCTAGTCCACCAAGTGCATTGCTATGGTTTTTATGTCCTCAAGATTCACTTCCTAGTTCCCCTTCGTTACAAAAACCGGTGCCTTGGTCTGTATTCTCTAATAGAGGAGGAGAACCAGGAAACATATCCACTTTAGGGAAGACAATATCACTTGTTGTTGAAATAAGAGCATACAAATCTACAAAACAGTTGCTTGAAGCACAACATTATACTTGTGCTGGATGCCACAAACATTTTGATGATGGTGTAACGCTAGTGCGGGACTTTGTGCAAGTACTTGGGTGGGGGAAGCCTCGACTTTGTGAATACACCGGTCAATTGTTTTGTTCTTCATGCCATACAAATGAAACTGCAGTTTTACCTGCAAGAGTATTACATCACTGGGATTTTAGTCATTATCCAGTCTCGCAATTGGCTAAGTTGTACCTGGATTCTATACACGAGCAGGTAACTCAAGAACTGACACTTTTTGTTTGTTGTCATCTGTGAATTCTGTGTGACTGGATAGATATTGATTGGATGAGCAAGTGCCACATTTGGTTTGTATATTGACTGGATAGGTTACTGGAAAAGGGAAAGTATATTGACATTAAAATAAATAGTAAGTGGATTTTTCCCAGTCTTTGGGCTTGCTTGCATAAACTTAATGGTCCAAACATAACTCAAATATCTTTCTTTTTTCCTGTTCACATTTGGTTTAGACTATTGTAAATTGATGAGTTTGAGCATTCTTGTACTCCATGGGATCCATGATATGGCTACATACGTAGTGGAACTAATTTGATTTGCTAATTTTATCTTAATTCTGCGTTGAAATGATCTGCACATGCATTTGTTATCGATGATTCACTGGGTGCATATTGTTACATTCTAGTTAAGCTTAACAATCGCATTTTGTTCTTGTCCGAGGTAATTTGAGATGTACTAATGATTTTATTTTGCAGCCGATGCTTTGTGTGAGTGCAGTTAATCCATTCCTATTCTCAAAGGTCCCAGCCCTGCAACATATTATGAGTGTCAGGAAAAGAATTGGAAGCATGCTTCCATATGTTCGTTGTCCTTTCCGGAGGACCATCAATAGAGGACTTGGATCTCGTAAATATCTTCTTGAAAGCAATGATTTTTTTGCACTCAAGGACCTGATTGATCTCTCAAAGGGGGCTTTTGCAGGTTAATATCTCTCATTCTGATAATGCCAATCTGAAGCTTTTCCTTGCAATCTGCACCGTAGGACAGTTTTTTCCAATACATACGTCTGTTCTTTTGATATCTTCATGATTGAGTTCTGCATTTTTCTTGTTGTTAGATGAAGTAACTCTATAGAACTTGCATTTGAATGTCTGAGCTCTCTGTATATCAAACTTCTAATTATTCTTCCTACATACGTTTCAGCATTACCTATGATGTTGGAGACAGTCTCAAGTAAACTTCTGGAGCATATAACAGATCAATGCCTTATATGCTGCGATGTAGGAATTCCCTGCAGTGCCCGACAAGCTTGTAATGATCCATCTTCACTTATTTTCCCTTTTCAGGTGAGAATTCATATATATATATATATATAGCCTGGGCAGTTCGCAAGGATTGGGATGTTACTTTACTGGATCTTCTAATTTGACTACATGTTACTCTTTGAAGTTCTTAGGGCCTGCCAATTGGAACATCTAAACCAATGAGCAAGAACACCAAATATTGGATTTTTTGTGAACCATAAGATTTTTTATATCCTCCATCAGGAAGTTAGAGTTCATAATCTATGCTTTTCCAAATAAAGCTCAAAGCTCCCTTTAGAATTGCTGTAGTTGACTATTGAAATGTGGACAAGTTAACGATAAGTGCAAACCGGAGTTTTAATAAAAAAAAATAATTGAAATTGGCAGATTCGCATACGTACTTTTGATTTCTATATCCAGTGCCATGAGGTTAATTCTGTTGGCAGAAATCATTGTGTTGGCATGTCATTTATTGTCATACTTTTTATTTCTCTTGAAATTTCAGTTACATGTATTCTGATAGTAGAAAACCAATAATAAACAGGAAGGTGAGATCGAAAGGTGTAAATCTTGTGAATCCGTATTCCACAAACCTTGCTTTAAAAGACTTGCAAAATGCACTTGTGGGGCAGTTATTGGAGAGGAGAAGACCATGGAGGCTACTAATAAGCTGATTCGTAAGGCTAGTGGCCTGCTAGGAAGGAGATCGAGCTCTGGTTTATCAATGGGATTTCTCTCTGGACTATTTCCTAGGGCAAAACCAGAAACGATGAACGAGCTCAAGGATCATGACACTGTTATTTTAATGGGTTCTTTGCCGAGCACTTCCCTTTGATCACCTGTAATTGAAATGTACCATTTGTATATTGTCTTTTGTTGTCTGAATAACCAGAAGCTGCCTACGCCATTGTAGCAAAAATTTTGAGGCTGGGTGAGGGTATTCTCCTTTTTCCCCTTCAATTTTGGGTGTATTCTTTGTAAAATATATTATCAATATCATTGTTTTGTGAAAGTTGACTGATTGTTTCACATGCTGATTGTTCAAAGCAAGTTATCCTGATAAATCTTTATTGTGGAATTAAAAGCAGTAGCTCAAAAAAAAAAATCTCAAAATAAAAATGCAGTCGGTAATGTTATCCCTGAATCAGAATTTGTAATAGTTCTCTTCCGATAGGTTATATACACCCTGTGGGAAAGAGAATCCCTTTATGGATGTGGACATGTGTTTGTATTAATTTAGAACAGGCTAAATTAACTAAGAAAAGTTTCTGTTTATTCTCCTTCTTGGGAATGAGTTGAAGAAGAATTGTTTCCATCAACTCAAAGTGGCAAATAAGATGTGATAACTCAGATATATTATCCCACCAAAATCCCCAATGTTTATGATTTGAGTGGCACTAGAATCTCTTTTAAGAAAAAAGTTCATGGTTAGTTCAGTACTTTTCTTCATTACAAAAATAATAATTTTTATGTGGAATGTCACTCAGACCAAAATATTATATCCAATAACAAGAAAATAAAATAATAGTAAAGTAGAAGTATAAAATTGAACTGAGACCAATTATAATTTATTTATTTTGAATTGTTTACAATAGTTATCTTTACTTAGTTTCAACCATATATGCTACTGTAACAAATGGGTACACCAGCTCAAGATTGCTGCTTTTCCTCTTGGACCATTGTGCACCTTCCAAAACTTGGTTAATGAAATGATTTTGTTTTTTCTTATCTTCTATCAGCTTTGTTAAGACAAAGGATGTCTTTAATCTCTTATATTACCTCTGGTATTCTGTTCTGTTCTTCTCTATTCTATTTCTGCAACTTCCTATGCTACTGATAATTTCATACTGGTTTACTGTTACTTCCGACATCGGTAAGACTCAGGGAACCATCTTGAGAGTAGAGTGTGTTTCAGCTTTATAATAAAAGCAAAAATGCCATAGCATGGGATATGCATCACTGCCACAGAGAAGTACCTTCAAGAAACAGAAAGATTACAACCAGATTAGTAAGTAATAAATCAATGCTTAATTAAAAATTAAGCTTCAATTACTATAAAGGATCAAATTTTATAATGATTATTGAAAAAGAAGCAAAAATATAAGCCTCAGTTATATGGAGATCATCCTCACCATAAAGGGGCATATGGAGATGACAAGTCAAGGAATGGATATGGCCACCTATTTAGAAGATAACAGAAAGTTTAGTGTTAATGGAACAATGAGAACACCTCAAAAAGAAAAATTGAAGTTTGATAATGAGAAGAAGAATAAAAAAGAGGAGTTCTACCATAGTCTCTGAAAAGCATGGATAATCCACTGGAATAGGACATATGCTATTGTCCATATGAAGAAATATGCGATTCGAAACCAAGGAAATCGCTGAAATAAAAATTCATGAAAAAGAGTTAGAAAGCAGGAATTCTCATGCATTATAAAAAGAGTTGGAAATGGTTGTACTGTGACTGAAACAAAAGCAGCTTACCAGGCAATTTAAGGCTGTATCACCAATTAGGAAGATAGCATTCAAAGAATGCATACTTATAACCAGCTGCAACAAAAAATAAAAACAAACATTTTGTTTGGATAACGAGGAATTAAAATTACTAGGCAGAGAATTGAATGAGTTGGTTCTAAAATGATACTCACTGCAGTTAGATGGTAATCCTTGATTGCTAGAAATGGAACAAGTACAAACCAAAATACACAATCTGTGAGCATAACAGCCCCTGCATTCATCTGTTTCCATGCAAACAAGTAAAAATGTCAGTACTATTTTGTTTTCAAATAAACTAAGAAAACAACATTTGGCGCTGAAGCGACAAAAAACTTTGTCCATACCTGGAAAACTATTTGAAAGACATAAACCCATTTCCCAGCAGGTTGCCTCATGTCAACTTGTTCATTAGAAGCATTGGAAGTTTCTACAGGTGGAGGAGTAGCAGAGTTTCCTAGTTCTGAATCAACCTCTACATTACCAACCTTATCCCCACCTACTCTTTTGTGATATAGGTAACATCCGCGAATGGAGAGTAATGATCCAAGCTACAAATTGATTGTGATCAAATTATAAAGAATATAACAGAAAAAAAAAATGGGAAAAAAAAGGACCATTAAGCAATTATGTGCTTAAAAGCATTTTGAGGATGTCTTTTTAAGACATAATAACACTTACCCCAAAGTAAATGGTGACCAAAGTAAATGTCCACCTGTTCATTACCAAAAAAGCCGTCCTTCATCAGTCCAAGTTAAAATGATCAAATAGTGCTGTTTGAAACTGAAAGTTCACAACTTTTTTATCCCTCTTCAAGATTAAGAGTTTGTCATGCATTGAGGTTGAAACCGCTTTTTTGAAAATCACCATTATCAATGCTATTGGAAAAAGAAATGTGCAGTTGCTATTAATTTGCTATTTTGAAGGTTTCAGGACTAGAATATATGAAAATGCCTTGAGAATAAATTTAATAACCCAAAAACGTTTTCAATGTAGTGTTTTTCCAACAACGGCTCAAATAGCAATACTAAACAGACCCTAAATGAAATTTAAGCAGGGGATAAGACAAAATTAAGAAAAAGCTCAACTTACTGAGTATAGAAGTAAAAGATGCTGCCTCCATCCACAAAAGTAATCACAATCAACAGCACCACAAGAGAAAGGAAAGCAAAAACTCTGAAAACTAACAACCAGGCAGGGTGGATTCCTTTGAGGCATGTTCTCCAGGCCTCATCATCATATAAATCAGCTTCTGTTTCTTGTTTATTCTCTACACTACCTTGTTCCACTTTGGAAAATTTTTCATTTTTCAATATAAGAATTGAAGCAAGAATCATGGAGATCAAAACCCAAATGGCACAAAGGAAGAACCTCCAGTTTAGCCAGTAACTGGCTACGGTTGTGTTAGCAGTCATAGCTGGATGCCAAGTGTTTTGAAGGCTTCCTGTTATAAAACTCATTTTGTCACTTCTACTACTTCTCTGATTCTGCACTCAAGTATTATATTTTTGATAATCTGGTATAGTCAATGAAATATTTTCAAATCATCACAAGAGAAAGAATATTGGCTAGCACAATTCAAGAAATCGAAAAATGAAGATATTGACGATTAATTTTCCAGAGGGAAAAGAATGAAAAAACTTGCGTATACAAGAAGCGATGAAGGAAATAACAGCTGAAAATCGAAATACTAACCAATTGAAAATAAAGTTTCAATAAAAAGCAGTGCAACTATATGAAATCTGATATACATATCAGAAGAAGAAATACTGAATAAATTGGGTGAGAAGTGAAACTCAAATGCTGAAATGTGCTTAAGATTACACATTTATGAAACCACATAGACCCAGACAGGGTTTACGCGTGAAATTAGAAAAGAGAAGTTATTATATGGGTCTCAAGTACTAAAAGGAAAACATTGTATCACAAGAAAACAGAGAATATTGGACCAATGGAAAATTCAAAACATTAAAAACCCAGGTTGATTTTGACCCAAAACTAATCAAAGTTCCAAACTTTAGGTGGGTTCTTGCAGAGGAAGAAAAATTTCAAATCTCTTATATTAAAAGATAAATGGCACACAAAAGAAGCAGCTAAATTCTAAGGAAAGGAAAGGTGAATACTCACAAGGGAAAGCAAAAGACAATGTGATGGTGTGCAAGAGCCTACAAGGAGATGCTTTGCTTCTTTGTTTTGAATAGAAAACTGAATAAAGAGGGAAAAGAAAAGAAAGATATATATAAATGGCACACAAAAGAAAGCAGCTATTCTAAGGAAAGGAAAGGTGTGAATACTCACAAAGGGAAAGCATATAAGACATGGTGATGGTGTGCAGGCTACAAGGAGATGCTTTGCTTCTTTTTTTTGAATAGAAAACTGAATAAAGGAGGGAAAAGAAAGAAATGATTATATAATATATATATATATATATATATTTATATAAAAGATAAAATAAAAGGGAAGGCTGCTTTTTGAGCCCAACTTCTTCTTTTCTTTTGCTTTCTCTTTCCTTCTCTTCTCTCTCTTTCTCTCTTCTTCTTCTATCTCTTTCTCTCTTTTCTCTTCTCTCTTTCTTCTTGTCTTTCTCTCTCTTCTTTCCTTTCTCTTCTATTCTCTCTTCTTCTCTCTTCTTTCTCTCTTCTCTCTTCTCTCTTTTCTTTCTCCTCTCTCTCTCTTCTTCTTCTCTCTTTCTTCCTTTCTTCCTTTCTCTCTCTCTCTCTTCTCCTTTTTCTTTCTCTCTTCTTCTCTCTTCTCTCTCTTTCTGCTTCTTCTCTCCTTCTCTTCTTTACTCTCTCTTCTCTTCTCTCCTTCTTCTTCTCTTTCTCTCTCTTTCTTCTCTCTTCTCTTTCTTTCTCCTCTTCTCTCCTTCTCTTCTCTCTTACTCTTCTTCTCTTTCTTCTACTTTCTCTTCTCTCCTTCTTCTCTCTCTCTTCTTTCCCTCCTCTCTCTTCTCTTCTTTTCTTCCTCCCTTCTCTCTCTTCTTGACTCTCTTTTCTTCTCCTTTTCGCTCTTCTTCTCTTTCTTTCTCTCTTCTTTCTCTACTTTCCATCTTCTCTTCCTTTCTTTTGCTTCTTTCTTCTTCTTCTTCTCTTTTCTTCTCTTCTTCTTCTTTCTCTTCTTTCTCTTCATCTCTCTTCTCTTCTTTCTTTCTCTTTCTTCTCTCTTTCTTTCTCTCTCCTCTTTCTCTCTTCCTTTCTTTCTTTCTCTCTTCTTCTCCTCTTCTCTTCTTCTCTTCTCTTCTCTCTTTCTTTTCTCCTCTTTTTCTCTCTTTCTCCTCTGTGCTTCTTCTCCCTCTTCTTTCCTCTATTCTTCTTTCTCTTTCTTTCTCCTTCTTCTCTCTTTTCTCTCTCTCTCTCTCTCTCTTCTTTCTTTCTCTTCTTGTTCTTTTCTTTTCTCCTCTTCTCTTCTCTTCTCTCTTCTTCTCTTTCTCTTCCTCTCTCTTCTCTCTTCCTCTTTCTCTTCTTTCTCTTTCTCTTCTTCGTTCTCTATTCTTCTCCTCCTTTTTCTCTTCTCTTCTCTCTTCTTTCTTCTGTCTCTTCTCTCTTCTCTTCTTCTCTGTTCTCTTCTCTCTCTCTCCTCTTCTTCTACTCTTCTTCCTTCTCTTACTTCTCTCTCATTCTCTCTCTTTCTTCTTCTCCTCTCTTCTTCTTCTCTTTCTACTTCTTCTCTCTTCCTCATTCCCTCTCTTTTCTCTTCTTTCTTCTTTTTCTTTCTTCTCTTCTCTTGCTCTCTTCCTTCTCCTTTCTTTCTCTTCTTCTCTCTTTCTTTCTTCTCCTTCTCTACTTCTTTCTCTCTCTTTCTTCTTTCTCTCTCTTCTCTCTTCTTCTTCTCTTCTCTCTTTCTCTCTTCTTTCTTTCTCTCTGTCTTCTTCTCTCTTTCTGTCTCCTTTTTCTTTCTTGCTTCTCCTTCTCTCTATTCTTCTTCTCTTTCTCTCTTTCTTCTCTCTTCTCTCTCACTGCTTTCTTCTTCTCTCTTCTCTCTCTTCTCTCTTCTTCTTCTTCTGTTTTCTTTCTACTCTCTTCTCCTTCTCTCTCTTCTTTCTCTCTCTCTTCTCTCTTTCTCTTCTTTTTCCTTCTCTCTCTTTCTCTTCTTTCCTTCTATCTTTCTTCTTTTTATATAAAAGATAAAATTAAAAGGGAAGGCTGCTTTGAGCCCAAGCTTCTCTGCTTTCTTTTTCAATTATAATATCAATAAAATCTTGAAAATGCTTAGAGAATGTCTAATGTCTATGTACTGTCCTAATCTCTCTGTATGCATGCAAGTATATAATTCTTTATTAGGAAACATGCAATACAACTTCCTGTCTACTTTTCTTGCATTTCAGGCTTTTTTTAGTCTTTTCAAAATTTCTCTCATTTCCAAGAAAAAACAAATATTTCCCTTATTTTAGATATATTGTTTTGGGAGTTCAAGAATAATGGTCTTTGGTTCATTGTGTGTTGTGTGTTGTGTGCAGGTAAAGAAGGGAAAGAGTAACTGAGGGGGAAAGAGAAATGTTATAGTACATTGCAGGTCCTTATCTGGAAATACATACCCAATCCTTTGACCAATGAGTACTGATATATGCCAATGATAAGTTTTTCATGATTGATCAATTAACGTTAAACAGTTTTTGAGAAGAGAGAGTGTTCGTTTGATTGTAGGCAAGATTGGCCAGCTAATCATGTGGAAAGGCTGATTAGAAATTATGATGTTAGCTTTTAGCTTTTAGTTAAAGCTTGAGATCGGTGATACTCATTGTGTGGGTCCCATTTTATGACTCCTTAGTTTGACCTATAGCCTGTCACCCATAATTGTCACAGCTTCTTCTTCACACCAAGTTTTCTCTTCTTCTTCTTCTTCTTCTTCTTTTTTTTTTTTTTTTTTTTTTTTTTTTTTTTTTTTGTTAATTTGAAGGATTAATATATTCAAATTATCAATTTCATAATTTTAGAATAATTTTATTACTGAAAATTAATAGTTGTTGGCATAATTTATTTTGACACATTGATATTATTTTTTAATTTATTATTTAGATAAAAAATAATAGAAATCATCAAATTGAAAAATTACTCATTCCGTCCCATTTTTTTTGCATGATTTGACAAAACACACATATTAAGAATTTATTTAATAAAAGTTATTTTGCTTTATTTTACTCTTAACTCATCAAAGATATTAATAAAAATCTCTCATTTACTTAAGGATCATAAAGGTAATTATGGAAAAAATAATTATTTACATGTATAAATTTAGAAACCTTGCAAATATTTTGGAACATCTAAAAAAATGAATAACAGGCAAACAAAATGAGACAGAAAAAATATAACTAATTTTAGGATTAAGTATTTTCAGATCCCTAAATTATGACCAAATTGATACTTAGGTACATCAACGTTTGAGTAATTATTTTGAATGACTTAAATAATTTTATTGTTACACGGTCCTTTCATCTAAATTCCTATTTTTTTCGCTTATATAGGCTAAAAAGCAAATAATTACTGAAACATTGAGGGACCTAAGTGTTAATTTGGTCATAATTTAGGGACCCAAAAATATTTAACCCCCATTTAATATTCGCTTTTCACCCCATATAAATGAAAAAAAGGGTAAGATTTAAGATGGAAGGACCTTACAATATAACAACAGCATTATTTAGATCCTTCAAAATAATTACTCAAATATTAATTGACCTAAGTGTTAATTTGATCATAATTTAAGGCCAAAAATATTTAACTCTTAATTTTATATACATATTTTAAATAATTTTATTTTGGCGCATCAAATAAATTATATTAATATTTATTTATTATTTTATAATTTAAAATCATAAAAAATTAATTTCTCTTTTTTTCTGAAATATTTATTTCATAGCGCTATTATTTTTTGGAGAACAACTTTCTTTCTTTTAAACCAACCTAGTAGGTTCATCTTAATATATCCAACAAGGCTTTAGTTTTGCGGTGATACGTGGCTTTTAGTGATTGGTTTTCTTGCAATCACGTGGTTTGTTTTGAAAGGCTCGCGGCACGCGGGCCCAATTAGGAATCTTTTTTGGGTTCAAAAGCTAAGTCGCATCAGAAAAGAATAAAACGTGAAGCACCGGATTACGACTGGTCTTCTGAGGGCACTTGCAATTGATTCACCCGACGGTGACACCTATTACTTCTCAACTTTTTCACCGACGTTAATGGCTTTCTTTCCCTTTTTTTTTTTTTTTTTTTAACTTTTTCACCGACGTTAATGGCTTTCTTTCCTTTTTTTTTTTTTTTTATTCTTTTTTGTTACTGTCACCCCGCGCCGAATATGAAACAAAGAAAGAAAAGAAAAAGCAAGAAAAGGTAACTTCCCTTTTTTTTTTTTTTTTCTTTTTTTTACTGTCACCGCGAATATGAAACAGAAGAAGAAAAGAAAAAGAAAAGAAAAGTAACAAAAGGCAATGACAGAAATGACTGGGCAGGGAAGAGAAAATTTTTATTTTTTTAAAATACTATAATTAACTATTTTAAATTTTAAAAATACTCAAGGAAAATTTTAAATTTATCGTCGTATTATACTATAATTAACTATTTTATCTATTTATTTTTTTAAAATACTTTACCCTGTCTCTATATTTTTTATCATTATGCATATTGTCTTTTATAAAAAAATTCAATTTTTACCATTAAATGACTTGTGAAAAAACTTAAAATAACCTTAATTAAATGAAGAGAAAAGCAACAGAGTAGTTAATTTTAGCAGAATAAATTTATAATTTTCCCTAATATTCATCATTATTTTTCATCGACACTATAATTTCCTGCATTTGATTTCATTAAAAATCATTTTCTTCTCACATATATTTGATTTTAACTTCTCGAACAGTAAGCAATGAGCACTTAAAATGTATTTTATTGCGTAATGAACGAATAATATGTGAGAGTTGGAAAATCGAAGGAAACAATAGTGAAATGGCAGCCTCAAGAAAGTTTTTGAGGGACAGAGGATAAAGACAAGTTACTGTTGAGACAAACTTGGTGACAAAGCAAGAACAAGACTTTGAAACACGTTAGAAATTACTTTGTAAAGGATGCAACCTTAAATTAGTTAATTAATTATTGAGAATAAGAACAAAATAGGAATAGAATCGATTTGAAAGGAAGAGTATATATATTTTAATAATTAACACTATCATATACCAAAAATCAATTATTGGATGTTAAAGAATGGACGACATGATTGTAATATTATAGGCAAGAAAAAGAATTGGACACTAGGGATGTTACTAATTATGTATTGTACACATTGCATATTCATAAAAATGGGTCTAATGAAATATAGTTAAGGACTATTGATAATGCAAAAAAAGTATCAAGGGGACAGCAAATACCAAATATGAACAGAAAACATCAGAAACAATATCAATACAAACTAATAAAGAAAAAGACAGAGAAAATACCTTCCATGTCTGGTTATGGCCCACCAAAGAGGGGATCCCAAGTTTGGTCTGATGTTATGTTTAAATAATTACATGAAGTTATAACTTAGAAGTTATGTTTAAATAGACTGGATTTGCATAGCTGTGCATAAGCAAATTGCTTGCATGGTTTGTTGCCAGGAATTAAGCAGGGAAATACGCAATGTACAGCACAAACAATAGACAATTTCATGTGTTAGTAGTAACATTTAGCAGCAATGTAGCGTGGTAGGGTCTGGGTTTGGGAAAAAGAAACGTGTCTGCAGTTTGCTTATTAACTATAGCTTTTATATGGAAATTGAGGAGGATGCTTTCTCAATAAGACTAAACTCTTGGTTTTATGTAGATTTCACTCTTTTTTACACATTTTTTTTTTTTTTTACTGATTTATAAGCACTCGACACAAGCGTGATCATAGCACAATGATATACACAGTACCTGCTTTGAACTCCAATACATGAGATACCTCTTGAAAAACGAAAGATGCGTTTCAATTGAATAAATGATGCCTCGTTTGACACAAAAGAGGGGGAGAAGGGGGTGGATTTACTGTTTTGCCCGCTATTTACAGATGTGATAACTTAATGTTTATTTTTCTTTTTTTTCTTTTTGAGTTTTTTCCAATCGTTATATTTACATTGTTACATTCGTATATGCTACTCTAACAATGGTTACAGACCATTGTGTGTCTTCCAAAACTTGCTGAAATGATTCTGTTTCTTGTCTATTCTATTTCTGCAACTTCCTCTACATGATAATTCACATTTTCTTCAAGATGTTTTAAATTGGTTTCAGCTTAGCTGTCAACTATTGTTACTGCTTACAACCGTAGGACTCAGGGAACCATCTCGAGAATAGAGTGTGTGCGTGTGTTTCAGCTTTATGATAAAGGCAAATATACCATAGCTTGGGATATTGCATCACTGCCATAAAGAAATACCTTCAAGAAAACAAAGAGTGATTCAAATACTATGAAGGACCAATTTCAACAATGGCTATTGAAAATAAACCAAAATATAAGCATCAATTATATGGAGATCATCCTCACCATAAAGGGGCATATGAAGATGACAAGTCAAGGAATGGATATGGCCACCTATTTAGAAGATAACAGAAAGTTTAGTGATGACTGTTTTATTTGTAGGGAAGGAACAACATATAGTAACCAAATATGAACAGACAACAAATTAAAACCAGGGAGGAACATTGCCCTATGCAACAAGTTCTGAGATAGACTATTGAAATATCACTGTATAGACAAAGACAGAGAGAATGCCTTCCACATTTGTTTAGGCCCACCAAAGAGGGAATTCCAAGTTTGCTTAATGCTGAACATATGGTCCTAATATTATAGGACAAACAGGTCAAGTTATTGACAAAGAACTCTCGATGTTATTCTACACATAGCTTAGTCATGAAGTCATAGCCAATAAAACAATATTTGCTCCTCATTACGTTGCTAATCACTAAACCACTGAGTTGAAATAGGCACAGGGAATCTTCCTCTACTTTAGCCGAAGCTAATAGCCCCATGACATAATACCTGCTTTACAACTTCAACAATGAAAATTTTCAAATTTAAAGGACAAAATAAACAATTGGAAGGGTTCAGTGCAGTGCAGGATAAGACATTTGAACTCGATTACATGAGATGCATCTCAAAAAGCACATAACAATGTGTTTCAATTGAGTAAGTAGTATCAACTGTTAACTACATCTTGCAAGTAATAATAATAACCCTACAATTCATGCATTGAGCTTAGAGCTCATAACCAACCTTGTAAATGATTTACAACTCTAGTAATTTTGTTTTGTTTTAATATAGAGAATGTAACATAAATCATAGTAAAACAATTCATTATTGATTCATATTCCCCAACAATGGAGAGAAATTTACATTTACACAATAAAAATACACTACTTTACATTTCTTTTTTAACCATCCGCTTTCACATTGGCACAACACATAGCACAGATGCAGGTCCTCGTCTCGGAAAAGTGATTTTATAGTTCATGTCTCAAAAAGTGTCACTTTCGTCTCCTAGTATTGAGAGAGAAAATGGTGCAATAGCCACATTGAAAGTTGGTGAGCCTACCGTATCAATATGTTTCATCTCAAAGTCACCTTCCTGCAAATGAACTAAATTTAGAGGCATGCCTGTGGACGACCAACTCTCAAAAATTTGGAACTTATCATCACATAAAGAAGAATCAGAAGATTAAAAAAAATCAAATACAGATTAACATATTTTCACCAAAGAGACCCTTCTTTCCAAACACAATTTCCTCTTATTACTTTGAACCCATCAGACATTTTTAAAACAAAAAAAAAGGTTACACAAACAATATATACACACACACACACACACACACACACATATGAAACCAAAGTGTATCCATACTTTTCAGAAAGCAATTTGAATAAACTTCTGTAGTAGAGAAAAAACTGCATATTGAGCTCTTCAATAAATTGCACAAGGGGACAGGAGGCATGAAAAGCAAAGAAGAAAAATAAATTGGAAACTACTCATGGAAGTGAAAGAAAGGAAACCAAAGCTCACCATTCTGCCATCAGGAGTAGTTAATGGGCAAGCAGATGAGTATTCAAACCCTGTCTTAGGAAGTATAACTGGCTGTTCACCTATAACTCCAACACCCCTGTAAAATGGAAAATGAATACATGATCAAAAATTTGGAAGTCCAGCAAATATAATCTCAAGTCCACACTCACAGAACAATAAAAACACAGGTAGAGAATAAAGCATCTTGAGACTTGAATGCCTCCAGAATAGCAGATAATAGAAATGAAGTAAATAACTCACCAGACATTCTCAGTTTTTCCATTGGCATCAGTGATAATCCAATGTCTTCTGAGCAGTTGAACAGGACGATCTGAGTTATTAGTGATTCTTATTCTGTACGCAAAGAAGTACTGTCCCTTAGAAGGCTGACTTCTGCCGTCAATGTACACGCTCCTAACTTGAACCCTGATCCCCTGCAATGCATGAGATTTTGAGTTACTACTAATCTAATATCAGTGCATAGATTTTATCACTTGTCTTTATCCACCCTTGTAAGCAGCATTCTGCTGCACCTATCTAATTCTGTCTATACATAGACCAGCAGGCTAATAATCTACCAAATATGAAGTAGAGAAACCAAATAGAGACAAGACAGATAAAAGAAGAAGCAAAACCATCTGTACCCTACACACAGATTGCATAGACTTCAAAAAACTTTCCCAAATATTGACTATTTAATTTTCAAAAATATCACTCATGTCATGTTCCTGAATCATAGCCCCTTGAGAATACAAGCTCTTGATTTTTTAGAATGCCAGAAATGCCACTATCGTAATTATTCTAAACCATGGTTCTGAACAGGCCAACCTTAACTATAATCATCAAATATTAATATAACAGATGATCACACACTATGACAAATGATAATGGCCTTACGAAAAAAGAGGGAAACCAGATTAACCACATGAAATCAGTCATTCTGAAACAACAGCAATAACTGCTACTGTTGTACAGAATTCAGATTGTTGACATACCAAGGTTGTTGCATCACTCGAACATTTCAGGAGCGAATGTGGGGCGATTTCTTTCAGTTCATCACGATATCTAGCAGCATCCTGGTCCATAATTACCAAATAAAAAAAAGATTATCAAGAGAAAAATAAATTAAACAGCATCAAAAAAAAAAAAAAAAAAAAAAAACGATTTCTTTCAGTTCATCAGCGATATCTAGCGCATCCCTGGTCCATACATTACCAAATAAAAAAAGATTATCAGAAAAGATATAATTAACACAGCATCAAAAAAAAAAAAAAAAAAAAAAAAAAAAAAAATCACATCCAATAAAATGATTCAGCTGAATAATTTCTATATTAAAAAATTGAACCAACATAAGGATAATCAAGAAACAAAGAAGTGCACAGCCTATTATACATTGCTCTAATCCAAACAAAACCACGATGCAATGACCAGACTTAAATAAATGCAACTTTAGTTTAAACTAGTTTCTTTGAATCCATTGTTAGCCGCCTTTTCCCAACATCCATCGCATCCTCAATAGTTGAAAATAGAACACCATCGATTACGAAAAACAGAAAGTAACAGAAAGTCAGAAAGGATACCTCAAATCGTTCGTCACTGATGGCCTCCTTAAGCATCCTACGAAGTAGCAGAACTGGTTCCCCTTCCTCAAACGATTTCAATGAATCACGAAGTCTAGCAGCTTCTTCGTAATCCTTAAATAGCATTAAAAAAAAAAAATCTTAATAACTATACAAATAACGAAATGAGAAAAGAAAACAAAAGAGAGGGAGAGAAAAAAGGAGGCTAACCTCAGATTGGGCAGCAACTTCCATTTGCTGCTTCAACAAAGCATAAGTTTGAGTCCGCGACAAAAACGAACTTGCACTATGATCCGAACCCAAACCCGACCCAGAACTTGAGCTCGAACTTGTTCCTCCACCGCCATTTCCGTTTCTCTCCACGGAACACGCTACAATACGACATGTCCTCGCGGAATCCCCAAAATTTAGCCACGCCTTCCTCTCGAAACAGGAGCTACGAACCGGCAAGCGCGGACTTGCGCGGAAATCGGTAAGCACTTTAATACTAGAAAGCGAATGCATATTTTCCTTCACTTTTCCGAGAAAAGATAAAAAAAAATCTGTAACAATGGAACGTGAATTTGAAGCGAGAGAGATAAATGCGCATCTGTGACCGCGAGCGAATTTAGGAGCATTTAACCGTATATATTTTTGAGGTAGGAAGTGACTTAATTAGGCCCCGGTAGAGTGTTGGGCTTAACATTAGGGAAGGGTAAAAATGGGAGTTTAATAAAAATATGGAGAGGTAGGTGACACGACAGAGAAAACCAATGGAAGTGAATGAAACTGGTGGTAGAGTTGCTATTTTTGGTGCTTTTATTTTATGGGATAGAAGGTTACAACGTGTCGCTTATTCAAACTTTGCTTTCTAATTTTAAAAGAAAAAATTACTATCATCTTCTTATTCTTCATAATAAAAATTACTATATTATTAAGCATATGACAATTTCTGGAATTCAATAAAGTTTAGTAAACTTTTTAATTTAATCACAGTCGGTAGAAATTTCAATTAACCGTTAATTTCGTCAAGTTCGTGTTGAAGTTTTTTTCATATCAATAGTTAACTAAATTCTATTTAGGTTTGAATTTTATTAATTTCAAAAAAATAATTACTAATAATTTTTTAAATTAAAATATTTTGCTATCATTTTATTTATAATTATTTAAAAAATAATTAACACGTTAAATATTCGTACAAAGTTCGTTGATTAGAAGTTATCTAGTTTTTCTAGTATATCAACGTGAGTTAACTATATATAATTATTCTATTTAGGTTTTGAATTTTATTAATTTCCAAAAAAATAATTAACCTATTAACTGTGTTAAAATTAAGGAGATGATTTATGTTCTATCGTATTTATATTTATAATTAATTTTGTAAAAAAATAATAGCGTTTATTAGCCGAATATTTGTTAGATAATTTTATCACTTATTAATATTTTTATATTTAAAGGTAAATAAATAAATAATACTAGTTCACTTAAAGAAAATTTAAAATATATAAATTATAGTAAATTATAGATCATAATATATAGATTATAATATATTTTTAATAGCCATTTTACATTTTATCAAATCACTGATATTTATGAGCTAACTACTATCAACCATCAGCTATAAACTATTAATTGATATGAACATTTAAACAAAATGAGCATGAAAAAAAATAAAAGTATTTTTTATTTTATTTTTATATATCTCATACTTCTTTAATTGAATGTGTTATTTTTCTATTTTAATATGTTATATACATAAAAATCTTAATTTAATTTTTTATATTAATATTAATAATAATTTATCATATTTATCAATTTAAAAAATTATTAATAAAATTTTGATAAATTTAATAATTTTTTTCTAAAAGATATAATAACTTTATTAACTCAATGAAATAAATCCAATAAATAATGGAGAATATATTCTAGATATAAAAGCGAGCATGGAGGTAAGATACTGTAGCAAAAGCATAACACCTACATTAGCTTACCATCTAATCCAGATAACATTAACATCTCGACAATCATCTAAAATAGCTTTGCAATTTAAGATAGCTAAGTTCAAAGATAAGTTATAAATGCGCCGTTACATTTCAAATATAATATAACTATAAATTTATTAATATATTAGTAATAAATTAACTCTAATTGAAAGTTCCATCTATCAATTGCACCGCCAAACGATTCAACTTCAATAGCAATAACATTCCACTATTTAATATACAAAATAATTTATAATGTGATCAATGTCATATATCCATTTTCTTCATCGACACCCACCCACGTTTTTTTGAGAATCAATTCAAAAACGTGATTAACCTTATTCTCATTGGCGGACAAAAATAATTTTTAAAAAAATACTCATAAAATATTAATTTTTTTTTATTTTTACTTTATGAAATAGTAAAATTTTTCAATTTTGCCCCTCTTAACTTTTGATTTTTTTTTTTAGTCTCTCATAATTTTAATTTCTGGCTCTGTCACTGCTTATTTTCTTCTTAATAATCAAAGTTATTTTGCTCTCTCCAATTTAGCGATTATTCTTTTTTTTCTTTTCTTTTCTTTTCATTTTCATTTCAATCAAGTGATAAAGTTGATAATTTGTCTCACCAACAACTATTCTTGGTGCAATCTCCATCCATTTCAGGTATAAATATATAATAAAAAATCTGATATAATATAACATAATGCCTTGTACATGGATCAAGCACAACATCATTTTTTAATTATTAAGAAATTGTCAACTACTATTTCATAATGCGTTGCTTAAACTTGTGAGAGATGACTTGGTAATTTCTTTTTTTCTTTTTTTTTCGTCTACTAAGATTTGTATCATATTAAGAATGTCATTTAGCAAATAGTAATTTCCTCTTCTTCTCAAAAAAAAAAAAAAAAAAAACTTCTCAAAAAAAAAAAAAAAAAGCCAATTTCTTTTTTCCTGGTGAAAAGTCCTGAATGTATAAAATTAAATTAAGTCTCTTCTTTTAACCGTAATTTCTCTAATTACCTATTAAAATCACCCACACGTGTTTTGAAAGACGTTGAGTAAATTTAAAAAAAAAAAAAAAAAAAAGCAATTTCTTTTCTGGTGAAAAGTCTGAATGTATAAAATTAATAAGTCTCTTCTTTTACCGTAATTTCTCTAAATTACCTATTAAAATCACCCACACGTGTTTTGAAAGACGTTGAGTAAATTTAAGACGTAGTTTGGATTGATACAATGTGAAATCCAATGAATTGAATTTTTTTTTAAGTAAAGTTATTTAAATTTATTATTAATAAAGAAAGATAGAGTTGAAGTTTTATTTTCCCTTTTCTAAAACAGTGGAATTGCCGAGAATAAATTTATGATTTTTTTATTTAAATACATATTTCTAAGTCCGGTCATTTATGCAAAACTTTTTTTTTTTTATTAAAAAAGACAATTATGAATTATAATATTAAAATGGATTTATATTAAATAGTTTGCATTAATTGATAAATAAAAATTAATAATAAATAATAAGTAAAAAAAATATTAATAAAACAATCATTTCACTTTGAACAAAGTTACAGGTAAGAAAACGAAAAGCAGACTGACGAGGTTGGACATTGAGAGTGACGAAGATTACAACTCCAATACCAACACCACCACCAACAATGCCAACAACATCAACAGCAACAATAACAAGTCCCCGTACGAATGGAATCCTTGGTTTTCTTCTTCACCTCAACCTCTCAACTACGCTTCCTTTTTTGCACCCCACCACCATTATCGCCATCATCACCCTCGCTTCCAATACTGAAAACTTCTACCCTTTTGCTTCTTTTTCTCCCTTCTCTATTTTTTCCCTCTCTTCCTCGCTTCATAGATCGACCTTTTCCAATTTCAAGCGGATTTCAGGTAATACGATTTATGAGTTATTCTGGTTTGGCCATAATCGGATTGCTACTGTTGTCTTGAAGACATTCGTTTGATGAATTACTTGCTAAATGATTGGATGGGTAATTTTAAGAAGAGGCTCAAAAGGGTTGTAACTGTTCTTGGCATTTTGTTAGCAATCTGTTCCTAAATTCCTTTATCCTTTCTGAATAGTTTTATTTCTTTTATAGCGAACATGTTTGGCTTACTGATATTCATGCATCGTTTCATCTGATCGTTTGCTTGTTTAAAAGATTTGGGTGTTTTGGGGTTTCGTTTACAATCCATATTCATTATTTATCTAATTTTCTAAGAAGGGCCTGTAATTAAGGTTGCTTCAAATTGTAGGCAAGTATTGACTTTGATTACGAATTGAATATTTGAATGTAATTAATTTCTTCTTTCTTGTTTTCCAGGAATATGTTGGGAGGTCATAACAACAATTCTGTGCTTCCAATTTCCTTTGGTGAAAACCACTTCCGAGGTGAAGTTAATGCATTTCCTCAGCTGCAATTATTTGGAGATGGTTAGTTTTCCCACAAAATGAATTTCAATTTATAGTGTTTTGTCGATTGCAGCTTTAATAGGTTTACATTATTGCTTGGGTATTCTAAAGTGTAAGGTTGTTTTATGTTTAATGCATTGCAAGCTTAACCAAGCTAACATGAAGGTTCTTGTTTGATGTATGCATCTAATATCTAGTTGGGGATTCAATATGATTTTAAGTTCATAGTGCTAGTGATAGAGAGAAAATGTTCAAGAGATTGACATACAAAGAGGGAAATGCAGAATTTTCAGAGGGAATTCCTTGGTGTTTTTACCTCCCACTTCTATACTGCCTTAGCAGCAGTCAATAGTTTATTTTGTTACTTGTGGATTTCTCGTTTTTATTCATTTTGCTTGTTTCATCGTTCATTTTCCCCTTAATTTAAATGTCTTACAGTTGTCATATTTTTTATGTGACTGTACTGATGTTTCAATCTACCACAAACCCAGTTGGATGCCTTGGAGGTCCCATAAATCACATGGGAAATGATCACACAACTGCCATGGAGAGGCCTGGTAAAAGAGGCAGGGCCACAGATTTCATTTCCAAACAGCAAAAGCATCAATTATCTTTGAATAATAACTTCCATCAATGTGAAGCTGGTCAGCTTGGAAGCATTTTGGATCCTAATTTTGTATCAATTGGATTGAAACTTTCTTCTGAGGAAGAGGAACAGGAACGCAACTCCCCTGTCTCACATGCAAGTGATCCCAAGACAACTATTCTCCCTGTTATGTTGTCTCTAGGTGACAGTCTTAAGGCTGAGATGGATCGGCAGAAAGAAGAATTTGATCATCACATGAGACTTCAGGTAATACTTTGGTGTTATATTTGAAGTATGGTGTGATGTCTACCATTCTTCTGATATCTATCATACCATCATTAGCTATTTCTTCAATTATATATTCAGGTTCTTGAACTTTTGTTTTTTTTTACTGTTCAAGTGTATTACCACATCTAAATGCTCTAGAAATTGTTATCTTCCCTGTGATTTCTTCTGTGACTACATATGGTAAAGTTAATTCTGAAAATATATTCCATTATTTTTATTTATTTTTTAACTTGCCATTAAGAGAATCATTTGAATTCTAGGTTTATTTTTCTTTTGGTTTGTGTTCACCCTTCTAAATATCCTACCTAATAACTATTAAAAGGTTGTCAGACATGCTTGTTCTAAATTGTGTAATCACAAAAAGGAAATTGATCTTGTAATCTCCCTAGTAGCAATTGGATAGACATGTGTGGGTTCAGAATTTGATAAAAAGTTTATAATGTTGTGAGATTAGATGTGAAACCTTTCACAGCCTAAGTTTTTCAGACTTTCTATGATTTAATAACGATGTTTATTTAACTGTTATCTTAAAATTTCTGCTGGCTTTCTCATTTTATGGTCAGGTGACTCACGGCTTGCTTACTTGGATTCTTTCTAACAGGAAGAGAGTATGATAAAGAGTATAAGGGAAGTGGGACAGAGACACACAATTTCTTTCTTACATGCCGTAGAAGCAGGAATTGGAAAGAAGCTGCTTGAAAAAGAACTTGAAATACAGAACATGAATCGCAGGAACAATGAACTAGTGGAAAAGATAAAACAAATTGGTTCAGAGGTTCAGTCCTGGCAGTATAGAGCAAAGTATAATGAATCTGTAGTTAATGCTTTGAAGAGCAATCTGAAGCAGGTCATGGCACAGGGAATTATTCATGGGAAGGAAGGCTGTGGGGACAGTGAGGTAGATGATGCAGCTTCTTATGCTAACCAGAACTTAAAGAATGCTGTGGAAGCAAATGCAAGCTCCTTCAAACGGCAGATAACCTGTAGAGCGTGCAGGGCAAAAGAATCCTCTATGCTATTATTGCCATGTAGACACTTGTGTCTATGTAGAGATTGTGCAGGGTTTACAGAAGCTTGTCCAGTTTGCCAGATAACTAAAACTGCAGGAGTTGAAGTATTTATGTCATAACTTATGCAGTCCTGTCAAGGCACTTGTAATGTTCTTGACCTCTAGATGAAGGGGTTCAGTTTAAATTATGATCGGGCAATTCTTATATATTTTGTGTATGAAGATATCGATGAGCTTGATTCCATGAAGTTGTTATGGTTTGTCCAGAAAAGCTCTGTGGAACTTAATCGTGTTATTTCATTAATTTATTTAATGATTCTTGTGGGGAAGGACTAAATGTAATTAGTTTCACTGATAGAATTGGAAGCAGAAATTGTGCTGTCATCGACATTTTTTAAATGAATTGATTTTGTTGATTTTCTTCTATGGTTTGCAATGAGTACGTTGGGGGTATGATTCACACCATTTTATTCCAAAGGCATGTAAAATAATAGCAACCAGATGATTGGAATAGAGATAGAATGTACCTGTAGTATGGACACTGATAACCACAAGCCGTTTAAATTGGTGTATTATCTTGTATTTTTTTGATATTATTGACACGGAATATGCAAATATCAGGAAGTGATTATCATGGACAAAATCTGCAGGGTCAAAGTATCATCACTTCTTGTGGCAGAATCTGTGTAATTGTTTGTGGCATTTAGGCTCTTTATTGTATTAATAATTGGGTGCTTGGGTTGGGTAGGGTGGATGAGAAGTCCATAGCCTCAAAAGCCTCGTAAACAGTTATTTATTTCAAAATATAAGTCATTTAAAGTTTTTATATAAACGCTAAAAAATTAATTAATTTTTATAAATTATAACGAAATTACCGTTTATCTGACCAAAATAAATTGAATTTGCGGATTAAAAAAAAAAAAAAAAGTGAACGTAAAGGATTGGAAGCACTTTTCGTCGTTCAAACTATTTATTAGGTAATTTCCAATTGTATAATCGCAGTGCCGGTTGGTAGAGTTGAATTTCCAGTTAAGCAAACAATTTCTCGTGATTTTGACTCTTCCATTTACATCTCCTTCTGCTCCCCCTCCCAACAAAGCGTCAAAGTACATTTTAAAAGCTTCCAAAAAGAAAACCTTTATTAGGTATTTCACACTAACTATCCCCATTTCAGCGAGAAAATCAAAATCTCACCAATTATTCCAGCCGAGAAAATAAAAAGATCCCAACTAATATCCGCCATTTATACGAATCTGTATTTCGTCATTTGCCAAAAACACTGTTACACCAAACCTCGCGACTGCTCTAGTAAAGGGCGGACTCCCCAAGACTTTCCCTCTATTTCTGAAAACGCCAAACACAAGTTCAGCGCTCTGTTTTTCGGATCTCGAAAATGCAGAGTGCAGCCTTCACCCTCTCTTCTTCTCCTTCATTTCCATCTTTCAAGCCACGGCGGCCTCTGAATAACCCTACTTTCGCTCCTAGATTTGATCCTATTCGTGCCTCTTCCAAACGACAGGATCTAGACACCTCAACTAATGTCGTTTTCCCCCGCCGATCATGGTCTTTCTCTTCTTCTCCCTCTCTTTTCAGGCCATGGAATCCTCTGCCTCCTCTGGTTTCTGAACCTAAAACGGATGGGTTTGAGGTTAGAGCAACGCCTGTGCCCGAGAGTGCCGGTGAGGGCGAGAAGTCGAATAGCTTAATGAAGACTTTGGAGCTTGGATTGTTGTTTGGCCTTTGGTATCTTTTCAATATATACTTCAATATCTACAACAAGCAGGTTCAATATATATACATATATATTTTTGCTTCTATTGAATCGTTTGATATTTTGATTATTATAATTTTAAGCATGGTTTGCTTTACATTGCTTTAAGCGAGTTTGATGATATGAATGGCAGTTGCTATTTGTTTTTTTGAGTTGCAAATGTTAGATCGTTTTGAAACAGTGCTGATTTATGATATTCCTCGAGATTTTTGAGGATTCGTTTGCTAGATTTTCTTTGTTTATACTATACTGTTTCTTTGGGCAAAATATGAGTGTGGAAAAGTTCCATTCATAAAAGTAAAAACCAACGTGGGCCGTTATTGGTGATACGTGGATTCTGTTTTGTGTATTTTTTTTTCCCCTGAAAGTGGAAAGTCTGACAATCAAATTGAACTAATTCTTTTATTATTCAGGTGAGCAGATATTCTTAGGAAAATTTCGGATTAAAAAATTGTTTAATTGTCCAATGCGTTTTGATTTAGGTGCACGCGTTTGAAATCAATTCAATACAGAACAACTAATCTGAGAATGAATTGGTTAACTGAGTTGGTGATAATCTAATCGAACTATGTGGTTGAATATTATGGTATATTACGTATACGTATTCTAATTTATAATTTTTCAGCATTAATCAATAAATATTGTTTAGTGATTTTTATTTTTAAGCATAAATCCTTGTAAAATTGTATTTTATCCTGTTGTATTCTTTATAATGAAAGTGATAGGTGTTATTAAATGAATTTTTGCTAGAAAAAGGTCCATTACTAAATGTCCTATTGGTGATTATTATAGATTGAATTTGGCTAATTTAATGAAAACCAAATAGATGATTAACTGAACTTGGTATAGAAAAAATAAATAAACCTCATCATTTGGTTAAGTGAACTGTGTCCATCTCTACATTAATGTTTCTGAATGGTGTTCTTGATAAAGTGAATGGGTTTCCAATCTACTTGTCACAGGTTCTGAAGGTATTTCCAAACCCAGTAACTGTCACTGTAGGTCAGTTTGCTGTTGGGACAGTGTTAGTCATTCTGATGTGGACTTTCAATCTTTACAAAAGGCCAAAAATTAGTGGAGCTCAGGTATTGGATTTATGCCAGAACTGTGGTATAACTGCCGTGGGTGATATTATGGTCATTGGTTAGAGTAAACTTGAGGCTTATTCTGATAATTCTTTTGACAGCTTGCTGCAATTGTTCCACTGGCAGTGGTTCACACACTGGGCAACCTTTTCACTAATATGAGCCTCGGGAAAGTGGCGGTTTCATTTACACACACAATCAAAGCTATGGAACCTTTCTTCTCAGTTGTTCTATCTGCCATGTTTCTTGGCGAGGTGAGATTATTTTATGCATCTTTTATTTTTGGCTTCATTTGCTGCTCCAAATATATAACTAATTGAAGAATTTAAAGGTTTTATTTGCTTATTAAGTTTTATCTTCATTTCTTTTCATTCTGGTTCACAGTTTCCTACTCTCTGGGTAGTTTCTTCCCTTATACCAATTGTTGGTGGTGTAGCACTTGCATCAGCAACTGAGGCCTCCTTCAATTGGTAAGAATTATTTATGGATGTGCTTAATTGGCATTACTGCCACCTGATATTTATGTTTAGTTTTTATTTGGAGGGTTTTACTAATGTGATTTAATTGAAATTCCTTATCTAAATTCTGCTATGTATTCTCATTGTTATTTTTCTGAAAAAGGGCTGGGTTTTGGAGTGCTATGGCATCCAATTTGACAAACCAATCTCGTAATGTATTAAGCAAGAAGGTCATGATTAAGAAAGAGGTATTCCCTACTTTTCCAGACATAAGTTAATTAAACTTGTTTGGTTTTTCATCTTGATCAAATAAACTATTTTGTGAAATCAATTGCATATGCCAATATGTCTTGAGATTACCCTGTCACTTAAATCTGAATTGTGTTTTTCTGAATTGGTGCATAATTTGTGGTTTATTCATTTGCAGGATTCCATGGACAACATTACTCTGTTCTCAATAATAACAATAATGTCCTTTATCTTGTTAGCCCCTGTGGCTGTCTTCATGGAAGGGGTCAAGTTTACTCCTGCATATCTCCAATCTGCTGTGAGTTTTCGCTAGAGAGCTGAAAATTGTTCGCGATTTTGGGTTTTATCAAAACACATGTTCACAATAAGTTATTGGCTGATTTGTACTTTTATTATTTGCGCGGCAGGGCTTGAATGTTAAACAGGTGTACACAAGGTCTCTTATTGCTGCTCTCTGCTTCCATGCCTATCAACAGGTATTGCTTGGGTTCTAACTTTTCTGTCTTAACCAAATACATATTTCTTCTGTTGCTTCCATAAAAGTTTGTATTTTTTAAACTGCTGAAATTGAAAATTTGATTATAGTATGCTGGCTTTCTCCAAACTTTTTAGTATATGGTACCAATTTTTTTGAGGTAATTTTTATAGTTTGAAAATGAGTTGGTGTCTCTTACACTTATTGGAATCAAGTGCTTAACACAATTTTAAAGCATGTTGAACTGTTTACTTGTTGCCATGCTTCTTCCTAATGTACATGGTATTTTGCGGGTTTATATTTTGAACTATGCCTGACTTATAGCATGGTTTATATTTTGCAGGTTTCATACATGATATTGCAGAGGGTATCACCTGTTACTCACTCTGTAGGCAATTGTGTGAAGCGTGTGGTGGTCATTGTCAGCTCCGTTCTCTTCTTCAGAACGCCTGTGTCACCTATAAACTCTCTAGGTAATTTGACTTCTAACATGTCTCGCTATTTGGAAAATGAATAGGTTTATCCATCAACCTATCTGTCTGGAAATTTTATTCCTGTGGATTTCTTGCAGGCACTGGGATTGCCCTTGCTGGAGTTTTTCTGTATTCAAGAGTGAAGCGCATTAAGCCAAAGCCGAAGACAGCTTGAAGTTAGGCAGAGCATTTTTGCATTTAAATGTGGTTATTAGACATAGGTTGGACAACTTCTTTGTAGCTGAGGCCAGAATGTCGATTATGCTTTTGTTTTCTTAATCTTTCTTTTTCCCCGGTTTGTTACTTTGCATTTGGTTTGTTCATTTACTTCTACTGGGATGATTTGTTTTTGTATACTTCCTGCGCTCAAAAAAAATTACAGGGTGCAAGTTAATTTTTAGCAAACATCTACAAAATACAACTATTTTCCAGCAAAGCTAGAGAAAACAGAACTAAGAATCAATGAGAGAGTTGAAATGGACTTTAATACTAAACAAGGGCCTTGTGTACGGCCTTGTTGCTAATGATTGCTTGAACTGTGTAAATGGGGGATTTCACATCTCTATGCTTGTTCGAGGGGAAGGATAATGGCAAAAATTTAACCTACATGCCAGAAAAATCCCCAAAATCACTCTTTTAGACCATCTTCCAAATTTAAGACTTTGTGAGACGATTATAATTTTTTTTTTTTGGCTGTTTTTTTCTAATAGGAATTTTTCTTCTAATCAACCAACTCGTTTTGTAGGTTACAAGTATCTTTATTGCATTGTCATAAGGAGTAGAATTATTTTATTAATTATTATTATTATTATTATTATTATTATTATTATTATATATGAATAATAGATATTAAATTTCTTATAATAATATTTAGTAATTATTTATTATTTTGAAACAATGATAAATAAATGACCATGTAAAAAATTAATTTAAAAATATTAATATTTATTTTTACATGATTAAGTCCAAATGTGGTATATATGTGCTTTGTTTAGCTCTATGTAATAGGCTAAGAGCTTGGTGACTAATGCTAACTTCGTTCCATTAATAAAATAATTCAACTATATTAATTTTTTTTTAAAAAATAGTAATTGACTAAATTACTTTTAATTAAAAGAGAGAAAGTTAAGTGGAGATATCCGGATAAAAGTATAGTTAAAACAAAAAAATTAATGTTACCTTAGATGCAATAATATATAACGCATTTTACAATAAATATATAATATATAATATTATATTATTTAATAATTACAATACATAATAAATATTGTAATGTTTGATATATATATATATATATAGCCTTTTTATTTATTTATTTATTTATTTATTCGAGAGGATACTTTTTTTTTTTCCAAATTAATGCCACTTCCAAGATTTGTATTCTTTTCCTTTTGTTCAATAAAAATAAAAGAAAAGAAAGAAAGTACTCTTTTTTCTATAAGTTCCTTTTTATTTGATATGAAGAACATATGCAAGCTATTAAAATATATAGCAATGTCTACCAATGATGTATATATAGTGAATTATGGGTTTTATTAGAGCCTGAATTACACATTGGTTTGATAAATCATCTCCACTAAATCAAGCTCCTTCTTCACTTCAAAATCCATCAATGGATTTACATCCATTTCAAAGCTTTTCTCATCAAGAAGCGAATCAAAGCTGCAGCAACCCTCTTCAAAAAACTTCTCATCAAAATCAAAATCTGCATTAAAATCATCACAAGAATTTGGAACCAACCTTATATTATCGTTATTATTCTGGCAAAACTCTACTGTATTATTCTTCTGTGGCTGGTTTGCTGCTACTTTGGTTATTGTACTATAATCCATAGCATAACTATTAGCAGAGCTTTTCGGCGGCTGGTATCTTATTCCAGTTGGTGGAGGAGCTGATGAGTCTAAATTCAAGCTCTTGATATAATCTTGAAGAAGAGAGCCTCTTGGGTTCTTTGAACGACATTTTCTCTTTGAGTATTGCTTTCTTTTTGTAGCATTCCAGTGGTTCTTGATTGAGTTCTCAGTTCTTCCTGGTAACCTCTTCGCAATTTCTGCCCATTTGTTTCCTATTTCTGCATGGACCTGTATCAGTACCTTATCCTCCTCTTCACTCCATACATCCTTCTGCAAATTACAAAACAAAACAAAATAAAATAAAATAAACGACAACTTGTCAAATCCTGGCAATTGCTAATCGATTATCTGTCTCGTTATATAAATTAAAAATTTTAAAAATTAATTTTGCCAAGTCATTTTTCAATGTCATGCATGCATGATTCTCTTGTAGTGACAAATCCATTATTATTCTTTAACCAACAAATTTTGTTTCTATTTGCTTTTTCGGTTGATGTAGCAGCAGAAAAGCTGCAGACAAATATGATTGGGGCATATCTTCAAACAAGAAACAAACTAAACATATACTTTAGTGCACATATTTCCTTATAGCAAACACATATATCCATGCCCATATTTCTCAAGAACTAATAAATGTATCATTAATCTTAGTGAAGTGAAAAAACAATCAGTCTATGGAATCCAGCTTGTCGTTAACCAGACCAGAGAGGTGATGCATAAAACAAAAGTGAAAAAGAAAATATAGTTAATAAACCTTGATGTCAGGCCTCAGATGGTTGTGCCATCTCTCTCTGCACTGTTTTCCAATTCTTCCTGGTAACATTTGAGCAATATGAGACCATTTTCTCAGTCCATTCTTTTCAACCAGCTGAGTCAACAGCCTGTACATATAGAAACATTCAAAGTAAATATATTAGACCCAATTAAACATCTTAAATATATAAGTTTAAATCGCATAAATATATACCTATCTTCTTCAATGGTCCATTGGCCCTTCACCACATTGTGCTTCTTGCGCTCTTTGCAAGTCCTTTTTGTAGAAGGCTGTGCCCTATAATTATTATTATTCACACAGATTTTCTTCTGGTAATGAGTATTATCATTAGCAGTAACACATGAGACTTCATCTGGTACAAGAAAATTTATACCTTCCATTCCCTGCAAGTTTAAGGACATATGTCCTTGATTTGATCCCATAATGTCTGTCGGATTATTACTCCGATTAGGAAGGGTTAATGAGAAGTTATCCATAACCTGACCATGACCTCCTTTGTTATGCTCAGCTGCAAATGGTTTGCACTCATAATCATAGAAATAATCCATATTTGTCGAAGAAGATCCATATGGAAAAGCATCAAAAGATTCAAAATTTGACCCAGTTTGGACCCCAAACATTGGAGTTAAAGAAGACCCATTTGCATATATTTGATCAAAATTTTGAAAATCTTGAAGAAACCCTTTTGATGATGATGATGCTATTTCAAAAGGGAATAACCCATCTATGTTCTTGGATGGTTTATTTGAGTAATTGTCAGATAAAAACATTGATTGAGTGATCAAAGGGTTATTGTTAAGCTCCATAAGAGAAATTTGAAAAAAGAAAAGAAAGAGAAAGATTTGAGGCTCAATGGTGGAGAGTTGAGAGTTGAGAGTAGTATTAGAAGGTAGCTACTTGCTAGCTACCACCACCTTTGTATTCCTTAATAGGTGAGATTGAGAAGGCAATTTATGTTGGAGGTTGATCTTGACCTTTGATTATTATTGATCCAATGGTCAATATTGCTTGGCATTGCTTAACATTAGTGACTCTTAAGCTTCTCTCTAGCCCTTCTAATGAAGTTAAAAACTTTGGATGCTAGTGATTCTTATTATCAATTTGTTTCTTTTTATGGTTAATTTGGAAATTTACATAAATTAAGTATGAAAATTAACAAGGTTAATATGGTAGTCAAAGAATATAGTCCTGCCTCATACGTGCTAATTTGTTAAGTTGTTGAAGTACATTTACTCCTCCAATCAAAAAATGCCACGTCATATATTGCTTAGTTAATTTGAGCAAGTGCTTATTTGGAATAATCTAATATCTCCCTTTGGACAACAAAGATTTTCAAAGCAATGGGCAAAACCATGGACTCAAAAGTTGAAATGACCAATTTAACCTTAATCCTGTGAAGGTTTTTAAAACTGTATTTAAGAGTATGCTCATAAAATATGGTCAATTGGTAAATCTATATTCCTAGTCAATGGAGATTATTTTGTATGTTTGTTAGAATTTGTTTTGTGAAAATTGTTGTTTTTGGGCATTTTAATAAGTTACCATTACAAAGAGATTCGAGTATTGAAAATTGCTAAAATATAAAAATTTCAGTTATTTGCCTTTCCATATATATGCTTCAAGTTGCTTGCATAGTTCAAGTACGTGCTGAACCGTACTGTACGGTACTTGATATAAAGGATTTAGTATTTTATATATATATTATATATATGGAAAGTTTAATGGACCGAAATAATATTGTGGGTTATACAGTAGATGAGTAATAACATTTATGATGGAAAGAATTTAAATCTCCTACAAAAGATAAGAAGACCAATCATACTACGCCATGGACCAAACCAATAAAAATATAAATTTTTTAAAAATTATTCCTATTTCATCATTTTTTCCATATATGGTTAGAATACTTTCATTTTAATAAAAAAATTTATTTTTCTTGGTTTGATCCGTAAGTGCGTCTATGACAATAGTTTGGGCAAGTCCATTTTTCTAATTTAAAATTTTAAAATTCTGTTCTTTAAAAGGAAAAATCTTAAGAAATCAATAATATATGGTTAAATCAGCTACAGTGGACCACATAGTCTCAAGACCTGTAAAATTAAAAAATTCAAAGTTTAGAGGCATTCACCGTTAGAATAATTTTATTTGAATACCATTCCTGACATTTATTCAATCTAAAATGTTTAAGAAAAATAAATGGAAATAAAGCCATATAATTGACAAGTATGCTTAGAGTTCTATAAATTAAGAAGATAATTTAGTAAATAAAGGAGGGTAATTTAGTAATACTGGAAATAGGAGACTGCCTGAGGAACATGGAGACAACCTAGTCAATTTACTAATGAATAACATTAAATAATTTTACAACATAAATGAGAATTAGTTTTTTATAACCGAAATTAATTACTACAACTTGACATTAATCTTCTCTCTCAGTTCACTATAGCGTCAAATACACATTATAAAATAATGTTGGTAAAGAGAGGTTCACAATTAAAGCATGTTTAATTTCATTATTATGCAATTTCTGAGGTCAAGGTAACGCAAAACATTCCATTAATTATCACCTAATTCCTATTTTAAGACAATTAATTGAAGATGTTATTTCAGCTCTTTCATTAGGGCTATAAAACTTTAAAAGGTTACGTTTCGTAAATTATCCAACTCAATTTCAACTTTAATATTAAAATTTGAGCTCCATTCTTTTGAAAATTACTAATTTTAGGCTTATGTTTCGTAGAATATAAAACTTAGTTTGAACTTTAATATTAAAATTTGAGCTCGATTCTTTTAAAAGTTACTAAATTTAAGCTTAGTTTGTATAAAGCTCATTTATAGGCTAAGAAGCTGAGCTCGGCTTGTTTATTAGTTTGGTTATATTGACTTGAACTTAATAGCGTAAAGAAGCTGAGCTCGGTTCGTTTATTAGTTAGGTTGTATTAACTCAAGTTTAAGCTCCATAAGTCTCGAGTTTGAATTCAGATAATAGATTTTCCATACCTGATTTCAAGTAATAGTAAATAATAATAGTAAACTAAAACAATATTTAACTATATGACCAAATCTTAGAAAATGAATATCTAATAGTTTACAACATGTTACAAGACTACAAATCAATTAATATAATTCTCGAATTTTATACTCTTTCGGTTTCACTTTAATAGTAGTAAATAAATATTTTACTCTTTCAGTTTCACTTTAATAGTAATAAATAAATATTTTACTTTTCCACTTTAAGTGCTCATTTAGAAATAAGGGCATTTGCTTTTTTCATAAGAATTAAGAAAACAATTAGTTTATTAACAAGTTTAAAAATTATATTGAAATTTGAAGAAAAATAGTCAATACTACCCTGATTCCACAATAAAAAAGTCCATGGATTAAATTCAACAAGCACAGCCCATTGTACCAGAAAGATGGGGCTGAGCCCATTTTCTCAAGAATTAGTCGTCATGTCGTTCAAGTACAGCGGCAAAATGTGAATTTGGGTACCAACGATGATCTATACGTGTCGTTCATTGATGATGCAAACTTTTCTCTATCGTTCAGTGTCGCTGTATTTCCACATTCTGTTTTTTCGTTCGGGGATTATCAGGATATTTGGTCATTAAAATTCTGTGTTCTGAAGAAGATTGAATAGCTAAAGATAAAATATATTTAGCTTAATTAATTACTAATCCCACTGTTTAGCCCAAAGCTCTAAGTCAGTGATGAAAGAAAAGAAACCCTTGATTCTGATACAAAAAATTAATAATGAGAAATCTGTACAGTAATATTTGCCAGACAACAGCAAAAGAACCAAATGCTTTCTGCAGCAGAATCGTTTGAGCCGCAAATCTCAAACAATCAATGGCAGAAATCAAGATACCAGAGGCTTCAATCCAATTGATTCGTTAAAGTTCAAAAGTAAAGGCAATATAGTGCTATATGCATCTCTGTTCAAAAGCTTTTTCAGGGTTCTTATCATCAATTTCTGAGTGGTGAGGGAAATCATATGGCATTTCTGAAGCAGAAAGCCATGCTTCATTGAACACCCTTATAACTTCTTGGCTGACTACCGCATTTCCTTCTGGTGTCAAGTGCAAGCCATCACTGTAATCAACATGCCAAGTAGTTTGAATCGACAGTTTTCGATGCCATAGCAGCAATAATATTACTTACCCAAATTATGTGAAGATGTTCTAAGTGAATTAAGATAACAAACCTTAAGATTTTTTTCTGCCAGCCCTCTATCTTCTGCATCTTGGACCATATATCAATGGAACGGATGCCTAGCTCCTTTGCTAATTCAACGCATTCCTTTGCATAAACTCCTGCCATTTCATTTGTCCTTTCTGGCAGTTCCATAGCTTTCTCACCATATTTAGATCTGTAGAAAATGATTGTATACTTATTCCAATGCCAATTCATAATATTAAGAAACAAAGATTCGAGCTTTGAGTTTATCTCAGCAAAAACTTGTTTTGGTAGAGCACTTGCAAGACTTAGGAAATACGAAGGGAGCAGAAACAAAAACCTCTTCTTTCTCTCACACTCTCTCCCTCCTACTCAGCCTTATACTATTGGATATGTTGCTCAGTAGTGTATAACTTTATAGCATATTTCATTTTTTTTAATAACAAAAATCGAAGGAAATCTGGACAACTAATAATGTAAACTGTGGACAAAGAATCTTGAATATCCTACATATAAAATCGCAAAAAGCAGGTAAAACCAGTTCTACTTTTTAGATAAGTTCATATTCTGAAATATCTGAAGTGGAGTCCTGAAAACAAACACAATTATTAAACACCATATCTTTTGTTGAAAGCTGGAAAAGAGTATTAACCATTTGCAATGAGAGCACTCAAAGAGTACTTAGCACCCTGTGTATGTTCTGTGTTTTTGTTTCATTGTCTATATGTTGTGCATATGTATGTCTATCAGTACAAGAAGAATAGAACATCTTACTTAGCATACTCTTTGCGTCCCTCTTCATCAACTGGTGGTGGAGTGATAAGTATAACTAACATGGTAGGCGAGCACTCCTACAACGAAGTTCCATAAATAAGATGAGAAATAGGTCTATCGGTTGACCATATGACTACTTATATACACTGAAGGAATGCTTACACACCTATGCACATCACTGTTTCTTAGTAAAAGGTATAGAAACTAGGATTGTTGCTAGGAACAAACTGTTGAACTAAAAAATATTGGTCCACAAATTCACCAATACAACTATACATGTATTCCAGATGTCTCCTGATATTAATGGAAAATAAATATTATGTTTATTCTTGTTATTCAGCGTTAGCAGTTTGCATTTTCTAATACACTCAGACTTATAGTTATGCAGCTCCCAAGGTTGATCAGGCCTTTCCTTTTTGCATAAATGTTTGGCACAAAACAAAAAGGTCATCAACTGTGCTGTAGGTGAGCCAGCACCAAAAGCACTGGCAAGTTTTGAGATACCAAACGCTCTCCTCCTGAAGATAGCAACAAGCTGGTTGCTGATTTAATAGCAACAAGTTATTAAAAAGGCTGTTGATGGTGGGAATTCTACAATGGCAGAGTATAACAGGCAGTGGATCAAGTTTGGTGCTAAAATAGGTAATGGAAACAAAGCATGTTATACGACAAATAAGCAATCCATAGAATACATTCTCAATCAGCTAATATTATACTGCTTTATTTTTCACTGCATTTTATTGCAACCTTATAAATCACGGGATGGTAAACATATTAGTATAAGATAAGTTAAAATCAAGGATAGCATTAGATTTATAGAACTCCCAAGAACTAAAGAAAACCTTCAAATGCAGGACAATTTTCCTTAGATTCTCCTTATATTCATCCACAGGAACATGTTGCCTCTCACTGGTTCTCCCTTTTAGAGCTGCATCATTAGCCCCGAAGAATATTGTGACAGCAACTGGAGGTTTTATAGAACCCTATCAAAGTCAATGCCAGTAAACAAATAAACCCACTTATAATTCCAAAAACAACATTGGACTGAAAAGTTATAAAATTTTTAAATAAATACAAGATTCAAGGAACTCACAATAGGGAAAAGGTGATGCAACAAAAACAAAGCCCATCTAGTATTGTAACCACCATAGCCACGAACTAACACATCAGCCTGTTACTATAAAAAAAATAACTCAATCAAGATCGATAAATGACAATTTGAAATTAAGTAAAGGGTTAACTGAAGAACTGGAAAAGGAACGAGATTGAAAGAGAAAAAAGCTAAATGGTGAAGGGAATATTGGACATGGATTATACCTTGCGAGAGTAAGTGTCAGCGAGAGCAGCACCCCAACCACCTGATCCAAAAGACTGCTCTGTTATTGAATCTCCAAATAACACGATCAGTGGCCTCATTTTCTATGCTTTTAGCACTCCGGTTCTTGTTTGTGCTAGTCAACAGATGACAGAGATCAGCAAGAATGGATCTTCAAAGCGGTTGATTATTGGAGGGGAACTGATCTGGAAACAATCCGCAGATTATGATTATCTAAGGCCCTTGCCTTCCATGCAAGCAAGGCTGTTTAGTTTAGCAATTGATTCGCTAGCTCTGTCCAATGCTTTCGCTGGTTGGTTGGTGGCGTTTCTTCAACGCACGGTTTTTAGGCCCACGGCCCGGACATTTTTTCACCGTTCGTTTTTTTCTCTCTAAGCGCACCGTTTTATCATTTGTCCCGTACATTGTATAATATTTTGTTTTATTTTATTTTCCTTATCGTAGACGTAGAGCATTGGTAGAATGATAAACTCAAATCAATAAATAGAATTGACACTTTCTTTACTATTTATAATTATTTAACCATTTTTAATGAACATAATGACTGATTTTAAGGATATTTTTCAGGTCCGCTACTGCATTGAGAAGTATTATTTTTAATGTATTTATAGTTTTTTTTTTAACATAATAGAATTTTAATTAATATGGGATAAATTTGGAATGATTAATACTAGCATTAAGCACAAGCTATTAGAAATGTAATTTAAACTTTGATGTAATTGTCATGACTGCACAATCTTGGTTATTGATTGCTGCAATTCCCACCTGTATAGTGATAAAAAGATTTAAAAAAAAAAAAAACCTTGCATGCAAAACTATCATGGTAAATGGTTTTCTCAAAAAATGTTGAAGCCTTCAACCCGGTAAAATGTGCTGTGAGAATTCAATTATGACATTATAATTTCACATTTCCGTAATAACAATGTATTTTATCAAAACGAAATAACTTTGTAGGATTTAATAATAATCTTATACTTTCACATTTTATTTTAAATCGAGGCATAATTATTAATGAAATATGAAATGAAAGGCATAATTAAAAATACACGATAAACCTATGAAGCTTTATATCAGGATGAAGGAAAAAAAAGAACAGTTTTGCAGGCAGAACTTTTTCCTTTTACAAACAAAAGGGCACTATCAAAACCTAATTCAGATTCTCGAAAAAAGAATAAAAATATATATATATTTCAGACCAATAGAAACCATCTACTTCCACTTAAGAGTTTTCAATGGCTTTCTTAAGATTAAATAAGTGCAAATTTTGATATGGATATGAAATCCATCCATTAATTAATTCCAAATTAACTAAAAAGAAAGATCGGATCTTTCTTCAGACAGTATATGAATCAAGTTGAGAAAAGAGGCAGCAAGTGGTTATCACTCATCAATGTCTATTAATAACATGAGTTATGTAGTCAAAGGGTGAGCAATATTTCAAGATTAAACAAAACCCCTTTTGGGTCCTCTGCCTCCTGAAGTAGAGGTAGTGGAGGAAATTGTAAGCTTGGCACTAGCATGTGCATCCTAATTTATTGACAATTTCAGTTGGTGAATCCAAGGCAATCCTCTTCACATCTTTTTGAATGACCTGGGCTGATGTGTCCAAGAAAGTGACTAGAAAAGCACATATAAACATGAGTATTAAAAATATGGTGCCACTCAAATAGATACTGGCAATGTTCTAACCATAAATCAAGATGTCAGCAACTATAGTATACAAAGTGAAAAGGATAGAACCTACTTTTTCATTATAACCATCACTAAATTGTTGATTTACTACTTTCTATCAATGTAAGTATATTAAAAAGAGAGGACCAGGAAAAGAAGGTAGGTAAGATATGATGACCTATGACATATCACTTAACAGATTATTTTTTTCGAGCTCAAATGCTGGCTAGTTTAAGTACATGGAATTTAAGGTTTAATGGACTGTTGAGTGCATTTTTTTAAGTCTGTCAACTTTCTGCATATCCTCTGATTGTGAAATTTTATTTTTTGCTATCCATCTGTTCTCATGTATAAGTTCAGCAGACGTCATTCCTCAAAAGCGTTAAATTTGTGCATGCAAAAAGCTATAGAAAAAAACTAGATATATAAAATGTTCACTTAAGCAATAAGATAGAAATGATTAAATCCAAGTTTATAAAATGATATTAGTTGGAAACTGGTGAACAGTGCAAGTACATATAAAGCAAAAGTGGATTGCTCCCCCTAATCGTGATATTTACCAGAAGAGATTCCCACTCACATCCTAGAACAATTAGTGGAAGCATGAGATGAATGCCATCCATGTCACTTGTCAAAACAACTACTTCCCTGAAGAAGCTTTTAACAGGAAAAGGACTGCCTGTAAAAAGGTTAGTGATAAGACAGGGATACATTGTACGAACCAGTTCAATTCTGGTGCTGCAAGATGACTGCTGTGGATTTTTGCTTATCTGCTTTACAAACTCTCGCTGCATGACTTGAGAAGGTCACATGATTTTAAGCATCCTACAAGAAACGGTAAACTGAAAGCAAACAAAGAAGCCAAAGATATGGGAATCTCAAACATGCTCAACTTTCATACATGGTTATTTCACTTTCTGTTCAGTTCTGCTTTGAAACATGAAAATTAGGATTCCTTTTGAGTTCTTCATATGCATATCTCATGCATAACAAGTGTAGACGGGAAAATATAATGGATTCCATCTTGCTGTCCGATCAGCTAAACAAGCAAAATGGGGCGTCGGGCAAGGGGAAAACATTGCTAGCCAGCCAAGTCCATTTGAGATGCAACAAATGAACTGGTAACAACATTCTCAAATTTTTGGAAATTAAAGTAATGCTGTGCTAACTACATTTTGTGCAGACGTCTGATGACATTAATTGATGCTAAGCAAACGCTCAAAGCAAGGAGATAGTTTAACCAAATTTGCACTATTGAAGGAGTTAGCAGGAAGATCAGTCTGTCTTCAAGTTTTAGATCTGCTCATAATATACCGAAGTTCATTTACATTCAACAATTTGGAATAGGATTATAGTGATAGTTACTTGCTGAGCATTGTAAATAAGTGAATTTTTTTTTTTTTTTTTTTTTTTTTTTAATTTTTTTTTTTTTTTTTTTTTTTTTTTCAATTTGTTTTTTTTTTTTTTTTTTTTTTTTTCAATGCTTCTCTTATTTTGCAGCACTGGATCATTTTTTGCTTTTGCAACCAACATATAATAACGGAATGAAAATAAAAGCATCTAGATTTCAGCCAATAAGATGATAGTATAATGCACATATTGTCATTAACATAAATGTGACTGCCCAGACTATATGGGAGATACAGAGCAATACACACTCACAAACCTCCTATTGTTAGAACCAAGAATACAAACACACACCAATAACATATAACACTTGCTTACATACTCTTATGAAAGACCTCTCGAGCACATTGACAACTAAACTCACCAGAATTATGTAGTAAAGCTTGAAGATGAACCACGGGTACTTTGACCAAGGCTAGATGGTCCTGGACTGGGTGTTCTCTTTATTTCAGTTCCCCTCCCTGTAAGTTGAGGGCTCCAATCTGCTCTCAGTTCACTAACACGAGGACTGTATGCCCTTTGTGAAATCCGTGGACTATATACGGGTTTTATATCATGCAATGAATCTGGAGTTGAACTTGTCACTTTTGGACTTTGTGTACGGCGAATCTCACCTCGGCTTCTTGTGATAATTTCATCGAGTATTTCTCCCCCATCAAAATTAGATGCTCTTGGTTGAGGATCCTGATCCTGTCAGATACATAATTAAAGCTCAGAACTTCAGAATGAAAATGCATCCAATTCAGTCAGAAAGTTAGAAGAATGGATCCCTGAAAATTCAGACAGATGTGGCAGAAACCATAACCCTGTTAATTAATTTATCCTATCAATCAGATTATGTACCAGTTTGATCTTTAAGCAATCCTAAGTAAAATGAAGAAAGAGTTAAAGTCACTTACTTCAAATGTTAGGTTGTAAGATACAGCAGGAGCTTCCTCATATTCTGCAGCATCCAAGTCTTGAAGATGGGCTCCTTTGAAAAATTTAGGGAGCAGATACTGCCTTACTGGGACCAGAAGCATAATCAACAATGGAAAAAGGACCCCAGCTAATGGGATCCATGTTATGCCAAAGCACAAAAGCAGGTAAACTGTCTGGAACAAGGTGAAGATGGCAATTGTTTTGAAGGGCACTGTCTCAATAAAAGTTGCATGACATTCCTCCAACACCCTGGATGTCAGCAAAACTGAAAATTAGGGGTTCGATGTACAGACAGATTCTCGTTACCTTTGTCACAAGACCATAATATGGTTAAACAATTTAAATATTTTAATTTCTTCAATATTATTCTTTTCCTACAGGCAACACACGTGTATGAAGTTCATACTAAAATCGTATAAAAACAAGTATAAGAAGGAGCTTTCAGTATAAAGGAGTTCAAAACAAAAGGAAACATGATTACGAATGGTAAGTGTAAATTACTTGTATCTCCGACTGGGAGCAGTAAAAAGTAATAATATTCGCTCCCAAAACTGGTTTCCTGGCAAGCTTTCAATGGCCATAAAAGCAAAATATCCCCAGAGAACTGAAGTTGGGATCTTCTTCAGGAGAGGCATAGCAGCAATACAGCCACATACCATCAATGCTTGAAGGAGATTGCTAAGTCGTTGTTCTTTGACTTCCACAGGTAAAAGATCATCCACATCTTTATCAACATCAAAAACAGTCTCATCCACAGTTTGACTTCCACAGGTAAAAGATCATCCACATCTTTATCAACATCAAAAACAGTCTCATCCACAGGGGCATCAATGTAGCCAGTACTTGAGGCCAGTTGGACTGTTGATTCTTTCAGCTCTTTCAGTCCCTGAATGAAGTAAAGGTGAGGTGAAAAAAGGAAAAGAATTAAATTTTCAGCATAAAATCACAAGCCAGCTAAACTACCAGGGCAGATGGCAATTGATAGACTAAAGGAGTCTGCATTTCATTGTAGGCTTCTTGCATGTTTCGGTACAATTGACCCAGATTTGCATTTTTGCGCATACTGTTTCGGGCTGTTGAGACAAGCTTATTTCGCAAAAGCTGCCCAGACAAAAAGAAACACAGATAATGAGGACAAATAACTTGCATATAACAGAGAAACTGAGACAAAGTAAACATAAAGAAGCATATAGATAGTCATGTATCGTAAAGTAGAATAGAGTTTTAACAAAGTGGGAAGGCCAAGAATTTATAGGAGAGTTGCTCAAGGTCATTTGCTCAACTCTTGGATCATAACATTCATGTCCGGCCTCCGAAAATGCAAAAAGCAACAAATTGAAGATTTTTTTTTGGCAGTCAAAAGCCATTTGCTGGTTGTCATTTGTCAAGCATTAGACCAAATGGCTTCACATTCACATTCTTCAACAAAGGATTTTTTTTTTTATTGCATGAGTTTCTAGAATTTGGACCAAGTAGGAACCAGGTACAAAGGGATTTCACCAAGGACTAGATCTTGCTCTTGAAATATCCAGTTTCTAAAGAATGCCTCGAACTTTCAAAACAAAGTATTATAAGTTTCATTGTTGGAATTAACCTTTTTCTTAAATCTCAGGAGGTACATCCTAAAAGGTTTTACAGAAGAGTTGGGCCCTTGTCCTGCTTTTGCACCAGCAATGCAAATAGAAGAGGGAAGATATATTTCTTTTGTCCCACAATCTTAATGCTCACCAGAGAAAATAGATGAATAAGAAACAAATCTAATCCTGGACTTTAGGAAATGCTAAAATCAGATTCATATAAATTTTAGAACTTGTTGGACAGTCAATTACCTGATGCTTCAAGGTAGCTAAGCTTTTTGTATGCATTGGCGATTGAGGAATGACACCATTTGAAGGGGGAATGCCAATGAGACCACATAAAATAACCTGATTGGATGAAGTTCACAACAAAAGCTAAATAGATGTAATCCTGCTTTTGATGTTGACTGCCTTAGAAGATTGTCAGAAGAATAATTGATATTCGAGAGCAACAACATACCAAAAATCCCAAAAGAAGAAGGTCATAATGATAGGAAGATGGTTTCTTCAAATTAAACTCCTTTTGCTGTGCAAGTTGGGATGCAACACTGTGATCAAAATAGTAAAGAACAGCAATCATGGTTGCAGGAATAAATGCTCCAACTATGTACAAAGCAGGCACATTAGTCATTTCCTGCATAGATAACAATTATTATTACCATTCTAGCATTAAAGGAAACACAGAACATATTAAGCTCTCTCTCTCTCTCTCTCTCTCACACACACACACACAGTGTTAACGCAAGTCCACTGTTTGGTAAGTTGTGTGCTAGGACTCGAGGATTCACCTTGATAACAGTCCAATTTGAGTATGCACCGGAAGACCATGGATTTGGACTGAAAAGCCGCCTCGGAACCCCTCTTGGAACATCTTTAACTGGTATGTAAGATACTGCAGTCCATACAAGCACCATAAGCGGAACTCCATAATCTGCAATAAATCCTCGTAGCCAACCTTCGGGAAAAAAAAAAAAAAAACTAATGTGGTAGATGCTAGGTACTTCGAGGATTACACCTTGGAAATAACTGTCATATATTGAGTATGATGAATCTACCCGTGGAAATGATCTAATGTTTAAAGGAAAAGACTCATTGAGATTAATGGGTATCTGTGGGATAAACAGTAAGCCAGGCCTCGGGAAACCTCTGTCATTGAGAACTTATCCTCTCTCTTAACATTGGATATGTAAGAGATACTGCAAGTCCATACAAGCACCATAAGCGGAATACCTCTTCCATATATCTCTGCAACAATAAATCCTCGTTTAGCACAACCTTCGGGTGTGATAAAAATATAAGATAAAAAATAAAAGAAAGATATAACATAAATATTATTATGACCAGCACATGCATAGTAGTAAAATAGCTTTATTGAATCATGATAAATTGTGCAAAGGTGTCTTGATTCTTATAAGCTTGGAAAAATATTGTGCTATATCAAATGAATCCAAATTGTGGCAGATGAACTTCATATGAAAAGGTGGTTGCCAAATTACTGAAGAAGGGGTCAATGGGCTAACCACAGAATATCTACAATTGTGTCGATGAGTTCAAAGAGGAAGAGATCTTCCTAGTAATAAGAAAGTCGAATTTGAGTGCTATAATATTATTGTATAGGATGATATGTGGTCCCTCCTCTAACTGCGTGGCCTATATTTTTGAATTTATTCCTTGTTCGGCTCATAGTCGCCATGGATTCGCTTAGTCTTATGTTACGAAGAAACCCTGCTCTCTTCAACTCAGTATGCAGTACCAAAATAGAAAGGCAAACAAATAAGGATCCAGTAATTATCATATGACAGTGGTCTAATTACAGTTCCCATTGCCAAAATTTCGCTTTCATGAAGAATGTTGAAATGTTAGCAAGATCTGTTATTAGAGAATGAATATCCTTCTGCACCTTATAAGGGTGAGTATGCCAATAATAACTCAAAAGATTTCTCAATCGATTTAACTTCCTCGCATATGTCTGTTATGTGTTGATTATCAGATTTATAGATATAGAGAATACATACATGAAATGTTAAAAGCCCAACTCTCATATATGCAATTGCAATTCTAATAATTGGCTTATAAGTTATAATTGGTCTTCATGTAAAAGATGAGAGTAAATCGCCAAATCTTTATGAATTTTAATTTGAAGGAATAGCTTTCATAGTATTTTACACTCTATAGAACTTTATAATACATAATAACTCAACGGAAAATTGTTCAATTGCAACAACCTTCAAATTCAACACACAATATTAAAGCACTCATAATTGACCTTTAGTAAACTACATATATTTATTTTCACACCCTAGGTATTGGCTCTAGATTGGCTTAATAGTGAACGAGTGCATTGCAATTTTTAAGTCAGACTCTAAAACTATAAATTCTATCTCTGAGAACACGTAAGGGTGTGAATGGTCACTCTCTCTCTCTCACACACACACACACAGTGTTAACGCAAGTCCACTGTTTGGTAAGTTGTGTGCTAGGACTCGAGGATTCACCTTGATAACAGTCCAATTTGAGTATGCACCGGAAGACCATGGATTTGGACTGAAAAGCCGCCTCGGAACCCCTCTTGGAACATCTTTAACTGGTATGTAAGATACTGCAGTCCATACAAGCACCATAAGCGGAACTCCATAATCTGCAATAAATCCTCGTAGCCAACCTTAGGGAAAAAAAAAAAAAAAAAGATACATAAAAAGAAGCATCAAGTGAAAGTTAATGAAATGCAAAGCTGATGGTAAATTTTCCAAAGTCAGATGAAACCATATAAAGGTGGTTGCCAATTTACTGAAGAGTCAAGCTAACCACAAAATCACAATTGCATGGTTAAAAGGGAGATTATCATAAAGTGTTTGTCTTATTTATATAGGAATCCAATGCAATGTTGTATACCTGTCCCATAGCGCCAGGACCTAGCTGTACGGCTCCTCAGTGCAGTCCAAAGAAGGCCAAAGGACAGTACAAGCGCAAACATTCCATTGCCAAATCGCCAAGAATGTTGAAGTGCAGTCTGATTAGGATTTTCCCTTTGGGGTATGCCAAACTCCTCAACAACTCCCTGTAGGATCAAATTTATAATTGACTACATGATGAAAAGACAATTCCAATTGATATTATGCTTATATATGGTGCTTTGAAAGAGAAATCCCAATCTTTTGAATTTAATACTGCTTTTAGAATTACACAAGAAAATAAATACTCCGAAATTGTATGCACAACTATTCAAACACATTTAAAGCCTCATAATTGAAGTAAACTACATTTTATTTCTCACCCTTATGGCCTGTTGCATAAACAGCATTGCAATAAGCAGACCAAATAATTCACCAGCAACACGTGTGAATCTGTTGATTATAGAGCAGGCACCCAATATTGCTAGCAAAAAAAGCAACAGGGCTGTCCACACACACACCCTGAGAACCAATCAACGTGAAGAAAATACTTCAAAATCAACAGTAAACTCTATGAATATCATCCAAGTAAGATTGCCAAGTAAATACCATCCTGTCCAGGCTAAAAAGAGCTTTGGCCCCAAATCCTTCCTGTCCTTAGCAAAATTGAACATAAATGTATACATCAACACTGTTGGCTCAGCAACTCCTAGGATGAGCAAAGGTTGTCCTCCGACAAGTGAATGGATGATGCCACAAAGTGCTGTTGAAGCAAGAGTTTGCACTGCAGTCAAAGATCCATCTGCAAGAAGACACCAAAAGTCTAAGTAGATGACCACTTAAGTATCAAGCAGGATACTAGCAACATATAAAAGCTGTAGAACCTGTATTTCTCTCAAGCTGTTCCCCAAAAGATATGACTGGAATTGCTGAAGCAAAGAATATATATGTTGTTGGAGCGAGGATCCTAAATGAAAAGGAAAAAAGGTAGTGTGAGACCTTTGCTAAAACAAATTTGAAAGCTAGTAATATGTGAAATAATTAATATAACTATCCCAATAGTCATCAATACAATCAGAATATCTTGCAACAATGGGGCACACATTTATGTTTAAAGATAACCAGCAGGATTCACAAACCTGATACCCGCGCGGAAACCACCTGACCAATCCTGCTTGTAGCACAAAAGCCTTCCTTTGAGATCATTTTTTATCCCACGGAAGGGAACAAATGTTTCCTCCATGATAGCTCAAAATTATAGTTAATAACACGGAATTACATATATTTTTGTCCTTGTTCAACAAAAAACTAAGGTAAACACAAACTCACAAATTTAACCCAGATTAAGTACTCGAGAGGCCAATATGGTAACTAAGCTTGCATAGGTGATGCTAAATAAGAATCTATAGGCAGAAGAACCACAGAGAAAAACAGGAATATAATCCTAAACTGGACATTTTTAGTAGTATAAAATTTTGTAGGTAAATGTATAGAGTTGAAGGATTTTACATTTCAAGGAATATATAAAGAATGATTTCGGTATATTTGCTGTGAATGAAAAAAGAATCAGTTAGCAAAGAATCAAATCACTTAAATTCCATTTTCAGTTAAAAAATGAAGTAAATTAGCGAACAGAATCCATTATGAAATACAACAGTATAAACTACCGGAAAGAAGAGATATTATCCATATCCTCAGACCTTATCAGCGTTCAAATTCAATGAAATTGAGATCCATTAACACTAACTTTTTACTTCGTTCTCAAGAAACTAAGACCCTTCAAAAGGGAAACTAACATAAAAATGGATTCAAATTACATGTTACAATTTGCAAATACCAAAAATAGTCAAAATCCTGGTCAGGCTCAAGACTTTCGAGGCTTAGAGAAAAATTAAAGCACCAAATTAACGAAAACCCAAGCTCAGCATTTTCAACTTTTTAAAACAGTTTGAAGCAAATGGGCATCAACAGAATTCAGCAGAAAAAAGCAAAAATACACACAAAATTTTACATAGATGTCTTAAGAAGACGAATTAACGAGAACCCATGATTTGAAATTGAAGAAACTGATTCAATAGACTATTGAGCAAATGGGCATTAATAAACCAGAAAAAGGAAGCAGTGAGAACACTGTAATCAATATTACATTATGCAAAAGAGATTCTTTAAAGCAGCAATGTAAGAACTTTTAAAAGCGGAAGAGAAGAGTGTTTATGAGGCGCAATCACATGACCCGAGAAATAAAGAAGACACAGAAAGGCAGAGCAGCTACAGAACAATGAGGCTATAAAGGAGAAAAGGAGAGAGATAGAGAGGAAGTATCTGAGAGATTTTTGCACACAGAGATTGCAAAGGAAGGATTTTCGCGTGAAGGAAGTAGTGTGTGGTGACTAAGCATAAATAGGACTTCTTTTCAGGCGTAGAATAAAACAAACAAATTGACAGAAAAAGAAAGAGACGCACAGAGACACGGAGATAGAAAATAATAGATTAACACAACGGTTGGCCTAATATTTTAAAAACAGGTTTCTTTTAAAAAACAGGTGAAAACTTCGTTCTCACCGCCTCACATTCTTTCCCTCACTCTCTCCACCCCAACTTTCCCCCACTCCCAAACAACACATTTTGGTGAAAAAACATGGAGAACCCAGTATTTTTTCATCCAAACTTGTTGATAGCTTATGATTATAAGAAGGTAAATGAGCTAAAACTGCTTGTAAATTACTGAAAATTTATGCGAGAATGACCATTTTTTATTGACTGAATTACCTTAATACACCTTACTAAATTTTTTTTATCAATGGTCAGCTCATGCAATAGCATGAAGACCTTCCACCAGGCTATACCTAAATGTTCATAGTCTTACTAAATTCAAAAATATTAAATTTGATGGAGATAAGTAAGGTGGACATTTAACTTTTAATCAAATATTTAACTAATCACTAAAAATTTAATTTTTTTAATCGAATTTGAAATGGAATATTTCGAATGCTAAGACAAGCATGAATACTCGTAACTCTCTGTAGTTCTCTTGCCTCTTGCAAGAGGAAAAGGACCTAATTATAATTAGGTTGCAACTTGCAAATGATAGCTGAGAGGCTGAGGAAAGACAAATACAGTGATTGCAACTACCAGCTTTCTACTTTAACAACGAAAAAACTACAAACACGCCAATTTTTAAGACGAGTTTTGTCGACTTGATATGTCCAAATTACCCTTACAGTGCTTCAATCAATAAATAATAAACGAAATAAAAAAAGCTAAGACGCATATGGCAATTGGCATTATATGGCAATTGGCATTATTATTTTTTTTATTGAGTATTGCATTATGAAAGTGATTCGAATTTGAATTCATTACAGAAATGTATTACACTTACTATTAAATTATGCCTTAATCTGTAATATTACTATTTTTAGTATACGCATATTGCTTAAAAAATTAGGATTGAAGCCCAAAGAAAATTAACCAATAATAAATAATTAATTAGCAAATAATTAATTATTAATTAAACTAAGTGGTTTGCATTAGAGATTCAGATTATGAGATTAAGTTTTTCTTGATACCTTAAAAAACTTTACCAGAAAGCTGAAAGGATCTTTACTAATAAAAAAAAGGGCTTTAATTGATTCTGGCATATCCTGGCTACTCACTAGTGGAAGTCTATAATCCTACCTTTTCTGGGTTAGTTCTGAAGTGGAATTTCCATGTCCATTAACATTTACTCATTAACATTCTTTTTAATATAATTAAAATCTGGAAAACTGACATTTTCTGTTATAAGTAACCCTTTTAACAGTTGGTCACAAAAGCAAATCTATAATTAGAATTGCAAATTAAATCTGTCCGGTACATATACGATCTGACAATAGATTCAATTTCAAATTTCCTTCTCCAATATAAAAAAAAAAAAAAAAAAAACAAAATAGCGCGGTAATGGCGGCGATGCCCCTTATGGCACGCTATTGGCATTTATATGGCAATTGGCATTATTATTTTTTTATGGGAGTATTCATTATGAAAGTGATGTGCGAATTGTGCTGAATTATCGGCCACTTTTGGGACAACGGAATATGTATTTTAAGGTACGACTTTCATACTATATAGACCAATTATCGCCTTTTAGGGATCAGTGGGTGTTAATAACATATTTACTCGTAAGTGTATTATCGGGGATTCAACGCATTATTTTGTACTTTAAGCAGAAAATTAGTGTATATTTGTTTAGAGCTCATCATATAAGAGAGGATAAAATTAACAATAATAATAATAATTTAATTACTGTCACATCAACATAAAAACTCTGAGAAATTTAGTGTAATATATATTAAGAGATGTGTTTGCTCAATTAGCAAGATCTCAAGATGGTATGAGCCATTATGTAAAGAGTTTTTTCTCTCTGATACCTATAAAAACGTATTACCAAGAAAGTAACTCGAGGAAGGGCATCTTTTTTCACTTTAATAAAAAAGAAGGGTGCTTAAATTTAATTATCTGCTGGCAATTCCTGGCTCTTATATTAGGGCTCACTAGTTGGACCACAAGTCTATAAATACCTAACGGATTTTTTGGGTTCATAAGGGATTTTCCTTTGGTGAAGTGGATTTTCCGGTGGAACGAGTTCCGATTTTATATAACAGATTTTGACTGGCTATTTAAACTATTCAATTGTTGCCTTATAATTATCAATGGCGAAAGTCCCGATTATACTGGTACCAAACCTTAATGACAGTGTTTCTATGTAGTTATTAGTGAGACCCTTTTAATCAGTATTATTTTGGCATCGACAGTAAAATGCCGGCTACAAGAAGTCGTGATAATACTGATCGAATTAATAGCCACTAATCCTAACATTCTTGTCTAGGTAGGTACGAGTATACGGGATAGTCTAAATGACTAGAGAGGATCAATTAATTCAATGAAATCCTATCGAGCGTGTGCGGTCCGAATGTTATAATACAAAAGATATATAAATAAAAAAATCTTCATCAAGTGTAGAAAATACGTTTTAGAGTGGCGTCCTTAAAATTACAATTACTTTCAACCTTACATGAACTTTACAAACGTATGTGTAACATAAGCAATGATTTCATCAGGGTTAATAGTTTTTTGTGTTATTTTTTTACTAAAGAAGGGTAAGCCCTTACGCAGACGAGAACATCTTATATGAAGAGAATAATAAGAAAAGATATTATACCGGTCAATTCGATAATGTGTAATAATATCCTATCTCTCGTTAAGGATAAATTCAGCAATCCATATGGATAGGACGACTGGTGTCAGTAGGTTGGATGTCTTCCAGAATGAACATATTAGGGTTTGGTAAAAAAAAAAAAAAAAAAATCTATAATTAGAATATTTAAGTGCTAATACAATTATTTCAATCATCTTTCAAATTGGTCAAGCAATTGATTCACAGGGTTAATAGTTTTTTTTTTTTTTTTCTAAAGAAAAATACCAAACGAACTTTTATAAAATAATGAAAGATTTCCTATCGAAATTGTGTATCCTACGTTAAATTAATTCACAATCAATGGCACTGTCAAGTCGAATGAAATATTTTGTCATTTTCCAATGGATGGTGAGTGTTAAATGATCATTTCTAAATGGGTCCAAAGCCAAAGCAGTTGCAAAATTAATGATGAGAAAAGATGGTAGATAGCCATCAATTATTGATAAAAAGGAAATCCGCGTACGCAAATCGATCTTTCCTTAAAGAAATTTCATATCTAAAATTCGAATTTAACCCATATAATTAGATTTTTATTATTTTATCTTATCATTCGAGAATTTTAAAAAAAAAAATCTCTTTTTACTTTTTTTCTACAAATAATTATACTTAAAAAAAAGTCTATGGGTAATTAGAATTTGATAATACAATAATTACATAATAATTAAACTTTACCATGGAAAACTTGTTCCTGATTTTAATTTGATGTTGCCAAATCTTTTTATCACCTTTTGACTTTGTTTAGTACAACATTATTAATTTGAGTTAAATCAGCAGCATAACAAATTCTTCTCGTGACGCCAAAGCTCTGCTCAGGGACATGGCTAAGCTTTCCCCTCCGCCATTACCGTTCTCACAGCTCAGACCTTACTAATATTAGAAAATCACAATCTATCATTCTCAGTTGCCTACAAAGTATCGTATTCCATCAAAACATTGTTAAAGATGGATATCGACATTTCGCATCACATATAAAATTTTAGACGCAAACTTATAAGATTTTTTTTAATTAAACAATTTATGCAAAGTTAAGGTTTTATTTCTTTTTATTTCTCAGAAAAGAAATATTTATATAATTCAAGAGTTTTTAAGATAAAGAAATTGTAGACTCGTGAGAATACCAACCGAACCGCAATTAATTATCGCTATAAGTCTCATTTTAATTTAAACACCACTCATAAGTGAATTAAATAATATATTATAAGCTTATCAAAAAAGAAAAATAATATCATATGAATAAGGTCTAACCAGTGGAGATTAAAAAGTTGTACATCTTAATAAAAAAATAATAATAATATTAATTTCTATAAAAAAAAAAAAAATGGAAAACCTACCTACTTAATTTGCATTACCGGACAGCTAAGGTTCATTAAGAAACAATATCCTTTTTTTTTCTGCATTGTTTTTTTATATTACAAGGTTGCATGTGCATTAAAAAAAATAATAATAAGTAAGCTTTTTTTTGGCTTCACAAATAAATTAATATATATATAAGAGCAGAACTTACTGCTTGGCTGGTTTGGTTCATGAACGATGTACGAATAAAGGTTGACTAGATAATGGACCGACTCACAATTATTGTTTCTTATTCGTCTAACGGTGATCATCTAGCTTCTAAGGCCTAATTTTTAATTTTATCTTATTAACGTGACCAAATATTAAAGTTTTTTATATTTGGTTTGAGTTGTTTGACTCTAATATATAATTAATTTTATTTAAATAATTTCTTGCCTTGTGTATATGGAACTCTATATATCATTGTCCTTTTTGCCACCTAATTATTTATAAATTTCGAACTATTTAATATTTATTTTGTTCCCTACACTTAACGGGCAATATAAATTATCTAAAATTTAACTTTTTACATAATTTACTCTTTGAAAGTACCAAAAATAAAACAAAATAATAATCTTTTACAGTCTATTTGCTTCTCTAATTTTAAAGTTTAGGTTTTGAGGTTGAACTCAAGTTTATAATAAAAAATTTTCTTCCTGATTTATATAATTTTTTTTCCATTAAAAATTCAACTAGAATAATTTCTCGATGTATCGAAGAAGTTCTTTCTTTCTTAGTGGATTACTTGCATGCATTTGCAGATACAAATTGCAGAAAGCAATAAGAAACGTGTTATTTCCAATAACAAAATGTGTAGGACTATAGATAGATAGAGCATGCCATGGCCATTTTTGTGTTTGGAAGAGTGCTGCTTTTAGATATGGTGGGAAGAGGCTATGGCTAGCCAGTGAAAGGTGTGTTAGGTCAATTGGTTAGGTTATATCCTTTCCTTGTGGAACCCCACTTTCTTTTGATAATGTTCTAATAATTGATATCCCCAGATAACCCTGGTTCGCCATCATCAAAGATAAAAAGCAGGTAATTCTTTATTTCGTGCTTGAAAGAAAATTCCTTTTTTTATTATTTCTTTTACGTATAAGAAATAAAAAAATAATTTATTGCAAAATGAAGCTTAATTATATATATATATGTATTATAATATGGTAGACTATAATTATAATATGATCATAATGATGTAATTATTTTTGTAAGTTACTGGATGACAAAATTAAAGCAGATTAACATATAAAAACAGAAATTATAAAAATAATTCAGATTCAACGTCAATAGGATTCCAATTTAGAACCTTTTGTCTCAACTTAGACTATCAGTTTAATACTCTGTTCGCAACAATATCTGAACTAGCTTTTAGTATTCATTAACATAATTTTTATAATAATTTTAATTTAAACCCCTATATAAATATTAAAACAATTCATTTTGTCCAACGTACAATTAAAACCTCTCGGCAAGATGAAACTAAGTTTCATGTGTGCAAATTTGTCCTTTACAGAGCTTCTGAACCAATGTCCAATTGGCTGCAAAGTTACTATTTCAGGGTCAACATATATTCACAGAGAAACAAATTTTCATGCTTAGCATCTTATTATGAAGCTCAACAACCCTAGAGGTAGCTGATAATACTCATAGAAATGATATGTTGGTGCCCAATAAATATATGTATATACACTTTATATGCATTAAGGACATTAGTTAAGGGTCACAAAATTTTGAAAGGACTGTCATTAATTTGTCTTCTTCCTCCTTCTTTTGATTGAGGACAGTCAAATTAATTCCACTGCTCAAATACTGAGCATACAAACAAATCACAGAAAAGAACTGTCGAGCCACCAAATTTATAATAAGTTGTCATCACCAAACGTTATGGGAGCTTTCGGAATTGAAGTGATAGGGCAGTGGACCTTTGAAAGAGATAAAAAAAAAAAAAAAAAAAAAATAGGCATTGACGCTTGTGAAAAGAGATAATAAAAGTAAAAGAAAATAAAAGGAAAACTAAAGAGGTGGATATGCGCACAGAATGCTCATTACTTTCCTTTTCCTTGCACTAACTTCCAATTTATTCATCCTAATTTTGATTTTCACGCTTTGTCCTCCTCTTTGTATATAGGATCATTTGTTCTTGTTGTTCCGTGCTAGATTCTCTGCCTTTCCCAATGCCAAAAAGAATTGTTGATTAACGGAAAAAAAAAAAAAAAAAAAAAAGAAAACATAAAGAGCAATCCTATGCGCTAAGGACATGCTACTTTTCCTTTTCCTTGCACTAACTATCCAAACACCAATTTCATTTCACCTGTCTTCCCTTGTATAAGGATCATGTCTTGTTTCCCTAGATTCCTCCTTTCCAATGCCAAAAAGAATTGTTGATTAAAGGTATATATATACTTTTTGATTGTTTTTCATGTGCTCTATACATCATATGGCAGTTTTATGTAATGTGGGAAAATGTATTATCCTTATTCAAAAAATGAGTCATCAACAAAAAGGGAATGCACCCTTTGACGGTCCAAAAATAGCTTATTAGGTGGTGTAATTCACCATTTGATGAATTATTTTGGAGAATTGATTCAAAGCATATCTCATAAAGTTTCCTTCTTTTACATGAGCATGAGGCTTGTTTGGTGACTTTTTTTTTTCACATACCATGGCGTGTTCCACAACAGCTTTATAAGTAGGTTTTAGCGTAATCAAAACACTAAACGCTACTTTTTATAATATTTTAATAACATAATGTTTAAACTATTTTTTAAAGATTAATGTAACCTTTTGTAAAAAGTTAATTATGTAACGTTTAGTTTTTAACCTTTTATGAAATACTACTCAAGTAGTTAATAGCTAAATATTACTAAAACAGCTAACAGCTACCAAAACAGTTAATTTTATCGACAGACCTCATATTTCTAGTCTTGTATAAGTTGAATATCTTATAAAGTTTTCAAGGTAATAATTTAAATACTTATCTCATATTTTTCAAATCACATAATAAAAGTTAAAATCCCAAAGTTTCTTTATTTTTTTTTTAAAATTAGTTTTACTAGATAAATATATCTAATTGTTTATTTAATTAGATAAATTTTAAATCATTTCATCAGGTTAATAGATGTTAGCTGGATTTTTAACATTAATTTTGTAGATTTAGCATGAGCTATAAAAGGTGTTTGTCTTATTGCAAGATGAGGTACGGTGAGTGATTAATATAAGAGTAGATGAAGGTCAACCATATATTAATCTATTGTAAGCTGTGATGTAACCATCGAAAGTCGGTTTGATAATATATGGTTGAGGTTGAATTTCATTATTCAATTATGGAAATTGTCATGTTTGTTATATACGAAATATATGCATTTTGTGATAGCAAGGGTTTGCTAAACAAACAATTAAAAGATTTACAGATTATGACTTAATTGATAATGCAGACTGGATATTTGAGAAGACTTATTAGATTCGATCTCTAAATTCGATCTTGATTTTCCGGTAAATTCATTAAACTAAATTCATCTGCAGGGAGGAGCAAAGAGCCTTAACTATGATTAAGTCTCGAGTCGATTTAGCCAATCCTTGTTAATAAAGTCCGGATACCAACAATTTATACAAAAAAAAAAAAAACAATTAAAAGTTAATTAGTGGTTAGCATATGAGTTCTCAATCACTTGATTTGATTATTATAATTGCTATGCCGATTAGATTATAAAAATCTATTAAAAGTTATCATAATTAAAAATTTAGAAGCTTTTTTAGACCAAGAAAAGTCTTGAGGACACATGACCTATAAGTATATTTTGATATTAATTTTCAAAAATGATAAGAGCAATATCACAACGTAATAATATAATTAAATCTTCAAAGGAAAATTTAAGTCTGGCCTAGAATGCTCCTGCAGGCCTCTTATCAAGTTGCCCAGTGTTCCTCTTCTTTTAATGGGCCCATTTTGATTGCAATACATCGAATTAGGCAAATGGCAATAAAGCCCATTCTAGCCCAGCCCGCTGAGCCCATTGTTGGTGAAAATAAAAATGATAATCGGATAATCATCAATCTCATCCAGCATTTCAGGAAAGAGACACATATGTTTTACACACGTGTCACTTCACTCTTATCACAAATCCAAAAATCTATAGAATCCGGAACCGTCTCCACCCTCCACGTGTCCTTCGTTTCACCGCCATTATAACCAAACCCTACAAATTCCTGAATTTTCCCTCTTGCTTGTTTCCTTTACCGATTCCTTCCGGCAAAAAAATCGAAAACGTTAATCGGACAGGCCTAATAGCCAACCGACTCTTAACAAATGAACGCGACAATGCTGAGGCTCATGTCGAAGAGACTGCTCGGGCAGGTGCCGCCGCAGCCCGCTCAAATCCTGCCGCGTTTCTACCACGAGAACGTCATCGACCACTTCAATAACCCACGCAACGTCGGGTCCTTCGACAAGAATGACCCGACGGTCGGAACGGGGCTCGTCGGTGCACCAGCCTGTGGAGATGTGATGAAGCTGCAGATTAAGGTTGATGAGAAGACTGGAGAGATTGTTGATGCTCGCTTTAAGACTTTTGGTTGTGGCTCTGCTATTGCCTCCTCTTCTGTTGGTATGTTTTTATGCCTGGTTTTATTGAAGGGGATTGTTGGTTGGCTAGAAATCAGGGAGGGAATGGAAATTGACGGAAAAATCAATTCTAATCACCGAAGAGTTGTTTAATTGTTAGCTAGTGTATTAATTTAGCGATACAAATAAAATTAGGAACAGAAATTTGAGGTTCCGATTTGGGTTATGAGTAGCATGAATTTGATTTATTCAGGGGACCTAAATATAATTTATTGTCTTTTTTTTTTTTTCCCTATATTCAGCTACTGAATGGGTGAAAGGAAAGCAAATGGAAGAAGTTTTATCCATAAAAAACACGTGAGTTGATTGCTTTCCTTTTATTTGTTTTATGCTCTTGTTCTTTGCTGCTGTTTACCTGGGCGTGTGTTTTAATCTATTGATTAATTGCTTTCAATGAATGAAAATTCTGTGTTTGGAAATAATGCTTGTAAATGAATGCTTCTAGTTTTGTTGCATGTCTTGCATTTCTCCAGCTCTGGGCTGACGCTTATTAGGTTATCATGTATGCAGAGCCAATTTAAATAATCTTTCTAGGTTAGTTTTAAATTTTTTTCCCCCTATCATTTGATGGGTCATAGTCTAAATGGTTGAGTTAATTTTCTCATAGACTTTCCTGTAAGTCCAGAAATCTAGCCGGTTGAGTACATTTATGCCAGATGAGCTTGTAACCTTTCTCAAACGCAATTTCATCTGATATCAACTAAAGAACTTGATTGTGACTTTATGATGAGCCATGAAAGTAAGATAAGGCACCAGATATTTTAAATTTGCCTGCTAGATGGATCTGACTATTGGATTGGCAAATGTTATGCTGATAACTGAGTAGGTGAATGGAAGTAACAATTGCAGTAAGCTTCCATCTGATTCCATCTATGTTTTTGTTGGTTTTAAAGGGTGTATTGGATATAGAGTCAGCCTACACTAGTAGACTAGTCTTTCTAATTGGGTTTGGATGATATAGTCCTTAAAGTAGCATCAGTATCATATGCTAAGAATTCTAAAAGAACATGTATTACAAAAGAAAAAAAAAAAAAAAGGAGAGAGATTGTCAACCACAGCTTTTGAATCGCATATATCATGGATTTGAAGAAAGGTGTGGATGTTTTGAAGATTAGAGAGTGAGATTCTTTGTAACCATGGGATACAAGTGTCATATAGCGCCTAAGTAGTTTTTATTTTAACTTTTTGGTCGCACCTTTGAAGTAATTCTTGAATTTACTAGTGGACAACAACTAGAATTATTCTCAGCCACTACACATACTTATTTTGCTTTCTGTTCTCTTTGAGGTCTTTTTCCGTTGGATACATGACACAGATGTGTGACTAGTTTTGTGCTGGTTATCAACCTACCATGTAGGTGTCAAATGCCAAGATGGAGTTCAATATCCCCCACCCACCAATATGTCTTGAAGATGTAGCATGTATTCCTTCCTGTAGGTGTTGCCTGGGTCCTAATTGTGACACTGCCCATATTTAGTTGTGGGAAACTTAATATTCGTTGTCATTGAGCTATATTGTATTTTATTTTTCTCTGTGTAAGGTTTTTACCATCTCCATGCATATTTGTTTTTTTGGTTAAGTTTTTTACTTTATCTAAGAAAAGGTTTTCTCATCATATATCCTGAGTTTTCTTATATCAACAAATTCTCCATGGATGACTACATCTGCTCCGACACCTAACAATTCCATGTATGATTGTAGAAATCCACAAGCAAAATTCTTCAGCACAATGATATGGTTTTAGTAAGCACACAGGTCTATATGTAACAGACTAAGGAATGACATGGTGGTGAAGCAATGATAACTGCACAAGGAAGTTGAGTGGAGGAGATTTTGGTGACTTGAGAACCATGCTATTCTCTAACCAAGCTTATATGCCCTTTGCTTTTTATTCTCTAACCAAGCTTATATGCCCTTTGCTTTTTGTTCTCTAACCAAGCTTATATGCCCCTTTGCTTTTAGTCTAAGCTTTAAGTAATTTCTCCTTCATTGAAGATCTTATCTTAGCTGTTTAAGATATTTGAGCTGTCTGTTCTCAAAATGTATGAATGATAACAGATGGGTGTCAATGGCATGAATTCAAATAGTTTGCAGAGATGGAATATTGAAGAAAATAATTTTTATTGGCTGGTAATGGAGAGATTTTCAGATTGTACATCTTTCATGCCACAAATTCGTAAATTACACTATCTAGTTGGATTGAAAAGATTAACGAAAGAAAAAGCAAATGATGTGCATGGTAGAGATCCATGCTATTCTCTGACCAAGTGTATATGCCCCTTGAGTTTTGGTTTTAGCTTTAAGTAATCTCTCCTTTGTGGAAGATATTAATCTTAGCTGTTCAATATATTTGAGCTGTCTGCGTTCTAAAGGCTATGAATGATAAGGGATGGGTATCAATGGCATGAATTTAAATAGTTCGAGGGATGTAGGATCAACGGAGTAATTTTTTATTGGCACAAATTTGAAAATGGCACTATGTAGTTGGATTGAAGAGATCAATGAAAGAAGAAGCAAATGATATGATATGCATAGTAAAGATAATTCTTTTCTGTGTAATGACCAAAGTTGTGCGTTGTTTGGCTGTTATGATATTGTAAGACTTCTTATATTGTAGCATGCAATATCTAATGCCATTTTATTTTTAAATTTATTGCAGGGAGATTGCAAAGCATCTTTCTCTTCCACCAGTGAAGCTTCACTGCAGCATGCTTGCAGAGGATGCCATCAAGGCAGCTGTGAAGGATTACAAAACAAAGCGTTCAAAATCAAATGGCAGTCTTGATGCTGCACCTATTGAACAAGCTGCTCAAGCTTGAAGATGTCTCATGTGTATATGATAATGAGAATGTTAATCCAATAGTGTTATCTTGTAGCTAAAATAATGGATTGCACCTAAACTCAATTGTATCTGAGGCTTGGGTTCAACTCATGTCTAGCAATTGTTTGTTACAAATTGGTGGTGTTTATTATGAAATAGACGTTACATGTGTGAATTATGTTCTCCATGTTCATGTTGGTGGAAACTATTGGTTGGATTGGATCGAAGATTCTCAATTTAGTGGTGGTTAGCAGGAATATGCAATTTTTATACCTAAGACATAGATACACGTTTTCTATTACATCAAATGTAGTTTTAAGCTGAAACCGTTTAAAGTAATAGTTGTTCAGTCTTTTCAGGCATCAATTGAGTAATGGGTTCATTTTGAACCAACTATCTTGGTGCAAAACATGCATGCTTTAATTATTTTCTGAATTATTGTTTGTTATTTGTTAGTGAAATTTGCATTTATAAATTATTCATGTTAAATAGGAGAGATGCAAAAAAAAAAAAAAAAAAAAAAAAAAAAAAAAATTTGTAATGAAACGTTTGCATTCTATAAATTTATCATGTTTAAAATAGGAGAGATGCATAAAAAAAAAAAAAACAAAAAAAAAAAAAAAAGATCGCTACTTCCATTCAATTTCTATGACATTCTTGGCACGTCTTATATAATATTAAGACGTGCATAAAATGTTAATAGATATTTGAATGAAGTAAGATCTTTTTTTTTTTTTTTTTTTGCACTCTCCTATTTTTTTTTTTTTTTTTTTTTTTGCATCTCTCCTATATATCCCCAGATTTCGTCATTTGAAGTTTGAATTCTCAATTACTAATTTGAGAATAATAGCGTTTCAAATGTTTTTAGAGGTGATTTGGATTGATAGAATGGGAAATTTATGAATTTTACAAAATATAAGAAATGTAGTAGAATCCATGAATTGCGAAATCATGTGGTTCCAGTTTCACTGTACTGTTGAAAAAATAAAATACATAGATTTAAAATATTGTATTTTTCAATAAAACTAAATGATTTAAATTACATTATTAATTAAAAGTGGGATTTTCTATCTTCAGTTGGCATCTTTTGAAGTTCGACACATTTATAGGGAAGCAAACTTTTGCGCCGACTTCCTCTCCAAGGGCAAGGCTGCTGGCAGTTTTCCCATGGGCACTGATTTCCTTTTTGATCCTCCTCAGGGCATTGGGTCGTGGCTTCTACATGTTATTATGGCTGTCTCTTATTCTAGACACTGTTTGTAATATTAGAGCCTAGCTCTCCCTTTTTTTTACAAAAAAAAAAAAAAAAAAAAAAAAAAAAAAAAAAAAATTGAATTCGATGCTAAAATCCATTACTAATCGGGCAGGCCTATTTTTTCTTAAGCAAAGTGATTTGAGAATTCATAAATATGTTAGAATGTAATGTTTTATTGTCAATATCTTATTAATTCAAATATCATCTTTAAATCTTTTCCTAAATTATTGGTTCTTCATATAATGTTAAATTAAAAGAAATAAAAAAAAAAAAAAAAAAAAAAAAAAAAAAAAAAATTGGATCGATGCTAAAATCTACTAATCGCAGGCCTATTTTTTCTTAAGCAAAGGATGAAATTTCATAAATATGTAGAATGTAAATGTTTTATTGTTCAAATTTTATTAATTCAAATACATCTTAAAATCTTTCCTAAATTATGGTTCTTCAAAATTAAATTAAAAGAAATAATAAAATTAACAAAAAAAATTCAAATGGAGTCTTCATTAATTGTAATTCTTTTAAGAAAATAATTTACTGTGTACCCTAACTAAATATTTATAGATGTTATTAATCCAAAAGCCTTTTTCTTTAATGTCTATTAGAAATAAAAATACAGCATTTATAAAGAGTAAATTTGACAGCAATAACTACTATTTCAGAAAAGGAAAAAGAGAACAACAGAAATGAATTTTTTTTTTTTTATGGAATAAATGGAAATTTTATTAAAAAGAAAAAAGTTAAATATGTTATGATTTATGATTAACAAACGTTAAAAAAATGAAATTGCATTATTGGCGGGCCAATCAGTAAATTACCAAAGATGGCGCGAAATTAACCACATAGGTCCTCCCACCCATTGACTAGCGTGACTGTCACGTCCACCCGCCGCGAGTATTTCTTAACTTCATTAAGGCCAAAATGAGTCTTTCCCATTTTTTTGGTTTGATATCTCTATATGCTGTTTTGGCTCACTATCACAATCCTGTTCTTCGCGTTTCTTCTTCTTCTTCTTCTTCTTCTTCTTGTAAGTCGTACCTGAATCAAATCATAATATCTCAATCAAATAAGCATAGAGCTGTTTCAATAACTTTTGTATTTAATCATAACAACATTTCTTGTGATGTTTTATTTTCGGTTCAGCAAAATAAGTCGGTCTCTCCACTTTCGTTTTCTACTGGTTAATTTATTCTTTTGAGTTTTGACTATCTGGGTTTTTCTATATTTTTATTTTTTTGTTGACTTATCTGGGTTTGGCCTATCTTTTCCAATTGAAATAGGGGTTTCTTTGTATACCATACACAATTTTATAATAAAAGTACGTTGCCTGTGATCGTTGTTCATTGGATGTGAGCTGTTTTTTACTGGTCAGACTTAGATGCAATAAATCTCACTAACAGTTTCTAACTTCTTGTTTTATGAGGTGGGCCTTATCACATCGACAAATTTTTAGTATTTATTTGCTCTTTTTTTTTTTTTTGTAATCATCGAATTTGCCCTCCAAGATAGGTTTTTAAGTTCGTTGATTTTTGTAAATGTTGTATCATTTTGTGTATCTTTATTTATATATTGTTTGTTGTTTCTTCTTCACTGCTTTTGCGCCTAATTTGCAAGTACATATATAAAAATTTATGTCCTTTTTAGAAGTACAAGACAAGTGACCAAACCAGCCTTTGACCCAAAACTGTTTTGGTTGTGTATGTGTAGGTTAGGGAGCAGTTAGTAAGATTTTTGGATTAATGGCTGGTTTAAAAGAGGACCCAGTTCTTGGTATTAACGATATAATGGAAACAAACGAAGAGGCTGAGATTAGGGACGGTGTTATAGGCAAGGTGAGAGAGGAAGCGGGTCAAAGTGAAAAAGATATGGCTCCTCCTACTGGTAATTCCATTCATAGGTCTGGTTCCAGACCCCAGCTGGACCTCAGCAAGGCTGCAATTCAGGGGAATTCTGAGGAGAGGGATCCTACAATTTTGTTGCCTAATCAATCCGATGATCTATCCCATTTGGCTCTTGATATTGGAGGTATAGTAATGTAATTCAGCTTTGAGATTGCGGTTTTTGGCTCCGTTATTTGGTTTCCACATATGAAGTATAAAATATATATTCTTGTTTTGGGGATTGTGTCTTCTTCGAATGTTGTTAAATGGTCCTTTCTTTTGCCTTTTGTTTGTTTGGTAATCTATTGGCCCTTTGGGAAGATGAACAGGGGATGAAATCTTGATTTTGGTGTACTTCATATATCACATACGTGCACCCCTTTTTCCTTCATTCTGTTCTTCTTTCTATCTGTTACCTTATTTAAGACTATCTTTTTTCCCATTGCCTTCTTCTTTATAAATTTTTCCCCTCCCTTCCCTTCATTAACATTTCTGAGATAATTTTAACTGCTATATTTAGTAATGTAACTAAATATTTTCCTTCCGTTCCTTCACTTCTGCATGCAGTTCTTCTTATTTATTTTTGTTTAAACAGGGAAAATAATTTATAAAGTGAATTTTTAATTTACACATTGATACCATTCAAGCTGCTTGAAATTTGTCGATTCTCATTTCTGCTATGCTGAAAGTTAATAATACCTGATGGCAGGATCTTTAATCAAACTGGTGTATTTTTCAAGACATGAAGATAGATCAATAAATGATAAAAGGAAGAAGACAGTAAAGGAGAGATTAGGGATTTCTAATGGTAATAGGAGAAGTTACCCCATTCTTGGTGGAAGGCTTCATTTTGTGAAGTTTGAAACAAGAAAGATTAATGAATGTCTGGACTTTATTTCTTCCAAGCAGCTTCACCGTGGTGGTATTGTACTTGCTTTCATTTTTAATCTTTAACTAAACTCATTTCATTTTCTAATTGCTAATGCAATGTATTAGTTTGATATACTATGATTATTTGAATACATTCAAGTTGTCAATTTCATTTGCATTAATCATTACCTTCTTCTTTTCTTTTTCTGTTGACAAGTTGTGTAATTTCTTGGTGGATAGGAATTGATTCACATGGTTGGCTTTCTGAGACCCCATCCAATTGCAATGCTGTAATTAAGGTAAAAATTGTCATTTAAGTTCCCCCTTCATCTTTGGAGTTAATTATGCATGCTATATAAAACAGTTAATGTCTCAAAATAAAGGAAACTATAACAAAATTTCATTTTTGTTAGGACTTGATTTAGTATAGTCTTTAGAATTTCCTTGTATTAGCCAGAAAATATGTGGGAGAACTTGTTATCAGTTGACATGCTGATGTCATTTATTCCTGGTCATGTATTTGTACTTTGTAGTAAGCCCATGTTTTCTATACCAAAATTATAGGTCTTTTAAAGTTCCTCTTCTAATTCGGAAAACAAACCAAGGATTTTGGAAATGAACTGAAAATATATGACTGACTGAGAGAGCTGAATTGACGGAGATGAAATTGCGAACTAACTTCCAGAAAATTAGACTGCAGGATACAGATTCTCTCCGTGATTTGATTGCAAAGGGGCAGCAGCAGCAGTTTCCATGATTACAAACCTGGATGGCATACTGACTATCCATGCCGTTATTTCTGCTTTCCCATTACTTGATCTGGAATTTTTTGAAAAGGTTCTTTGCAGTAAATGCTAACATTGAGTCCTTTCTGACAGGCTTATAGTTCGTTTCACCCTTTATTTATTTTATCTGAAAAAAAGCATTAACACATAAATTATTGGTAACAGGCAAATAGTGAATTCCTTGCTTTTGAGTTGAGATGTATTTCTATGACTAAGACTCAAATCATTTTGTTTCAATAGTCTGTTCCTACTCATATTTTTATAGCTCATAATAATGAATTGATTTTCTGAGAAGGCCACAGGTGGTGGGGCATACAAGTTTACAGACCTCTTCAAGGAAAGGCTTGGTGTTAGTCTTGACAAAGAGGATGAGATGGATTGCCTTGTGGCAGGAGCAAATTTTTTGCTTAAGGTGGAATCTGATGCTGATTATTTTTTTTATTTACACCGTTTTAATGCATGAGTTTTTTCACAAATAAGATGATTGCCAATGAATAAGGTAGATGAATGTTTAAGCTCCCCTTTTCAATCCTCCAATCTCTATGAATTCAATGATTATACTGGTCTGGACTTGGTTTTCAGTTATATCATCTGGTGATATCAGATTATATTCTCGCTGTAGAGCTACCAAAAGAGTGGTGTTTTAACTCTTTTTCTTAGGTTATCATTCAAATATTATTGTGTTTCAGTTTTTCCTTTTATGTTTAACTATTATATAAGAGCGGCTTGACTTAAATGTATCAATTTTAGAAGTGCAGGGAAATGAGGGGAACAGTGTCACTGTCCCTATTTGTGTAAATGGAATTAGACTTATGATTGTGAGATTTTTATTTCTCAGACATAAACTTACTTGAAGAGTTTCTTATTGGTTTGTTGTTGTTAAATACTTAATTCAGTAACCTCTATTCCTCTCTTAACCAAATTGAGTAGGCTATTCGCCATGAAGCTTTCACACACATGGAAGGTCGGAAAGAGTTTGTGCAGATTGACCATAACGATCTGTTCCCTTATCTTCTTGTTAATATTGGATCTGGTGTTAGTATGATCAAGGTACATTAATGTCTTGTTCTCAGTTTGCCAGCACTTGAGCTTAAGCACGTTTAAATTCGTGAAGGTATCATTGTGCTTTTTTAATGTTACAGGTTGATGGGGATGGGAAGTTTGAGCGGGTTAGTGGTACAAATGTTGGTGGTGGTACCTACTGGGGCTTGGGACGGCTGTTAACTAAGTGCAAGAGGTTCTCATCATATCTAAACACTATTTTCTCTCTGTTCTTTCAGAAATTCTGTCAAGCTCTTACTCTTGTTCATTTCAGTTTTGATGAGTTGCTAGAACTGAGTCAAAGGGGAGATAATAGGACAATTGACATGCTCGTTGGTGATATTTATGGTGGTATGGATTATAGTAAGGTATGTTATACTTCCAATATTTATTCCTTTGTGTAGGATGACATTAATGGAAGTGCAACTGCATCATCCATTGGTACTTTAAACTAGCATTAATACCTTTTTTAGAAATTTTTAGAATTTCGTTTTCCCAATTTATGATGGTGACAATACACCTCAAACTGAATCGTATAGATCGGTCTCTCGGCATCAACTATTGCTTCTAGTTTTGGCAAAACTATTTCTGACAAGAAGGAACTTGAAGACTACAGACCAGAAGACATTTCCCTGTCCCTCCTGCGAATGATTTCATATAACATTGGCCAGGTGAGTAGTGTGAGGGATTCTATTCTACAAAAATTTTAATATGTTGGCTTCTCTTCCAGAGAGTGTAATGAGACAACTATGTGGGTATAAAGTGATACATTGAGTTTTTAGCATTCAGATTGGTTTATCTTCTAAATCATTCTTGGTATTTTCTGGAACCATATTATTATGATTCTACAACCTGTTAACATTTTGATAAAAGTAACAAGTATGAAGTGTTTGAAACATGCAGTTTCTGTGTTGGTAGTAAAGGACAGGTTTTAATTGTTAGAAAGAAAACCTTTAATCCTTTGGAGTAAAGGTGATTATTTTTTCTGCCTGATTTTAGAGCATGGCAGGTTCAAGTGTTGACATTGATAGGTTTTAAGGTGTAAAGACTAAATTCCCTTTCTAATAATAATTTGATTGTAGCAAACAATTGGTTGGTATTATTGGAACTCTTATCAAATCTAAAGTGTGGTATACAGCCATCATATTGTCATATCTATATATGGATTTGTCTTCACTTGCATTCACAATAACTAACTAGTCAATCCATTTGTAATTGTCATTTGGATCATATATAAAGTATTCTCATTGGAGATGACCTCTCATTTATGGTTTCTGCATAATTGTTTTCAGACATGTGGACTCCTGTTATATTTAGTTTTGTTAAGTGATGTGTTCAATGTTATTTCCTTAACATAATTGTCTGGCATGATCATGTCAGATAAGCAGTCATATAATTGTTAATATGTTCTGGTGTCTGCATTGGCTGTTCTGTTATGCAGATTTCATACTTGAATGCACTTAGATTTGGGCTTAAGCGAATTTTCTTTGGAGGTTTTTTTATACGGGGCCATGCTTATACCATGGACACTATCTCCTTTGCTGTTCATTTCTGGTAAGCATTATTTTTTTTAGTGTTAAACTTTCACCAATTGATCTAAGGCTGATAATATTATTTTGTTTATCAAAATGCTTTCTTCTTCCCGGCTATTATATTGGAGTGAAGTGTGATCAGTCTGTAACTTTATATTCATTGTATAGGTCGAAAGGAGAAGCACAGGCAATGTTTCTTCGCCATGAAGGGTTTTTGGGGGCTTTAGGCGCATTTATGAGCTATGAAAAGCATGGTCTTGATGACTTAATGGTTCATCAGTTAGTTGAAAGGTTTCCAATGGGTGCACCATATACTGGTGGAAAGATTCATGGGCCTCCACTTGGAGACTTGAATGAAAAGGCAAGTGTAATTGGGGTTGGAAAATATCACCTGAACTGATAACTCCATAAAAATTGATTGCTCTTGCAGGGGTGGGCAAGAAAAACGGAAAAGCCAAAAAATCAATCTAAATTGGTCAAGAATATTTTCAGCTAATATTTTAAGCATATGAATGCTCCATTATTTTGTGGTATCTTTTGTTGCTTCTGGTATAGTGTAAAAATAACCCACTTTGGTGATTCTCTAGAATCATATATTCTTTTTTATTCTCTATATTTTATATCTCCGAAGGAATAGATTCTTGATAAAGCATGTAGGCATGTATCTAGTCTAGGAAAAGGGAAAAAGAGATATATTTCTAACCAACTCGATAGCTAGTAAAGGTAAAAAGGTTCCAACCTGTAGATGCTTACCAGTAAAAGCGTTGAAGTTGATGTGTGATTGAAAATTTGGCAAGTGGAAACAAACACCTAGTTGCCTTTGTGGAAAATTAATTTGTCTTTTCAAATTGATTTCCAAAGATGTTCTTTTATATAGCCATCTACACATGGGTGACTCGTGGAAAGAAAAAAGGGCCTACATCTCTTATCTCTCTCCCCTTTTTATTTTTTGCTACTATTAAGAGCAGCATGAGCACTCTTCATCCTGAAACTGAGTTTCTGTTTTCTTCAGTGGTGAGTGTAGTCCTGATATGCAGAGGTCTTGACCAAAACTCTTAAGGTTTTTTCCTGTATTCTTATTTTCAATTTCATAAACCTTTTTGTAAGTTACTGTGGAAAGTAATGGTTATTGACAATAGATCAAATAATAGAAAGTTTGCTATTGCTTCTTGGTTTAACTATCAGATTTCCTTGTTCATTCAGGAACATTTTTGTTTATGGTTTCTTTTTTTCTAATTTTATTTCCTGTTAGACCTAATGTGCAATTTAATTTTGAACAAAATGCAGATTTCATGGATGGAAAAATTTGTGCTGAAGGGAACTGAGATTACAGCTCCTGTACCTATGGCTCCACCTGGAACAACTGGACTTGGTGGCTTTGAGGTTCCTTCATCCCAAGGCCGTACATTGCGTTCCGATGCAAGTGCATTAAATGTCGGCGTTCTCCATCTTGTACCTACTCTGGATGTGTTTCCTCTGCTGGCAGACCCAAAAATGTACGCGAAAACTTTGTGCTGGTTTTATCAACTGCTTTAGATAATTTAAGGTATGGGTGAGCGTTGGTTAACTAAATTGAATTTTCAACTAACCAAATTTTTTAACACCTCCAAACTAGTACTCGAAACAGATTATCACTGAATCATTTTAATTTATGATATATATTTATTAATTTATATATAATTAAGAAAAATGTAATTTTTATGCAATAAAAAATATTCTATTATTTATGTCACAATCTTTTAGGTAACCTAACTGAACCATATTTTTTCATACTGAAACACAGCCAAATTTGGCCAGCCCAGTTCAGTTTATTTGCTTATAGCTGAGTAATTCACAGTACTAATTTACTGCCTAAATCCTTCCTACTTGATCTGCACACTCCTGAATGGTTTTATCTGATTTTGATTAGTATTGTAAATATATTTATGATTCCAATCATGGTATTGAGTTTTCACCCATTCACATTTAGCTACCAACATTTTGGGTGGCAAAAGCATTATGACGAAATATTGGCAATATTCAATCTATGTTTTCAGGACTCAATTTAGTCGATAGCTGTTGCTTCTGCAAAAAATTGTATATCGTTTGTTGTGACATAATTATATGAGTCATCATCTATTTTTCATGTCTCAATCTAACTTAGTGTGAGTGTAACTACTTGCTTACTAACAGGTATGAGCCCAACACTATTGACCTCTCAGACCACAAAGAATTAGAGTGAGTATTGCAGCCTATTTTAATAATCCCTGGACAAGATTAATTGCTATACCAGTCCGCTTCCATTTTTCACGTATCTGTAACTGGAAGGTTTCTTATATTTTCTTTTTTATTCTTATAAGGTATTGGTTCACTGTGCTGTCTGAGCATATGCCAGATCTTGTTGATAAGGTACAACAACAATATTGTCACTCAAATCTTCATCTCTTTCTTGTGTGTGACATAGAGGCATGCGCAAGAAAGATTAAAAATAATTGGAAGGTTACAGACATTCAGACGCACGTGCATGGGCACAAAACAAGTTCTCCCAACCGTTTAATTCAACTATGCCCGGAAGAAACTTAAAAAAAAAAAAAATGGAAAGTTTCAGACATTCAGATACATGTGCATGTGCACAAAACAAGTTTGCCCGACTATTTAAATTCACTATCTCAATAGGAAATTAAACGTTCCAAAAATAATTAAGAGTTGAGAACAGCTGTCCCATTAGCATCATGTATAAAGCATTAGTTTGAGTAAGTTGGAACTCTAGAGATGCTTCTACCCTTGGCCTTTCTACTGTAATCTCAAGAGATGAGAGCTTGTTTTCATTATTGAGAAAAATATGAAGTTGGACAGTTGCTACATAACATTTGTAAATTTGAAAACTTGGTGTGAAATTTGGTAGGCAGTGGCAAGTGAAGGTGGAACTGATGATGCCAAAAGAAGAGGTGATGCTTTTGCTCGTGCTTTTTCTGCTCACTTAGCAAGGTAATCCTACATTCTGTTATGTTATGTGTTACAAATCCATTATATCATTTGTCTTTCGTAAATTAGTTTACATCCATTTTTCCAAGCAAGTGCATCTCAACATGGTCTGCAATTACAGCATGTAATTAGAGATAATCCCAATGATTAATGGATATCTCATACCTCAAATGTTCTACACTTGTTTCATCACAAGCCCTCCAATCTTTTTCAAATCTGGTTCATTCTTTCTGGATGCAGAAATGTATATTATAAAGCCAGCTCATAACTTGATGTTTCTTTATTGGTTTCTTTACTTTTTGGATTGTATATCTTGTGGATATTTAGATTGTTAAGCTCGGCATGTCAATTCTTTTTATTGGTTCCATAGTTTATACTGAACATCCTTAGACATCGAACTTTTTTGTATTTCATTTTTATCATTGCCAACTTCCAAACATTTGAATAGATTGATGGAGGAGCCTGCTGCATATGGGAAGTTAGGTTTGGCCAATCTTTTGGAACTCAGGGAAGAGTGCTTGAGAGAGTTCCAATTTGTTGATGCCTATAGAAGCATAAAACAGAGGTAATCACAGTTTTCTTCACACCTATCCTGTAAGCATTATTCAAAGATAGTTTTTGTCTCATTTCTTTTGTGACAAATTTGAGTTTCATTTTCATGTTTTAGTTTATCATGGGGTGTGTGTGTGTGTGTGGGTGGGGGGTGTGTGTGTGGGTGGGGGGTGTGTGTGTGTGTGTGTGTATACATATATTCCTCTGAGCAAATATCACACATCTTAAATGTGAAATAATATTCAAGATGCATGCACAGCGCCGTTTGGATGTTCAGTGCTGGATACATTCCTTAAAACAATTTAAATCATGGAAAATCAAGGTGAACATATGACAAAAGGAATGGGATTTTCCTTCTGTATTACCTGACAATTAATGCTTTCACAAGTTAGCTTTACATCTGAAACTTATATATGAATGCATAGTAAGAGTAAAATTTTTTGGAGCCCAAGCTTATGCTTACAAACTTCAGAATACGACTTATTTTCTTTTGGTATGTCTATCCTTGATTTTTTGAATGTGACAGGGAAAATGAGGCATCACTTGCTGTATTGCCTGACTTATTGACGGAGCTTGATGGTATGACAGAGGTATGCATATTTTTTATCTTTCCTTTTTTTTCCTTTACCTTGCTTTTGTGGAATGGATGTTATAGTTTCTACAACCTGACTGTAAAATCTTGGCATCATAGACTCCCGGAAACTTTGGTGAATGACTTAACAAACAAATAAAGGAAGAAATGATTAATTTAATTATGATAATTAACCTGAATAGTAGAGGCTCATCATCTTTCTACCATAGTTTTGCTGCTTTGCCTGGCAACTGTTGATCTCCTGAATTCCTCTTTTTATTTTATAGGAGACTAGATTGCTCATGTTAATTGAGGGTGTTCTTGCTGCAAACATATTTGACTGGGGCTCTCGTGCCTGCGTGGATCTCTATCATAAAGGAACAATTATTGAAATTTATAGGATGAGTCGTGATAAAATGCAAAGACCTTGGCGGGTAGGGAGAGAAAAACTTATTTTACTTTGGAGGATACTGTCTTGCATTATATGTTGATTTTATTATTTGTCTGACTTGTCACTCAGGTGGATGATTTTGATGTTTTCAAGGAGAGAATGCTGGGTTCTGGAGATAATAAGCCTCGCCCACATAAGAGAGCTTTACTCTTTGTGGACAACTCAGGTGCTGACATTGTCCTGGGGATGCTTCCCCTTGCAAGGGAACTCCTCCGACGTGGAACTGAGGTAAGCTAGCATTTCTAGTACTGCTGGTGAAAGGCTTTTAAATAATTGATGTACTAAATATGATTTATGATTTTCATGCACACTTCGACTATTCTATTACAATCCAGTTTAAGGCCAAACAGTTGTGGACCTAACCTTTCTTCAAATTATTACTGGGAAAATTTACTGGTAATGACTTGATTTGTGCAGGTGGTTTTGGTAGCAAACTCCCTTCCAGCATTAAATGATGTGACTGCTATGGAGCTCCCTGAGATTGTCGCTGAGGCTGCAAAAGTTTGTCCTTACACATTATGACTTAATTTTTATCGTAATCTCCAATTTGATTGTTTATATTGTGGTTGGACAATGAAACTGAATATGGAGTTTATTGTTTGTTCTCGGGCGGCCGGGGTAGAGAAGATGGAAGTTGTGATCTTCATCTATATTATAATTTGAACTAAGAATGGTTAATGCTGGTGTTATCATTCCACTAGAAGATCGTATGATATAACTGCAATAAACTGAACTTGTGAAACTGATTCCTGTCCACAGCATTGTGACATTCTTCGCAGAGCTGCTGAAGCAGGAGGTCTACTTGTGGATGCAATGATTAACACTTTAGACAGTTCAAAAGAGAATTCTGCTTCAGTTCCCCTGATGGTTGTTGAGAATGGATGTGGGAGTCCATGCATTGATTTCAGACAGGTCAGCTCTGAGCTTGCTGCTGCCGCAAAGGATGCCGATTTGGTATGCCAGTTCCTATTTCTTATTTCCTTGTTAAGCATTGATTTCATGAATTTTATATTGTTAGAAAATGATCCTTTTTTAATTCCTTGCGTTTTTCCTTTCCTCCCTTGTGCCTGAGCAAATTTATAACACAAGATATAAATCATGCAACAGTAACCACACCTTGATTTTTTTATTTTCCAGATTATATTGGAAGGGATGGGGAGAGCTCTGCACACCAACTTCAATGCTCAGTTTAAATGTGATGTTTTGAAGGTAATAGTACAATTTTTTTCCCCATTTAGATCCAGTTGAAAACTTGAAAGGTCTGATTGTTAAAGTTAAATGATGATTCCTCCATTTTTCATGTTGGTTATGAGTGAATTCTACACTTGGCTTTTTAGAATCATTAAGGCTCACTCTTGACTGAGTTCTTGTAATCAGATTTTTTTTATTTTTGAGCAGTTTGATTTATCCTCCATAGCTATGTTTATTTGCAGCCTTGAAGGTTATACTAGTGCACAATCCTTCCTATATTGCTATGGAGAGATATATGACTGTTTCTCTAGACACTGTAATAATTTTTTTTTTCCTTTTTTGGGCAGCTGGCGATGGTGAAGAATCAGAGGTTGGCGGAGAAATTAATTAAAGGAAAGATATATGACTGTGTTTGCAGATATGAACCAGCTAGCTAGCTAGCTTAGAGCTTCTTTTCAAGTTATTTGCCATCAGTATATCATCACTCTCATATTGTGCTAAGAAATCAACAAGCAACTGTTATACTTAACAAAAAGTCTGGAAAACAACCTGTAAGATCGATGTGCAGATACTGCCTTTGACCTGGTTGCAACTCAACCCACGGAGGGGCAGAGGTTGCTATTACCTGAACCCGAAAGAAATAAAAAGTGGAAACAACAGTTTATGTTCTGTGCTTCCTCCATTTTCACTATTTTACTTGTGACTGTGAAAAACAGCGGAAGCTTGTGGTCTACTACCTGCCAGTGTCCACTTTTTCTTTAAGAGAGGAAATACACTTTTGTAAACAATATGTACAACTTTATGCAAATGAGAAAAGGGATTAATTCCCTTTATATTGAAATAACTTTTAATAAATTTGTAATTTATTTTTCCTGTACAGCAGTTGGTTCTATATGTAGTTATTTTGTGTTCATTATATTTTATTTATAGCTAAATCTGCACAGAAGCAGTAGATCTTTCAAGACAATTTCCTCCTTGTTTTAGGTTTACTCTCCCTTCTTCCCCAATTCTGTGTAGCACAATCTATCATCAATAAGTATCATACTTACAAATTGGTGATTGAACCATTTCAGAAGTCCTTATTTTATGCCTGATGTCTGCTGCTTGTACATCAAACCTTTTGATGTCTTCAGTTATAATCTTGTTCAATCTCATGGATCATATATCCATCTTTAGCATTTGAATTTCTGAACCATTCATCTTGTGAACATATCCATCTTTGGGTGAATGTTCACTCCTCTATCTGTAATTATATAAAATTCGTTAGTAATCACATCTATTTAATTGTATCTTGAATCTTCGTTTATATCACTCCATTACAAGTGTTGGAAAATCTGTGGGTATCAGAAATAATTTGAATTGTGAATTTTGTAGAATCAAAATAAATTAATTATTTTTTTAATCCATGAAAAGGTTAAAAATTGACGGATTGAGTGGAATCGGGATTCAACGCTCATTGCATGCCCACAAATACAAATAACAAAATTGAGGATTAAAATCAAAATAAAAATCCTTCGGGACTGCGGAAAACTTGTCTTATGGTGGACCAAATTGTTTCATGTTTTGTGAAGCAAAGTTAAATCAATTAAGAATCATGAGCTACTCATCAAACTACCTACGTTTGATTTCTTGGACAAAGCAGCTAAACTCTCACGTAAAGCAGGGCTTTCACCAACAAGCTCTTGTTGTTTTCAACCATATTCAAACTTCTCTAGCTCTCTCTCTCGATCCCTATGTCTTATCTCTCGTTCTCAAGTCATGTTCCGCCATCCACCGCTCTCAACTAGGCGCCGCCATACATTCCCACTCTATTAAAATGGGTTTTCTCTCAAACCCATTTGTTGCTTGCGCTCTCGTCGACATGTATGGAAAATGCGTTTCCACCTTTTCAGCTCGTAAATTATTCGACGAAATTCCTCAAAGGAATGTGGTTGTTTGGAATGCGATGATATCGCTATATACGCATTCTAATTGTGTTTCTGATGCTTTGTATATGTTTGATGCAATGCATGTTGCGCCTGATGCGTCCACTTTTAATGCAATAATTGCAGGTCTGGCCGGGACGGAGGATGGGTCTGCGAAAGCCATTGCTTTTTATTGGCGAATGAGGGAGTTGAGTTTGAAGCCAAATTTAATTACGCTTCTTGCACTATTGCGTGCTTGTGTGCGCATGACGTCTTTGAATATGATTAAAGAAATTCATGGATGCTCAATAAGAAACCATATCGATCCACATCCCCAGTTGAGAAGTGGCTTAGTAGAGGCCTATGGGCGATGCGGATGTCTTATTAATGCAAGTAATGTGTTTTATAATATGAAGGAGCGGGACGTTGTTGCATGGAGTAGTTTGATATCTGCATATGCACTTCATGGGGAAGCAAGAAGTGCACTTGAAACATTTCACCATATGGAAATGGCAAAAGTGTTGCCTGATGACATTACTTTTCTAGCAGTTTTAAAAGCTTGTAGCCATGCAGGATTAGCTGACGACGCATTGGATTACTTCGCCAGAATGCAACAAGATTATGGCTTGCAACCAAGCAGTGACCATTATTCTTGTTTGGTTGATGTTTTGAGCAGAGCAGGGAGGTTGTATGAGGCATATGATATCATACGGGGAATGCCAGTGAAGGTGACTGTGAAAGCTTGGGGTGCCCTCCTTGGGGCTTGTCGAACTTATGGAGAAGTTGAATTGGCGGAGATTGCAGGGAGGGCTTTGTTTGAGATAGAACCTGATAATCCTGCCAACTATGTCTTATTGGCTAGAATTTATGCCAGCATGGGGAGACACGGGGAAGCTGAGAGAATGAGAAGAGAAATGAAAGAGAAGGGAGTGAAGGTAGCTCCTGGCGGTAGCTGGGTGACATAAAGACTTGCTGATAGACTTATGACATGATTATCTGCCAACTGAAAGTTGCTTTAGAAGGCTAAACAGGTGTAGCAGATCTCTCTTTAATGCTCGGTCAAAGCTCCATCTTTTATGAGCAAACAAGAAGTGGTAAAAGGTAGCCCTTAAAGGATGCCAATTCAAAGATGGAGGCTTGCACTTTTTGTGAGGTTGAACTGTTGCATTAACAACTTTGAAGTCAAGCCTGCATAATAAAAGAGGAGGTGAAATGATGGAGAAGGTAAGTTTGGGATTGTCCTTGTTTGAATTTGATGGGTATTACTTGTGCTGGTAAAACCGTTCCAATCAATGTGCTAACTGGCAGGAAAACTGATGGATATGTTGGGGGTAGCATCATCATTTCTGGGTACCAAAGAAACAAGAACCATTTGCTAGATTTCTGGATACTGTGAACAAAATGATAAGTACACTCCACATGTTACAGTCTACGAGCCTTTGCTCTACTTAGCTTGGCTTCATTTACCAGCTGAACTTAATATTGAAGCCAGAAAGGTGTTGTTCAGTAACCAAATCGTCATGATGCTTTTGTATTTGTTTTGTCCCCTTTGAATGCAAGTTAATTATAAAGAAGTAGAATCGTCATGATGCTTTTAATGCAAGTTACCAAAGCCACTCCCTGAGCAGCTAAAATGTACTTAGTGATTCATCTACAATATCTTTAATCAAGCTGGTGTATTTTCCAAGAAATGAAGACCGATTTGATAGGATGAAGAAAATGGTCAAGTAGAGAATAGGAGTGCTATTGGTATATTTATTGGCAGAAGAGATAATTTCTCAACTTTGCAGCTTTAAAGTTATGGCATCTTGATGACCCATGTTGCACTTATATTGCAAATTTTGGTAACATTGCGCATATTTTTACACTAAAAACAATACTTTTAGGGTTTTAACTTTTATATGTAAAATATTATTTAATATGTATTTAACATAATTTTTAGAGCAATAAAATAATTTTTTGAGGTTGAAGTTTTTAATAAGTCTAATTGTCTAAGTTAAAATGTTTGATGAATCAAATAAAAAATTGAGGGTGCTGTAAAGTTAAAAGTGAAAAAGTTAAGGGGTGAATTTGTGCATTTAACATATATTTCTTCGAGTATGTATTAAAGTTGCTCTCTTCAATCTCATTGCCCGTTTAGTGGTTCTTCTTTATCCTTTCGGAAGTCAGATGAGAATCCTTACCTCTTTTTCAAATTTCAAAGAAGGAAAAAGGAAAAACATTCAGGGCATTTGGTCTAGTGGTATGATTCTCGCTTTGGGTGCGAGAGGTCCCGAGTTCGATTCTCGGAATGCCCCAAATAAAGATCTAAACGTTTTTGACAGTTAGAACGCCGACAATTGCTTCGCCAAGCTAATCCAGAATGTATTAATATCAGAAGCAGCTTTGTCCGGAACCAACCCTGTCGCTGTGGGGCAGACATTAATAGATCCACTGTACACTAATTGACTCTCACACAATTTGTGCTATTCAACTCGCGAATTTTAATAATATTATACACATTTTTATATTAATTGTTTTAAATTTTTCAAATTTTTATATTAATTGTTTTAAATTTTTCAAATTTAAGCATTTATTTTATAAATTAATATATTTAATAGATATAATTTTGTAATTCGAAGTATTTAATGGATAAAAGTAAAAGTTATTGGTGCAAAGTAACTAATTTTGTAAGTAAAAAATATGTATTCTGCCTCTCATTGTGGCACTTTTTTCCTTTTTCTCTTTTCTTTTTGAGTCGCTGAAGTATTGAAGATCAGATTGCAAGATTTTCTGCTACCCTTTGATGATATACTCTCTTGATCCACAAAAGGATTGTGTACGGGGAAAGGAAAAAAAAAAAAAAAGAGAAAAAGATAGATATAATATTATTAATTTCTTGAAAAGAAAAAAAAAAGAAAAATAGATAGATATAATTGATTTCTCTTTTGCACGGCCATATAAAAAATGAGAAAAAAAAATTTTGTTGAATTATGAGGTTCTAGTTCTCCTGAATAATATGAGTATAATGTATAAATTATTTACTAGAAGAATGGTTAACAACAACTGAGTCTTTACCCATCTAATAATTGATGGTTCTTTACATATAATTTACAATTTATATAAATATAGGAATAAGAGGAGCAACGTGGCATTATTAAAATTTTATATATCCTACAGTATTTCGATAGATGGTCGATTATAAGATTTTAATTTAAAAAATATAAATAAGGTAAAACACTGAATGAATATGAAAAAAAGCATAAATAATAAATTGAATGAAATCTTAAGGTGTATTCAGTATAGAAATTGGAGTAATTTTCTAGAACAGTTTTCAAAAAAATTTGACAACATAGTTTTGTATTCGAAACAATTAGTTTTATAGTTTTTCAAAATTTGACTAAGATTTAAAAAAGAGCTTTAATTTGTTTTCCAATGTTTTTTTTATAACAAAATATATGGATTCCACTTTAAAAAAATGACATTTTTATGATTAAAATTTAGTATCTATAAATAATTTTTTTTATAAAATATTTTCATTTGAAAAAATAAAAAAATCTAAATAAAATAAAAAATTACATTATGCTTAATAAATAAATAATTTTATTATTACAAATACATTATGTTCTTTATTTTAAAAAAAATTACAAAATGATAGAAAATGATATTATTATTATTATAAATAATTAATAATAAAAATTCAAAAACTTTTATATAAAAAATTTCTAAATATAAATTACATTATGCTTAAATAATAAAAATTTAATTTTATTATTACAAATACATTAATGTTTCTTTTATTTTAAAAAAAAATTACAAATGATCAGAAAATGATATTATTTTTATTAAATAATTAATAATAAAAATTCAACAAACTTTATAATAAAAAATTTCTAAATTTATTTTATTATATGAAATTATAAAATAATGTTTTTATGAGTTAAATTAAAATATTAGTTTTTATTATTAATCAGTCAACGCTATTTTCATTTTAAATGTTTTCCTCATTTTTATTCTTAAAAAAAAAGTTTTTTTTTAGAAAAATAAAAATAAAAAATTGAAAAATTATTTTTATGTAAAGGAAACGTACTCTCAATAAAAATTTCTAAATTTATTTTATATTATGAAATTATAAATAATGTTTATGAAGTTAAATTAAAATATAGTTTTTTATTATTATCAAGTCAACGCTATTTTTCATTTTATGTTTTCTCATTTTTATTTTCTTAAAAAAGTTTTTTTTAGAAAATAAAAAATAAAAAATTGAAAATTATTTTATGTAAAGGAAACGTACTCTCAATAATCCTTTTTCCATCATGTTTAGAGCACTGACGAGTGCCGTTAACAAATTTATTCGAGAGCGAATGCTGGGGGTCCACCTTCTCCACCGCCACCACCCACCTGGCTACCTCTCACTCGAGTGTGTGTATAGTGTAGTGTGTATATATACTGTGTTTCCCTTCGTGTTCAAAATCCAGAGAGCTACCTCAAAATACGGGACAGCTTATTTTTACATTATAGCTTCTCTCCGTATGTTAATGTTATTACATCTAACCGAATCTTTTGCCAAGTTTTTCTCAGTTTTTCAAAGTTATTTTATTTTATTTTTCTTTTCTTTTCTCTCCTTCCTTCTGCCACCCTAAATAATCTCTCTTTGTCGTTCTAATCTTTCTCACACCACAATAATCAAAACCCATTTCTTCAACTCGATTCAGTCGCAAGATAGCGAGTCATGGACCAGTGACACAATGTAAATCCCTTTGCTTTTCCTTTTCAGGTATTTGTATTGTTATTTTATCTTTCTTTTTTATATGTTGTCTGTTCAATCTTCATTTGATGGTTATGCCGTCTTTTCCTTTTTTTTTTTTTATTATTTTTAATCTGATTTTGTTTTTAGCTTTTCTTTTTGAAGGAAATCATTTTGTATTAGCTTTACTAATGATTTTTTTTCTTCTTAAATTTCGGTTTATGATCAGCTGTAGAAGTGATATTGAGATTGCTTAACTGAGAAAAAAGTAGAGACCTTTTTCAACATTTTTGATTAATGGAGAACGATCAAACCTCGGCAACCCTTGAAGTTGAACTGCCAGATGGAAAAACCCTAGAAGCTTTAAACCCCGAGTATTGTAATAATCTAGAAAAAGCTTCTGGGTCGTGTGAGCTATTTGGCTTAAGTGAGAATTGTACTGATGTAGAACCAAATTTGGAGATTGCCGTACAAGAAAATGGGAGTGGAGTTGTTGGTGTCGGTAATGTGGAATTAATGAAAGGAATTGATGGCATTGAAGTAGAGAATTTGGATGCTAGTGCAAATACAATGGATGCTTTTGATGTGAATTATATCGGAATAAAGGAGGGTTCTTTGGTGAATAATAGGGCAGTTGAGAATGAAAAGGATTCTCCCGTGGCTGAATTAAATGAGAATGTAGTAGATTCAGGCAGTACTGTGATTGAAGAAGTTGGTAATACTGCGAAAGATGAGGAGTTGAAGGACGAGTTGTTGGAAATTACTGGCGTTTCATCTGGTCGTAAATTAGAGGTTTGTGGAGGCAAAATATCACTTTACGTTGATTTTTCTAATTCTCTAAGCAAGGTTAATTTTAGCAATCTCAATGGGATGGATTGTTCTGGGTTGTTGATTAACCAAGAGGAGTCTAAAGAGGATGGTAATAAGGAGGAGATGGAAAAGTCAGTTGGGAAGTTCTGTGTGGGTGATATTGTATGGATTAAAACTAAAAATCAGTCTTGGTGGCCAGGAAAGATTTATGATCCGCTAGATGCAAACAAATGTTCTCTGGAGAGTGACCAGAGGAACTGCCTGCTGGTTGGGTATTTTGGGATTAGCCACATTGCTTGGTGTTTGCCGTCTCAGTTACAGCCTTTCCATGAGAACTTTGAACAGATGGCCGGGCAGAACAAGGCCAGAAGCTTCCTGGGAGCAGTAGAGAAGGCAGTGGATGAGTTTGGTATGTGCCTGAAATCAGAAATGACTTGTTCTTGTTTCCTCAAAAAGTGTAAGCAATCATCTGGTAATGTTGGAATTCAAGGAGATTTGCCTTTGCCAGGGTGCAGATTTCGTGAATTTTCATTTACTCGGTTGGAACCAGTGAATTTTCTTGCTCAAATAAAGAGTCTTGCACTGGCTGTTTCCAAGATTGGCATGCTTGACTTAGCTTTTGCAAAGAATTTTGTGTCAGCATTTTATCATTCCATAGGGCATAGTCAATTGCCTATGCAACAACTCTTGGAATGCACTGATGACCAGGATTGTCTCAGCAATAAGTTAATGGTGAAAAGCAGTATTGATGCTCAAGTTGAAGGCCGAAATTCAGGACCTGCCAATGGGGAGTCGCGAAGCACAGAGGAGAAAGTTCTGCAGCAAAAGAAGAATGAAGACCTGGCCATGGTTTATGGAAGGAACGTGGACACTGAAATGGAGAATTGCAAAGACAATCTTGCTGAAGGAAATGTGGTCCCAAATGATCTGGCATCAGATTCCAAGAAGAGAAAGAGGAAGAAGTTTTCTGAAGTCAAAGTTGAAGGTCAAGATGTCTGCCTATCAGCTTCTCCATCTCAGGAGGAGGAAAGCTGTAACTTGAGATCTCCAACAACAATGGATAAGTGCACCGAGTTGAGAGAAAGGAAGAAGAGCAAGTACTTGTCATATCCATATGTCAATTGGGAACAAAAAGACATGGCAAGTGAAACAGAAGACCCCAAGTCTCAAGAGGCAGAACATGAGATTACTGGCCAATTTATTGGATCCCATTTGGTTTCTAAATCTAGTGGCAAGAGGTTTCAGAAGAAATGGTTCAAAAAATTCATAAGTGGGAATGATGCATCCAGTAACCCAGAGTTGATAAATGCATCTGTGGCTGATTTACTTTCTGAACTGTGTTTCACTGCTGTGGATTGTCTGTATCCGAACGGAAGTAAAAATTTTGATGTAACAGAGTGGTTCTTTTCAAAGTTCAGAATATCAGTATATCATGACGAGTCCATTTATGAGATGCATTGCAAAAATGTGATTGAGGGCAGTAATGAGGCGTTGCTGGAAAAAGATACAGAAGAGACAAGCCAGACATTGCTGGATCTCAAGAATGAGCAGAAGATACAGAAGAAAAAGAAAAATGGAAACTCAGCTAGATCAAAGAATAAATCTATTCATGGTTTGTCTGATGTCAATATAAACATTGCTACTAATGGCTTATTTGGAAAAGATTCCTGTGAGATGGGCCCTCCCACACCTAGTGGAAAACCTGGACCAAAGAAGAAAAAGAAGCAAGGAACAACTCCTACAGGTCTACAGACCAACCAAATGACTAGCATACCAGACTTGAATTGCAATGGTGCCATGACCAATTTGTTGGTAGAAAATTCTGAGTTGATGGGCCATGTAGAACCTGAGCCAAATGGGAGTGAGAAGAAAGCAGGTTCAGTGGATGTAAGTTTAAGTACTGTAGAACCCGGCACACTGTTAGCAGGTTTACAGGTGATGCATCCATTTTCAATAAATACTATTCCTGAACAAAGCAGGAATGATGTATTTACTGTCACTTCAAACGGGAACTCTGTAATTCCAGGACTGTTACACAAAGAACCTCCTTTTTATGGTCCACTCACTGCGGATGGTAAGCCAGGGCCAAAAAGGAGGAGGAGGAGAAAGGAAAAATCAACTTCTGAGCAGACTACAGTTGCTGCCAGTGATGCTGCTTTAAATGGGAACGCTGTTGAACCCAGCATTTTGGCCCAATCTGAGAAGAAGAGAGGAAGAAAAGGAGAAAGTAAATCACAGCGACCAAGAAAAAAATCAGCTGTGGGCATACCAAATATAAACATGCATTTCAATAAAGTGGGGACTAATGGGGAAGTTCCAGGGACTGCTCTGCTCTTGACCTTTGCTCCAGGAGTCTCATTGCCATCAAAAGAAGTTCTGGTTGCTACATTTAGCAGGTTTGGGCCCTTGAAGGAATCAGAGATACAGTTGTTGAAAGATTCCGGTACTGCCCAAGTTGTTTTTGTGTCCAGTACTGATGCTGCAGAAGCAGTTAGGAGTTTAGAGAATAGCCATCCTTTTGGTGCAACCCTGGTCAAATACCAACTTCGTCTTCTTCAGGCGGCTGGATTCTGGAGTACTGCAAAACCCCATGGGACAATGCCAAACCCTGCTGAGGCACCTCCTATTGACTTCATTAGGCAGAATCTGGAGATCATGACATCAATGCTGGAGAAGTCAGGAGATAATCTTTCTCCTGAAATGAGAGCCAAATTAGAGAGTGAGATCAAAGGTCTTTTGAAAAAGGTGAGCTCCATGCCTAGTTCATCCTCTTCTTAATTGAAATATTTAGTTACTGAATCCTATGTTATGTTATTTACTGGAGTAGAGTAGAGATCTTTAGGTTGTTTTCAGAATCTCCTTTTATTAGCTGTTGCTTTTGTAATCTGCTCTCTCCCTAACGTTAATGTTGGAACTGCATTAAGAGGGTATATGCAAGTGGCTAAAAATAAGGAAAGCCTAAATGTATCAATATGATTGTTTGTTTCATCTTTGAACTGTTCTTGAGTGGTGAATATATTTGCAAAATGAAGCAAGGAGGATCATGCTTGGATGATCAAACGAGGACGATTGTTCTTGCAAGGAATGATCTATGTGCTGGAAGTACAACAGTAGCGTGAAACTTTAGCTTCGTCTGGTTCACAAAATGGAATAACTATTTCAGGCCATAAATTTGGGGAAAAAATGTGTGCTCTGTAAAATAACTATTGCACGAACCGGCATTTCGTACTCACTTAACTATTCAGCACAAGACCTGGAATCTCAAATATTCACCAGAAAATCAGCCACATGAATATAGCATCTCAAATGAAATAATACAGAAACTATGACTTGTTCCTAATCCACTGAATTTTCTTTCTTCAAACAAAAATTGAAAATGGATAAAATAGTCTCTTCTGGATATCTCCATTACATGTAGCCGCTGCCGGTGGTGGGACAACTTCAACATGATAAACAGAGCAATGAAGAGAGGAGGGAGGGAAAAAGATTAATTCAAGATTTGCCTGTTTTACTCTAATTCTGATCCTTCTCTTCAGCGTACATGATTAAACACAGCAAGCTAATGCTATGCGTTTAAAATCTTTGATATAGTTTTTTATAAGACGAATATTGATTTCATTATGATGATATTAGCATCTTACCCAGATAATAAATAAGGTTTTCTTATTTTATTTAATTTACTTATTTCTTGGTGAACTGGAAATTTCATTACTCAGAAGCAGATACACCATAATCAGATTAATAAGCTTATAAGTTAACAAAGCAAGTCTTAGACAATACAACCATTTAAACGCTAAAAGATAGAAACACGATTATTATTCCAGTGCGGTCTCCCTGTGAACGCTCCTCCACTATGCATCAATCAAAAAAATATAAAAGCCAAATACAAGTACAAAAAGTACAACATTAAGACAATTCACTGACGAACCTTAATGTTACCAATTAAATGGCATTTCTGATTTTCACTGGCAAAGTACACCAGTAAGTTTTATGGAAAATTTTATCATTCAGAAGTAATGGAAATGCATGAGTGGACAATAATACAAGCTTTGATCTTTGCAGTTGCTTCCCCCATTATGCAACTATGTAAGAGCTAAAAACTCACAGTTCTGAGAATCAGAATTTTTCCACTCTGAATGAAGAAATAAGCTTAAAACTAATTATTTAACAATTGCAATCTATCTGCACAAACAGATCTGATATTGTCATGCTATGGGTTGAGATTCCTTCATTCTTCCATGCCCTAGCTTGACCTATTAAAACAAAAAAAAAAAAAAAAAAAAAAAAAAAAAAAAAAAAAAAAAAAAAAACAGATGCTGATATTGTCATGCTATGGGGTTTTGAGATTCCTTCATTCTTCCATGCCTAGCCCTTGAACCTATTAATCAACAAAAAAAAAAAAAAAAAAAAAAAAAAAAAAAAAAAAAAAAAAAAAAAAAAAAAAAAAAAAAAAAAAAAAAAAAAAAAAAAACCAGTAATACAACAAAGCTAAAGTTATCACTCCATAACTGCAACTCCTCCAGCAGCTTTTATCTTCTCTATGATCTCATTTGCTTCCTCTTTAGTGACTCCTTGTTTAAGCAAAACAGGTACCTTCTCGACCAGGTCCTTGGCCTCCTTTAACCCCAAACTAGTAAAAGTTCTAACCTCTTTAATCACCTTGATTTTTGCTGCTGCATCAAACTTCTCCAACTTCACATCAAAGGCTGTTTTCTCCTTCTTCTCCTCAACCTTTGTACCTCCAGTAGCTTGGGCTCCTTGAGGACCCAAGTCCATGCCTTCTGTTGAAATTGACTGCAGTTTTGGATGCTTTAACTTGCGTTGGAGAGTAGGACCAATTTGACGTTGCTCCTCCAGGGGTAAGGCAGCAATACGTTCAGCAAGTTGAATGATTTTGTCAGAAGGTGGAGGTCTGGGGCCATATGGATCATAAAATGCTGGATATTTGTACTTTTTGGGCTTGGTGTTGGGATCTCTAGGAACAAAATCATGCTGGAAAAAACGAACCTGCAAAAGCCCAGTTATTTCTTGGAAAGTAGAACGGCCACGAATGGACCTGGCAAGTGCAATAAACCTCATGGTTTCATGAACCAGTGAAACAACTCATCAAACAAAGAAGGTTAGAGAGGACATTATCAGCTTCAATCAAGCCGTCTAAAGCCTAAATCCAACAGAAGACATCCTTTTCTCCTGATGTGAGCTTTGTTGCCTGGAAAGAAGAAGAGAAATTCAACAGAGATACTTGGTAAAGATACTCATAAATGCTAAAGCAACTGCTGTTACAGTTACTAATTGAATGACTCATCAAAATTAAAGGACCTCAAAGACAAACTAGGACCATCCCACATACAACAGATGGCTAAGATTTGCACCGGTATACTATATTGTTAAAATTTAAGTTTGACCAATAACAAGTCTCTAGAAGATCATCACTTCCATATATGATACATATTTATTCTAAATTGTGCAAGTAAACAGCACACTAAGGAGCTTATCTTTGAAACATGTTATCCGACCATTGTATCAAACTTTTCACCCTATCTTTATAAACTTCTAACAGTTAAAGATTTTATCAAATCTTCAAAACTATGATCACATATACAGTTGAACATAAAATTGGAGGTTTGTTGCCTGGCTGCTAATCTAATTGAGATAAGATACCAACCAAGAGAATAGTAATGGGTTGCACCATTATACCATCATCTCTACGGCCTTCTATTGAAAATGCAAGCATCTTTACCGTAACTGCTTCTCAAGAATAAATAGAAAAGATAGTGATTGAGAAGATTAATTGTCTTAGATACTTCAACTTATAAGGGCAAGAAAGAAATGATTTTACAGTGTGTTCTCGAAACCTGTTTTGAACCTTCAGTCGCTAATATCTCGCACGGATAAATAGGATAAGTCTAACAAGTATTTTCATCTCACACATTCATAAATCTAAACCCGCGTTCCGCTCAATCTAATACCAACTGCAATTTAACAAAAGAAAAAATCCTACCATCGTACTGATGTTTGCCTATACACAGTAAAACAGTTCCATCCTGTTATTACCAACTAAAACTCAATGAAATGGGTAACCATCGCCAATATTGAAAAGCTAAAAATCATAAAATTTCCAAATGGGCATTTAAACAAACAGCTTGTGTGAGTAGTAATATCAATGGAGAGAGCATTATATTTCTCATTGCGGAACGCTAGAAATCCAATTAGAAACAGATAAACAAGTAAATCAACAAGAAAACACAGTGAGTGGTCCTTTAAGAATTCAAAAATCAAAATGGCACCAAAAACAACGATTGTATTGACCGAATCTAAAAAAGAATCTTACAGATGGTAGATGAGAACAAGAGATCTCACAGGAAAATTGCTGACTGGTGATTGCAGAGCAAAACCCCACAAACTTCTGTACTTACAATAATAAACCCTAGGCCTAACCAATTGTGCTTGATAAAAATGATTTAGAATGCACAGCGGGCCGTGAGTCATGAAGATGAGTTCCTTTAGTAGCCCATTTAGGCCCTGAATACAGCCCATGTAGTTTTACCGGACCTGAAGGCCCAGAGAAATGAATCCAAACTAAATGGAAATTAAATAAGATTTTGTTTTGTTTTCGGTACAAAGAATACAAACAAATTGAACAATCCTTTCAAGATGAAGTACGAACTAAGTCTCTATCTCTCTCTCAAAAAGATGAAGTACCAACTCCAAATTTTGAACCCTAACTTCGAATGGAAAAAAATAGAGTAATGAAGTTACTGTGTAAAAAAAATTTTTGAAGTCGGCTATATTTAATGATGCAGTCTATTTTTACTACTGTCGAATGTTTCAGCTTTGAATATTTTTTTTTTTATTCATCGAAAAAAATATTAAGGCAAGGTAGCCCAGAGTATATTATTAATCAATTTAAAAAAAAATATTATATGATGAATTATTTTTAGTTAGTTAATTTGGATTAGGGACGGAAGCCTTGCATGCATTTGTTTTCCTGTGCACTACATGAAATATTTTTGACTAGCAAAATTTTAGAATCATCGAATAGTAAAAATAAAAAGAATCCTAGAAAACGTTATTAATCAAAGTGTTTTCCATGAGTATTACTATTAAAATTGTCCCAGTCAAGAGTCAGAGCAAGAAAAAGGAGAGGAGAAACTGAGAAAGAAACGAAAGATGAAGAGTAAATAATAGAGAGCGTGCGATTCGGCATTAGAGATGCCAAAGTACAATTCTAATGTGGGGCCCACATTCAAATGACACGAAACTCCATGACAATTTCCCCTTTGCTCACGAAGCTTCAATTTCATGTCCCATGCGATGCGATGCGATGCGCTCCCCCTACCCACAAATACAACACCCATGCATTCTATCCTATGACTATTTTTATTTTAATCAATTAATTTTGTTTTATACGTAAGTATTGTAAAATGTAAATAATACTTTCTTAATTCTATTTATATATAGTCATAGGATAAGTTAGCTCAAATATTTGGACAGTAAATAAAAAATAAAAAATTCAAAAAATACGTATAATCTTAATAATTAGTTGAAATTAAATAGCTTCAGAGGACACAGTTGGAATGAATTATATGCATATATCTCTAAATTATAACTTTATCAGACATTATATTAAAAAAAAAAAAAAACAATTTTAGTTAAATAAAAACAAGTCCTTATCCAACATAATAAATCGATCACTCATTCACCAACCTCAGATAAAAACATACAGAGATGAAAATAAAAAGTTGATTAAGCACTATATAAGAAATATATATTATATATAGGAATAAGCTAAAAAAAAAAAAACATGCACTACCAGATCTTCCTCGAAATAACAACAAAATCCTAGAGCTTTGAATGTCTTATAACAAAGACACCAAATTAGGCAAAAGATGAAACAAGATAAGAACATAAAACAAACAGAAAGATACTAAGGCAGTCATTTTTGGACCCTTTTAACTTCTCATTCACACAACCAACATCCCTTCCCTTCTTCCTCTTGCTCCTGCTCCTGCTGCTTGTCAAGTCAATACCATTTCTTCTCTCTGTTTCTTTTCCTTTTTCTAACAAAGACCACCTTGTAATAGAAAGAAGCACGAAAAAAACCTTTCCATCAAAGGCGTACTAATTAATTAATTAATAATTCATTAATTATTCAGACCATTAGATAATTACTACACCAGTGGATTGGTCGTCGTGGACGATCCATAAGCGTTGATCATTCCAGTCCATGATCCCAGATTGTTTAGATACCCATATGTCTCTTTTCCATTATCTGAGCAACCCTGGTCTTGCCATTCAAGGGACAAAAGCTTTGCATTAGGCTTCACATCTTCATTTCCTTGATGATCATAAGGAATCATTAACCTTTGACATGTCTCCATATAATTTCCATTTCCATGGTTATTATTGTTCCCATCAAGTCCTGACATCCCAAATGGAGAGCAAAGACCGTGGAAATTTTGATGATGACTAATTTCTCCAAGTCCATTCACCAAACCCAAATCACTATTCCCCATGAAATCGTAATTCCTTCCAACTATAGCTTCTAACTTGCTCTCCATAAAATCAATAGGCAGCCTGTTAGGGTTTTGATCAAGCAAACCAATGTTATACTTACTATCCATGAAATTAGGGTTTGTCAGTATATTATTAAGATGAGAGATTTGGACCTGATCAGGAAATGAAAGGTGAAGATCGGTAGGATTATGATTAGAAGATGATGGGTTATGGTTAATGGTTTGATGGTGATGATGGTCATTACTGTTTGATGATTTTTTACTAACTTTCTTGTTTTTCCTACAGCCACCACCTACAGGGATGTTTCTTAAGGTGCCACCTTTGGTCCAATACCTTCTGCAAGTTTTGCAGAAGTACCTTGGCTGAGAAAGGCTGTAGTTGTTGTAGTAACAAAATTTGGTGTGTGTAGAATCACACCTTGGACATTTCAGAGCTTGGTCATGTGGAGGCCTAAGTCTTCTCTCTATTAAAGGCCTCGAGCATGTGAGCATATCGCCAGATGGTGACGAAGAATCCATTCCAGTTTCCTCGTGAATCGTGCCCTGACATCAAGAAAAATTATGATGGGAATTTGTGTCAGAATTTCCTGTTACTTGTCAGCAATTACTTTATTGCTATAATAATGTTATGTGATTGTCTAGCTATAGATTTTAAGAAAAAGAAACAACATTTGTCCTAGCTAGCTAGCGCAGAACATCAAATAACTACAATGTAAAAAGACTACACATTATTACATTATTCTTTTGTCCACATATTAATGCCAGAAATACACAGAAGCCATGAAGATGAAGTTTTAAAAAATGTAGATCATATAATTTCCAAATTTGTGAAAATTAGATGATTCAGTTTTTATTAATCTCTCTTCAACATTTCCTTTCATTTTAACACACTGAAGGTAATACCACTGAGACATTTCCGTTCCATTAGAACTGCACTCAGACCAAGAATGAAAGAATCAGACCAAGAATGAAAGAATAACAGTCAATAAACCAAATCAAATTGTCTCATTATGCCATTTGAAGCACTTACAAACACGCTAAACAAGTAATTAGGAAAAAGAGTGATGCTAAATACACTTAAATGACTGATAGAGATTAATGCAAAGCTTACCTGTAGCCAATCAGCCGAATCCATGCAAACTTGCAATGAAGTAAGACCCATTAAACCCGACAAAAATTCAATACTACTAAAGAAACAAACACTTAATTAATTAGCTGTAGCCACCAATTCCCCACCACCAGTAGTTCCCTTCAAGCGTACACAAATTCAGAAAAGAAAAGAGAAGAATTATTTCATAATGGCCAAGCAGGAAGTGAAAGAGAAAGACAGAGACAGTAATAAGTGAATTGTGACAAAGAGGAAGAGGATGAGAAAGAAAGAGAGGGACAGTTGCGAATGAGATTAGGGAATGGAGTGGAGTGGTGTGGGCTATGAATAAGAAGGAAGAAAAAGGCACTGCTCTCTACTCTGCAGCTACGGTCCACAAACAGTCGGTGGGCTTAACATTTCGCGGGCCCCTACTCTGTCTCTTCAATCTAATAACAATGGGCCCACAACCACCTCCGCTTAGACTAGATCTTCCGGTTGCTAATCGACGGTTCAGAGCTAATCATTATAGCTGGGTTGGGAGAATTAGAGCCGTTGATTCTTTTTCAATGAAGAATACGTCAGAGATCGCGGCTTAGTCGTCACTCTAAGAACGGACCGTGTTTGACGTGACAGAAGCTGAGAGAATGAAGGGAATATAATTTTTTATTTTTAATTTTAATTTGTGTTTTACGAGGCTTTCGATAAAGAAGGCATACCGAAAGAGCACTCCACTTGCGGGCCCAAACGAGTGGACCCACTCGCCCTCCTTCTTCAAGCAAAGGATCGATTCCCTTGTTCATGCACTTCTCACGTGCCTCTCCTCTTTCCCACTTGTGCCACGTTTACAGTTCTCTAATCTTGGGTGCCAAGTGGATTGCACAGCTTAGCAAGAAAGACATAGTTATGCTCAGTTGAGAGAAATTTTAAGGTAAATTCAGTATACCACGTCAGGTATAAATTCATTTAATAAAATATAGTTGTATCAGCATTTTTTTTTCTGTATACATCAGTAACTCTTAAACTGATATAACTACTTTTCTTATTTCTAACCAAATAAAAAATGCAAAAAAATTAAAAATTAATAAGTTTTTGAAAAAGCAAAATGCTGATATGGCTGTATTATATTGAATGAGTTTATAAGCCGACCTGGTATAGAGTCTACCTAAAAATTTCTGATATTTCTCAACCTATTTATCCCTCTTTGTCATGTGCTTACATAGAATTCCATTGTTAATCGAATTTAATTTATTTGATTATTTTAAATTTTTTTTTAAATCATAGACAAAATAATTGAATTTTAAATTTTTGTTCAACATATTTATCATCGGATTAAATGTATGACTGCAGTAATGGCATGATTTTTTGTTAATGAATAAAAACACAAAATTTACATAAATATGGGTAAATTAAATTTGGATAATTTTTTTTTACTATTTTGAAAAGCATATGTATGGAGTTATATAGATTAATATATCTTTATTAAATTATCATAATTTTGTGGAGGATGCGAAGTGTTATGAATTTGTAACTCAATAATCTAAAAAGGATGCGAAGCACTTAATGAATATTTAAAATATTTAACCCCACAGTTAAAATCAGAAATGTAGTTATTCCACTCAAGGTATATATAATATGTAGCTGTCACCTATCCATTGGTGATCAATTCACACATTAAAAATAACAACAGCATCATTATTTCATTATTAGCCAGCTTTAAGGTTTCCTCTAGAATTTAAACACGTAAATGATCATCATTTCATAACTTTAAGAAGGCAATCGGAATCTCTCTTTTGTTTTCTTTTTTTTCCTTATTATTATTACACGGAATAATTTTTCAATGCGTCCATAAAGTTCATCGAAATCAAATGAAAAACCCTCGAGCAGGAGGGCTTCTTGTTCATGTCGATCGTGAATTTCAGATTCAAAAACAGAAGAGCCAAACGAAAATGACGCAGATGGGGAAAAGAAAGGGGAATGAGATAGGGAGAAGCTAGCGTGAGTAATACACTCCAAATAGATAGGGCCCAAAGCACAAAACTCTGTCAGGTGAATAAAGTGATTCTGCGCCCACGTTTCGCGGTACACCTGCTCAGTACAGTTCCCTCCCTTAGCTATGCCTATAGACATTGATAGTGTTTCTAAGCAGCAACAAGTAATCATCATTTCTTTCTTTTTAGGAACAGACTGAATAAATCATCACTCCAATCATTAATTAATCTTATAAGCCCACATCTCCTTCCTCATGCATGGAAACATCATAATTTACTTATTGACTGCTTGAGCAAACGAGTACCCAGATTGGGATTTCAATTGATTAATCATTTGGTATAAAAAAACTATTTAATCTTTACTTGTTGCTGGAAATACAGTACAGTTTTATTAATCTAACTGCTTGGTGGTAGTTTAATTTATATTTAATTTTGGAATTGAACCAAAATCTCCTTGGATCATAACAGTTAAGTTTTGTGAATTTGCAAAGTAAAAGTTGAATGTGAATGGAACTTTACTTTGCTTTTGAAGCTAAAGAAACATAACAAAGGAAACCTATATACACATATTTGCATGATATAATAATATATATGGTAGTGGAACTAGCTATGAGAAATGGTGTTATATATGTTGATCTTTCTTTCATGACGATGACAAAATGAATGTGTTGATGTCAAAGAACTAGAAGATATTTTACTTCATTCATACGAAACCTTACATTTAAGGCACTGGAATTTTACTCAGTCAGAGTGATTGTTTTTTGTAGAGTTTTAATTCACGCAACAAATTTTTTCTCTTGCAGACGTTTTACAGTTTTGGTAGTTTTTGTATCTCTTGAATTATTCGATTTATTACCTTCTGTATGTGTCAGTTGTCATTGTATTTTCAAGAATTTATTTATAAGATTCAGATACAAAATCTTTTAATGAGAATTCAAAATCTTTTAAGTTTTATTTATTAATAAACAGTAAAGATATATTCCATATTCATAAATATAACTTCTTGTTATTATGAACTTTTTTTTTTTTTTGGAACTCCTTTCTTTCAGCAGAAATATATTAAAAAGTATATATAGGAAAGTTCAGTTAACCAATTTCCAATATTCCAAAGGTCAAGTTTTTTACTCTAAAATCTGCTATGCTTCTTTTTTATTGGTGTCAAAAAAAAGAAAAGAAAGAAAGAAAAAATAAAAAGAAATTATATATCATATGGCATAAAGCAGAAAACAAGAAAAAAAGAAGAATGAATAACAAATTATATCCAATCCAAAGGTGATAAACTAAACTAAAAATTAATGGGAGTAGAAGCGGAAAGAAGTGAGTTCAAATTTCAAAACATCATGCGGCCTTTAAGCACAGAATCAAACGGTTTCAAATAGAGCTAGCATATATGGTTGCAGATCATCAGATTCTGATATGATGGTGGTTCTTTATCTTTTTGTGATGATAATGGTCAAGTTACTGGACCTCGTAAAATGTGCAGTCAATCTGGGTCTTTTGGGCCTAGCAATGGGCCCCACTATGAGTTCCTATGATCCCCAAAAGCTTTTAGGGCACATGCATAGCAATGATGCAATCAAGCAAGCAGCTATTCTAAATTTTTGTTTATACGTATTGCTTACCATTTTTATTGCCTTTGAAAAGTTCCCAATTATGCCACTACATGGTTCTTGATCCCATCCCATCATCCTCATCCAACCACAGCCATTCTCTTTACATCTTGCAATGCATAAAATTGGAAAAAAAATAAATGTTTTTCATTTTATTTCCTTTTTTTTTATTTTAATTTTGTTACCCCTTAATCTTAGAGCATTGATTGTCACTTCTCAACTCCATATTTCTTAATAGAGCAAGTTACAGTAAAGTGCAAGTCAAAAATAGGGTAGAACATATCCAGCTTAGCATGAAGAGACTGATTTTGTTTAGTTGATTAACAATTAATTACTTCTTAAAATTATATTAGACAGAAAGCACGCTAGCTAGTTGTCGGATCCGCCCTTGTGCATGTGAAATATAACGTGGAAATCATAGGCCAAGTAGATATTCTCGTAACGTTCATATACGAGATTAAGAGGAGAACATCAAATGTTTAATAAAATTAATTAAAAATTCAAACAATTCATATCCTTTGAAATTTGAGTTAAAACACAAGTCAAAGTAAATAAATTGATGTATTAAGACTTAAAACGCATGCGCGACAACCTCCAACGATACTGCGGCGGCAGGATAAGTTACCATATTTTTATATACGTGACCAAATCTGAAAGCACAGATATTCTCATTCTCATATCAGAAATTCTTACACTCAGATCTTTGTGGTCGGTGGACAGGATCTCTATTCCCCAATATCTTAATCTCACTGCATCTATTCTTTCTGTTTTCTTCATTTTCTTTTCTGTTTCTGATAAAAAATAGAATGATTTCAATCAAATATGTAATTCCCATTCAAACTGTACAATATTATCATCCTTATAAGGTCAGAACTGCTTACTAGCTCAACCAACATGATATTTGCCATTTCCTTGCATATTTTTTCATAAAATTTCATTACTGATGTATATTTTTACTGGGTCCTACGGGTGTTTATAGAAGCCGACCGACTGTCCTTTTCTTGTCTCTTTGTGTCGTAGTGTTATATTCATCTCTTGTCGTCTTGGTCCTGACATCATCATTTGTACCATGTCTTGTCCTCTTCGAGTTTATTGTCGTTTTGAGGACTGAGGAGGGAATATCGGATATGGTTTCCTATCAGACAGCTATAGATATTGCAATTTCTTCTATATTGAATTGCATAATTATGATATGATTGATATATTTAAATATTGCTTGAACATGATTCATGCTAATTAGTGAACGAAATGGAATTGGGTTTCCAATTAATTAACGAATTATTCTTCTTAATAATTACAATTAGATTTCCCAAGCTTAAATGCATGCATGAGGTCAGGAAAACTATGAATATCCAATGATTAATTAAAAAAATAAAATATAAAAAAAAAAGGACAAGCGCATGAAGAAATATAGTGTCAATTCTGACTTTGGTAATCGAGTAGTATGAAACCTGTTTCTGGTTTGTTGTCGTTTTGGCGTTATCTAATTAATGTCAATGTGTGCATGATGTGATTGAATAGTTCTTTAAGTTAATAGTGGAGCACTTTGCACTATTTTGTGAGAAATTTTGAGACTGGTCAATTTAGAGCGGTCCAAAAAAATATTTGATGCAAAAGTATGGTTTCACACCATCTTCATTTTCACATTCAGAAAAGCATTTGCCTTGTTGATTTGATTCGATTATCTTATCTATGTCTACTAGATATAAGTTTTATAATTAAGCGTTCACACAGTTTGATTTTTTCAAAATTCATCTATACATAAGTTATGACTTTTCTAATATTCGTTTTATATAAGTTATGACTATTTTTTGTAAGTGTTATTTTAATAGATTGAATATCTGATATCTTAGAACATAAATCATTAACTGAATTTAAACATATCTTACCACTTAAAATACTCTTTATTAATTTAAACACGATACATATCAGGTTTTAATACAAGATGCATATAAATATAGACACATTAGGACTAGTTAATTTCTGGTTTGCAGACAGAAGTAACGAGCAAGACCTAAATTAAATTAATTGACTTACAGTAATCTTTGTTTGTCTTGTAGGTCCGGATTGCCCCTGCCTAGCTTGCTACCAAACAATATGGATAAAAAGATATATGTCGACTGTTTTCTTCCTTCTAATTGGTTGCACTGTCATTGATTTTCTGTTTATAGTGGTAAATGTGACTCACATTTCTTGAGCCTTTTATGATTACTTATACAGGAAGCAGATTTGCCTTGACATGATGCAATTGTTCAAGTCCAGCTTGGTCGGAAATTGTATAATTAAATCCTCAAAAAAGAAAAAGTAATTGTATAGTTAATTAATTAATTAATCTGAAATACATGCACGCGTGTCTGTCTTTTCCTTATTTTCTTTGTATAAGAAAAGACTATTGGTAATTTTACTTTGTCAAATATTATTGTGTTAGTTGAGTTGCACGTGTAGATGGGAGTAAGGTGGACAATAGAATAATTAAGTTTTGATTAGCAATTAAATTTGATTATGTGTTGTGAAATTTAATTAATTGTCTCAATTGACTATGATTTTGACTTAATATTATTGAAACAATTTCTAAAAATTATAGAGTTTTCCTCTGAAATGCTAAAAAAAATTATAGAGTTTTATAGTTAAAGAAAAGCAATAATCTTGATCTCCATTTTAATCATCGTGTATAGGTTACTAGCTAATGTAATAACATCGCAAAGAGCAAATGTGAGATTAAATTTTCCTTACATTCACGGAATAGTCAAAAAACTGAAAGGGTAAAAAAATTATTTCATGAGAGTAATTATTCTATAGAATAACGAATTTATAACCTTCATTTTTGATTGAATTTTTAAATATGTTATAATTTATTATATTCAAAAAATATTTTAAAAATGGACTCGATAGATTTTTTACCATGTTGCATTGTGCATGGCGAAATAAATGGGCCAATATGCGGCCCATTGTTCAGCCCCCAATAGTATAAGGAGTCCAAATATAGCCTTTGGATCCATTATGATATTAATATTAATGGACATTTTTTCATGTTATCCATTATAATATTAATGTATTTTTTTAAGATTATAATGTTAATTTATATTAGTTACAAAGAAAATAATAAAATAAATTTAAAACAAAATATGGAATTATAAATGAAAAAATTACAACTATATTTCATGTATACTAAGTGAGTAATTCTCTGTTTTATTATGTGATTTTTTTTTTTTTGGCACAATGCAATTATTGGAATTTTAATTTAATTGTTTAATAATTTAATTTATATACTATAAATAATAAATTCCACTTAAAGCGAATTTATTTTGATTTTATGAACGTTGATTAATAAAGAGAGAAACTTTCATTTTAACCAAGTTAATTAATCGTAAATTAATCACTTGATATAAAATAGCACTTCATTTTACAATAATAATAATATTTCAATTAGAGAATAGTAGTATTAATAAAATTAAATAATTTGCTATTTTAATTCTAAATATTGCAGATTTTTTTTTTTCAATTTATCTCAAAAGCACATAGTTAAAATAAATAAATTATACTTAATTAATAATATCCAAATAGTTGAATGCTTTATAATGTATGTCCAAAACGCACCGTTTTTCCGTAACCCAGTAATCCCATTCTCTCTTTGCCTGCAAGCTATTTCCCACTCTTCCATGGCCAGCAGTCCGGCACAAACAATGTCTCTTTCTGTACTTGACGTAAATGGCTTTGAAGCGAGATAGTTACTGCGTTTAATCACTAACAACGGAGAGATTTTAAAAACCTAAAAAATCTCAACTCTTACGATCTCAGAAAAGCTGCTGCCAATTCTATCACTTTTCACGCCAATGCTCGCGCCAGGGATACTATTGGTGGCTGTTATCGTATCATTTCCAGTTTAAAAACTTAAATTCACTATCTTCAGCGGGAACTTAATCTCGTTAACCAGCGACTTGGGTTCTATCAGCAGCTTTTCATACTTTTCTTCTGCTAAAGCATCGGCCATTTCCCGCCAATTATCCCTGGAAGAATGTCGACGATGGTCACTTCTAGAGATGTTCAAGAGATCGTCTCAAAACTCTCATCTGACAAAGCCAAAATCCGAGAGGTAACCTTTCTACTTTTTTTTTTCCCTCTCTATTCTGTTTGTTTCCTAAGAAACTGAAACTGTCTATTTGCCATAGAAGAAAAACGTCTGGAGGAAAGATGAAACGTAAAATGAACAATTTCAAACTTAATTTTTAACATACTAATAGTTTTAAGAAATTCGGTTGACTTGGCTATTTTCTAATTTTCTACTGCTTCAGTTCCCAAATTAAACTCGATAATTTTTACTTACTTGTTTTGCTTTTCTTTTTCTTCCTTTTTGTTACTTTATGCAATCAGGATGGAATAAAATTGTTGAACACATGGTTAGAAGGAGAAAGATCCATAAAGTTCTGCACATTCCTTGGACAGAACACAGCAAAGCTTAAGCCTAATGAAATTCCTCACTGTAAGAGAATTTTTTTAGAGGTATTATTATTTAAGAAGATTGTTTACCGACCAACTTTGAAATGCTTGTATTATTTTCTGCAGCGGAAACATGGCCATTTCTCGTGACATTGCTTACTAAATGTGTGTCATTGGAGATATCTACTAGCAAGCGAAGATTACCTAAGGCGAGTCTTGCAAAAACTCTGAGAATTGTTGTTCAACGAGCTGAGGATGCTAAGTTTTCCGGTTAGCCACTGAACAATATTATATCTGTAATAGTATAAGGTGCATATACATTTAATTGATTCCAGGATAAAGCATTTATGCTTATTTCCTTTTTTTTTTTTTTTTTTTTTTTTTTTTTTTTTGAGATTTGTCTGTTGTCAACGAGCTGAGGTGCTAAAGTTTTCCGGTTAGCCACTGAACATATCTACTATTTCTGTAATAGTACTAAGGGTGCATAACATTTAATTGATATCCAGATAAAGCATTTATGCTTTATTTCCTTTTTTTTTTTTTTTTTTTTTTTTTTTTGTGTTTTGAAAATATGTTCCACTGACAGGCCAAGACATTGCTGCGCTATTACCGTTGGTTAAAACGCCTCTTATCATATATGGGTGTCCTCAGCAATGTTCCAAGCTTTCAGTCAGAATACTGGGATCTATTCTTTTTCGGTCATCTGTAATAGAGTTAGAGATTTACCCGATTTCACCTTGAGGGGACCGGCATCATATTGCGGTGGAAGTTCTTTTGTGGCTTTGATTTTTAACACATGTCTGTTGCATGGTTGTAAATTGATGTTTTGTTTCGGCTTGGCTACTATCTATTTTAATACTTTGTGTTGGCAAAGGGCTTTATTCGTGCCTTATATAGAGAAAGTGGAAATTTTTTTTTTTTTTTTTTTTTTTTTTTTTTGTTTTAAATATGTTCCACTGACAGGCAAGACATTGCTGCTATTACCTGTGGTTAAAACGCTCTTTAATCATATATGGGATGTCCTCAGCAATGTTCCAAGCTTTCAGTCAGAATATGGGATTATTCTTCGGCATCTAATAGCAGTTAGAGATTACCGATTTCACTTGAGGGACCGCATCTATTGCGGTGAGTTCTTTTTGTGGCTTTGATTTTACACATGTCTGTTCATGGTTGCTAATTGATGTTTTGTTTGGTTGCTACTATCTTATTTAATTCACTTTGTGTTGGCAAAGGGCTTATTCGTCTTTATATAGAGAAAGTGGAAATGGGCATGGGAGGGAAAAATGACAATCAAGTTAATATAAAAGAGGAGGTCTATCGCTATGTCCTAACACTGCAGTCGCTTTTGGAAAATCCTCCTGGAGATTTCCCAGATGAACTCAGGGAAGACATTCTTAAGGGGCTTGTTCAGATTTTCTCCTGTGTAAGGTACTTCAATACTTGACCTGCTTGATTTATATTTTGGCCTAGAGATGAGTTAGGAACAGGAACAAGGAGAAGTGAGAGAACCACTTAAACGGAGGAATCAATTATATTTTGGCCTTTCATCTGTTGCTAATGCAATGTGTTTCTGTAGTTGCTTACTATTATTAACACAGATCAGTTACCTTGTTGTAATGTGTTCAGGGAGGAGGGAAAGTTCTCACGTAGACTTATTGAGTGCGTTAATGTCTACTTGTTGAAAGATGGTCCAAATTTGGGTTGCCAGTCTTTGGAGATACACAATGCTGTGCAGCAATTTGTCTTTCGTTTTTGGATGACAACGCATGACAGGGTTTTGAAGGTTTATTAATCATCCATGTTGTTGCTACTCATGCTATTATATTTTTTTTTGGTTGATCTTCCGAATTTGTCATTTACTTCCATATCTTTGTACTTTTTCAGGATGCATTTATACTCTATGCTAGGTTGCAGCTGAATCTAGCAAGAGGTATTGCTGATAGAAGTTTGTTGATTGAACAATTTTTGGATGTAGTATGTAAGGAACTAGATCAAAGCAGTATATCCAGCATAAGCATGCCCAGGTGAGTTCCTTGGTATCTTTACTGGTCCAAACTTTCCTTTGCTAGGTTTATACTTGATAAAGTTTGTCGGTATGGTTGTGATGAATTATTTTGTGACATCCAGAACAGACGCAACCAAGGAGGATAAGTCTGGAACTTTGAGTGGCTCACAAAGTAGTTTGGTGGAACTTGCAGCCCATGTTTTTTATCAGGTTGCTATTTCCTTTCCATTTTTCACTTGTTTTATCAAAAAGCTGAATGCAATTTATAGCACTCTTTTACTTTATTCTGTGGAAAAACATTTTTTTTTTTTGGGTTAAGAATTTGTTTAGTATTGCAAGCATCTCACGGTAATATATGTTAGGGATATGGAATTGATTTTTTTGTCAGGATGTTTGGTAATTGTTGATATTCTTTGGTGAATGATTGATTATGCAACTGGCTTATGGTTACATTCTAAATTGTTTCCTCATTGTTAACTGTATGAATTTCTTTTCACACATGCTAACTTTTGTGCACTTTGAATACTTTAGAGAAGCAGAGGTTTGAATCAAAATTTCAAATTTTTATTCTCCTTATTTGGGGCAGGAGATATTCTAAATTCTTCACATTGCAGGCCTGTGTTAACACGTGTAAAGCACAGCCATCTGAAAAGCGGGTAAAAAGGGAACATGCTACTGTCATTTTAAAAGAAGCACTTACTGAAGGAAAATGGTTATGGTAAGGCTTATCCAGCCAGTAATGCTTAACTCCCATGTTTTTACTTGTGTGCCAAACTTGAAACCTTTTAATTTAATTGGAATAAATATTTCCCATGTGGTTCTTCTTACCTTACTTGGGTACAGAAAGGCAAGATAGGTGCTTTATATTATAGTTTAAATGTTTGCCAAACAAAACAATGTCAGCAGTGTGGTAACTTTGTTGGCATGAGTATTGAACTTATTTCTGGGATGATACTGTTGCAAACATTTCTTTGATCTTGTTTACATGCTTGTAAAATAGTAGTTCAGTTTGAAATAAAAGGATGGAACAACCTTTTTCTCTTCACTGTCATTTAACAAGTTGGTGTAGTTCGGTTTCATATTGTAAACAAGACTTTCCATCAATATAACATGTATTGAGTGAAATAGTTGAACAAATGGCAGTAGAAGTAAGTCTTCACTGTCTCCCACGATGCATATTGTTAAAATTTGAAGTACAATTACTATGAATGCTTGCATGACTAAAGTTATATATAAAGACCTTGCCTCCCAGCCGATTTTAGTGCTGGTTTTCTGTCTAAAATTGCTAGTAAAAACTATTAGGAACTCACATCTTAGATAATCCTCCACCAGGCTTATCCTCTGGGCTCATGAATGATGTTATGGGTGTTATTCACCCTAGAATGTGCTTGTAATTCTTAGAGCTTTGCTCCCTTGTTACCAGAAAAAAAGACCTTCCCTTCCACTCCTATCTAGTTTCTTGTACTTAATTGCCTACTTTATACCATGACCTTTTCTTGGTTGTTGAATCATGTATAACTCATATAGAGTTGTATTCAATCATTCTTCCAACTTGGGTTCAGGAGGTGGTGTGAAATTATAGTTTTCACATTAATGCTGACCTCAAATGATATCAATGTTAATATGGAGTAAAGTGAATGATGCCAATGGAGGCTTTATTGATATACCATATTTCATGTATTCTAATTTGTATTGTGCTCAGATTCGTTGTCGTTTAATTGATGCCTATAAAATGATTTAGTTCCTTGATGTATGTCTTGTAATGTTATTGTGCAAGATCTCCTTATTTTCGCATAATTTCTGTGCTTCTTCAGTCCAGTGCTATCTATTTTTTTCTTCTGATGCAAATGTTTCGTTTACAAGATCAACTACACTGAAAATTATGGTCCTCTATTTCAGGAATGCAGCATTTTGTTGTCTTGTTCATAACTACTACAGTCGCATGAATAAAGATCTTTTCATATACTGGTTTGAAGGCCTTTTGAAAAGCTTTGAGAGGTAAATATGCATTTATATATGGTTATATGGTTAATCGAGTCCTTCATCTGTTATAATTCAGCTTATTACATCTTTGGTTTTTTCACTCTTCATGCGCATGCTTTTGTATTTGACATTGGATTAGAGAGTTCTTTATTTCCATTTGCTTACATAGAACACTTGAAATTGTTATATTTTACAAATAAGTTTTCAATTATATAGATTTATTAGTAAGGAGCTTATATGTTGCTGGTCGGTGTGAGCAAACTTCGGTTCTAACTGGAAAATCAAATCGAACCAACAATGTTTGGTTTGGTTCGGTTGGCTGAGCTGTTCAGAAAAATTGGTTTGGTTCAGTCTGTTAAAAATCAGAATTGTTTTTTTTCTAGTCAGTTTTCTCCCTAGAAAACCAAATAGACTGAAATAACCAAATTGCAAGTTTTTGAAGTTTGAACATAAAACTTTGGTTCAAATCGAGAAACTGAGCCGACCAACCACTCCAGCCAAATCAGTTCCTTTAGGAAGGTAATAATTTTGAGTTCTGTTAGGTATCAATACAACCGAAATGTTTCTTTTCAGTTCGATGTCTCCATTTTAACGTTTAGTTATTTTGGTTAGTGGTTGTTTGGTTCAGTTGAACTAAATGCTCAATCCCTTGCTATGGATGTGAACTTGAAAACTGCAAAAATTTTATTGGAGAGAAATTGCACTGATTTTTTTCTTTTTAAAACATATCCATCTTAGAAAACTTGATGCTACTTCTTGCTTAGTAACTCAATGCTACTTAATTTTTCTTTATTCTTTATTTTTTAAAGTGAAAAATGCATTCTTTTAATCATCATCTCTTTTGGGATCACTTCATATTTTTATTAGCTTTTGAGTAGGTTTCTACTTTTGGCATTTTGAATGGTATGTTCCTTGCAGGTGTCCAACATTACTGTAGTTCTTTACTTAGAAAATTTTCTTATATTTTCTTTTTCTCTTAGTGGTATATAAATTATCCTCGTCTGTCTGATAATCATCTTCTATTTCTTGTTAACAATTTTTTTTTTATCTTCATGAAAGTACTCTTGATTTTTTTTTTTTTTTTTGAAGGACACACATGTTTGGATTCCCTTTTGAAGTTTTTTTGAACAATTGATGGGCCGTTTACACTTTTCTCATCTGCTGTTTGACAAAATTTCTCCACTATTTTTCCTTTTCAATTCTTTGAGATGCTCATTCAAATCTTAATGTGTAAATGCAGTTCTCTAAAATTGTAATGCTAGTGTCACTTCCTGCCCACCTACATTTCATCTATGTTGTGTGAAATCTTGGGAATGTTTAAATTCTTTGCAGTTGTTTGATTGTTGATTTGGGATATGTTGCAGGATTTTGAGTGATGCATGTATGGGGCATGCTTATGATGGTTTGCTGTGGACCTTGAGGTATTATTCTTTGATTTAAATAAACAAGGATCGGTTTTATGTTTAATGTCTTTCTACAGCATATTGTGTCTTCGAAATTGTGGAAAAATGGGTGTTTACAATATAAAGTGGAAAGGAAGGGTTTTTATCAGATGGCATATTTATGCTTTTCATTTCTGAGTTAACGTCATTGTGTTGATTCAAAAGGTGTTAGATAATTTTTACTGCTCCTCTCTCATATTTTCTTCCCTTTTAGCTCATATCTGCATTGGCTTGTAAAGGAGTTTGCAGGAGCTGTCTACTATTTTGCCGCTTTCAGATTCTCAAGTGGAGATATGGTCCAGGTCTTCATCTATATCAAATGAGGTATTTTTTTTTCTCCTTCTTTTTGTTTTCATGGTTGTTCCCATATTTTTTATTACCCAGAGATCCCTTAACTATTAAATTAATAAACTGAATCACACTTTTACCACTAAACTATGCCCGCTACGATGTGATTATTGTATATAAACCAAGAACTTTACTGACAATTACTTGCTTGGTCAGAAGTGTCCTCTGAATATTCCGGTCTTGGATTAGCGATTAGTTTCATATATATATTTTTTGGAATATAAATTATTAATAAAGAAGAGAGGATAGGCTCATTTCAGTCAAAATCTATTTTTTTCCTATTGACTAATTAAATATATTATCACCTTAAAAATTTGGCATTAATTGCTTGGCCATGGAACTCTTTGTGGAGATTGCTTGTAAAGTAGTGTATAGCTGATATTCAATCTGAATTTGGGGATCGCTACTTTTTTAGTTTTTTATCAAAATTTTAGTTTACATTTCCTTTCGACTTTCAAAGGATATCTTCTCTTCCACACTGCATTTCTAATTTCCTTCTTTAATAAAATCCTCTTCTTTTGTCAGAAAAAAAAGTTTTTCCCTCCAATCCAACTGGAGAAATTCAGTGCATATCTGTCATTTTCCCTGAAAAATCTTTATGATTTGTTTTGTACTCAATTGTTGGAAGAATAATTTCAACGTTTAAAAAAATGTCTCGCCTCATTTTTTTCATATTAAGAGTGCTATTGTCATAGTTCAATATCTGACATACATCTGTTGTTTATTCATATGAATTTTTCCAAACTGTCAAATCTTTATGCATTGCTGTACTTCCAGTTTTCATTGCAAGCATGCTTCCTTTATTTGAAGCAAGCACTGACTTATTGATTGGCAAATTTTGCAGTTGGATTCTAGTTGGCAATTATTATGGAGCTGTATAATGCACGGGCTGCCATTATTGAGTAATATAACTGCAGTTGTAAGTTTTATTTGTACATTGGCTTTGGTAATATAACTGCAGTAATATAACTGCCATTATTGCAATTATTGCGTACTCAAGTTATAAGTGGTTTCATTTCTACATTGCCATACCTACTTTGATCTGTTTCATTGCTGCATCTACTTCCCTTTTAGACTTCTCATTTCTTGGGTGGTAGTCCTTTAGTTTTTTAAATTAAATAATCTTACACCAAAATGGCTTTTTAAGGTTGATTTAAGATCAAAAAATATAGACATGATTGCTATTTTAGTTTTCGTTGTTTATCTGCAGTGAAGCTAGGATTCTTGTTTTAGCTGATTATATCTCTTTTATTCCTTTTACAAAATCATACAGGCAGATGCGGCTCTTTTCCTACTTGGAAGTATTATATCCAATGTAAGTATACTAATCTTCTTTTGGAGTTTGGATCTTGGTTCTCACACTTGTTGTATATGAGCCACCTCCTTTTTAAAGGAGTTCGACTATTCTAATTGTTACTACTAGAATGATCTTGAAGCTTTATCTATTGAAGTGAATTTAAATATTTTTCCCATTCGCATTAGTTTATTGACCGGTTATAATTTTTTCTTTCAGCATTTGACAAATACCTTTGTTGTGCCTCAAGATGTATGGGACCTCAAGTTATTTAAGCAAATGCCTTCAAGGTGAGTACTTTTTTATTAACTCTTCTTGTTGGAATCTTTATAATTAAAGTAAATATTGTGTTTCCTAGTTTAGGTTTATTCCTAATTAGAGTAAATATTGTCTTTTCTAGTTTAGGTTTACCACCTCTTTTTACAAGGAGTTTCGAACACACCCCACTCATACTAAATTGTTACGTACTAGAATGACTTGAAAGCTTTATCTAGTTGAAGTGAATTATTAGAAAATATTTTCCCATTCGCATTAGTTTATTGACCGGTTATAATTTTTCTCTGTTCAGACATTTGACAAATACCTTTGTTGTGCTCAAGATGTATGGGACCTTTTTCAAGTAATTTAAGCAACCTGTCCTTCAAGCGGCGCAGCTATCATAACTTAAAAATATAAATGTAACATCTTTCTTGTTGGAATTTTATAATTTAAAGTAAATAATTCGTGTTTGCCTAGTTTAGGTTACTTACCTAATTAGGTAATATTGTCTTTCTAGTCTTAGGTTATTCCCTATTAGATTCCTTACTATACGTCTGGTAACAATTCTATATTCTTTTATTCTTCATTCTTTTTTTTTTTTTTTTTTTTGTTTGTAAATAATATCCAGTGAAGTAGAGGTTGAAAGAACATCAACACCAAGTCTGAGAAGAAATACCAACAACACCCAATCTTCTTATCAAACTATTCGACATAACACAACTCTCAAACTTCCTCGCTAGTGCTCTGGAAGAGGTAAAGCCAAGAACAACAATTATAGATACATCCACTGCTACACTATCGTTTTTTTTTTTTTTTTTTTTTTTTTTTTTTTTTTTTTGTATATATATAGTGAAGTAGAGGTTGAAAAACACAACACAATTGAAAGAAATACAACATATTCTTTCCTTTAATTTCTACACTTCTCAAACTTTGTGTGCCCTTCTGGAAGAGGTAAAACCAGACCAAAATTTGATCTTCTGTAACATTATCCATGAAACGAATGCGTCATCATCTTTTAGATAAGCTTGGGAAGAATTAAATTTGCAAGTACCTAATTGAATGAATAATTATATTGTTGAGAGCCACAATTTCATCAAGTTTAAGCTTTTTCTTCTTAGTTGGTAAACATTATAGTTAAAGGATTATGATGTAGAGTGACAAGTTCTTAATTATAAGAATATTATGTTTCCATGACATTGTATATTAAGCATCATATTTATGGTATAAGTTAATAGCTTCGAAGGGACAAATTCATGTGGCATTATGAGTTCGCAATTACTACCACAAGAAAGCCGCCCCTTTCAAGAAGATGGATGCTACTATTTGATTCGTTGGTTACCTACTGTTCACGGGTTGTCAGACTAGCTCTTTTTTCACTACTGTGCTAGTAACCTATGTCACTAAAAATGCCATTTAGCATTGGAAACAGACATGACTACATGGCTAAGTAAACTTGATGGAAAGCAATGCAAAAGTAAGGAATGAATTTTTGATACTTAGGTCACCAATGGAACTGCTCCATTGCTGAGTTTTTGTGAGTATTCCTTTGGAAAATAATTGGTAACACTTAGTCACTAATTTTTGTTGATTCCCTCATTTTTCCATTCAGAAATTAGCTGTAGAAACCTGTGCACCGCAAATCTTCCGTAGCTATTTCGCATATTTGTTATAGAGTATTGAATACTTGTCTCGTAATGCAAGAAGTTAGGGGTTTGAATCCTAACACTTCCTTCCCTCAAAAATTTCCAACACATTGGTTTTTTGAGGATTTCTGTTTTCTCCGGAGGTTTGGAGCGCTATTTACTCTCTCTTTTTCAATGGATTTGGTGGGTTGGGTGGGAGGTGTTCTTATATGGTCATGGTTTTAAAGTGATAATACAAGATTTGTTGGATACAACAATGTAATTGTTGTGATTCTGTTCAATCCTTTTGCCTTTATGAGAGACTAGTGTCTCTTTCTTAGAGATCGTGTGGCTCTTTGCATTTTTTAATATTTATTTTTGGTGTAAGTGGAAACTTCTATATATGCATCTTGTGTGCACATTGGTTTCACCCTCTTGGATTTATTTTAGGCAAAATTTTGATTCATTTATTAGTAACATTATCATGCATTTTTCGTTATCTATATATGACCAATTATAAATATTGTCATGCATTCATGATTATCTAGCTAACTTGATCTGTTATGATTTTCTTTCAGGTCTGTTTTGTACTTCATTGCATGCTATTTTTCTCATAAGGGTTCTCAAGTAAGTGGCTTCTTTGACATATTATGGATTTCTTTCTTTGTCATTTTAATGTTATTGGATTCTTTATTTCACGTTTGTTGGGATCTTTTTTTTTTTTTTTTTTTTTTTTTTTTTTTTTTTTTTTTTTTTTTTTTTTTTTTTTTGCTGTTGTTTTTTCTGCTTTTATAACTGTTTTTTTCCCCATTAGTTTTGGGAACTTGATATCTTTTCTGCTGTTAATTATCTACTCAATTTCACTTCAGTCACTACAATCATTTATTGTTCTTTTTAAGTTGACTTATTAAAACTTAAGTTGCCTGACTTGTATAGTTGGTTTGAATGAATTTCCGAACATGTTAAAGCTTCTCAAAATTTGGGGCTGACTATCAATTCATAAACCCTTGCCATTAGGGTAGCAACCCAACCATACTTTATTTTATTCTCAACGAAAGTTTGAGATTTACACTATCATTTATCTCAATCCAATTCCCTTTATTATCCTTTACTTTGTTTGGGTTGTTGGGTTTTGGGGGGTTGGAGATCATACTTTCCTACCTTTCCTTTTATCTTTGCAGGGTGACCTTCGAGACTCTTTGCATCTTCGGAAGAATCTCTTGACAACAATTTTGAGCTATGTGAACTGGAAGGTATGTTGGTCATAAAATCTTATGCTAATAGCAATGTTGCTATTCTTCTAGCATCTCTCTCTCTGGCATAATGGTGGAAATAGAAATATAATTACCATTTCATTTCATTTAACGTCACTCTGATCTGTGATCCTTTTGGTCATATATTCTTGTATTAGTCATGCTGAAGAACTGGGAATTTTTTTCAAGTATGACTTTGTTTAGTTTCGGTCAGGGGTTGGGATGGAAGCGGCTCGGTAACTGCGAATTTTGACGTACTTGTATCTGTCCAAACCCGTTTAAGTATCTATATCTGAACCCGTTAAAAATTTTACTATCCGTATCTGTCCAAAACTTGTTGAAAGTACACCTTAAATATGTAGAGTATCCGCAAATTTCAAACTATCTAAATCCGAACTTATTTAAAATATATATTTTACTAATAATGGATAGGGTACCCGCCGGTACCCACTACCAAACCCAATTAATATAGCGGTACTAAGAGACCTATATATGTACCTTACCCATATTCGTAACGAGTAGCAATTTCACTACCCATATCTATTTCAAACCTATTTATAATTATCAATATCCTCTTTAAATGGATTGGAGCAGGGTGCGTATCCTAAAATACTTGTACTGCTTCCATCTGTAGTTAGGGGATAAAGTGGACCTGTATTGTGCTAGCTTGCCAATCTGAAGTCCACTATGGTAGGAAATGGTTCTCAAGGGGCCTGACTCATATTCGGTATGGTGGCATTTTGGAACACATTCTAATGGTTGAATTGAAACAAGTCTACCTTAGTTGCTTTATGAGTTTGGTATGGTTTATACAATTTTTTTTTTTTTTTTTTTTTTTTTTTTTTTTGGGGTTTTGTATTTTTTGTTCTAATGGTATATTTTGGGCCTGCACCTCAGAAAAGGTCTCTAAGAATCTGCATTTGTGTGTTTTTTCGCCATTGGTTGATAGTGTTGCAGGACTGTATTAAGTGAAAATTTGAATGCTCTTTGTGGTTGGTATGGAAATTATGATTGGTCCTTAAAAGGCGTTTTCTACAAATTTGTGAAGCATTTTGATCATTTATCTACTATGTGGCATTTATTGTTATTCCTAGAGGAAGAAGCTTTTACGGTCCTATCGGGAGTATTGACTAGACACCTAAAGTTGGGCATGCATTTGTTCTCTCTAATAGAAGTATGAGAACACCAGTGCATTCCATTTCGGTTAGGAACTTTCATGTTGGGCATGCATTTTAAATTTTGCATTGACTATTGCATTTTGTCTTCTGCTTTTAGGTTTTATATCTTCAATGTATAAACTTATTTGCAGCATGCTAGTTCATTTTTTTTCAGGTTGCATGATTTTTGACTGTTTTGTATAATTTATTAGTGAAGTGTAACTTCTTATGTAGGAATTTTCCATATTAAATGAGCATATGGTACTGTTGTTGCCAGCCGCTGTTTATGCTCTTTGTGCTGGCTGTGCCCCATTCACACATTGTTCCAAAGGACTTGCCCTGTTGCACACTTTTTTCATGGACAAATTTGAGGCTGCAGATAATTGGGTTAAGGTATCTCTTAATGTTGGATCTTTCCTGATTACCATTTTGACCTTTGGACCAAATACATTCAAATTTTTCTCTTTGATATGTTTATATATGGTCATTTCCAATAGACAGACGAAAATGAGAATGAAAGGCTTTGTGGACTCTTTGAATGCTCAGTGGAGGTTTTGGCAAAAATTTATTTGGGTTCTCAAGTTGAGGTGCTGGATCATTTTCAATTTTTTTGTTTTTATTCTTTTCACTTTTTGTTCTTTAACTTGTTTATTTTCATTTGCAGATTGCTTCACACAAAAATCAAAGCGTACGCCTTTCCAGACAATTAAGAGATCCGCTGCAGCATGAAATGGAGACTCATATTCTTGGAGCTCTGATGAATAACCAAATCAGCAAAAGGCCTTTATCTGATGTTTTATTTATATGCGCACTATTATCTAATTTTATACATGGCTCATTGGTAACAAGGTTTGTGTTTTCTGTATCACATATGCTTATCTGCATTGAAAAGAAGTTCTTATCTTTCTATCCCTAGTTGGAATAGTTTCTCCTTAGGTTGTCTTTTGTATTGCAAGAATTATACCCCATGCATCTGAAGTTTATTTATTTCTGATAATAAAAATTGTGTTTTAGGTTACCAAAATGGTTGATTATAATCATTAGGAAGCTTGTGTTTTTCTCTTTGAGTAGGCATGCGACTTTGAATTTTCCCAGGTTTAAAATCTTGGTAATACTTGTGGTTTGCTTTCAATCTCACTCAGCTTCTTTGTGCATCTAGCAGTACGCATGGTGCATATTCCTCCCTTTTGTTTTTCTCATTGGTTAGTTGGATGGTATACATTTTAAGTTGCAGCTGCCATGTTTCTACTATTGTGTTTTCCATGTTCAAAATGCACCATAATTGGCTGGAGAGCATTGCTGGTAGATTTATATTTTTTAACCTTATTACATTGGTGTTAACTATGCAGTTGAAGATTTCTTACTTGGATTCTTATTACTTGATGCTTATTCATCAATAACATCTAATTTTGCTCCTCTTATTTCTTCTATTTTTTTTTTACTTTAATTTATTCCCTTTTTTTACCTTACAGGAAAAGAGAAGAAATATTACCCTTTCTCACCAAAATGGGCCAGTATTTACTAGAATTGCTAGATCATGCTGTTATTGTAATTAAAGAAAATGGCAACGACTTCCAATCTCTTGGTTGTTCAAGCTCTAGTTCTGACTGCAATTCAAAAGACAATATTTTAGCTTCATTTAGAAGCCTTCTCTTCTCTCTAATCTTTGTCAAAGGGGGAGATGAAAATTCTTTGGACCCTGTACTTTATGGTGCTATAATTCAAAATATAGAGAGGCTTTTGCAGGCACTTGCTGAACTATATGAACGATTTGCTGAAAGTGCACAAAATTCTCATTCTGACTTGACGATGTCTTCACATTCATCTGATGCTTCCTTTCAAATATCTTGCCCACTAGATAGCAATAGAAGTAGGATTGTGGACATGGATTTAGATGTGAATGAAGATACAAATAATGTGGATATTCTGAATTTTGGTGGCAGAATTACTAGTGGTATATCCTTTTCTATGGTTAGCTGGAAGTTGGGAATGGTTTCAATTATTTCAGGTTTTTTCTCAGTCATAGATTTTGTCACTTGGGATATCCTTCTTGAACTTATGAGAAAAGAATGTGACACAAAGGTATATTGCTTAACTTTTCTATATGTTAGTTTTCCCTGAGTTTTATATACTAATGGATCTGTTGTTTTTGTAATTCATTTCCTCAGGTCTATGACCGGGTTCTTTACTATTTGTGTCAACATCCAGACTGGTCCTCTTCTGCAAAGATTATGGACTTGGTAACAGATAGTTGAAGTTTTGATTAGTTTTTGTGCGGAACGTGCTGTTTGTAGCATTTGCAAGTTATTTTTGATCAGTTAGTGTATTATACTCCTTTTTCTTTTTATTGTGTTTAAAAATTTTTAGGTCAAAACAATGCATAACATGATGGAGATACGAGTTAGTGTCAAACTTGATTGTGCTAGTATGCTTGCTGCTGGTCAAAGATTGATCTGTACCTTGCTATCCTTGGATGCTGTTGGAAAGGCTGCTGACAAAAAGTCAACTGTAAAAGAATATGATCCTGTACTTACAATTTTCTTTTGTACTTTTTTAAAGTGTTCCTTTTTTTTTTTTTTTTTTTTTTTTTTTTTTTTTTTTTTTTTTTGTTTTTTTTTTTTTTTTTTTTTTTTGTGGGATTGAGTTGAAAATTTGAAATCTTGATTCTTTGTTTCTATATATGATTATTTATACTCATTTTCAATTTATGCAGAGTCTATCTATTATATAAAAGTACTGCGGTATACAAGTTTGGATGTGGTTAATCTTATGCAGAATTATAAATTTATGTTGTTTTTCTTTCCAGATTTTGATAAGTCTTGGAAATTTACTTAGCAAAGTTGCAGAATTTGGTCTTCTTGACTGGATGGGACGGGCTAAGCTAATTGAGTGCATTTGTGATCTTCTCTTACTCAGTCCTCAAGTTGGACAGGTAATTACTGTTAGATATAAATAAAGGGATCCATTACATTTGTCAATAGCAAATATGAAGCGTGATGAACAGGTGCAAGGCGAACTAGACTATCGGGTATCTGGGGGGAGGGAGGAATGTGTATGTTTTTGAAAAAACATAATAATATTTAGGGGAGAAAAATGGAATTCTCAAAAGCTCGCCCAACCATATGGATAGATCCATCGCAGCAGAATGAAAGTTTAAATGAGCTGATGGATAAAATCTTAGAATTTGCTGGATTTGTATATGTTAGGATAGTGCCATAATTCACGTGTCATCAGATAATTCTTTCATGCCACACCTTTCTTGTTCTCCCACAAATTCTAATATATGCTCTGTTTGTGTATCTGTTGATTATTCGTTGTACTCATTTAGTTCTATCACTTGCTTGTTGTGATGTATTACAGACAATGATAGAAAGGTTATTCTTACTCCTTCAAGATCCTGAATTTCGAGTAAGATTTTCTCTGGCTCAGCGAATTGGTGTTCTTTTTGAAACATGGGACGGCCATGAGGAACTTTTCCAAGATATCTGGTGAGTTTCACTTTGAATTATGGTAATATCTTCATATGGTCATATGAGTTTCTCTTCGTATAGAAGTACAAGTTTCTCGTTTCAGTTGGATAAGTTGTATGATTAACATATTAAATATAGTGATGCTTCCACCATCATTTTGGATTAAGATTATTATGTCAAATTTAGTTAAGTAGGAATTTTTTTTTTTATCTTTCTTAGTTTCAAGCAAATACTGATAATTTTGTTAAAGAATAGTTTGTCTTCTTTTCTCCCTATAAAACATAATGCATTTTTTTCTTTGTTCACCTTTTTCCGGAATCTGAATTTCAATATTGTTTGTGACTTTGTTACTTAATATGAGTTGTCTTTTTTTTTTTTTTTTTTTATTTTTTTTTTTGCTGTCTTTCCCAGTTTCCAAACTCTTGGTATCACACATGTGGTGCTCCACTCGCAAAGTGAAAACTTGTTTATGCTAAAAAACGAGCGTCTAGTTCTGCGTCTCTCAGCCTACGCAACTAAGAACTAGAAACTGTTATATATTACTCTCATGTATGCTGTTTGCTCTCCATAGTGATAAAAACAAGTTGGAGGTACTCATATACCTGTTTTGCTGTGTCTACATAACAATGTTAATTTCTTTTGACCTAATTAATTTGCAAGTTAATTAGCAAGTTTAAAAAGGGCTATTGTGTTTTGAGTGGCACTCACTCGCAGGCCTATTTTTCATGATTTTGAAATTGTGGTTGCTCGCTTATTGACCCTTTCAAGTACTGAATTTCACTATTCTTATCCAATTTTAACTAATGCCCAGTTAGTTTATTATATTTAACCATTGACCTTTTGCTTCCAGGTAGTTGTCATGCAATAATTACTAATCACCTATCAAGGCACTCCAATATTGCAACTACGGTTCCAAAGGTTATGATGTATAGTATTCTCTTTTGAATATGAATGGACTTATAATGTTAAATTTTTAAGGATAATCTGATTTATATCCAGGGTGGACGCTGTTCTCAATGCTATTCTTTGAAGTCAGTTCACTCTCTTTTACTAACTTCAATTGTGGGAATCGCTTGAGCTGGTATTTTTTTTTTTTTTTTTTTTGGCTGTTTTCCCAGTTCAAACTTTGGTATCACAATGGTGCTCCACTCGAAAGGAAAACTTGTTAGTGCTAAAGAGGTCCTAGGTGCTGGTCCTCAGCCACGCCCAAGAATAGAAACTGTTATTATTACTCTCATGCATGTTGCTCTGCATAGTGATAAAACAGAGTTGGAGGTACTCATATTACCTGTTTTGTGTAGTCTAATAACAAGTTTAATTTCTTTTGACCTAATAAATTTGCAAGTTAATTAGCAGTTTAAAAGGCATTGTTGTTTTGATGTGGCACATGCAGGCCATTTTTATGATATGTGTGGTTGCTGCTATTGACCCTTGTCATAGGTACTATATTTCACTATCTTATCCAATTTGAACTAATGCCAGTTAGTTTATTTAACCATTGACCTTTTGCTCCAGGGAGTTGGTCAATGCAGTAATTGATAACCTATCAAGGCAGCTCCAATATGCAACTAGGTTCAAGGTTATGATTATAGTACTTTCTTTTGAATATTGAATGGATTTATAATGTTAAATTTTTAAGGATATATCTATTATATTCCAGTGGACGCTTCTCTCAATATTCTTTAAGTTCATCACCCTCTTTTTTACTAACTCAATTGAATCCTTGAGCTGTATTGCTTGATTGTTCATGGATGTTTACTCTTTTGATACAAGTTTGCCTGGCTCTATTGTTTTTGACTGCAGTACTTGGAGGAACTTATTGGAACAATTCTTTTTTTCTGGGTTGCTTGTGGTGTTAGCCTAGTTTCTCTTGTCGAGGTAATCTATTCACTTGATCATTAATGACCCCCTCCATTTGTCACTCCCAGCACATTAATATGCTATATGTAGTTAACATTTCGCCTCTCCATTTAACGAGTGTTCTTTTGCAGATAAGGCAACTTTTTGTGCCTGATGCAGAGCCTGGTTATTTCATGCAATACTGTTTCCATTGGCTTCTTCCAGCTTTAGTTTTGCATGAGGACAACTCCAACATGAATTGGGTGGCTGAGGTAGGAGACATGCAATTTGGTATTTCTGTCTGTTGGCTTATGACTCTCTCATATTTATGTGGTATCAGCTAATATATCTGTTTGAATGCAGGTTGCTTCTCAATCTTTGGCTGTTCTAATTAGAAACAACTTTGTACCAATATTTTCAGTCTGTATGGTATTGCATTGTAGTAAGAGACCTGGTTCAGATAAGGCAGCTTTGGTGCTTCAGAGTTCAATTTTGCATTTTGCTGAGATATCCGAGAATGAAAGAGACAAGCTCATAAAGAAACATATGGTGTGGATTTTATACTTTCAAAGATAACCAACTATTTTTTAAGGCATTATACTCTTGTGGGTTAATTGCATGTAGTTGTTTTTGAGCATGCCTTCTATGTCTTTGTGTACTTAACTATGTCTCTGTTTCTACCTCTTGGAGTGTTTGACGTTGAGCAAAAATGTGACTTCAGCAAGGAACGTGCCACCTCTTATTGTTGCTCTTCAACTTACCTATTGATATGTGTTTCTATCTAATTTACAGCTAGTTTGTTTCAAATGGGCAGTTCCTTGGAATGAATTGCACTTGTGAAATTTTTGAAGTATATCATACTTTAGGATACTTTAGAGTTATGTTGACCTTTTAGAGCTCTGTTTGGTACTTTTTACATTTTTTTTACCTTTTTCTATTCTATAAATAAGAAGCAAATACTAATGTCTGGCTAGAAAACAATAAAAAAAATTTGTGAAGAAAAATTTAATTCCTTATACGATAGCCTTTTCATATCTCACGTGAAGCAAAATCCATATAAATACTCTCTTTTTATTACATTTGTCTATGCGAAAAAATTGTAACTTTTAGATATTACTTATTATGAAGCAAAAAGTAAAAGACAAGAAATGAGAGCAAGCTAACTAAGCATAGTCTATATCTTGATTATGTTCAGGGAATAAAGCATGGATGTTGATATAAGAGCACTATGGACATAATTCCTTCTTGGAATTCTGTGCCATTTGGCTTGTGCTTGTCACCGTCTTGCATCTAATTTGTGCAAATTCATGTTTTTCTGTTTTGGTTCATTGCTTGTTGACAAATTGATCTTTCCATTTCTTCTTAATTCTCTGAATTGACTAGTTCATTGTAATGTAATGTAATTTCCCTTATCTGCATATATGTAGGTATCTATTGTGAGCCACATACTGTCCCTTACTTCTTGTGCATCAGATCCTGAAGTCCCTTTCTTTTCCAAAGATATGGTTGCACGTGCAGTTCAAACAGTTGTTGATGGATTTTTGGAAATGTATGCTACCTTCTTATTGCTTCAATTTTATTTTCTACTGCTCTCTAGACCATTTTTATGAAGAGGAAAATGTTTCTTGTTGAATGTAGGGAGGATTATCCTACAGGTGTAGCTGTTCTCGACAAGATTAACATTTTTCGGGCAGATAGAGTTTTCATGGTGATTGTGTGTTTTTTTTGTTGTTTTTTAGTTCAATTGTTGTAGTATTCCCTCGTTTGATTACTTGTTTATTTCTTGTGATCATGCAGTTTATAGTAGAAATGCATTATAGAATAGCAGCAGCGATTCATCATAGGCATAAATGTCATAGGTTGGCAAGTATTGAGGTCCTCATCGACATTCTTGGGCACAGAGCTGCTGTTTCAAGCACTTTGAAGTGTGTATTCTATCCTTGTTCTGTAGGATTACCTGATAAAATTTGGTTTATTGGAATAATATGTGCTGAGATTTAATCTGGAATATTTGTTGATTACATTTTCAGTTCAATATGCACAAGGCTTGTGTAAAATTAAGCATGGCGGCATTTTGGTCCTAAAGAACTTGTTTATTCTGTTTTGTTTGGGTTTTGGGATCAGTTTTAGAAACTTAGGAAAAATTTCAGTAACTTAAATTCTATTTCTATATATTTAATTATTGTCTGTAAAGGTTAGGATTTTCCTGGAAATTGCTTCTCTATAAAAAAAAGTAGGGGGAAGGCTGGAAAAGATGGATGACTCTTCCCTCACCCTCACAGTTTTTGGGAGCCTTGTGCTCTGTGGACACAATCTTAAATCACGAGATATTGGTTGAAAAATCGTGTATCCCAGAATGAATATAGATGTTACTCTCCATCTTTGTGGTTTGTCGAGAAAATCTTCTTTGGGAATTTTAAACATCCCAATGTGGATATCTAATGAATACTGTGGAAGGATTATCCTCTCTTAGGCAAATGTTTCGTGCTTGCTTGTGTCTCTCTCACTCTTGTTTCTTGCTTTCTCCTTTTGTTTCTTTCCTTGCTCTTATAACTGTAATTTAATGTTTGTTGAATTCCATTACGTTATTTGTAACACTTAAACTGGTTGGTGTTAGTTTGTTGCCCTTATGTATTGAACTTTCTTGGACAGTTAATTTGTTACAGCAAATTGTTTTCTGTGTTTCCTTTTGATCCCATGGAGATATGATGTCTATGTAACTTGTTTTATCTCCGAATTGGCACAGCTACCTTTTCAATTTGATTGGGCAATTTATTGGTTGTCAAGCTTTGCAAGATCAATGTTGTCATGTAATTTCTGCATTGCTCAGAATATTTAAAAGCAACCCATCCAAAGAAGCTGGTAGAGTTCTAGGTGAACAGCTTCAGGTATTTATATGTTCTGACACCATAACATCTTTAGTTCTCTCAGCTTACTTTAACCAAGTTCTCTCTTCGATCTTTGTGTAGTTTCTGGTATCTAAGTTGGTGCCATGTTGCATTCCCTCTGACACTACTGGGGAGCATTCTGGCACTAGATCATCTGCCGTCTTGTCTTTGCTCCTCCAGCTAACTGTGGATTCTGATCCTTCTCTTCATGATTATATTACAGTAGGTTTCTGTGACTTGTTTTTGTTTTGTAAATTTCCTTTCTTAGAAATGAATGTAGGTTTTTCTTTCTTTATTCTCTTGAATTTATTTCTATGAAGTTATGCCTGAACTTTGATAATGCTCTTTGGCAGGAGTTGGAACCTTTCCCGGAGATAGATGTCTTTAATGAGGTTCAGGAGCTCCATCAGAAGTTATGCCAAGCCTACTCTCCAAGGGACCACTTACTGAAGGTACACAACCTTTGACTTTTATGTCATTTGCATAAATATCAATATATACTTAAATCTACTTGTATTCAGTCACTATTTGATTCTATTTTCACATTTCCCCATGTACTGCTCCTTTTCAGTTTGTGAAGAGATCTTGTTATCTTCCACCGAGATTACTTTTATCGAGGTGATTATTTTGAACAGGCTTCTCTGTGCTTATTATATTACTACTACTACTACTTAATTCAAGGTCATTGAGATGACCTTAGACAATGTAGTTACATTCTAATGTCATTAATTACTTTACCTTACATAGTTTGTTACTGTTTTTCTATTTGTTCTTATGGTGATATTATGTTCATGAAAATTGAAGGTTGCACTGAGGTGGTAAGTTTTCTTGCAGTGTCCAGACACTCCACAAGAAGTTGATCATGGGGGAAAATATTCAGCAGGAAAGGAATGCAGAGGACATTGGAAGAGTTATACATTGGCATTCTGATTCTGAAATTGTGAAGGCAGTTTGGACACTAGTTAATATGTGTGGTTCAGATGATGCAATTGGTATTAGACCTTTGGTGTCTGATTTTGTTTCGCGGGTATATAATTGTTTTACAGTTCTGGCCTTTGACATCTTTTAATTTTTCTTGGTTAGGACATCTGATTTCTTGACTTAAACTGCAGGTTGGCATTGGGGATCCACACTGTGTTGTATTCCATCTACCTGGAGAGTCTAATGACATTAATGTTTGCAAATCCATAGCTGAAGACAACCCTACTGAAATCAATTTTGGCATGGAGACTGTTGTATCTGAAGAACTTCTTATAAGACTTTTGAAACTGTTGAAGAAATATCTGATGGATGATTATGTTAGAATAGTTGATTTGACATCACAAACTCTTCGGGTGAGTCTTTGGAGATTTAAATGCCTTTGGCCCTTTATTGTGTTTATCAGGCTCAAGTCTTGATATGCTTGCTTGATTGGTTATCTTGAACATTGAGATCTTGTCAATAACATGGTTATTTTTTTTTGTCTATCTTGAAGTTAAAGTTTTTCTTGCAGTGGATATTTTCTGGTTATACATTTGATTGTTGCACTAGAAATGCTATGTAAATCTTTTTGGATCATAACGATATAGTGTTTATGCACTAAATCCCAATAAACCAACCTGAATGATTAAACAATTTGAATCAAAGTCAAAACAACCCATGAGGTTTCATTTATAGGTAAAAGTCGGCTGTTATAGCTAGATGTAGTGGCCTGAATGTCTTATATAGGGTCTATGGCCTTCAACAAAGCAATTGAATATAAAGTTTGAACAATAAAATGTGTCAAATGGTATTCTAAGTTTATCCGGTGCTATTACTTCATCTTGGATGTAATGCATCCTTTCAGAAGTAAGAAGTTGATGTAAATGCAAGAAAACTATTAACTCTTGTTGCAACTTGAGGTTGCTGATATTTTCTTGTAGACGTCAGAAAAATATGCCTTTTCTTTTAGTATGGTATCATTATTGCATTTAATGAACTTGTCCTGTTGATTTAACTGTATCACTTACGTGTGTGTATCCGTCTATGAAATCAGTTATATGCTTGTTGAACTGTAGATGTCAATAATTTTTTCCCTGCTCGAGTGTTTCTTGTAAAATTTATTTTCTTCCTCAAGATATTTCAAGCTTCAAGTTTTCTTAATATTTAACTGTATTTGTTGAAAGTGCAAAAACATGCTACATCTTCAAATGGGAAGTACATAGAAGGAATTGAAGAAGATTCTTACAGGTTTCTTGTACTAAAACAGGGAATACTTTCAACTGAAAGGGGTCAAAGAGCTATACTGTCATTTGATTATTATGAAAGGTCCCTTATTGAGGTATGCTTATTTTTATTTCATAATAGTCTTACCACTACGCTGAAGTAGATCTTCCTTGTTTTTACCTGGGTGATATCAAAGAAACTGTATTCAGCATTTTGGTTTGGTAGCAGGGAAATCTCTTGCTGGTAGGATGTCCTGCCACTTTAAAAGGTCTATAGGGGCTAGAGTACTCAATATATCCTAATAATAATTTTATAATATTTGGACTGTAATTTTATATTTCTCGTTCTCTTTAGAGCACTAGAGTAGTGGCAATCAGAAGAAGATTTGGATTTGGAAGAGCTTGCTGGTTGTGGGACATGGTGATGTTTTTGGCTTCTACTTGGCCTTATGCTTGTGGAGCTTTAGAGATTCCCTTTGAATTTACCCAACTTTTTTGGAAAGCATCACATTCTTAGATTTTATTTTTTATTTTTGTGATCTTCTTTGCAGTTGTCTTTTGAATTTATAGGAGGATTCCTTGTGCTGCATGTTGTGTTCTCATTTCTTTCTTTCTCATCAATGTTTGCTTCCTTATCAAACAATTTAATAATAATCTTCGTCATTGTTTATTGGGAGAGGCTAAAATGATATTTAGCGTCATTTTTCATGTTTCGGTAGATCACAACCAGTTATTAAGTGCAGAAGTGACACTTTCTTTTTTGTCTTTTATCGCCATTCTCATTTCTGCTAACTGACTTTGTACTGCAGCTGTATTCTTATTTAATTCTTATGGTATCATATGTTATATTCTGCAGCAAATGAGAGCTAGTTTGTCAGGAAATTAATCAAACATGCACATAGGCGTTTATCCTTTTGTTTGGATTTTTTTTTATTTTTCTTATAAGAAAAAAGAATTAATTACAGAAGAATAAATATTATTAGTGTAGAAGATAAAGGCTATTTATGCTTATCTCACAGATTCACTCCAAGGGTGTCAATGTTAAGCTGGTGGAGAAGTTTCTTTTCGATATGGAAAGGAGGTTTAGAGGTAAACGCTGCTAATTTGGAACTCAATTGTTTATGTATTAAAAGATTTTTATGCATATTTGTGCCTGAATTTTGAAGTTATCTCCACATCATACATAGAGTTATTGCTATTCCTATTAGAGCTGGATTTGCTGTGAATTATTGGCTAACCAAATATAAAATGTTATCTTTTTATTGTAATTCTTAGCTGAAGCAACTCCAATAGAGGAGTTTACTGTATGGGAAACGCAAAACAAAACATTTGAGATGTGGATTTGTCCTCTTGTGTACTCGCTTATTGGCTACAGCAATGACGTCATTTTAAGGTAGTATTGTTTCTTGTCTAAAAGCATTGCTTTAGAATGTCATTTTATTTTTCATATTCATATCTTATTATGTATTACCATTTCTTTAGGTTATGTCAAGACATTGTGTTGGTTAAATCTGAAGTTGCCGAGCTTTTGCTGCCAAGTGTTATTGTAGATCTAGCTGGAAGGAAGAATATGGACATTGACTTTCACAAGTTAATATCTTTGCGGGTAACATTCTATAGGACTTTGGGTAAAAAATTCCATTTCTCATTGAATTTTACTTCACTTGTTTTTCTTTAATAATTTTCTGCCATTTTCTAAGATTCAGAGTATCTGATTAATGTTATTATGTATTAGTCATTTTACTGAGTCACCCTCTTTTTTCTACTCACTATTTGCTTTGGGGGGCCAGAAGCCAAATATAGATTCTATAAAAGAATTTACGTTATTATGCTCTATTCTCCCTTTTGCTCCAGCATATAGCTGCTGTCAGTAACTAACTTGCCTGATATGTCCTCCTTGCTTGGTCCCCAAAAACCCAGTGTTATTCCCATTGCTGTCCTCAGCTATCTTGCTTCTTCCAGAGTATACCTTAAAGGGCCTTGGTCCTGGATCAATTCTATCACATAGCTTATCAGAAAACGGTAAAAAGAGTAAAAAATTAGATATTTATTGCCTTGGAATTGACTCTGGTGAAAATTTATTTTTTGTAAAGACTGCCATGTTATTATTGTTCTAATACGCAGTATATTATGCATGCAACTGATATTGTTTAATTATTTAATTAATTTGCAGGTGCAGGAGCGTGTATTGACAGAGTCTAATAAGTTGATAAAATCCATCCAAGTCTTCTTGAAAGCACTTAACAAACTTCGGTTATGCTATGTCTTGGAAAAGTCCTCCTTTTTACCATCCAATCGAGAAAGTCTCAAGGCAAGTGCAAAAGTTGTTCCTCAATTGTTTGTATTTGGTGCATTTCGATTATGATTCAGTTCTTATGATTCTTTTTTCTTCTGAGAATAATTAATGCACCACTTCATGCCCATGCAACACATTTCTTTATTATTTCTGCTTAAATGAGGAAGGATAATGAAGAGGAATTATGGGGAGGCAGGCCTGATCATATTTTTTGCAACATTACTTCTTTTTTCTTGAAAAGCGTAGATCATATAATATTTATTCTTTTAAATAAAAAGATATAATTTCATTTTGTAACAAATAATATCATATTCAACAGTTGATAATCTGATGATAGTGGGTTGACAATATTTAACACTTGCAAAATTATTGATATAATTATTACCTATACAAAATAGGAAATTAATGATTCACAGTCTGTGCAATATTGTTTCACAGAGTGCTAAGCCTTCCAGTTATGGCTCAAAATCCCGTTCTACTGCTGTAAAGGCCAGAGATTCAATAGCTGCATCCAGTTCAATGGCAATGTCAACATCTTCGTGGGAGAAGGTCTGGCTTTTTGGACATGCGTATAATTAATGCTTGCAATTTTACGTTACTTGTGTTCTTCTGGATCATGTTGTAGAATATTTCCTAGTGCTACCTTTCTTTCAAGGTTGGGAAAAAAATAGAATTTTTTTTTCGGCTTTAGCTTATAAGGCAAGGTTCAGGACAAAAGGGCTTCTTTCTTTTGCAAAAAGAGATGACTAGCTAGAGTTTATCACTGAGAAAAGATATATTTTGGTGCTATAATATTAAAGTGTCCAAGACAAAAATATTAGCAGTGTATTGATGATCCAGTAAGGAAAACTACTCATCCATATATGGTTTCTTATTAACAATACCCTAGAAATGGATAAAGAAGGGGTAAGACAGAGCTGAAAGCGACTGGAGGTTTATGCACTTTGCCTAGAAAGTTACATAAATCTGTTAAATTTAATTATGCAGCATGTTTGTGAATTTTTTATTGTTACATTCTGATGGAGAGTTTTTGCAGGTTTATTGGCTAGCCATTGATTACCTCATTGTTGCCAAGTCAGCAATAGTGAGTTATACTTTTTCCATTTTTTTCTTTCTTTTGTTTTGGTTACATTTTTTAAGTTTTCATGCACATCACAGTTTTTAGAACTTCTCTCACATGGATATCTATGCTTGACAGATTTGTGGCTCCTACTTTACCTCTATGATGTATGTGGAGTACTGGTGTGAAGAAAATTTCAATAGCCTTACCCTAGGGAATCCAGATTTTACCCATCTTGAGGTGGTAAGTTAGACTTATGCGCCATATCTTCCATAAATGTCACTCGGGATATAATGATTTAATTTTGTTAGTTATTGGCCTTGGCTCTTTTTTCCGTCATATCATTTTAGAGCAATTAATAGTTCGTTATGGATCTATGCAGTCAATCACCCGCTATAACTAAATGCCAAGTTCATTTGTATCACTGCATTCATTTTCGTTATTTTGTGTTTGTGTTTCCCAATGTCTTTTCTCATCAGTTGCCAGATCACATTGAAGTTCTTGTCTCAGCTGTTACTCAAATCAATGAACCTGACAGCTTATATGGGATAATCCAGTCACACAAGGTTTGTTTAATTTTAGTACTTCATGATAGTTTTATTGGCCTAGTATCATTATCTTGTAGCCTTTGGCATTTGTTGGCGCTACTAAATTTCACTATGCTTATATGCTCCAGGAGTGCTTATGTTGTCCGTATTGGCTGTGTGTGTGTGTGTGTGTGAGAGAGAGAGAGAGAGAGAGAGAGTGCAGAAGGCCAGTTGTGTATTTTAAGTATTGTCCAGTCATCATAGATTGGCTGCACCATCTTTATGTACATAATGGTTGTGCACTGGAGGGAGAAAAAAGGGGTGGGGAGAGAGAGGGAGGAGCATAAAATGCCAGCCTTGTATAAAAGGCGATTGATTGTTCATAGATTTTTCTAGACCAGCTAAACCATATGGAAACACACATATTGCTCAGAGAAAGAGAGTGAGGTCGGTTCAGAATAAAAAAATTGTTAAATTTCTTTGAAAAGATTTATTCTGAAAATACCCAATAAGCAAAGGAAGGATGAGAAGTAGAACTAACCAGCCTTGTCTTTAACTAGGTTCACCATGCTCATGCACATGGTCTATGTATTGGCTTGTGTGCTGCTTGATTTCAGGAGTTTCACCTTTTTAATTTTAATTCAGCTCTTCTATCAGAGAAAATCTTTGGAAGGCTTTTAAAAAGGTTGAAACTTGGGCTACATGCTCAAACTGGTTACTGGAGTTCAAATGCTATATTTGATTCTGAGATTCAATTTTCAAAGGCTAAATGGTCAAATTTAGTAGGACAGTCATAAACAGGTTCCGCTGATTATAACCATAGATTACATTGCAATTCGGAATCAATGATGCACATCATGTCAAATGCATGGTATACTACAAATTATTGTCTCAAAGTTTTGATTTTTGGTTGTGACATTGGTAAAACAGTTGACATCTCAAGTTGTTACCTTTGAGCATGAGGGAAACTGGAGCAAAGCCCTAGAATACTATGACTTACAAGTCCGTTCAAATGCCATGATGCAAACGAATGGTGGATCTGGAACTTTATTAGCTGAGCATAATCAACCAGCAGCATGTCTAGTCCTATCTGCATCAAAAGATGAGATTAAGCAGAGAAAACCTTACAAAGGTCTGATTAGATCTCTTCAACAAATTGGCTGCACGCATGTGCTAGATTTATATTGCCTGGGTTTGACTTCTCGGAAGGGCCAGTTTCAGCATGATTTGGAGTTCACAGAATTGCAGGTTTGCCTTTGTTTCTATTAATTGGAACAAACTCCTCTGTTGTTGCTATAATGACCTGCCATAACTCCATAAAGTCCTAGAAAATTATGGCGCTGGCTAATTACTTACAGATGCAATAATCTTTTTTTGCTTTTCATGTGGCTGATTTGAGGCTTTCATTATCATTTTCCTTGAATACTTGGACCTATATTTGCAGTTTGAGGCTGCTTGGCGTGCAGGAAACTGGGATTTCTCCTTCCTTGTCCATGGAGGCAATTCTTCTTCGCATCAAAATGTTAAAATTGATCATTTCAATGAAAATTTGCACAGGTAATTTGATATAAAATGAAAATTATTTGGTGTTAGTTGGAGAATATGTCGTTTCCCCTTATTGTTTTTCTGCATCGGTTCTCCCACTACAAATTTTTCATATAATTCCAATGAAATCCAGGAGGTATTTATTTTAGTACTTTTGATGTATCCTTCTTATCTCACAGTATCTTGTTGGTGTAAAATGTGAGGCATTCTTTCTATTTCACTTCTTTTTCATGTAAAATTGCTTGTTCAATTCTTTTTCATCTTATCATGAGTTCTTAACTACTATACATTTGCTAAATTGATGTTTTGAATCTGGCACTTATTCTAAAAGAAGTAGGAAATGCTAGGTTGACAGTGGCATATGGGTTTTCCTAGGGAATCTTGGGGATATTGTAATATATATCGTCACACACACTAAAATGATTGGAAAAATCAGTTATTAGGAACAGAGACATTGGAAATTATAGTTCTGTCCCTATATACTGAAAGGCTTTCCATTTTCCAATTTATTTGCGCAGTGAATGCATAAACTGTATGGTTATGATGATTTTGAATTACTGCAGTAGTTTGTTATATAAGTTTGCTGCATCCAAGTCAATATCTTTGACAGAAACCAAATTGGTTATTCGAGAAATTAAAATGGAAAATGAATTTGTGATTTTTTTAAAATCACTATGACTTGGCTAGAAAGTCAAACATGAAGTTTTACTGGTTTTGTAGACATGAATCTAGGGAACCCATCAATTTATAACAGTATTAAGTACGCTTCATCTTAAATCAATACATTGATGCCAGCCCTCAAAATGCCAGAACATAATGAAAATCTCAGCATACTGGATCTTATGGGCCTTTAAGTATACTGTTTAACAATTGCACTTTTTTATACAAAAGTTTACTTTGTGTAGAAAAGAATAATGGGAAAAGGTCTCAGATTTTAATATTTTTTTCATCAAGGATAAATTGAGTTTGTTGGACAGGCTTACTACTAGGTGGCTTTGTAGTTGGATGGCATTGCATTTCAGTATTAGGTTGTCTTGCTGTTTCTAGAAATTAATGGATGTGCTATCCAATTGGTATATCATCTTGAAGGGAGAAGGGTTGCCAGGGAAAACAAATATGTAATACACACACATAAAAACATACTTTTTTAAAGCTGATCCTCTTTCAACTTGCTTGAGCATGTCTGCTCTGACACATATCTTACCTCCTCATTTTCCCATCTTCGCTGGCTGGAATGTTAGCTGTTTGAGGGCATTGCAAGAGGGGGATTTTGATGAATTTCACCAAAAACTGAAAGGTTCAAAGCAGGTAATTCTTTGTCATATTTATTTTCATGCACTGGCTGCTGTCTTTAACAGGATCTCCTGATTTTTTATTTATATTAGGAGCTTGTGTGGTCTGTCTCTTATGCAAGCGAGGAAAGCACTGAATACATATATTCCACAATAATTAAACTTCAGGTACTTGATATCTTGTATCAGGCATTGCTTCTCAACTGGTACACAACTTTGCAGATAAATAATTAATAAAGGATGCACCGTCTTAATTCTTGTTCTCTTTTTTTTTTTTTTTTTTTTTTTTTTTTTTTTTTTTTTTTTTTTTTTTTTTTTTTTTTTTTTTTTTTTTTTTTTGTCTTTTTTTTTTTTTTTTTTTTTTTTTTTTTTTTTTTTTTTTTTTTGTCTAAGCTTGCTAATATATAGTTTTATTGTTTTTATATAACTTCAATTATTCTATTGTTTGGGTCAGTGCTGCCAAGTGCAGTTCCTATTTTACTTGTCCTGTTTAAGGTTTTGTAATTCTAGCCAATCTTAGTAGCTGCTTAAAATCTGGAAGATGAATCTTTCTGTGAAGAAAGGAGAAGTGTGGGGAATAGGAGGAGTGTAGTGGCGGTTTCTGCATAATGCACTTTGGTGATACATGAGGGTGCTACTTGAAGCTAAATTTTGGATAATCCTATGCAGATCCTTTATCATCTTAGCATGGCCTGGTTTATACGATGGACGTCATCTCCATGTGAAGCGAAAGAACTTTGTCCTAAGAAGCAGCAAAGTTTTTCAGAACCTGTATTCCCTACCATGGAACAGGTATTCATCTACTGACTAGCAATCATCTTCTTATTTTACAATTGTGCGATTCACAAGTAATTCTCATGTAGGATTCATTAATATGGTAGAGATGTGAATGTCAATGTCTTCAATTTCTAATTAAAATTACATGTTTCCAAGGCATAGATGAATAGTCAGGGCAAATATTTAGTTTTACAGGGGAAAACTTGTAGTTATTCTTATGTCAAAACTCCATCAGGACACTGATCTTGGTGTATTCTGTTAATAGCAACAATCAAGGATAAAATTCCAGCCACCATATAAACAAGGGCAACACAAACTGCAAGGAGCTAACAAAAGACCAATTTAAACGTCTAAGATATTCTAAAGTTATGCACTAAATTCAATGTACACAAAATGAACTCTTCAAAGTATTTTTGTAAGAATGACGCTGTAGTTGTGTCTCTGTATATAACATTAAAACGTATATATTTCTGTTACAGATACTTGTGTATATTTATATTTTAAGAGTCAGAAATTTTTGAAATTTTATTCTTTGTAGGAGTGTCCGTGATTTTTATTATTCTCATGAATTGAATCATGCAGTTTCTATTTCTTTGCGCAATTTATTGAACACCTCCTTCTTGTCCTAATTTAAATGCTTTACAATATTTGTTGAAACTTCTGAAGTATTTTCCTTTTGGTCTCAATTTTTTGTACTGGAATAAAGTTTTAGTTTAATTGACAATCTCAGTGTTATAGCAGCGTCGTACTTGTTGAGAAAAATTGCTGTTTATTTTCAAGAAAGGTTGACTTTTACATTTCATTTAGAGAGGTATTTCCAAATTATTTTGTTGTGGGAGTAATAGGTAATTCTGGCTGTCTGATGCAAGATTTTGAATTTCTATTTAGTTATCATGGTTGAATATGGACTGGAGCAAGATTTTGGAGCGAACACAACTTCATATGAATTTGTTAGAACCATTCATAGCATTCAGACGAGTGCTACTTCAGATCTTGGGTTGTAATGAATGTTCTATGCAACATCTTTTGCAGTCTACGTCCACTCTTCGCAAGGTAACAGAACATTCCTCAATATGCTGAAGTATTGGTTTGCTACCATTCTAATGTTTATTCCATCTATCATTTACAGGGTTCTAGGTTTTCTCAAGCTGCGGCAGCTTTGCATGAGTTTAAGTTTCTTTGTCTTGGCACAGGGGAACAGACTACGTCATTATATTGGCTTGGAAGGGTACAGGATTTTCACTTCTCTTTTCCTTTCATATTAGGAACTTCTAATTTGATTCTTTGCCACAAAGCATAGGTCTTGTTATTCTCCCTTTATTTTTAACTGTTTGAAGTTCTTGTGCATGCGGGGTGGTTTTGCACATTTCTCAAGGGTTTGAATTCCTTGCTCATTTATAGCTGGCCAAAAAGGGAAAGACTTTCCTTCTGGAGATAAGGAAAATCATGGTCGGGATACCGGACCCAAAGCTATGGAACTTGGATTAGGTGCTTTTTCAAAATAGATTTCAAAATAGATATCCTCACTTTTTCTTCTTTTTCTTTTTTTAATTTCTTAAATGGTTTAATCTTTCCACATAGTTTGCTTGGCCTATATCTTTTTTTGTTATCCTCACTTTTTCTTCTTTTTCTTTTTTTAATTTCTTAAATGGTTTAATCTTTCCACATAGTTTGCTTGGCCTATATCTTTTTTTGTTTTACTCCCCTTCACTTTTCCTCAGCCATGCTTAGGCAAAAGTGTAGCAGTACACATTATTGGCATAGCAAAGAATGTGTTTTTTGTCTTTAATATGTTTGCTTGTGGTAATTTGTATCCTCTTGGGAGAATCGACTGCATCCTTGATGCACTTGCAAGGACTAGTATATATGAAAATCTTAATTGGCTAATTGTAGATAGCCCCAATATTTTGGATTTGGATTACACTGGAACACACTTACCTACATCGAGATGCTGACGATGAATCTCAAATATCGCAGAAAAAATGTGATGATTAGATAGAATGCGATAAAAAAGAAAGACACAAGGAATGGGTTACCTACTCTTAATGGTCAAAGCAAATTCTTTCATTCCGAATTAAAGAATTCAAAATAAATCAAATCTAACCAAGTGCGATAGAAACCTATGACTAGTCAATTATAAGTCAACCTCTCTATCATTGAGCTACTAAGGAACAACAGGAGTTAAAACATTTTTCTCACTTGTTGTATTTGTTTTATTCCTAAGATGTTTTATGAGGATGAAGACAAATTTTACTATGACAATATTTGCAATGGCAGCTTGAGGAAGCAAAGTTACTGCGTGCAGAAGGTCAGCATGAGATGGCTATTAACCTTGCAAAATATATATCGGAAAATTGTCATTCAACTGAAGGACCTTCAGATGTGTATCGCTTAGTCGGGAAATGGCTGGCAGAAACTAGATCTAGCAAGTTGTATCTTTTACTTGAGTAAATTACTCCTGTTTACCATATTTGTATATCATGGATGCTAATACTCTCATAATATTGTATGACTACAGCTCAAGGACTATTTTAGAGAAGTATCTGAAACCTGCAGTTTCCCTAGCGGAGGATCTGAAGGCAACTCACAAAAAAGCGATAGAAAGACAAAGCCAAACTCATTTTAATCTTGCACACTATGCAGATGCTCTATTTAGGTCGTATGAGGAAAGACTAACCTCTAGCGAATGGCAAGCAGCAATGCGTTTAAGGAAACACAAGGTATAACAGTTAGAGGTGCACAGAGATTGAGAGAGAGAGAGAGAGAGAGGGATTTAATTTAGCTGTTTAATATTTCAGACATTGGAGTTGGAGGCACTTCTTAGGCGGTTCAAAAGTTCTACAAAGGTAAATCTGAATCTCATATCCAACTTCCAGTCCTCTTTGAATTTGCTTTTCCATTTTTATAAAACTTTAGATTTGGTGTTTTTAGGGGGACAAGACTGACTATTCAACAAAAATACAAGAGTTGCAGAAACAGCTTACAATGGATAAGGAAGAGGCTGAGAAACTGCAGGTATCTCTGCTGTTTTCTCCATTTCTGGACTGCTAGGTAGAACATGACCATCTGTTTTTGAATTATTCTGAAGAGACTATATTATGACTATAGAAACTACTAAAAACATTGATCATCATAAATGTAACCCACATGCATGCATCATTGAACATTGTAACTGGAGAAGTCATTAGAACCAAGATTTTTTTCCCCTTTTTGTTGAAATGCAGATGGAGTTTTATCGAGATTCAGATTATGAATAATGATAAAGTACAGCGTATCATGTGGTATTTATAATAGATTCAAGTTATTGTTTTAATCACATTTATCAACCTCTCAGGATGATCGGGACAATTTTCTCAGCCTAGCATTAGAGGGATACAAGCGTTGTCTGGTCATAGGCGAAAAATATGATGTACGAGTGGTATGTATTTAGTATCCTATTCTTCTGCTCAACTGACAAAAAAAAAAAAAAAAAAAAAAAAAAAAAAAAAAAAAAAAAAACTGCTGCACTGGTACAAAAGAGCTCTACTGATTTATGGGGATCATTTGTGTGATGAAATAATAATCCACATTGCAATCGAAGTCTCTTTTGCCCCGATTTAGGTAAATCAAAAAAAAAAAAAAAAAAAAAAAAAAAAAAAACTGCGCACTGGTAACAAAAGAGCTCTAAACTGATTTATGGGGATCATTTGTTGATGAAATAATAATCACTATTCAATCGAAGTCTCTTTTGCCCCATTTAGATAAATCTAAAATTCAATCAAGATTTTATTGGCTTGTAGCATGTATGCTTATCCTATTTCATTTCCATTCTTCAAACTGATAATAAGAATATATTAGCAAGTGAAGTTCCTATCTTATACTTCACAGATATCTCCTTTCCTATCAAGGAAGATATGTTGTCGCTATTTATGGGATCCAAAACCTTTGACAGTTGAACTTATATGCTTTCAGGTGTTTCGACTTGTTTCCCTATGGTTCACCCTCTCTTCTAGACAAAATGTCATTGATAACATGCTCCAAACTATCAATGAGGTAACAGTCACTGTCTCAATGAGTTGGTGCATGGAATGTTTGAATTCCATTTTTCATAATTTCTGTAATGAATACAATTGCAACCTTTTCTTTTATTGTGGACCAGGGTTAATAATCCCTTTTTAATGTATTGCAGGTCCAATCATATAAGTTTGTAGCATTAGTTTATCAAATTGCTTCAAGAATGGGGAGCTCAAAGGATAGTGTGGGACCTCATAATTTTCAGGTTCTTTGACTAGTTGGTTTTTAGACTTCATATCATCTCATGTGATAGCTGCTGTTTCTGAATCTATGTTTTCAATCGTGCAGTTTGCTTTAGTTTCCCTTGTGAAGAAAATGGCCATAGATCATCCGTATCATACAATTTTTCAGGTATATAAGTATGATTTTCATGACTGGAAAGAAATTGTTCGGCCTATAACTTCCTTTGTCCCATTTGAAGTAGATGATTTTGAAGTTCGTGCTGTATGAAATGGAATAGAGACCAGAATTGTGAAATCTTTCAGTATCGTATATGAACACGCAATGAATGAATTTGGTTTTAACACTTGGTTGAACCTTGTTTCTTACATATTTCATTACATTTTGCCTCCCACTTTTGTTGATAGCTTCTTGCTCTAGCAAACGGTGACCGTATCAAGGACAAACAGCGTAGCCGAAACTCATATGTGGTGGATATGGATAAAATACTTTCAGCAAGAAATCTTCTAGATGAGCTTTCATCATATCATGGAGCTGTTATTGGCCAAGTATTACCAACTGTGCTTCTCATTTTTTGCTCTTTTAGAAGTTGAGTTCTTATATCAACTCCTGTGGTCCATGTTTGTTAACCATGTAGATGAGACAAATGGTCGACATCTACATAAAGCTTGCAGAGCTTGAAACAAGGAGAGAGGTTTGTCAAAACATTTTAAAGATCTATTGTGTAGCCCTTATCATTACAATATGTAACGTTAAGATCCCTTAGAAACTTTAATGTTACTGAAAGGGGTAAAGAAAGGCGAGGCAGAACTTCTAACGTCAAACAATTACTTAATCTACATGGCTTGCAGGATACGAACAGAAGGGTGGCACTACCAAGAGATATCCGCAGTGTTCGAGATTTAGAACTGGTAAGTCCATTACCATGGCACTGTCATCTGATTGGTGTATTTCTCTTGAAAGCTATAACTTTGACAGGAAATATGTTTTTTAAGTAGTTGGGTATGTTGCTTAAAACCTGGTTACCATAATATTTCCTTATCAGTATTGCTTTATTCTCTTCTGTGAGTTTTGTCTGGCTTTCAGGTACCTGTGGTGACAGCTAGCTTTCCAGTTGATCGTAACTGTAATTATCATGATGGTTCTTTCCCATACTTCAGAGGATTAGCGGATTCGGTTATGTGCGTCTTAATGATACAAAAGAACTTCAAATTGCCTTATTATTTTATATTTCTACTATGGTCATCATTCTTGATGCTATTGTTTTTAATATATATCTGCATAATGCAGGGTAATGAATGGTATTAACGCCCCAAAAGTGGTTGAATGTATTGGCTCTGATGGTAAAAAATATCGACAACTAGCAAAATCTGGAAATGACGACCTTAGACAAGATGCAGTGAGTATGAAAAATTAGCCTTTCATTTTAATTCCATCTTGGCATCTATTGGTAGAATATCTGGAAAAGTTGATTTATTCTGAAAGCACAGAAGCCTGAATGATTTGCTTCAACTATCATTCCTTGGTTCCTAAATCCTGCTGAATTTGTTGTTGACACCTGCTTTCTGAGCTCATATTTACTGTTAATGCCTCCCCCTTCTCTGATTTTGATTTCCAACTCTTATTTCATTGATGCACTGCTTGATATTAGTAAGTTGTGCACAGGCAACCATGCCCACTGAGAAATATAGTTTAGAGGGGCCTGAATGAACAAAATGATTTGTGTAGTCAGCCAAACTTGTTTTGATTTAAGGTTTAGTTGGTCAAGTTGTGTTAGTCATCTTTCTTGGAAATTGGAAAGGATATTAATGGTTTGATGAGATCATGCAGTTTCCTGCTTTAATAATAATTAGATTTAGGCCTTATCTGGGAAGGGGTTTCTTTTGTAGGAAAGAAAATATGTGAGGAGAATATCAAGGGAAGAAATTTTTCGCTTGCTTGGAAATGGGGAGGAAAATGTCAAAGGAATGAAAATATGCATCATTTTCCTTCCGGGCCCACAGAATTAGAATCTCTCCAAATTGGAGAGAAAATGATGGATGAGTTGAGAAAATTGCATTGTTTAAAATGAAATATAATCTATTTTCTTTTCCCCCTCCATCCACACACAAGGGTGAAAAATAACTAAGGAGAGAAAATAAAACAACACTTCGTTATTTTTCCTTTTTATTTTCATTCCTCTCCCTTCCAAACTAGGTGTTAGAGTCTCATGGCTGGGGAATCCCTGTCTTCCCTAGTTTCACTGCTGAAGTGTTGAAAGTCCAGTTTCCTTCTGGGATATTTAGGATCATATTAAATGCAATTTACATTTTTTATGAGTCTTGTGAAAATCTTGCAGGTTATGGAGCAATGTTTTGGTCTGGTTAACACTTTTTTACAAAATAATCGAGATACGTTGAAGAGGAGATTAGGTGTGCGTACATACAAGGTATCTTCTTTCAATACATTTTTCATGTATTGTTTGTTTTTTCACTTTATTTTCATTGAGAAAGATGGAATCTTGTCAACAGGTATCATATACCTCTTCATACTTCTTTCCCCTTTTTGAATCTTCTTTAATTCTATTCTCTTGGATAACAAACATTTTCGTGTGCAACAATAGAACATGCTTGGCTATGGACCTCATAGTCTGTATACATTAGTGCTGTACATAAGGTGTACTCTTTGCATATATCACAGTTTTGTTCTAAAACTTCTCTTTCATTACTTTAATGTCCTGAAGTTTCAGTGCACAGCTTATGCAGCCTGATTTATCCTAGTTACCTACAAAGATGTATGATGGTAATGGTACTATTTCCCAGATGAATATAATCATTCTGCGGGCTTCTTCAGACTTCACTTTGATTATCTTGTGGCTTCTTGTTGATCTGTGCGATAATAATAATAATAACAATAATAATAATATTAATAATAATAATACTAATTATTATTATTATTATTATTATTGCAATAATTGTTTATATTTAGTTAGTTTTGGCAATGTGAGTTACGTAACAAGTAATTTGTTATTAATGAAATAGGTTATTCCTTTTACTCCAAGTGCTGGTGTTCTTGAATGGGTTGATGGCACTCTTCCCCTTGGAGAATATCTTATAGCAAGGTTAGTCGAGCCACAATTGTTTAACTGCTGGTTTTATAATATGGCTGAGTAACGTTACTGTCTTGCATCTTAAATTGTCAGTACGAGAAATGGTGGTGCTCATGGTCGCTATGGAATTGGAGACTGGTCATTTCTAAAATGCAGAGAGCTCATGTCAAATGTAAGTATCATATTTTTCTGTGATTTTTCAAAATGATAAGTTCTATCTCCTATCACTGATGAATTCTGTTCAACGTTCTAGTTACATTTAAGGACATTATGCAGCAATTAGAACCAAATAAATAATAATAATAACCATAGTGTCATGTTAGTGCTCTGTATAAGATTTCGGTAACTATTGTTGGTTTAAGCAAATAAAATGACATGCCCATTTCGTGACCAGAAATTTAATAATAATAAAGAAATAAAAAAATGCGTTACACCTTTCAAAACTTTCTTATCGAAAGGCATCGACTCCTATTCAACTTTGACTGAATTTCTCATTTGTCAATGTGACTCAACAGGCCAAAGACAAGCGTAAAGCATTCCAGCAAGTTTGTGAGAATTTCAGGTTTGTCTTTATTTTTGGAAATACACCTAGTTTCCAAATACTTACCTAACTCTGTCAAGCTCTTAACTCAGTTGATGCATAATGCAGACCAGTTATGCATCACTTTTTTCTCGAGAGATTCTTGCAACCAGCTGACTGGTTTGAGAAGAGACTTGCGTATACGCGTAGTGTGGCTGCAAGTTCAATGGTGAGAACATTCTTCCTTTTCTTTGGCATTGTTCCTAGTATAGTATGTTTTCCAAAACAATTTATGTTTTTTCTCATCTCCCACTTGCTCCCTCCTAAGCTTATTTCCTTTTTCTCAAACTATTTTTCCCTCTCTCCAAGACAAACTTTAATTAAATCGAAAAGTATCTCTTTCTTTCATTCTCTTTTCCGCAAAGTGACTTCCACAATATTACATAAAACATTTCGTGCTATGATATTGCCATGGTTGGTAAATTTTGGTTTAACTTTCAGGTGGGTTATATTGTCGGCCTTGGAGACAGACATGCCATGAATATCTTAATTGATCAAACCACTGCAGAGGTTGTTCACATAGATCTTGGTGTTGCTTTTGAACAAGGGTTGATGCTCAAGACACCAGAGCGGGTTTGATTCCCTTTTAGCTTTGTTTAGTTTGTTGATGAAGTTTTGATGTCTACTCCTATTGTTGATGCCTGCTCTGGACCTACTTTGGCAGGTTCCATTCAGACTGACAAGAGACATAATTGACGGCATGGGGGTTACTGGAGTGGAAGGGGTTTTCAGAAGATGTTGTGAGGCAACTCTCGCTGTTATGCGTACAAATAAAGAAGCATTACTGACCATTGTTGAAGTATAATTTCATTGCTAAATAACCTTTCAAACTAAATTATATTCTATTTTATTTTATTTTATTTTATTTTCATGATAACAAGTGCACATTTTCTGCAGGTATTTATCCATGATCCCTTGTATAAATGGGCTTTATCCCCTCTGAAAGCCTTGCAGCGCCAAAAGGTATTTCTGCACGTTGGCCCTTTTTCTCTAAAATTAAGTATATTTTTGTTTGAGTCATGAGATACAATAAAATATTCTTTTCTAGGATATGCATGGAATTTTTGTTATTAGTTCTGGGATTTGTTAAAACCAAAACGAAAGGAAGAAATTTTACATTAAAGAGTGAATGCCTAATAAATCTGTCAAAATAAACGCCACCAAATTAAAATGGTTTTTATGGAATAAACAAATCCTGCAGAGGCCTTATTAGTGTGGGGGCTGATTGTCACAGCTTTGGTCACAACAACCGGACAACTGCTCCACAAAACATGGCTGGTCTTTAGTGATAGTTTTCATGGATCATTCTGGGGAAATTTAGTGTTGCATTTTCTTCATTTTCCTGCTCAAATTCCCATCCTAAAATCAGTTCTTAATCTCTTAGATTTCTTTGATTGGTTGTAGTAAAAGTACATTTACATAGTTCAAAGATGACCGTATTACTTCTCATGTTTTCTCTTGTCTGCCTTGTGGATCAATCATTGGTAGGAAAGGGATGATGATCTGGAGACAAGTTTGGAAGACTCACAAGATGAATATGAAGGGAACAAAGATGCTGCACGTGCACTGATGCGTGTCAAGCAAAAGCTAGATGGATATGAAGAAGGTGAATTAAGAAGTATAAACGGACAGGTAAATGTAGCATGACTTTTCCCTTTCTATGTTGGTAGATATGTTTCTGCTATTGGGTAATTCAACTAGAAGTCTAAAACTTTAGCATTAAAATCAAGTTATGCATGTGTGGAGAACATGATTTATTATCTGAAACTCAATTTGCATGTCCGCTTAAACATAGCTAATATAAGACAAGTGATTTTCTTATGTAGGTTCAACAGCTTATACAAGATGCCATTGATCCGGAGCGTTTATGTCAATTGTTTCCTGGATGGGGAGCTTGGATGTAAATGTTATCTTTCCCCAATTTGCGCAGTCATATTGTACAGGCGGTTTTAGTTTAGTTATATAAACCAAGAGGCTGTTGGGTTTGGTTGGTGGATGCATAGAGAAGGTAAAAGTTTTGGTAATAGAAAATCTGTTGGACAATGGAGGTAGGTGATAAGGTTCAGTTATAATAGAAACCCAGTGGGTTGCACTTCAGAAAGAGGAAACAGAACAGAAGAATACAAGACTAACAAGAGGAGAGAAACTGAGAATAGATTGTATTAAGATGACAAAATGAATCAAGTTACCTTTACAATTGAGCAAATTTCCTTTACATTTTTTTTTTTTTTTTTTTTTTTTCAATTTTTTTTTTTTTTTTTTTTTTTTTTTTTTTTTTTTTTTTTTTTTGAAGACTAATTTATAATTAATTGTTTATCTCATACCATTCAAATTAAATAATAATCCATATTAACAAAATGTGTATGGATAGGCCTGGCCCAAGTCCCTAGGACATTTAAGGACACGTGGAATTTAGAAAGCTGTGGGGTGGTAATTTTGGCCACCAACCTATCTTGGACTTTGGGATGAGGTTGGGTTTGGGACCCTTGGCTGCATGTGTCATGATCTGATTATGATGGCGATGGTATTTCTTGTTTTTCCCTGTAACTGCAGTTTATTAGTTTTTGTATTTTTTTTCGTTTCAGGGACGTGGTTTAACTCAGAGTGTTGTGTTTAATATTCTTTTTTTTTTTTTTTTTTTTTTTTTTTTCTTTTTTTTTTTTTTTTTTTTTTTTTGCCATTCCTTGCAAAATTCAAACCGCACCAGAGCGCGGTAAACAATTTATAAACATGTCATTAGAGACAGATAAGAACCTACTAAAGAGAAGGGAAATTCAAAATTTTTTTTTTTTTTTTTTTTTTTTTTGCCATTCCTTGCAACAATTCAAAACCCACCAGAGCGGCGGTACAATTTATAACAATGTCCATTAGAGACAATAGAACCTACTAAAGAGAGGAAATTCAAATTGAAATTAATTGTTATGAAGTATTGAACCTGGGATCCTAGTGCATCACTCATGCCATTAGAGTAGGGAATCATTTGCGGATGAACAAGTTTTTACTATTTAAATTAATTGTGATTAGTAGTTTATTCAAATTTAACATTTACCAAGTTCTTATACATCAAGATTTTAAAAGTCAAATAATATTTTATGAATTAAGCTAATATTTAATTTCATATATTTGAATTATTGAAAGTGCAATTGCAGAAAGTAAATGGTACATATGAAAATAAGTTTTCTATTAGCAGCACTTCACTTCATTTTTAGATATGATTAGTGTCCATGGAATCCAAGCCAAGCCAAAACATTACTATGGGTCTGGAATTAATTTCTTTTCTCGTTCTTTCTGAAAGGCATTTGAAGCCGATGGGTCCAACTGCTGTTGGCAGCAATTTTATCGATAACAAAGTGCTGCACTACCAACGATTGGGATATTTGCTTTGAGAAGTGTTGTGATCATTTGTGCAGAGGAGAGGATCAGTCTCTTATTTAAAAATTACAGCACAATTAATTATTGCTTGGTCTAATAGGGATAATATCCAAAAGTGGTTACAAGTTTGGCATGTGAAGTGGATGATTGTAATGCTCCTATTCTTATTTCCCAATCCGTGAGCACATGCCAATTTGATTGCTTCTTTGAAAGCCATGCAATTGCTAGCTAGAGTGAGGACCAAGTAATTATTGTTTAAAATAAATAAATAATAAAAACTACTAGCTTCATAATTTGCTTGTATTATTTATATAAATCAATTTAATCTTATATTTTCGACGATTACCCTTTTGGTACTCTAATTTTACGGAAAATCTATCATAATTCTGCATCTTAATATTTCTATAATAACTATAATCTTTGTAAAATAAAATGTGAAAATATATGTTCAGGATTGAACCCCTACAAAATTATTTCATTTTAAAAGGGGTATAATTATTATTGAAATATAATGCTCTCTTCCAAAATATAAGTCGTTTTTGATTTGTTATTTTGTCCCAAAATATAAGTCGTTTTATGTATTTCAAGAAATAATAAATGATATTTTTTCAATATGGCCCTTATTTACACTAAATATAATAAATACTTTACAAGCAACTATTAGTTTTGAGATAAATGATAATTTGGTCAAATTACCCTTGAATTTGTTATAATCTAGAATAATTAATTACTTCCTTAATACTTGTGCAAAAAGTTTAAACGACTTATATTTTGGGACGAAGAGAATGGTGTTAAGTCATGATTGAACTCTCGTCTTGTAAAATGAAATGTGAAAGTATCTGTTTATTATTGAACCTTTATAAAGATATTTCATTTTAGAAAGGTACACGGTTATTATTGAAATATGATAGTATTAGTCATAATTGAATTCTCGTAAAATTTAGAGGGCTACAAATAAAAATAATCGATTAATATTTAGGGTCAAATTGATGCATTAAACCTGTATGTATTTGGAGGCTTGAGGAAGGAAAGTCTTCTGCCTTTGTCTCCAAGCCAAATTAATTTTTTTTATTATGATTATTTTTTTTTTTTCCTTTTGCCATTTACTTCACAATACTCGAATGATATATATTCCTTGTGTGGCAGATAAAATTGATTGATGTTGGCCTATTTTAGCCAATTTACACTCCACTATGCAGTTGAAAATTGCAAACCCGTGAGGCAAGACACTGTTTCAAGGGAAATCCCTTTACTTATAACTGTGGGTTTTCTACACTTAGCCCATAAGTTGGCTAAGCAGTTTTTTTATTCAACGGGGCTTCAGTTGACAGAGTGGTTTCATGTTTTTGCATGTTTACGTACTTTTATGTAAAATTGCAGATTATCAAATTAATGGATTTTAATTTATCTTTCACGAAAAGGCAATAAAAAAATAATTCTAAATTAATAAAATCACAAAACCTGAAATTTAATAATCCTACTATGTCTACATTACACAAATGATATTATTCATACCCTTATTTTCATTATATATATATATATGAATAATATTATTATTGAAAAAAGAAATGGATCCACGTGACAAGGGATATAAAACCAGAAGGCCAATTTAGTAATTTCACGGAGTCCTCAATTCTGAGGGCCACGAGATGAGAGGGTACCGCCTTTATAGGTCGCTGAAACGGCGGGCCGAAAACTAATAGCGCTGCACCGCCAAATGGAACACTGTCAGGAGAAGAAAAAAAAGCCCACTAAAAATATAATATATCAAAAAAAGGCGGTTCCGTTAAATTCTTGCTTGTCCCACTAACATTTATAAACGGGTTGCAGCACTCCCTCCTTTCTCTTCCTCTTCTCCAAGCAACCAAAATTCAAAACTGAAACTCTCTCTATAATTATTTTTATTATTAATCCCACACGTCTAATTCATATCCAATTTTTATTATTATATCTAAAAATTGCAAATCAAAAAGTTTCCTTATTCCTTCTGTTTTTTTTATTTAATTAGCTTCTTTTTTGTTCCAGTTCTTCTCTGTTTTTGATTAATTTGGCTGCACATAAATGTATTGCTTACTATATGGTTTGATTCTTCGTTAGGTATTTGATTCCAGTACATATTCTAATCGCTTTTTTCCATTTTTAGATATTCTAGCCATTTGTCCATTTATCTTTGTCTATACAGTTTTGTAGCCATTCCAATCTTTACTTTTCATTTTTCCTTCAAAATTTTAAACGATGGAACATGCTGTTCCTGTGAATTCATCTTCTTCTACAGAGTTTCAACAGCATTCATTAGTCATGTCTAGTGAACAATCACAAAGTCTAAACTCTGATTTAGAAACCCTCAATCACCAAGAATCAATGGTTTCTGATGGTGAAAGTGGAGTTTCAGGTGCTACTTCCAATCAGTTTCTAGAACTCGGTAACGGGTTAGTTCGAATTTTTGAGGGAGATAGGGTTCATGATCTTATCAAGCGAAGATTCCTTTCCGGTTTAGGTTCGCTTGGCAAGCAAGCCACAGTGACCGCCATTTACAGGAACACGTATTCTGGAATTATTGATCAAGCCAGAATGAAATCGTTTCAGATATTGACGAAAGCAATGGAGGATAAATGCAATGGCAATGCGAATGTGAAATTCGCTTGGTTTGGGGATTCAACTGATGAGATATGTAAAATCATGAAGCATGGTTTTGGTAGCCAGATTAATAACAATAACGGATTGTATGGGTGTGGCATCTATCTTTCTCCAGATGATTCTCCTCTAGAAAGGTAACAAAACTTTCTATTGTCCTTTTAGATTTTGTTCTGTTTTTATTTACTCTGCTTTTAAATATGTGCAATTACTGTTGAGGATTTTATTTTATTTTTATTTGTTAGCATTTAATATCTGTAATTAAGAATTGCTTTATTTCTTATTTTCAGTGTGAAGAATTTGAAGGTTGATAAGAATGGTTTACGACATTTGTTGCTTTGCCGTGTTATACTTGGTAAGCCAGAGATTGTGCATCCTGGTTCTGATCAGGGCCACCCAAGTTCAGAGGAGTTTGATTCAGGAATTGATAATTTGTTATCTCCTAAGAAGTATATTGTGTGGAGTACTCACATGAATACTCGTATTTTGCCCGAGTATGTTATAAGTTTCAAGGCCTCTCCTTGTTTGAAAGGTAAGCAATTTGTTAATTGCTCAACTGTTTTTTATCATGAGTTGAATTTTGTTAATTTTGTGTGTTATAAATTTTGGTTGGTTGATTTTTCAGGATTCCGTAGAATTCGAGAACCTGCAGGCATACCAACTTCACCTTGGATGCCATTTCCAGCTGTTATTACTGCACTTTCAAAGTTCTTGCCTCCTACTACTGTTGGTCTAATTGCCAAGTACCATAGAGATCATAGAGTAAGTAACTCATTTGCAATTTTTTTTTTTTTTTTTTTTTTTTTTTTTTATAAGAATTTTGGGTTGGTGATTTTTCCAGGATTCCGTGAAATTCGAGAAACGCTGCAGGCAATACAACTTCACCTTTGATGCCCTTTCCAGCTGTTATTTAACTGCACTTTCAAAGTTCTTGCCTCCTACTACTGTTGGTCTAAAATTGCCAAGAACCGATAGAGATCAAGAGTAGTAACTCATTGCAAATTTTTTTTTTTTTTTTTTTTTTTTTTTTTTTTTTTTTTTTTTTTGACAGATAGCAGCATTAGTATGATCTCTCATATTCTTGCACTTCTACTCTACAGGAAAAGAAAATCTCAAGGCAAGAACTAATACAGCGAGTTAGACAATTGGCAGGGGATAAGTTGTTGATTGCAGTAATCAAAATGTTCTCAAGTAAGGTATATCACTTTCTCCCATGAAATGGTTGCCCCTTCTCATTTTTGCATATTTAAGATTACCTTCTGTTTAGTGAAGTATTCCTGGATCTAGTTGGACATCCAGTGCTGTTGATTCATATTTGCACGCTGCCTTACCCACATTTTTTCAACCCACCATAAATTTTATATTTATTTTCTTGTTTTTCATGTTCACAATTTTGTATCCGCTATCGGAAAAAAAAAAAGAAAAAAAAAAGAAAAAAAAAAAGAAAGAAAAACAAAAAAAAAAAGAAAAGAAAGAAAAGAAAGAAAGAAAGAAAAAAGAAAGTTCCTGAAGCAACCTCCGTTTCTGTATCTTAATTTGCTTTGCTGCTGCTAGATGAAAAAAAAAAAGAAAAAAAAAAGAAAAAAAAAAAGAAAGAAAGAAAGAAAGAAAGAAAGAAAAAAGAAAGTTCCTGAAGCACCTCCTTTCTGTATCTTAATTTGCTTTGCTGCTGCTTAATCATATTGTTTGCCATCATATTCATCTCAAGTTTGTTACTTCGTACTAATCTCTTTATGCATCGATACATGAAGCACCATGAAATGAAATTTTTTTTCTTCCCACTTATTATTACTAGTATTATTAAATGGCCTATTATGCTCCAATTGATGAAGTTCTTGGAGCTTTTACCTCTATTTTGAGTAGAACTGCAGTTCATTGCTAAACTTACCCAAAAATTTTTTGGACTGAATGATGAAAGCATCAGTTCTGTATTTTTACTGTCTTCAATAGCATAATGGAAACATAAATCATGACTGTAGTATATTAGACTGATGGAATATTATTGGTTTAAGAATACGTTATTGCATATAAATTATAATTGCTGTTCATGGATCAGTAGGTGATATTCATGAGCATGGCTCCCAATTTACAATTGCAAAACATATAGAGGACGGAAAATATTATTTTTGGATTTTCACGCAGTCCGAAAGTTTGTCAAGAGATGTGTTGAGTCGAATGAAGTGTTTTAGTTTGGCTGATGCCTCTTCGTCACACCTTAATCCAAGGCATGATCCGTTACTTCCTTTCTTCGATGGAAGTCACACATCACCTGTGCGTGATTCTTTTTACCAAAATGAACCGGACTCTACTTTATCTGTAAACCATTGCTTGCTTGATGGTGATCTTGTGCTTGAATACACAGTAAATTGGACAGCAGTAGAGACAGTGTATTAACAAGTGTTACTTGATGCCTTTCCAATTTGATTCTCTTTCATTTCTAATCTGTTTTTCCCCTGAATAAATTATGATTATGGATGAATCACTGACTGAAAGGCAATTGATTGTTCTCAGCACCGTTTAGGACCAAGCTATGCTATGCAAACAAGGGTTCAAAATGGAGTCAGGAATGATGCAAATCATGACGAGAGAAGCAGCCACAGCAAAGGCGCATGGACTGACTCTTTCATGCATGAATGAAGTAATGTTCAGTGCTCCAAGTGTGCGGAAGGTAGACGAAACCGACAGAAACGAACTAATAAATGCCTAATCCAAAGTGACATATAGAAGGTTAAGATCCAGCTGATGCCAGGGCATGTTTTGGGGGGTTAAGTAGTAGACTGATAGTGTAGTTTCCTAGTAAGCAAGTACCAAGTAGTATCTCACGTGATATTAGAAAATAGAAATGGTCTTTGTTATTTTTCTTTCTTTGTGGATATACTTGTTGAGTTGCTTTGCAACTGGACATGTTCTTGTCAACAGTTATGAAATGAAAAATGAACTTTTATAGCCCAGCCAAAGAGGTTTACTGTCCCAGTGGAATTGAACTTTTCGTGGCTCAATCTTGGCCCAAGCCTAAGCCTAAGCCTAAGCCCAACATTCATCTATTAACAGTTTCTTGTTTTTTCTAATATAAAAAAAAATAAAGACTAGAAGTAAAATTTTTTTCCAGTCGTTGCGTGGTGGTCCACAATGGGGCTTGATCATATAGTATTTGAACCTAATCTTAAATTGTCATTCCACATGAAAAGAAAGAAGACTAGTCCTCAACAGTGGACTCCTTACAAAATAAATTGCAGATCGTCACACATCGATGCTACCAGTGAAAGAATTAAGCTGGCCGTGCTTCCAACTATTGAGAAATGCATGCAGAAGGAATAGCTTTTTTGTTCTAGATTTCAGTAGTGTAACTGCTGAAACAAAAATTGATGTCAAGTTACATATCATGAAATAATTATTATTTTATATCAATCATTTTTTAACGACCAAAGACCATTTGAACGTTATTCATTCTTGCTCTTGACTTCATGAATCATTCTAGATTTTCGAGAAGTGTATATATATTTCGATTATTTGTGTGCTTTTCCCCTTTTTTTATCATTGTCTAGAAGGTCAACACAAACTGTCTGAAGCTTCTTTTCTTGATGTCGAGGTTTAGGTCTTTATCAATTTTCTCTCTTAGCACTGTTGTTTATTTTATTACTATAATTTATGTGCTAGCTAGTATATATAAAACATAAACCCATGACAAAAGACATGAAAGAATAGAAAAAAAAGACACCCATATTGTCAATCTCTTAGCTCAAACGAACCCTAGCTTGAATAGGAAAATAATAGTAAAAAAAAAAAAAAGTACAAATCAAAACTACATTAGTTTATTTGAACCTAATCCTCATGATTTGTATGAATTGATTGAAAGATTAAGTGATACTTAAGAATTAGAAGCGTGGAACTAAAATGATTTCACCTAATATGTCATAATACACTAATTAACAAACAAAATCATACCAATACATTGATGAATAAGTTTACAATATTTGCAGTGCATTTTACTGAGCCTGATATGATCATTAAAATCGAATTTTATATAAAGGAATTAGTAAAATCTTGTTTGATTGCAGCTCAAGGTAACTTTCACTCTAAGTCTAGAATCTTGTTTGGCAATCAGCCTACAATACAATCACATGCCTTTTTTCCACATGTTTCGTACGACTCAGATTGGTTCTCAAATCTCTTAATTACATCAATAACAATAAGATTGATCAGCGCCAATCATGCCATTAATTTATTAACTATTTTCTTATAAACCCTTTCCAGCATTCAAATTAAGGATCATTTTTCTTCTTCTTGTTTTTTTTTTTTAAAAAAATATTAAGTTGCAATCTTAATATTTATTTATTTGTTTATTTATATTTATTTATTGAAGTAAAAATAGATCTCATTTCAAGTTTACAATGTTTTATATTTATTTATTTGTTTATTTATTTAAACGTCATGGACCCATTTGATGAGTTTGTAATATAATCAACAACATTTTGGTATAATGTTACTATTTTTGTTTGATTATCTTGGAAGGGACTAATGTGATTAATTAATATTAACACGAGATTAATGATATTTAATTGGACAAATTAAGTGTATCATCAACATCACCATTTGCATAACTAACACATATTTTTTATTTTAGAAACGTCATTATCTTCTAGAATTGCTAAACTTTGGAGGTTAATCGAGGCGGATATTGCTAGTTATGTTATTTTTGTTTGCTATGTATAATATTTAATTTTATATTTTGCTATTAGATATTGGCTTCCATTCATAAAAGATTCAATAACGTGCATGAATATTTTATCATTATACATGAAATTTATTGTTATCATAATATCAATTTTTTATTTAAGTATTATATTGCTCATATTCATCAAATGGTACTGAAATTAAATTACTATTTGCATTTTTATAATAAATCTTATAAATTTTTATCTGTGAGATGAAGAATTCAAAATTTGAGCCTAGGGCAAGAGGAAAAGAAAAGGAAAAGACAAGTAAACCATGTCATATGGTAGGGGAAATATGTGTGACCACTATACGTTTAACGATTAACGTCCAAATGAGCATTTGGAATTTGATACACGTGTGAGGGAAGGAGACGTACAAGTGTCAAGAAGCAATGGGAAGAGTTCGATACATATCCATCCCCCATAAAAGAGGTAGCCACCGTCCTCTTTTGCCCAATAGCGATAGCTCGATTGTTGCATTTACATAAAATTAATTGTTCTTTTTTTTAACTTCACCAAAAATAGGAAAATTACCGATTAATATTGCTTTCCTTGTTATGGATCCTTCTTTGCAAAGGTACCTGTCCTATACTATAGTTGACCCAACTCATTTTCTTGCCAAGCGGACCCCATTCAATTTCAAATCAAAGAAATTAAGAGGAAAAACAAGAAGAGCAAGTATATCAATAGCATGCATGCATCTAATTTTTATTTGGCGGGGTTTCTAGCTTTATGACTATGTTCCGCTGTAAGTTTTTAAGTAGTTTTTAGGTTTTCACCGATTAAAATACTAAATGTTACTCTCTCTATTTTTAAAAAGAAAGTCTGTATTAAAAAAAAGTAATTATTATATTGAAATAATAAGTTAAAATTAATGAGGATAAATTTAATAAAGGTATGGTAGACCATATAAGGATTAATTATAATGCAAAAAAAAAAAAAAAAGACTATAATTTGGAACAAACTAAAAAAGAAAGATGAACAAAAAAAAAGAAAAAGACTAATAATTTGAACAAACTAAAAAAGAAAGATGAACTATTCTTTTTGAGATAGATGTATATTTTTTTCATAGATTAATTATAATGCAAAAAAAAAAAAAAAAGACTATAATTTGGAACAAACTAAAAAAGAAAGATGAACTATTTTTTTGAGATAGATGTAATATTTTTTATAGTATTCAATAATATAACTTTTGAACTAATTTTTAGAGATTAAGATAGCATTTTATAAAAGATCAACAGCTAACAGCGATTAAAACAGCTAATTTTACCGAACAGACTCTAAAATAACAGCTAGATGATATTAATTGGTCACATTCGTGTCTTACCAATTCTTTTTATTATTCATATGGATCTCAAACGGGTCGAAAGAATGTTTTAGATTATACAAGGAGATCCACTCTTCTTTTCTCACTAAATTAATGAAAACTCATAGAATGGAGATGTATCAAATTTAAGACTTTCAAATTTTTATATAAAAGTAAAAAGCCCAATCAAACAATACCTGCTCCTTGATGTAAACCAATTTCACATATGATGATTTCATTTTTCATTGCTGAAAATTAAAACACCATATATATGTGCATGTTAGAGTCGTGTTACTGTAACCTATTCAGCAGGAAAATTCCCCACACCACAACCTTTTCATATATCATCGCCCATGATATTATATTATATTTTGCCTTGCTAATTATATCGCCCACAAATATTATATTATCGTTCGGAGCTTGCCTGCCTTGATAGGACCACCACAATAACACACTCACGTTAATTACATACAGCTCCCCAAATCGCAATTTTTTTACCAAAGTAAAGAAAAATCTAAGGCACGTGTGAATCCTCTCGCTCTTTCCACGTATTAAGCTTTGGGTTGATCTGGTGTTGCGTGTAATTGAAGGCAAATAAATTTCTTTATTACATTACCTAATTAATAAATAAATAAATAAGTTATCCATCTTAAATAGATCCTACGGATAAAAGTCTTCGGGAATTATGCAACTACACCACACATCATTTAGAAAATTATTTAAAAAATTTCTTTGTTTTAGATGAAAATATTATAAATTAGAAATTAGAAATAATAATTAATTACTCCAAAACTAAATATTAAATCGAAGTCTAATTACGTATTGCACTTAATTCATGTTGTTCTCTAAGCCTGCCATTTAAAAATTTATTACTTTTTGTTATTTATTTATTTAAAAATCCAATTTGTTGTATTTATTTTTATTAAATTAGTTTAGTGTAAATATAGATAAATGAAATACTATTAATCAAGGTTTGCATAACGGTCTTTTGTTAATTATTTTACACAGAATACCATTCCTTTAATTTGCAAAGCGCGTACGCTCCCTTCTCTCTCTTTCTATATAAATAATAATATTCATTGATACTGATTCATCTTTACAAATCACACTCGCGCCTCTATATATATCTTATCACATTAAAATATATCCCACTTCTTTTCCTTTCTTTTCTTTTCTTTTATTCGTTGGAACCATAACTCACTCACAGAACTAAATTACATCGCCATTGAAAAAGCTCCAAATGCAGGCGTCCTCACTTATCACCCTCTCTCCAAGTTCTCCTAGCTTCAACTCTTACTCTTCTGGAAAACTTGCAGAGATTGCGGCAAGAGTCGTCCAAGAATTTTCCAATGAATCGGAGGAAGATTCTAACATTTTCCCTTGGGAATCTGACACCTATTTCTCAGCCCTGAAGGAAAACAACAAAGAAGGCGGAGATAACAACCCCGACCACGAAGAAGAAGACGGAGAGTTTGAATTTGCAATTGTGTCTAGGGAACCGTACGGTTCGCCTATTTCGGCTGATGATATCTTCTACAACGGCCAGATTAGGCCAATTTATCCGTTATTTAACACAGCTTTGTTATTGGACCATGAAGATTTATCCAAATCGTTATCTACTACTACTGCTGCTGTGTCTAAGCAAACAACAAAACCGATTCGATTACCGTTGGGGAAATTATTCAGCGAAGATAAAGAAACGACGTCGTGTTCGTCATCGGATGCCGACGAGCTTGAGAATTTACCGGAGGGGACTTACTGCGTATGGACTCCGAAGAAAGCTGGGAAAGAGGAATCTCCTCGAAGATGTAAGAAGAGCAGTTCTACAGGATCTTCGAAGAGATGGAAGTTCAGAGATTTGCTTTACAGGAGTAATACCGATGGGAAAGATATTTTCGTGTTTTTGACGCCGGCGGCGACGAAGAAGAATAGTGCGAGGGTAGCAGTTGTAGACGAAGGTAAAGAGAACAAAGAGAAAGAGAAAGAGAAAGAGAAAGAGAAGGAAGGGAAGGGAATGGTGGAAGAGCATTATGTAAAAAGCAGAGCTGTAAAGGAAGGAGATACACGACGGTCGTTTTTGCCGTACCGGCGGGACTTGGTTGGGCTTTTCTCCAATGTTCATAGCTTGAACAATCTTCATCCTTTTTGAGGTGGATATTCATTTGTTTTGTTATGTGTTGTTTTTTTTTTTTTTTTCCTTTGTTTTTTGTGTTATGCTTGTTGTTTTTTTTTTTTTTCCCTTTTTTTTTTTCCCTTAAGGGAGGGATTTTATTATTCATGTGATTATTAATTAATATTTTTAAGTATATTATATATTTATATATATATTATATATATATATTTTTTTTTTTTTTTTTTTTTTTTTTTTTTTTGGGGTGTGTGGTAAATATATGCATTTTTTTGGTGTGTGTAAATATATGCATGGTTTGAGTTGAGTGATCTTATTGGCAGGCGAAATTAAAATAATGTGAAATAAATTATGCATTTTCTCTTTTAGAAAAAAAAATTAAGATATACTTTTTCTAAATTCAAAAGAATAATAATTAAGACAATTTCATGTTGCAACATAATTTGAATGGGTAAATAAATATTGGTGGATCAATTTGGCAAGCAAAATTTGTTTTTGATTTTTATTACGATAAAACAAAATTTCTATTTATCTCATGTAGTTGATATAAAAAGTCTACTATAAGAACTTTCTAGTTGCTATTAATGTAATGTCCCCTCAAAAAAAAAAAAAAAAAACAAAAAAAAAAGAAAAAGAAACTCATACTGATTAGTAACGTATATAGTAGATAAATTGTGTGCTCAAAAAAAAAAAAAAAAAAAAACTCTACTATTGTAACGTATAAGTAATAAATTGTGTCTCACAGGGATTAATGTGATGTTTAAGTAATTTATTTGGTCCTATAATTAAGGATTTATTCGGTAAAATTAATTGTTAGCTGTTTGTTGTTTTTTAGTAAGATTACTACTTTAATATCTTTTCATAAATATTATATGGGTTAATTTTTTATAAAATGTTATTTTAACTTATGAAAGTTGTTCAAACGATATATTGTTGAATAATAAAAAATAGCATTTAACATTTTTTGACCGATCAAAATGTTTAAATATATTTAAAAAATTATTGCTGAAGCTATTATATTCAAACTTTAATATTTTATGTTTTAAAAAATCAGACTAATATTTACTAATACTATTTAAAATTAATCAAAAAAATGTATCTTTGAGCAAACTTTACCTATAAAAAACATAAATTAGTGACTATCAGAAAAATTGTTTCCTAAAACCTCAACCCAATATAAATATACCATATGATGCGAATCAATCAAGAAAGTAAAAAAGAAGTCTAATATTTAGATAAGCATTATAAATGTAATAAAGGAGGTATTTGCAGGTTTTGCCTAATCCAACCGCCAATTTTTGTTGTGTTTTGATTCTTGAAATTTAAGTTTAGTTGATAATATAGTTTTATATTTTTAATTTGTTATAATACAAGAGTATAATTTGAAAACTATATCTTAAGCAACTTGTAATAAGTAGTTGGGTTGGGAAAATTGTTTCCGGATTAAGTATGAACACAATTTTAAAAATAAAGTAATTTTGGTAATAAATAATAATTAGTGGTAGAGAAGATAGCAATTAATTAAAATTGGTTGTTGAGTGAGAGAGTTGGGTAGTTAACAATCTGATTTTTGGCTAATTAGAAAAGGAAAGATTTCTTCCTGCCAAGCAGTTGTTTAATTAGAGGAGTTGTAAGGGTGACTTGCAAGAATAAAATTAGCAACTTTGAAATTAATTAGTTTGGACAGAAGGATTAAAAACCATAAATTCTTTTTAAATTTTGATGATATGGGTAATTACAAAGTCAAATGTTCACATACTTGGACAGAAACAACTAAATGAAATAAGAATTTTTGAATTTTGTGTAGTGCATCATGAAGTTGACAATTCAAAATCTCATTTCACATTTAATCAACTAATCAAAGTTTGCATATATACAAAGGCTTCATTTTTATATCTTGAAAAGTCTTTCAAGGACTTCCATTTCAACTATATAGTATAAACATTTTTATTTAGCGTTAATATAGCATTTTTTAGAAGAAAGAAAGAAAGAAAGAAAGGAAGAAAGCACCATTGCAGGCATCACGATCTTGGCTGTGGGGATGTTCAGTTATTCACACACAGACCCTTTCCTTTACTTCTTTTGGAGCACACAATGCTCAAAGCCTGTACCTTGCTGGCACTCACAAGTACTATAGTCTAATATTTGTTGGGCAACTAACCAAATCAGCATCGAGAGCTCTATACCATCAATTCCACATCATCCCCACTTAATTTGCAGAGCCACCTTTTCCACTTGCAGTCCCTTTTTCTTTTCCTGTCCCTTCACCCTCAACTGGAGAGGAACCAATTCCATTTAACTAATTATTCTTTTTTCTATCTTTCATTTTTTGTTTCATAATTTCAAATATTACATAAACAGATTAATATTTAACAGAATGATTCCATAAAAGTATTAATTATCATATACACATTTTTTGATTGTTTTATAATATATTTTTGTTTAAGATATTGCATATATAGCCAATGCCTTTCAGAAATCATAGTAAAATGATTGAATTTCAATGTTCTTAACTTGTCTCGTTTGATGCTTTAGAACAATATATAATGGACACATTCTCCAATTACTGCCTAATTTTCCACAAAAAACAAGCAAAAGGGAAGTTGGATAGGGAAAGTTCTTGAAGGTAATAATCATTGAGATGACCTTTCTCTTTTTCATTTTGGATAAAATTCCAAGCAATTTGCTTGGATGCATCCCATTATATACTCTCTGTCTCCATTGCTACTGGTCCATGTGTTCTTTTTTCCTTTCTTCCTAGAAACCACTCTAAAGAATATTTTATACAAAAAACAAAATATTAGACTGTTTGATTGGTTTTATACTGTAGAGTCGGAAAGGATAGCTGGCCATGTTCACACGTTTTGATGCTAATGCTATATCACATTTTTCTCCCCAAATGGCAGACCAAATTTGTTTCCTTGTCCTTCTCTAATCTCACAATCATACCCTCAAACCTATTTGCAAGAAAAACTTTTTTTAGTCTAGAGAGGAGAGAACTTTGAATAAAGAAAAGAAAGGGAAGAGCTTCCTTTCCAAAAATCTATTTAATTACATGTTTTCATATATACAACTAATTAGTAAACGTGAAATGAGAAAGAGTGTGTGTATCATACAATGGGTAGACATGAGGATATGGAATTATCTATATTAAAAGGTGGGACCCAAAATAATGTAGTAGCAGAGTATATGGTTGTTGTTAAGTTAGGTCAATTGATAGTTGACAGAAAGTTGGGAAACTGTTGATTCTGATACTCTCTTCCATCATCTATGAATTGAATAAAACAGGTAAAGCAGTATGGATTAAGTCATGTTTTTAGCGGAATGACTTTGTTTCTGGAGTTTCTTTCTTCGATGATCAATAATAATTCTTCCTTTCCATCCAATTCATGATTTCTCTATTATATCAACAATTCTATGAATGACATAATCTCTGCACGTTCTGAAACTGTGTTTTAGTATTTTTTTTTATTTATTTATTTAAATTGTTTATCATCAAAACTATTCTACTTTCAGATTCTGTAGATCATCTGTTGAACTCACTCGAGTCACTGGAAGAAAAATAAAAATTGAACTACCAAACAAGAGAGAAGTGGCTACATGGAAATACCCTGGAAAGCTACAGAACGTAAAATTGCTGTCAAAATAATTTCTTATGGGAAAGTGAGTAATCCCAACACCAATTGTCGACAAATCACAACTACGCTAAGAGGCCGGCATAACTCCAATACATAAATTTCCTTTATACATATATATACCATTTGTCTACTCTCTGTCAACTGTATTTACATAATTCGCAAATAGCTTCGTAACCTTCTTTCTTTTGTTAGACGCTTCATAGATAATATGTACTGTATTTCTTTCAAATTTGTTTAGAAATGCAGTCTATTTTCACTGATCTAACTGTTTACTAATTGTTTTATATACACAAAGATGAAATTAGAAGACTAATTTAGGTATTAATCAGGATTAGACAATTGATAACGATTTTGTAGAATTGATGATTTACAATAGAAGGTTACTATTTTCTTGTAATTTTGCAGGTGTTAGTAATCCAATTCGAAAGAGACAATGTTTATTATGTAACTTGTCGTAAACACAAAGGTAAACACAACCGTGCTTGTTAATTAATGTGAATTGATGGTTATAGTTTTTGTTTGGCGACTTAGCGTAGGCAAACATTGCACCGCCTCTCTTTGAGTAGCAATCAACAACTCTTGTAAGCTAAAAAAAATTAGGAATTCACAACTACCAAACAAGACACTAGCGGCCAACGAGAAATGACTTGAAAAAGTACAAAAGCTACAGCTCCACCCAATCAAAAACAATTGATTCATCGCATTTTCCATATATCTATCTATCTATTATGCCGGCACAACCCGAAAGCAAGTCTTTGGAAGAAAATTTTAGTTTTGATAAATATATAAATCGAGAATATTTTCATTATTATACATAAACAAAGGCATAATATCTCGCAATTTGCAAATGCATGTATAGTTCAATGTTACACCGGATCATAGAGAGGGGGGGTTTCATGAATCCCAAAATTAGTTTTATATTTTAAAAAAAGCATGTACTTGATAAAAAATTTTTTAAAAAAATACTATATAAAATTATTCAGCTTATTTTGTCATTGACAATGTAAAAAATAAGAAGTAAAAATTAAAATAGATCCCTAAATTATAATCAAATTAACACAGAAAAATTTTTCTTTTCAAAAACTAACTATAAGTACTGCAACTTATTAGTCTATTAGTACTTGGCCCTTTGGTTCAAAAAGCTTCTTTTGATTGTCGATTGTGTGAGAATTCGATCTTTAAATTATGGTCAAACTAAATATGAGGTCATTAATTTATAATTTCGGTTAATACTTTTGTCCCTTTATTTTTGGACGTAAAGATGAAACTATTAATAAAATTATAATCTACTAACCTTATATTTTTTGAAAATAGAAGTCTCCTTATAGCTAGTTTTTGAAAACATAAATTCTATGTGTTAATTTGAAAATAACGCAGGGCTGATTTATTTTTTAATAAAAATTAAACTGTTAAAATTAATAATTGAAGGAATAATGAATTAATGATATAAAAATAGATATGTTTTTGGCAAATTTATGTATATTCGCGAAGCATGTTCAAAGTGTTTTCTGAATTTTATCTTTTCTTCTTTTTCTGAAAACATTGACGTGTCACCTAATTCATCCAGATTGGTTTTAGACAAAACAATTCGACCACCTATACACAATTCGGGCCAGACAAAATGTGGGCCGAAACAAACGGACAGTAGTTTTAGTTTATTGGGCTTGGGCCATCTAGTTCTGTCCTTTTCTGTTCTTTTCACGGGCCTGACAAATTTTTGGTTTGTTAGACAGCACAGGGACATTCCTGAGCGAGGAAATAGAATGTTCATGCTAAGAATCAAGTTTGCAATTGCATAACCAGATTGAGAGTTCAGTGTAGAGTAGTTCTGTGCACCCAATGGATCAACATAAACGTATAGAATACTGTAGATAAACCATATTTTTGTTTCCTATGGTGTGGCTTTCAAAGATTGCCATCCTCCAAGAACTGGAAATATGAAACCAAAATGAACAATTTTTATTTTTTCAATACAAAATGCAATTTCGTATTCATTTTCTTTTTCCAAAATCAAATCTTCCCATTCATGACCTTGAAAATTCATTTAGCATCTCAAGGATAACACATTTCGGTTGCCATCTTGACAAGCTATATAATACATCTGCAAGACGCCCCCCATAAACCCCACCAACAATGCCGGTTTCCAACATGAGTATAACATCAACCCTCCAGTTAAAGAAACAAAAACTTACTACCATGGCTTGTCAAGTGGTTGATCATGCAAGAACAGGACTTAAACCAGAAGAGGGTTGCAAATTAGCAGCATAGTCTCGCGCCCACAAGTCATAATGTATAATTTCCTCTAAAGAAGGTGAGCTCACCAATTCTGCCCGATGCTTATTGCAAGTTAGCTCCACAATCTTGAAAATGTCAAGATAGCTTATCCTGAAAAAAGACGGCAAACTGTTAATTAACTAAAGATTCTCAACATAAGCACATGCATACTAGCATCTTTGTTAATCACCCAAGTGATCATAGAAAAATAAAATAAAGTTGAACAGACATCCAAGTGCATTAAATTTATGGTTCAACCACTTGATATAGGTGATGCTATAATCTATAAAATATTTTTCTTGACAACATTAACCAAGACAACAAATTCCAAAAAATAGCAGAAATTTAGTAACTCTGCCCTAACAAAATTTTGTATGTTTAGTCATTGATCACATCAAACTACCCGAGGAGACACTTAGGCTGCCAGCTAGCTTCAATGGACAAGAAAAAAAGAGAAAAGAATCCCTTAACTACCACTCTGCTTATAGGATTACACCTATGACTCTCAAACCCATCTGTTTACTGGCTAAGCGTTTGATCAAAGATGAGCATCTTCATTTCTGACTCCTTATACTTCCACATATATCAAGTCATCTATTTCTAAGCACTGATCAGTAATCAAGGGTCCACTAAAACTTCATACTGCATCATCTATATGACTTGTGCTACCAAAATTGGCCAGAAGACAAGGTTGTAGTGCATAAACTTTTTAGAATTTCTTGAATTCCACAAGCTATGCAACAAAAGGTTGCCATAATAACTTTTACGATTTGCAAGCAGATAATTGTTAAGCAATGATAGACATACTTTTCATCGATGAACATCTCCACAGCTTTCTCATTAGCTGCACTAAGAACTCCTGTCATGGTGCCTCCTGCCCTTCCAGCAGCATAGGCAAGATCCATAGATGGGTATTTTACATTGTCAGGAGCTTTAAATGTTAGAGACCCTTGCCTGCATCATCAATATAATTCTAAATATCAACTATAATCCTCACAAAAGTTCCCAATAAACTTGTAATATATCTAAATCCATAGTTTGAAAGGAAAAATGTGTTCTCACTTGCAAAGATCAAGGCGAGGCCAGGTTATTTCAGAGCAGGAAATTCTGTCTGGCCATGACATGGTGTATAGAATTGGTAAGCGCATATCGGGCCACCCCAACTGTGCAAGAACAGAAGAATCCTAGGGAAAAAAAAAAAAAGAATATAAGAAAAGAACAAAGAACTCCTATGGTGCAAGCAGGGAGAAGATGACAGTGCACACCTCTGTTTCAACCATTGAATGTATTATAGATTGTGGATGAATTACTATCTCAATATTATCATAGTCAGCTCCAAACAAATAATGGGCTTCAATAACTTCTAAACCCTGTAAAAACGGGAAATGACTTGAGAGTGTATTCCAGAGCATGGTTGCAAATTTATTTTTCACTCAATATGCTGCACGCAGCATGGAGAAAATTATAGAAAACAGAGCAATATTGCAAACCTTATTGAAAAGGGTAGCTGAGTCTACAGTAATCTTTTTCCCCATGTTCCAGTTAGGATGCTTCAAAGCATCAGCTACCTTAACATCTTTCAATTTTTCAACAGGCAAATCCCTGTCAGCATTCAAGTGATCAAATAGTTAAAAAACAGCTTCTTCAAAATTTAACCGGGTGTGAAATGAAAATTTATGATATTCAGAATGAAGCCATGAAAAAAATGAATGATAGGGACAGATCAGATGTTCAGTAGTCTAAACACTACAAAAAAGATGCAACTTGAAGACAAACATAAATAGAGAACTGTTTTAACCTATGATTTTGATTATGTCAATTTAGTGGCTGTTTTGATACTAATGGAAAGCGACAAGTGCAACAAAACAGATTTTAAACACATAAATTTTCCAAATTATCAAAGAATCAATATCCACAAATTATTGCCCTATCAACAGAGCAAATAAATATAGTATGCAACAACAGCAGAAGGTTAATATTTCCCAGCAGTCTCTTAAACTTACAAACTCAGAAATTGAAGCTTAAATTATGATTTCTCACCTGAAAGCCCCACCAGAAGCAGTTAAAATAATGCGCCGCAATGCACCTTCAGGTAGGCCCTGAATACACTGTAGAAAAGAGATCTCTTTATAATTAATAGAAATAGAATATACTGAAAATAAATTATTGTGCAAAATGCTAGAAATAAGATGAGCTAATACCAAATAGAATTCACAATGTAGCAGAAGCATCTGAGATATACAGAAATTTAGTTATTAGCATAGATACGTTTTCATACCTGAAATATAGCAGAATGTTCTGAATCAGCTGGAAGAATTTTTACGTTATATTTGTGAGCAAGAGGTAGGACAAAAGGACCTCCAGCAATTAAAGTCTCTTTATTGGCCAAGCATATGTCTTTTCCAGCTTCTATTGCAGCCACGGTAGGCTGAAAAAAGTCAATCGAGAAACTTTAGGTGATCCATTCATGTTACTAATTGGCACCATGCAGTTTAAATCTATAAGTAACTCAAAGAATCATCAAATAGTCAAAATACTGCAATCAGTATAAAATACATAAACCAAGAAAACGTTGACCAGTCAGGGTGTTCTCTCCTTTTCTTTTCCTTAAGAATCTTTACATAAATGTCCAACTATATCAATATGAAAGGAAATTATCATACATCCACCCGTCTTCACATTATGTTGAACCTAGGCTTTCACATTTTATTATCTTCCTCGTACATATTTTACCTAATAAAGGCACTAAAAATTTTTGTATCATGTGATGAGATTTACAAGAAAATGACAAAAGAAGACTAAGAGTGTACCTTTAAGCCTGCACAACCTACTATTCCCGTAACAACACTGACAGCATCTGGATGGCGAGCAACCTAAAAATAAATCACTGGCAATTAATAACAAGAACGGCTTCATCAACTAAACCAAAGTTGAGAAATTAGATGGTACCCTACCTCAACAATTCCCTGCTCCCCAGGAATAATCTCAGGCTTTTCTTCAACATCAGCTAAAGCCTCTTTGAGCTCATCAACTAATGACTCATTCCTAACTGCAACAAGTTGCGGTTTGAAAGTTTTCACCTGTATAATGCAAAAAAATTATCAGCACCAGCTGAATTGAATTTGACTAGAATACTTTTTGCTAAATCTCAGATTGCCAAGCATAAGAAGTTCACTAAAGATTAAGATCATGATTGGACCAAAAACAAAGGTCAAATAATAAATTAGAAGTATTGCATGTTCTATATATATCATAACGAAATTGACTGATTACCTGATCAGCAAGAAGAGTAACATTTGAACCAGCCGCAAGCGCCACCACTTTAAATTTATTAGGATTCTCTGCCACTATATCCAATGTCTGCCAAAACAAAATTATCAAATTCTATTTCTGAGACTTATCATCAATCAAAAGCAGCCAGAAGTGGAGAAGATAAATCTCAAAGAATTCACACCTGAGTACCAATTGAGCCAGTGGATCCAACAATTGAAATAGGCTTCGGACCATCCCAAGTCTTACGGCCTGGCTCTGGAAAAGCTCTCCCAGGCCAGGCTGGTGGAGGAGGCTGAGCCGAACATTGCACTTTCCTTCCCAAATCCTTTCTCTTCAAACTGAAACTACCTGAAATTTCACAAAACAGCAACCCGAGTTTGTTATACTTAAAACCATCAATAAACCAACAGAATACAATCATTTTACACAGAAATGCTTCAGTTCTAGTTGAAACAAAAACAAAAAAAATAAATTTCTCTCTCTCTCTCTCTCTTTTCTTTTTCCTTTTGATCAGCAAAAACTCAAAAAGGAATCCATTCAGTCTTATCTTTTCCTATAAAGGTCGTATTTCATCATGTATAAAAGAATAAGAGTTTCGCTTTTCAGACTAAAAAAGAGTACAGGTAAATAAGCTTTATGTTGTAGCTCAGTAGCTCCAACTTTGTGTGTCCGTCTTTCTAGGTAACCAAACAGAAAAGGAGAGAAAAATGGAAAAGCAGAGAGAAGAGTTAAACCTGGAAGCTTGGGTAGCTGGTTGGACTTGGTGGAATCTAAGAAGGAAATGGCTTTGATTTCAGCCGGAGAAAGCAAATTAAGAGCCATGAAATTAACCAATCAAATTCAAAAGTTCTACCAACTCGAATTTCAGGAGAGAGAGAGAGAGTTGGAATACGATATGTGTGGCCTGAGGCTGGGGATAAATGAAACGAAAATGTTAGAAATTTATACGGTAGGCGTGTGGCTTTGTGAATTGCGGGATTTTGATTTTGATTTTATTATTTTTTGTTCGCTTTGTCTGTTTGTGTGTTGAGGAGGTAAGAGGAGGGGAGGGGGATATAATTGACCGTGGAATACCGGAATTAGACTGGATGACAGTGAGTGGGACAGATTGTCCAATGAGCTCATCTTCGTGGACTCAGTGGATACCCCAATATATATTTAGTTATGGAAATTAATTACTTATTAAGAAACATAATGACATTACATTTATATTACCATTAAATTTAATAAATTTAATAATTTTTTGAAAGAACGTAAAATTTTAAATGCGATAAGTATTATAAAATAGATATAGCAATAATTTTTATTTAAGGGAGCGAAATCTTGTATTAACTTTCGATCTTCTAAAAATTGCATAAAAGCATTGAATTGGAAATATGATTAGCATGTGGCTGTTTTTTATCAATTAAAAACGGAAGGTTGTTAAAATACACTATTGTAAAACAAAATAATATGAACTATCCTTGAAACTTATATATTTTATTGTGCATAAAAATTACTCTTTTCTAATATTGTTTTCGGGTTCACGACGGTCTCTCTATCCGAATTTGTTTTAGGAGTATTTACTACTCATTAATAGTTATATGATGCATGAATAACCTTAAACTGGAGGCAGACGACACCGTTCTGTGATGCATGAAATTTGACTGCAAACTACACATAAACAGTGATATTTTGGATACCTGAGTAGATCCCCTTTGAATATAGCCAAAAAGATATTCTTATCATGGGCTTTTATGAAAAGGCATCTTTTTGTTTTTGATGCTCATAAGCATAGTTATCTAAAGAAATTTTTATTTTCTTATAGTTACTATTATCAATTCAAAAAGGTCAAAGATATGAAATTCAATTTTCAACAAAAAAAAAAAAAAAATCATATATAGCATACAATGTTTGAATTTAATTTAGAAATTTCAAAATTAAAACTCATATTTGTGTTTATTTCCTTTTTTTTTTTTTTAAGTTCTATTTCACCTTACCCTAAATCCATTAAAACAATAGTAATTGTTCTTGTCCACTTGAAGATTGGGGTCTGTAGCTAAACGACAATACTTTTTAGTAATTAATTATAACAAGAGAATAGAGGAGAAAGAAAATAAAATTAAGTGTGTTTGAATAATATATTTTATGAAATCAAGAAAGGTTTGATTTTAACAGCCAAAGTCCAAAGTTTGGTAAAGTTTGGTAGTATTAACGACGCAATAAATAAATATAAATGATAAGGTAATAAACTGTGCTTCCTCCGTTTTGTGAAATTTATCATTTTTTATCTTTTTACTGAAATTAAAAAAAATAAAATGATTGAATCATTTTAATTTTAGAAAAAAAATTACTTTAATTTCGGGACAACAAAATCTAAAATAAATTAATATTACAAAAGACAAAAAGTACCATTTGATAGAGAAATGATGAAATGAAATGGGCACATCATGTGTTGTTTCACATGCACCATGGCAGGCATGAATTCACGTGTCTCCACTGTTTTCAACACGTTGCATATCATTTTTTGGGTGATTGATTCTGTATAATCGATGAATGGAGTCAGATGCTTAAAATGTAAGCGTTTAATATTTTAATCGATTAAAAAGTTAAAATTTATTTTCGAATACATCTTACATAAAAATGATAAATTTATTAAATTTGAGAATAGAATTTACTTTTATTAATTGGTAAAGAAATTCTAAGTATAAATAACAGAGGAATGAAAGATCTGTCAGTTAAGGTTTAGGAGTCAATAAAGGAGAGCTGAAAGTAATTTAGGGAGGAAAACTAGACATATTGCAGGGTCAACAAAGAGACTAACCAGCTCTCTTAAAAATATGTTTCTGTCAATAATAATTAAATAAGAATTTTGTACTCTACTGTTTTAAAATATAGATATTCTCTAGGATTGGTGTTCTTCCTCATTTCATTTTTATATAATAATAAACTATCCAAATATAATATCGAAAGCCAAATGGGTCGGCAAAATCGAAATTTATTTCATTTTTATTCTTAAATTTTTTAGTGATTCCAAATACTCTAATAGCACCACAATTGTGCATTGAAGGTCTGAGATTTTTATTGGATAATTAAATCCCATAAAGAAAAATGGATCAATAAACTAAGAAAAATAATAATAATAATAATAATAATAATTCAGTCTACAAAGTAGACTACAGTAGTAAAAGAAGAAGTGTAAAGCAACCAAGAGAGAAGTGATGACTGAATGACTCAAACGTCTGCTTTGAATTGTTTAGTATACTGCATGAAGTCATAGAGCCCTATAATTTCCAACAAAACCAAATTAATATTTGCAGTCAAGTTTTACCAACAAAAAAATTATAAAATATATATATATATAAGGAAACCGCAGCAGCCATCTTTTTTGTTTATTTATTTATTTATAATGTTTAATCGAGTGAGCTGAGATATCTTGACTGAGAGAAAATGGAATCCATATTATAATTGTCAAAGTTTTGTTTTGTCTATTAGGCTGCTCTGGATAAAACATTAGCTTATTTCATCAGTCAAAAATGGCAAGCTCAAACTCTCTGCTCTGTTTGGATTTTATATTATTATTATTAAACCACTCAATTCATTATCGTAGCAACAACAGATAAGACAACAATACCCTCTCCTTCGACATCAGAGAGAGAGATTTTTACATCACGATTTAACTTTTTTTTTTTTTTACCATAATAGTATAAATTATGAAGTTTCACTAACAAAATGGAAATGGACACCTATGCATCTTTAATTCACCAAACGCGAATGAAGAGATCGATCCAGAAATCGGGAATCCACCGGCAGTCACAAAATCTGGTTTCTATTGGTATATCTTGTCCGTAAACAAGTATATAATCTCAAAATTTTTAATAAAAATTATAGTATTATAATAATAAATAAATCTGGTAGGTACTAATTTGCCAGCACAAGAAAACAAGTGGAGCCACACATTCCAAGGTGCATAAAATCAGAGATAACTTTGTTAATGTCCATTGCTAATCACGTCTTGGAAATAAAAGATACAAAACGACAATAATCATAATACCATAAATAACTTATAATTCACAAGCTTATTTTTTTACATTTTAAGCAAGTTGTCAGGCAAGCACATGGACATTTTTTGCCACCTAAATTATAAGGGAAACGATGATAAATTAATAATGGACAAGCACTGATTTATCATTCAGAAACAAATAAGCATGCCCTTTTCAAATTTGAAATCGATCTATCCTCTCGGTTCTACTTATTTAAGTTTTAAATGTGGCTCAAGTTAAATCATTTAGTAACCTCAATTCCAGAAAAGAAAATGACTTCTAATTGAATATTTACAGCAAGATTGGAATGCTTAATATACAAAAATAAAACAAATGGGCAGCGTGTGATAGAAATTAAGGTATTAAAATAGAGTACAGTAGTAGGCTGACATTAAATAAAGAAGCAACAGCAAGATTAGACTACGCTATAAAGATTGCAATTTTGCTTTGTTTATTCACAATTTATTCCCTTATAAAATAAATACCACATATATTGTTTAAAGCTCAATTTGGATACACAATACTCATGGGAATAAACATATAGTTTCAGGCAGATACAGGATAATTCTTCAAACAATTATTTTTACTCGTAATTACCTACCTGTAATTCAGGCCAGCTGATCCTGCAAATTCAAATCCACCTTCAGTTTCCTTCATAGCTGTGTTCTTGATCTTCCTTTATCTCGCTTGAGTTTACCTCTGATTCCCCACCGTTGATCTCCACTGCACCACCTGATTCAGATATTTTTGTTATCCTCTGCAACTCATCCGTTGCGTCTGTGGAATGAGACACAGGCTGATCATCAGCCAACTGTTCCTTCTGAACTGATGGTTTTGGCCGTCGAATGGCTTCTGCTGCTTCAGGCATTGCAACAGGCGGTGGCTGTGGAGGAACCCATGCACGCTGAATTGGCTGCTCATTAGTTCGTGCACTGTAAGGTCCAGTCTTGAGTTCATCTTCATTTTCAATCTCTGTGATTCTCGCATTCTTCCGCTGCCACCAAGGTGTAGTGTTCTCGCCATCAAACTGATAGGTCACCCCGTTTTCTTGTATCTTGGTATTCAAACCTTCTCCATTTACTTGGGGCTGAAGCACTTGGCTCAAATTGGTTTGGGATTGACCCACCTCCCAAGGCTACATGAGAAAGAAAATGAGTTAATTAGATTCAATGTGAAGATATTTCTCAATAGATCAAACAAGCATCAACAACTTTGTTCTTAGATGTAGCTCATATGCTGCATTGAATTTGAGCCATATGAAAAATAGGGCATAGGAGCCATCAGTTGATTACATATTCTCACAAGTCTCAGAAGTCGAGTAAATGCAGTTTTAAGGAGTGAATTTCATATTCTGCACCATCAGTAGAGATTCTGGCATTTTTAATTGGACGAGTGCAGCGAAAAATGACCTACACTAAGAAAAGAGGACTAGAACTTCTCAAAGAACAAATAGAAGTACAAGTTCCAAAATTTTATTCCTTAAATAGCAAAGCACATCCAACAAGGATTCATTGGTCCATAATCTATAGCAAGTTAACAACAAAGGGGTAAAAAGGGGGAGGGCGGACATTAAGGAAGGAAAACCTCTCAAAAAACACACCTTATTTCTAGGTGCCAAGCGAGGATTTGAAATTTGCTGGTTAGGGTTGGGCGGTTGATCATTGATATCCTGCATAAAATTCCAGGAGGATAAAATTAATTTGACCGCAAAAAGCAGCCAATCTTTATATAAACTAAGTCTTCTTTACTCTGATGTTTGGAGGTCTCTCTCCTCTTTGGACCATTGCCATGATCTGCAATGTTATGAAAAAAATGAATAAGACATGATGCTATGAATCTTTATTTAACTCAACAGAATCAATTCATGAATTGCTATCTATCCAACTTCACTACTAAACTAAATGAAGAAATTCAAAACATATACAGGCCACAATAATTTGGATACACAAAATTGCGTACTAAGAACAAGGATGATCCTCAAGCTCATACAATAAAATCAACAAATTTACATGCACTTTTACCTCCATATATGACTTTGGGTGTGGTGCTACTGAGGGTTCAGCAGACGTGGGCGGCGAGGAAGATCTCACTGTCCACAATTGCAATTACATGAAATGGATAATCAAACCATAAAAAAGAAACAAACAAAAACAAAATATTGAAGGTAACAACCTGAGCGCAAATCAGAATCCGCCTTCCCATTCACATAGGTTTGCTGGGATAAAAAAAAAAAATGAATCAGAAAGAACATCAATTTGCATGTTTCAAAACTAGTTGTACAGAATCTACAGTCCAAATTCACTTTCCAGATCATGAAGCTTAGCTTTATAATTCACACTATGGTATACTTACCTTAGGATGATTTGCCACTGAGAGTGTATAATCTTCTTGATCAGCAAGAGATGTTCTTCCAAGGTTATTAGCTTGTCCTAACAGACAGTAAAAGAAAATGTCTGAGACAAAAAAGTCCTGGCTTTTATTTTGAGACGCCTTTTCCAGAAACTCTATGGAATTTCAAAAGGAAAATTTAGTACTGAAAAGTGACTAGTAGTTTAGCTACAGTGAAACCTTAAAACTGAAGAAAATGCTACCTGAAGAATTAATTTTGAGGATAAGAACTTTTGGCATAGCAATGGGGATAGTTTCATTTCACTGTTTGTTAAGGAACATCATCACTTTTACATGTACACACACAAAGGACTTGTCCAAAGCTGTGATATAGATAAAAATATTCCTTCCTTTTTCTGTGAAATTGACCATATAAATTTCTTTACATTTTGAATTGGGACTACAGTTCACACATTGACCAGGGTCTTGGATTGCAACCACAAAGCTGTAAGTTATTCTGTGAAAATTGACCATGTAAATTTCTTTATATTTTGAATTGGGACTATATAGTTACACAGTGACCAGGTCTTGGCTTGCAACCACAAAGCTGTAAGTTTGATTCGTGAAAGAAGCTAAGTTCGTATGAAAATGATAAAATAAGTTTTCCTTTTAACCGACTATGGATGTGTGTGTAAATATATCCTCAGTGCAAACATATCCTCAATAAATTTATGTTTAGTACAGACTGCCCCAGAGATAGGCAACAAGCAGCCACTTAACAACCAAGCTTGTGCAGCCATATTAGCAAATCTACTAGTGTGATGAGACGGCAAGATTTTATACCTTCCAATTTGTGTATCGCCATACTCATTGATTTCATTTCCTGAACTTGAAGATCCAGCAAATTCATAAATTCCTCAAAGTATCTCTTCTCTGAGGAGAAGATATCAAAATTCAGCAATTTTGTAGATGATAAAAGCTTATTAGATACTAGTTAAAGTCAGCAAAATTAATGGATAAAACATAATAAGCCCAACTCCTAATCCCACCTTCACTTTTTGAATTCAAGATTTCTTGGCTTGCTTTTGCAACATCAGCTGCCGCTGCTGCAGCTGATTTTGCGGCTGCAGCTGCCTCTTCTGCCAAACTTGGTTTTGCATTAACTTTCTTCATAGAGTCTTCTTCTTCTTCCAATACAACCTTGCGTATCCACAACTTCAGTCTGGGAACAATAGCATTCTGAACAAGGACCATGTTAATCTAATAGTGACGTCAAAAGAACATAACACACATGTTAAAATGCATGATTAGGTAGAAAAAACATAAAGATACAGCACAGAAGCTCATAATTGCACATGCACATTAGGCATTGACATTTGTCTAATTTGATGCAATGGTAGAAGAAAAAATAGTTGTTGATACCTTAATCAGGACAGCTGTCCCAGCACCTGAAGCTGCCAGTAATCCTACTGCTAAAACAGCATGATACCATTGAAAACGGGATCTTGCTAAAGTTGCCACAGAGGAAACAGTACCAGTAGGAGCAGCTGCTGCAGGCTGAAGAACTTGTGTCTGGGCTGGCGGCTGAACATTTGATGTTGATCTCACTTGAGCATCTACTTTATTGCAGAAGAAACACCAATAACATTAGTGATAAAAGGACAACAGAATTTCTTCCAAAACCAAGAACTGATATACCACAAAAGCTGAGTCCCAATTCAATATTGCAAAGATTATTACCTTGATTTGTAACATTTGCTTGTGTGCTTGGAGGGGAGTCCTTCAAGTTCCAGAAAATGTTAGAGATAAAATGGAATAGGCATGAACATATTGAGATTTTATGAATTCTTTATAAAAGAAATGCCATGGAGAAAAGAGTCACCAAACAAAAGCAATTACTTACAGGCACTCTGCGAAAAGCTTCATCAATTTCCTCCTTTGTTAGGCCCTTCCTTTCAAGAAAGGATCGCCTATACATGACCGGAGAACCCCTAACTTTTGGGTGTGAAAGAAATTTTACAGCATTCTGCACTTGATCCTCTCGCATTGGTTCCGAGTTCACAAAGACAGATGGGGGACTCTGTTTAGTAGCCTCCTCCCTGGCTGGCTGCTGAATCTCATTTGTTGGTTGTGCCAGCTCTGAAGCTAAATGTTTCAAAGAACATTGCTACATGATTAGCTTTTTAGCTAAGGGACTCCAACTAAGAATAAACTGTTGGTCCTAACTTCTAAACCAATAAATTTGATCATATGTTTCAAGTTCTCTTCAATGTGAGATTAACAAGCAAAAGGCACGGCCATTGCATTAAATTAAGTTGAGTTTGGACATATATTGGAACAAAGTAATTCATGCTTTTGTGAAATTAACAATAAATATTTTCTTTCGTTTGGGTGGTGATAAACTCATGAATGTGAATGAAAACTTGTATTTCTTTAAACTCGAAAGATCTACTAAAAAGATAACGAGATGAAGCGTGTTTTTCCCCTCTAGTTTTGCAAGTCCAAAACATATGCAAAATAAACTAAAATTCAAACCTTGAAATGCAAACGGCATTTTCTTATTCTAAAATTATACGGGTTTTGGAAAAGGATAACAGAATATGCGGACGTCACTGGTTGATGGAAATTGGAACGAGATTTAGGATTCTTTCACTTGTTAATAAAGTTTCATATTAACGCAATTTTCTTCCACAAAACACCAAACAAAATAAATAACGACGAGATATAACAGTGTACTAATAAGAGAGCATAATACCAAAACTTCAATTGTATCGATATGTCCACAAAACACATAAATTCAAATTGCAGAAATATTTCCTACTACTCCTCGAAACCAAAAATTGATATCTAATTTTAAAAACTAGATTAACATTCAGATATCGATTCGTACAACACTAGAAAAGGAAAACCAAATGTCAACATAAGTAAGATATTTGTTTAGCACCTGGACTTTGGGGTTTCTCATCGGGAACACTAGAAGGAGGAGGAGGGGACGATTGAGTGGCCATAGAGTCACCTATGTTGACTGAAAAAACGAAACCGGCAAATCTAAGCGATGAAAAATGTAAAATTCAAAGAAGAAAGAAGCAAGTTCTGCTTCTTGCTTACCTGAACGATGACGGTGGTGATTGTCAGAAGTGGTTTTTGCTCATTTCGAAGCGTGTGATGTTTACTGCAGGTTGTTAGTTCAGAAGTCTTAACCGATTAAATACGCTCAAAATCGGTGCAGATAACATGGTGCGTTACTCAATTATTTCACTATTCAGCCACTGCCTCAATACGTATCCACTCTTATCTTTCCTTGTTTCATGGGCTTAAAGTTGGCCCAACTCAGATGCTTCTAAAACTTAAAAGGCCCAAACAAACTTATTCCTAAATTGACCGACATGTCGTTCGACGACCGCCTAAAACATTCATATTGGCCTCACAGCACGCCGTCGTATTTCGAGAAATTCGGAGACTAGTCGTTTGTTTCTTTGAATAACGGGTGGTTGCATAGTAAGTGATCACCGTGATGTGCATTCCTTTTTTGCCGAACGAACAGCATGCACAAGCTGTTGCAAACTTATCATATGACGTCGTTTATTTATTTATCATATAATTCAAAAGACGGAAAGACGTAACTTGTAAGTGATTTCACAGATTTCTATGCTGTTTTATTTCTTGAACGACAGTGTATAACTTGAACATCTCATAAGAGGAGGGTTATGCTAATCATTTTAATGATGAACTTGTGATATTGAAAGGCAAGGCAAGACTGTATTTGTTTTGCGAAAATAATTTATTTAAAAAATAATTTTCTGATTTTTAGTCTTTGGATTTCTTAGAAAAATAAGTTTGAAAAATATTTTTAACTTGGACCAATCGCCAATCCCGTCCTCAACCTGTGCATGGTGTATTGTTGGATCATGCAACGTAGCATGGAGAGGGGACGTCCCGTTATTCAATTCATGGTCACAAATCTTTAGGGTTTGGGTTTGTGGATGGAGCCATTTTCAAATATTATTCATCATCAAGTTTCTATGCAATTTTTTGAAGGCCAAGAGGGCCATTTCCTTTTTTATTGTATGATGATCCAGCTATTGTGGAGGGAGGCTCTTGCTCTTCGATCATCATAGAGTACGGTGGAGGTCACCGACGACGTGATTAATTGAATCAAGGCGCTTGATGTATGTGCAAGCACACATTTGCAAAAAGAAAACTCAAGCCAAACTGATCTAATACAATCTTAATTTGATTGTTTCGGTTGATTAATTTGGTCTAGTTTATGTTTTAAAAGTTTTAGAGTCCAAATTTTCGATTTAGGTTGACCAAAAATAGATAAAATAAGATCAATTTGGTCCAATTTCGATTTTATATTTGATTTGATGGAGATAAAAAAAAGCAATGATATGAGCAAGAGGTGGGAATCGGTGTTTCCTTCTTCTCTAACATCGACAGTTGAATGAGAAAAAGGAATGACAGACAGATAAAGAAAGAAAGAGAGAAAGAAAGGATAATTACATGTTTGAGCCAAGTCGAAGTGCTAGAGAACTCGTTTGCCTTTTCTTTTCATATAACAACAAAAGCAACTATCAAGCACAAAGATTTTTTTTTTTCTTGGCACAAAAGCAACATAAAATTTATTTTTCGCCAACTATCAAGCACAATTTAAAAAAAAAAAAAATTAGTTCCAGCCCTCCATTTTGGCTATTCGATAAAATTTTATTTTATTTTTATTCATTAAGAGATCCAATAAATCAAAAGAATACTGTGAGTTACACAATATAAATAATCATTCTTTCTACTCATCAAAGTATATATATAATCTTTTAAAGTTACATATAAAGTAGTTTTAATGTGTTTTGAATTTTAAAATGATTTAAGACGTATAAGATAACAATACAGATAATAATATGGACAAAAAAATTTTGGTCACATACCATGTCTGATGTTAAAAAAATAAAAAAATACAAACACGATTATGTAATGTTTTTAACGGATTGCATTTCTCAAATTAATTTGCATTGTCAAGATGACTTGGATTAGAAGACGGAACAGACGTGTGCTGATAAACTCTGCACATTACTGCACATGTTTCATGACTCCACTCTATTCAATTGCTAATATATTCACTAACTATTCTAATTGCTGATCTTGATTTGTAGATTTGGATATTCCATCGATGGAGCCTGGTAATGTGGTATATTCTTCCATTGATACTATTGACGCATAGCAACGAAAAATCATATATATTCGTCATATGTTGTATTGGAAAAACAATCCAGTCATAGAAGATCCAGAGTAGTTATTATTTTGACGTCCAAATTAATTGAATGAGAGTAAATTCAATGAACCGACGTAAATAATAAAAAATATTTAATTTAACACGTTGTAATTGATAGAGGAAAATGAAATAAAACTAATCCATATATAAGTCAATTTTAAATTGTATTGTTGCCGGCTTTGAATGTGATAAAGACTAATTTGGCGTACTACTTGTCGTTTTCTCGTGAAAAATATGTCTTAATACTGCTAAGCAGAGATTATAAATAGGTACATGGTTTTATGGCAAAATGTGCTAAAGTTTGATATCTATTTACTATATAGTGAGTATTGTTAGACAGCTGCTACTTGTTCAACTTTGCTATTTCCTTGTCAAGACTTGCTAAGAGGTAAGGTCTTTTTTCATTTTATTTTAGATTGAAGAACTCAAAATTTCATTTTTTTTTTAATTTGATCAATTAAGCATTTCTAATCCCTTTATTTGGAGTATTATTGCAAAACAAAAGGAGGAGTCATTTCACCATTATTGTTTTTTTTTTAGTTTTCTAATATTTATATATATTTATCTAAATTAATCTATAAAATTCAATTATTTGTGTCTTTGTCCCCTCTATTTTTTGAAAAAATTATATATTGATTATGGAAAAAGGTATTTCAAAAACCGCCACTAATTATGTTTATGATTATAAGTCAATTAATTATTATTTATTTATAAGTAATTATGCATCATTGAACTAAAATTAACTGATTAGGCATTTATATGTTTTTTTTTTTTTGAAACAAAATTACAAAAATGCCAAATATAGTAAGTCAATGAAAGTTATCACATAAATAATGGAGTACCACTGGAGTGGCAGGTGGGATGGGATTTGAAAGTGAGGTTGGACTATGGTAGTTTAAACAGATATGAATTATGATCCTATGTCAACTAAAAAACAAAATGTACTGCAAACCCATGTTAGGTGAGTTTTCGATTCGTGAAACGTAAACTAAACCCAAATAAAGAAATTAAATCAAATCGATTTGTTCAGTTTTTAGTTAATTCTCGGTGTCTATTCGATAAAATTAATATTTTAGCAGCATTTAATTATTAACTATTTTAATAACATTTAACTGTTAGCTGTTTTTAATAGTTAAATGTTAAATGAGTTAATTTTTTATAAAACACTACCATAACTTTCAAAAACTAGTTCAAACATTGACTCATCGAACAATGTTTTAAGTAGCGTTTAGTGGTTGGTCTTGATCAGTCAAAAAGCTAAAAGCTACTTAAAAAGCTATTGTCGAATACAACATTAAATAAAGCTAAAATTGAACAAATAATTTTAAATTTTTCATAAAAATTAAAACTGAACCATTTACGTTAAAATCAAACTAAATCGAACCGATTTAATACTATCTATTTTGTCGGTGTAAATAAAGTATGCTCAACCCTGCTGGACAGAAGTTATAAGTAGTGCTTGATTCACTTGAACTGATTTACCCTATAAGTATCGTTAGATATCTACTTAGTCTTTCCCAATCAAGACTTGCAAAAATAAGGTCTGTTTTCATTTTCTTTGAAATTGAAGAACACAAATTTCAGCTCTGCTGTTTATGCTCTCTGCACTCAAGCATATACATTATTATATTTCATTATGGCTATATTACTATAAATTTATTATGCTTGCATTTTTCACGATTTTATATTATTTGAAAATTCAAATATAGATTGAAGTATTAATAGTAATTTAACAAAACTATGATGGTGATTAAATTCATTTTACTGTGCAGGAAAATATGGCTAAGCAATCATTGCCTGAGCAAAAATTAATCGAAGGATTGAAGAAACTTCTGATCGCTGGGTAATAGGATTATACAATTTAATGTTCAAATCCATCAACTTATAGTCTCCACATTGATAATCGGATTGTGGAGTGCAAAATGGAATTCTATATCCATGGAGTTTTCCTATATATGATTACTGTTGGACATTAAATTTGGATGAATTAAAATACCGTTGGATCTCTATTCTTGGATGGTGATTTCACAAGTAGACATTTCATCAATATCTTGATTTTGCAGTGAAAAGGATGGCGTAAACGATGTAGTTGAAGAAAAAATTGAGAAGCTGATCGTAGAGTTGCAAGGTCCAGAACATCCTTTTGATCCAGTTCAAAGAATTAAGGATGGCTTCCATTACTTCTTGCGGAACAAATATGAGTATGACATGGCACAACTAAACCCTGTTAATATATGATTTTATAAATTTTCATAGTATAATTTTACAAAATATATAGAAAAAAAGTTTTTCAAAATTATTTTTATAACAACATTAAAATGATAATTTAGAAAAAATGTTAAAAGAATTTATATTTTATTTATTTATTTTTTTTGTACTTATTTTTGCAGTCCATCAGTAGCAGAAGGCCAGCAACCAAAGGTACTAATCCAATCTAAAAATGATTAAAATATATTTAGTATAATGCTAATTAATAATTAGTGGTGTCGGTGCAGTTTTTGGTATTTGCTTGCTCGGACTCACGAGTTAGCCCATCTCATGTCCTTGACTTCCAACCTGGTGAAGCCTTCATGGTCCGCAATATTGCCAACATGGTCCCTCCATTTAACCAGGTTTCTCTAATAGTTAAAGCCCCTTAATTAACTTATATACATTTTATATAAACAATTCATATGCTAACTAATTAAGGTTGTCGTTTGTTTTCCTGCAGCTAAGGTATTCTGGAGTTGGAGCAGCCATAGAATATGCTGTGGCACATTTACACGTAAGTATATATGTCCAGCGTTTTTTTTTTTTTTTTTTTTTTTTTTTTTTCCTGCAGCTTTAAGGTATTCTGGAGTTGGAGCAAGCCATAAGAATATGCTGGTTGGCATATGACAATTACACGTAGTATATATGTCCAGCGTTTTTTTTTTTTTTTTTTTTTTTTTTTTTTCAGAACAAATCACAGTAAAACCTAACGTGGGTAAGATTAAAAAATGTAAATTAAATGGTGGGGCAAGATTCTAACTTGAAATCTTAGAAGTAGTCAGCATAATTAGCCACTTCAGCTTAAGCTATCAATTTTTTTTTTTTTTTTTTTTTTTTTTTTCAGACAAATCCAGTAAACCCTAACGTGGGTAAGAATTAAAAATGTAAATTAAATGGTGGGCAAGATTCTAACTTGAATCTTAGAGTATCAGCATAATTAGCCACTTCAGCTAAGCATCATTAGCTAATTTTTATTTGTAAATTTTATTATGTTTTTGTTTCTTTGATTGCTAAATACAACGATATTTCATAGGTGGAAAATATTCTAATTATCGGACATAGTCGTTGCGGTGGAATAGAGACGCTTATGAGTCTTCCAAAAGATGGTTCTACTTCCAAGTAAGATTGTTGAAAAATCTTCATATTTTGTTTTGATTAATAATTTTATTTAATTTTGATAATTGTGTTAATTTTTTAATTTATGTGGGCAGTGACTTCATTGATGATTGGGTCAAAATTGGATTACCTGCCAAACGCAAGGTTTTGGAAGAGCATCCTCACCTTGATTTCTATGAGCAATGCAAGATTTGTGAAAGGGTAAACCCACAAATAAAAATCCATCCTTTTTTTTTCCCCTTAACATTTTCTTTTCTTTCCCTCTAAAATTCAAAATGGGAAAATTTTATTTTGCAGGAATCAGTGAATTTCTCACTGATAAACATACAGACCTACCCATATGTGAAGGCAGCAATGGACAAAGGGAAACTTACACTAAGAGGTGGCTATTATGATTTTGTTAATGGGATTTTTGAGCTTTGGGAGGTTAAAGACTGCATTACACAACCAATTCCAATATAATCAGTTTCTTCCTACTTGGATTGTTTCCTTTAAAGCAAGTGCTAGTGCTTAAATAATGGTGGAAATGTAATAATTTTCTCTAAATTGATGAATAAAATTTTAATTTTCATTACCTTACTGCTAACGAGTTCGTTCTTGAAAATGGAACCAAAAGACAAAGGGGTAGATATAAATCATAATCATAGAACGTTTGGACAGATCATGTGAGACCACAGATTAATAATTAATCCACTTTTAAGCATTCCAAAAGCATAATTCCCAGAACAGCTTCTTCATGCATAGCTAGTGCGGGTCCATTACACATCATGTCACCCTTTTAAGTCTATCTTCGGTATTGTTCTTCTTGGGCTCAACACATATTGATTCTTGAATTTTCTAAGAAAAAATTAATAACAACTTCGATTTTTAGATTAATTTATTAAATTCTTCAAATATTAAATTTACATGTATTAAACATTTTAATTTTACACAATTTTCAATTACTAGTAGATATTCTATATGTGATTTACTTCATACATCTTTTAATATAAATTAATGAACAATAATTTTTAAAATTTTTAAGCATTAAATAAATATTTAGGAAGTATATTTTTGTAAAGTTGAATCATTGAAGATACAATTTTTTATAAATTAAAATGTTCAATAAAATAACGTATTGATAATTATCAACGGTATCTTTTCATTCTATGACACCCTAGGCGAATTCTATACCGGCTAAACACAAAGTAAAAGTGAAGTACACGAAGGAGGACAAGTTTTAGATTAACAAAAGGCTTTTTAGGCTATGAGGTGGTTCTAATCTAAAAACAATTCTGTGCAGGTCTGAGTGGATTCGGTGCATAGCTCACAATATAATATCTTACTAGGTGTGAAAATATAGACCAATTAGTGAATTTGATTAATCACTGCCAGATTTAACTGCAATAAGCAAATAGACAAACACATACGAAGCCAAGGAGTTTTTACATACAAAATGAGAGTTTAAAAATTATACCCATAAATAATCAAGAGATTCATCTACATTTCTAATAAATTAGGGTTATAAAGATCAGGATAGTTATCATTTAAAAATAAAAATGAATTATCATCCAGATCCGCCATTTTCACTTCTTGATTGATGGCGAGCTCAACTAATTCCTTGGACCTATCTTCAGCAGCATTTCGGCCAGTACCGCCATTATTGTTATTATTAGGATTTGATATATAATTTGAACTCGATGGATTATCAGAATTGTTCCTTAATAATTCTCCAGAGAAGGTTGTAGATGAAGTAGTAACTTTATAATTCTCCTTCTTGACACCAAGTCTTCTGCTCAAATGAGTGTTCCAATAGTTCTTCACTTGATTATCAGTTCTACCCGGAACCCGACCCGCAATTAACGACCACCTAATTAAAAAAAAAAAAAAGAAAATTCAGTAACAAAATTTTTGTACTTTGGGTCGAGCCAGATTTAGCTAACCAGGAACTTGGGTTGAAGCAAACCATATGCTTGGTGATGGCCGTTAAACAATTTGATTCGCAAATAAATAATAGTTTGGTGCATAAATTTTCATAATCTAGAGGAATATTAATTATATGTCTTCGAAATGAAATAAATACTAATTAAGCAAGAATTTGCATGCAAGAAACTGAAGAACCAAATATATGAATTGAGAGAAAAAGAAAGAAATCGAAACCTGTTGCCAAGTAGTTTATGGAGGCGAATGATAAGATCATCTTCTTCCTCAGAGAAATTGCCACGCTTGATGTTTGGACTTAGATAATTCATCCATCTTAATCTGCAGCTTTTGCCACATCTCTTCAGCGCTGTAAAACTTAATTAATTAAGTTTTCAAGACTGAATAAGAAAAAGCAAGTAACTTAAATTTATGGAAAGAAAGAATTTAAATTAACCTGTGAGTTTTGCAACTCGATTCCACTTCCCCTTGCCATGGATCTTTATGTAATCCAATAGAATTCTGTCTTCTTCAACTGTCCACAACCCTTTTTTATATGCACAGGCACTACTACTGCTCCCTCCTTGCATTGATATCTATATATCTTGTGTCTATTATTTATTTTAATAATTCTTAATATACATAAATATAAAGTAGTCCTTTTAGAGAGACAGTTCTGGAGATTGGATTGTAATTTGCAGTAGAGAGTAGAGAGGTGTTTATATAGTTCGCAAATGAGAATGTATAGTTGTATGGTTGAGAGATAGGAGGTATGTGATCATGGTTGTAGTTGATTTGACATACTTTTTACATTGAAACCATGATATTCCTTATAAAAAAAAAAGATAAAAGGAGAATAATATTTAAAAATCAATCTATTTTCATCAGTTTAATTCACAAATAAATCTACAAACTCAGTCTAAGCAAGTCTAATATGTCATCATCATCAATACCTAAAATGTCAGAGTTTGAAAGGGAGAAATGCTTGATTTTCTATATAGTGAGTGGTAAAGTTATACACGCTAGGTCATAGTTGCGCCATGGAGTGTATACACGCTAGGTCATGGCAACTCGTCCAGTTTTACATCTGTACATATAAGTGTTGGGTCCTTTTCTCCCACTGAATTGGGAAAGAGAAAAAAATATGTAATGTAAAAGCGTTCATTATATTATGTATGCCATAAAGGTACAAGACAGTCTTCGTGCACCCGTGAATAAATGAGCAATTAGATGAAGTTTAGTTGGGTTAAGTAGATTAGGTAGATGTAATTTTTGGAGAAGTGTATTTTTTAGGGACCAATGACTAAGTTACTAAGTATAATGAATTTACCGATATATTCCTAAACACACTTATATTATGGTAATTTTAAAATTTAAAAATATTTTACTTTTTAGAAAGTTGATATGCATATCAAACACATTCAAAGTTATTCTTTTTCAGAAATTATTCCCTTAAAAATATATTTTCGGAGAAGTATATTTCCTGAAAATATGTCATTTTGATCCCTAGTATTATTAACTATGGTTTCAATTAATTTAAGTGAAATTATTTTGAAATGTGGAATTAGACAAGTTTGCTGTTCTTTCTGATAAACTGGGCACCAAGGCTTCATTTTTCAAGGCCAGAAAGAAACAAAAGCTATTGAATGCGGTTTAAGATCAGGGTTGAGAAAGGGCCATGCAGAAGCAGACACATGGAGACATGGGATTGTACGATTTGTACTTCTATTATCGTGATTTTTAGAGGTAGAGATCTGTTACTGCTTTCTAGTTTAATAATCTAGGGTTTTCAGAGAAATAATGAGAAAATTAAAAAATTTTTTTTTCAACCTTCCTTTCAAAATAAAAAGAGCATGTTAGATGGGGGAATCAGCCATTCAAGCATTAACATTTTCCCTTTTTTAAAATTTTTTCAAAATATGTTTTTTTTTTTATTTTTATTTTTTATAAATTTTACTGTTGAGATAAAACAGAAGCGATGTGAAGTAATTATGTATATATAAACAAAACCAAATTGAATTTATAAGTTTAGTTCATTGAAGACATTTGATGATTTGATTCCATTTAAATATTTAGTTTGGATAAAATTTCAAACTGATCAAACCAAACTATGAACATCCCTACATACATCCATAAATAAATTTATCAGCAAAAAGAACGAAAAAAAAAAAAGGAGAAGCCAAATCTTACATAATGAATGAAATGACTGGGCTCTCATATACCGCAATTCTTTAATGTGCTTTACATCCATAGAACCAAAATGGACCCTGTCGGTGTTTGTCTTCATGCAATCAGCCAATGGATTAGGTTAAAATTTGAAATTATCATAGTTGATTAATTATGTGTATACATAGACACATTAGCTGTTCACTTAGATCACCAAGACAGGATTGTTCAACAACAAAGAATTAAATGATAGTACTAAAATCCTACATCTTGTATTTAATAAATCACATCCACCATTAATTGCACTAGACATATCACTAGAAGCATAAGAACAGTTGGCATTTAAGGTCTTTGCACATCATCTGCATCATTTAACAAGTAATTGCAGCAAAAGCTTAGGTAAAATTGACAAAATTGGTTCCAAAGGGCATCCTTGTCCTCAATAGTTCTACTTCTACACTCAAAGGGGCTATTGCCCATTTCCAAGAATCATCCTAAATACCCCTTTCTACCTGCAAACTTGGTGTCGTGCCTTTCGGAGGCAATCAGAAGGCGTGAGCTGGTAGCTGTCGAATTTTGCTGTGTTTTCAAACTTCTACATTTAATCAAAGATGGTCGACTGAGTTGATCCAGTGTTGATTGGTTTCCATTTATGCTGCAAAATAGATCGAAAGAAACCAAATTATTAGGAGGTGCTCGTTGAAAGATTAATGAAACAAGTTTATAGTAGAAGATGAAGGGATGAAAAAATGCATTTAACATACTTTGGATTTTCTGCAGCAGTTTCTCCACCATAATTTTCTGTTGCACCCCACTCAATGTTTCTGAGTTCATTATTGCATTTGCAACAATAATCACTGTTGAAGGAGAGGTGGCGTTCACCTGGATTAATAAGAAATTCAAAAAGTATATATACACATCAGAAGACATTATATTTTTCCACATAAAGGTTTCCAAGTTCCCAGAAAGTAACAAAAAAGAGGAAAGGGCTCTAATGTAGAAGAATGTCTTGAGAAAGTTCTCAAGGTGGGCAATATTAACAAATTTTTTGGAAAAGAATTAGAGGAAACAATAATAACTGCAATATATCATGTCTTAAAAATGTTTTAACCTGGCCCAGTACCACATATTATGCGTTAAGAAGAGAAGAAATGGTGTAGTAAAACCAAAAGTAAAGAGTAGGACCAAAAAAAAAAAAAAAAGAAATCGAAAGTAAATACTACAGCGTTGCAGAAAGGGTCGTACCCAAACGCGGCCATTTAAGCCAACTGCTATCTCAAAGGAGAGCTTATTGCCAAGAGCCTCAAGAACTGGACATGTTGGTGAGCTCAACAACCTAAAATTAAATGAAAGGTCAGACACGATAATGAAAGAGAGAGATGGTAGCTTCATAATTTTTCTGTAAAGTAATCATGCTAAGACAGTGGTTTTCTATCTCCAAAAAGTTAAACTGGGAGAAGATGCCTCACATTCTTGACAGACCAGTTGAGCATTCAAACATGTAGCCATCTTTGAGGACACCAAATTCTGCTGCTTTCCCACTGGCTAAAAATCACATAAAATTTAGAGACCTAATAATACTCTAGTAATTCACCAAAATAAAGAATGCATGCGTATGAACTATAAATAATGCATGTTAACCAACCATCAGTGCATGATAACTCGGGATTCATTCCAGGATTTGCCTTCACAACCCGAACATAAAGCAACGTACCGACCTGTGCCAAAAGGCAGTGGCAAAAGAAACATTTCAGACATACAGTACGAATAACAAAGGATGGGAGTAAGTGAAAACTGAACAGTGTTAAACACTAAAATGTCAACCCTATTCTTTAACTTGGATATCCTATTCAACACCCACTCTCATCGAATTTTCTTTCTGAAATGCCTTCCAACTCATCTTTTATGCAAAAAGTTTGATGTAAGGTTTTAAGGACACAATAAAAATTTCAATTTCATGCACATGTATACAAAATAGTTAAGCATTACTAGTTCACTATGTAAGTATCTTGGAAAGAAGTTTTATACATAAGGTTGAATAGTTTTAACTGCAACTTATACAATTATTGTTGTCTATAAACATTGAGTACATAAACCATTTCTAATTAAAAGTATCCTTCAACTCCCTCATTTTTCGAAGATTATAAACGAGAAAAAGAAATTTTAATCAGGATTTCCAATTGCAACTGCTCATAAAATTCCAGGCTTTGATATAGTAGCATGTTAAAGCATGGTCTTGATATTAAAGCCAGTGGTGAATCCACAGTTGAAAACTTGGAGGAGCCAAGAAAATTTTTCAAAATTCAGGGAGAAGGGAATAGAGAGAGAGGAAGAGAAAGAGGGCACCATTTTACATGGTAAAAAATTTTAAAAATTTTGGAGCTACCACCCTCTCTCCTTCAATTCCTGCTTAAAGGTCACAGCGCAGGGTGTGATTATAGAGATTTCTAAGTTCACAATATGATTTAAGACTATTTGACAAATCTCACTATACTTTGATAGATCATGCTATCTTTGCAAGTGATGGATAACTCTATATAGTAAGCACCTCGAATTTTGGTATGTTTCTCCTTGTGCCTCCTTCAAATGCAAGCACAGGCAAAAATGCCAAGGTAGGTCCTTTTATGTCCACAAGAAAGTTCTGCAAACAAAGAATATGTTAAAAAAAAAATGTTCTCAAAATAATATCACCCACAATCAAATTGAATAATACATTGAAATGGAAAATTGACATAAATACATTGAAATGAAGATAAAGGGCATAATAACGTGGAAGAAATATAAAACAAGCACTTGACATGGAGGGTGGGAGATAGAAGGTGAAGGTGGTTTGCAAATGAAAAATCTACATTCTTGCTCAAAATCATAGCAATTCCAATCGAATGCAAGTAAACAAAAGCTCATCTCAAAACAATGAGCATGGGGATCACTAGATGTTACTACTTGTTTCCTAACCGATTAATTTTCATTCAGTCTGCAGGGTGGATAGTAGGCTCACCAACATGAAGAATTATTTATCAGTTTAGAGTAGTGTATTGTGCAACTTTTGAGTAGAAGACTTTTCCAGGAGATGAAAAATATTTTGGTGCAGAGAATCAAGAAAAGAAACTGAAGTAAATCTTTTAAAGATGTTCCAGCTATGTGCTTACTAAGAGAATCTTTAGGTTTCTTTTGTTATTGTATAACATTCAATTTGTCTCACAGCTATTCAGTTACAATCATTATAGCCCTTCAACAAAATAAAAACAGTGAGTATTTATTGATGCCAAATTTACCATGTTTTCCCACTTTGTCTAAAACAACATGACAAGTTATAACACAAATCTGAATACGACTATCACAAATGAACCAACACCACCAAAATTCATAACACAAAGCATATTGAATCACTTACTTCTGCTTTGGAGTCGACCACGATTCCAAGGACACTATCCTCTGCACAAGGCACATACTGCAGAAGCAATCAGATAGACCATCATATGCAAGGATATCTTAAGTTTTGAACTCTACAAATCTATTCAAAAGTAATGTAAGAAATAAAACAAGATAAATATTACAATCCAAGCCTACTTCCAATCTTACAATTTCCTCTTAAAAAAATCATTGGAACAACAACATCTGACGAAGGATAGAAGAAAAAGAAAAATATTTTTAGGCATAAAGGCAATGAACTAGATGATCATCATGAAAATATTTACCGTGTTTCTTCAGTGGGATATTAGGAACTAAACCTTGAAATATATGATCTAGGATCCCTATCAATGTAAAAAAACTTACGCAACCAAAATTATGAATCTGTATCTTCCTTAAAAGAATGTTAATTCAGTGCAAACAAATCGAAATCTAGCCAAAATGAGTTGAACATGTAAAAATTTAAGAGGAAATAGAAGGACCTCATTATGACAAATCCAACATCTCTGCCATAGTGCCATAACCCACATTGTTCCACCCAGACTACATTGAAAACATGCAAACAATTCAATCCTATTTGACTTGCATAACAATCTCCTCCTCACAGCCCAATAAAAAATCAGAAAAAGAAAAAACAGGTCAAAGTGAGGTGCAATAGGAGACAGTACAATACATTCTGTAGCATACAGAGATTCTCATGGTTAAGATGATGATAGAAGAACTTGAACAATATTCAGACACTTTGATCACCAAATAGGAGAGAAATAAAAGTCACAACTTCCTAGAACATGAGCTGATAGGCAATGATAGTTCATCTTTTTAATACTCAGTGTATAATCATACTTACCCTTTTCTGGGAGCCTTCCACCCAATATTTATTTGGCTTCGAGAACCTCAATTTTCCAGACTTCGTGACAGAGATAGCATCACAGTCCTAGAAAATAACCAAAACAAATGCCAGTGCATTCTCATAAAAATGAAATACATCGACATTTTCTATTTTATTTAGGATTGGGAAGGTAATAACTATGCTAACTACATTTGTAGAAACTCTTGGATGGATTAAGAACAGAACAAGAATTAACTATTAATTTGGAGACGGCACTATAATGACATTTAACAGTATAATCAAACCAAACATCGAACAGGCAATGCCCTTGACATTATATAGTTAAGCTACAAGTTCGCTCCAAATTTTGAAAGACAAGATCTTTTCTTCTCAGTAAAAGGCATAATTCAGAGGAGATACTAGCACGTGCACACCATAAAATTTCAGTTGAAAGGATTTTTAAGCAGAAGCATGCCATGGTTTCAGTTATTAACAAAAAAATGACCTTGGCGAAAATTATGACACTAATGCACAAAAACTAATCAAAAAATAAAACGAACTAACAAGACGAATACGCGCGCACACAACAAACAAAAAACGAAAAACGAAAAACGAAGAACAAAATTTGGAATCAAAACGTTAAAAGAGGAACCTGACGCAGACCGCCACCGAGCTTGATAGTCTGGTTACTCATGGTGGAAAGATCAATAACCACATCTCCTGGCACCTAAATCACACAATTTCCAAAAATAAGCGAAAAAAAAAAACAAGAAGAATAGTAAACTTAGAGGAGAGAATCGGAATAGCAAGGAAGAGAAGATAAAACTCACAACTAACTTATCGACAAGGCTCGTCGGCGAACTTGAGGGTTTAGCTTCCATTCTTATAAACTCAGCACCGGACGACAAATGGCGACGGAAATTAGGAGGGAATTTGGAGGCAGAGGAGCTGAATATATGTGGGTATGACTGAAATTCCTTTGAACGAATAAGGGTAATTTTGTCCCAGAAAAAGTTCTTAAAGGCAAGAGAAGTAAAAACTATCACCGCCTAGCAGTTCTTGGCCAAGGCAAGAATGGAAACTGTGAGATCAGTCAACCCAAAGTCACTACCTTTGCACGCTCACTGCAACGACCAACATCGTCGGTCAGTGCAGTATAAGGTAGCTATTTACAGTCCCAACCATGTCGTGTCTGGCACAAAGAACCCTGCAATTTCTTGTAGTTTTCGAAATAGTTTTTTCGCTTCATTTCCGTTTTCTAATAATCAACTTCAGAAATCAAGTGATATTCGTGGGTTTTTTAGCAGTAAGCCTATCATTGATATTTCACTGGTTAATAGCAAGATTAAAGAGTGTACAGATAATGGATTTTTTGAAGATGCAATCGTGGTATACCTTAATTTGCTTGAATGTGGTTTTCCTGTAGAGAAGTTTCAATTCTTTCCCTGTCTAATTAAAGCCGTTGGTGGCCTTCTTGATATTACTATGGGCAAGGAAATTCACGGGCATTTGTTAAAGTTGGGAGTTTTAGAAGATATATACATTAAAAATTCGCTTTTGGGTATGTATTGGAAATGTGGGGCAGTTAGGGATGCAGTTAAAATGTTTGAGAAAATGGAAAGGAGAGATTTAGTTTCGTGGAATTCTATGATATCTGGGTTTTGCCAATCAGGAGGTTATGCAAATTCGTTGATGAGGTTTAGCTGGATGATCAGGGAAGTCGGTGGGATATACCTAAATCGGGTAGCTTGTCTATCTGCTCTCTCATCATGCGCTTCCTTGAAGTTCTTGTCTTGTGGGAAAGAGATTCATGGGTTCCTTGTGAAAAGTGGGTTAGATTTTGATGAATTCTTGGTTGGTGGATTGATTGACATGTACATGAAATGTGGGGATATAAAGAATGCTGAACATGTTTTTAAGAGAAGTATTGATGAAGAATTAGTTAGGGAAAATCGAGTTGTATGGAATGTGATAATTTTGGGATATGTTTCAAACGAGTGCCTTTCATTGGCTTGGGAATCATTCACCAAGATGTTGGAACTAGGGATTAACCCAGATTCCTCAACTCTGGTTGCTATTTTAGTTTTGCTCTCACAATCTTTGAATTTAGCAGTTGGGAAGCAGATCCATGGAATCATTCACAGCTTTGGGCTCGAAAGTGATATAAGAGTTGTGACAGCTCTAATGGAGATGTACTTTAAATGTGGTGATCCTGAAACAGGTTTGAAAATTTTCAGACAATCTCAAAATTATAACTTAGTCATGTGGGGTTCGGTAATATCGAACTGTGCCCAGCATGATTATTCAAATGCGGCATTGCAATTATTTCAAGACTTCTTGTTGGAGTATAGATTTCCCGATTCTGTCATCCTTTTGGCAGCCCTACGGGCATGTTCATCCTTGGTTCTTAAGCCCAAAGGCATGGAAATCCATGGATTGGCAGTAAAACTAGGTTTTGATTCCGATATATTTGTTGGTGGTGCCCTTGTTGATTTGTATGGAAAATGTGGAGACATGGAGTCTGCTCAAGAAGTTTTCTATAGATTACCAACCAGGGATTTGGTATCCTGGAATGCCCTAATATCTGGATTTGCTCAAAATGAGTATGCAGATAAAGCTTTAAGGGAATTTCGTAATATGCAATCTGAACAAATAAAACCAAATACTGTAACAGTGGCATGTATTCTCTCTGTTTGCGCTCACTTATCTGTCATTGTACTTTGTAAAGAGTTGCATTGCTATCTTTTAAGGCATGGGTTTGAGTTCAATATTCTTGTGAGCAATTCTCTAATAAGTACCTATGCTAAATGTGGCGACGTAAATAGCTCGTGGACAGTATTTGACAAAATGCCTGCAAGAGATGAAGTATCATGGAACTCAATTATGTTATGTTTTGGAATGCATGGTCATACTGATAAAATGTTTGCTCTATTTGAAAAGATGAAAGAAGCAGGTATGAAGCCTGACCACGCTACATTTACTGCTGTCCTTTCTGCTTGTAGCCATGCTGGGAAGGTTGAAATGGGATGGAAATATTTTGATAGCATGGTAAAAGACTATAACCTTGATCCTCGAGTTGAACAATATACTTGCATGATCGATCTTCTTGGCCGAGCTGGTCATCTGGATGAAGCATATAATCTGATAATGGCAATGTCCTGCTCCCCAGATGACCGAGTATGGGGTTCACTTCTTGGATCTTGCAAAAGTCATGGTGATGTTAAGCTGGCAGAAGTTGTTGCTAATCATATTTTTGAACTTGATCCTAATAATATTGGCTACCGCGTCCTTCTCGCAAATTTATATGAAGATTCAGGGAAATTGAATGAAGTTACTCAAGTTAGAACAGAAATTAAATGTATAGGAGTTAAAAAGCAGCCTGGATGCAGTTGGATTGAAGTTAATAACGGCATTCATATATTTATTGCCAGTGATTCCTCACACAGTCAATCTGAGATCATTTATGCTACAATTGAAAATTTAACACTGGAGATGAGAAGATTGGGTTATGTTCCTCATTTGTTGTCAGCAACAATTGGGCCTGATGAGGCTGAGGTAAAGGAAGACCATGACGTTTTGATGCCTTTGGATTAAACCATTTAAGTTGAAAGGATAGTTGAACTCTCCAGTGATAGTAATTATTCAATAACCTTTTGGTGCCAAGAGTACGGGAAAGGCAACCAGTTATGAATGATGGAGATTTGGGATAACTCTTAGAAAAATGCAAATGCAATCGCTTGGTTTTGATTCCCTAGAAACCAAGTAAAACCTAGGCACAGCTCTAGATATTTATTTACAGTTTAGTTCTGCCAATTTTGTTCATTTAATATATTTACTTCCAGGCAAATGTAGCTGATGCAGAACTTTAACATATCTGCCAGAAAAAACAGAGGTGAAAAGCTTGATCCCAGATAACTTCAGTGAAGATTTTCCGTCATTTTGTTGGAATGGAGGTAAGTCCAAGTGTCTTTCTTGAAATCCTACTTCTGTTCTTCTTTATCTTAGCTGCATTTGCTTTATAAGAATGGAATCTGAAGTTCTGAACTCTTTTAAGTCTCAACACTTCTGCATGATTAGGGTGTCATGAACTGTTCGGTCAACATCGATTTTATGTCTGCGGAGGCAACTGATGCTACATCACAGCAAGATTCTTGAGAAAAATGTTCGCACTTATGATATACAAGTGGCACGTTCCCGATCACTTGGCCAAACTGTGACTGGTTAATATAGAAGTAATGTCAACTTTAAATTATGGGACGCTGTCTGCCTGGAGTACAATAGATTAGGACATTTGAGCTACTTGAAGCATATGTCTCTCGATATGCCTCTCTCTTGTTGTCAATGCCGCAAGAAAACATGTTGGCATATGAGCAGCCCAGACGTGAAATGATTACGAAGGGATAATTTTATCAAGATTTTTACTTGGAAACCTTCAATCCAAGTGTTCTACTGTGAAGATAATTGCTAAAGAGTAGAGCGCAGCAGAATATGAACTTCATCGTCTGTCATTAGGTGGTCCCTTAATTGCTTAGTTATTAAAGAAAGATGCAGAAGTGGTCTTAGTGTGTATATATATATTATAAGTAGTGCGTTAATCTCTTCTGTATGTAATTGTTTTGCTACAGAACTAGAAAGATGTATCTAATAATTCAGATATCAGAGCGGAATCAATCATTTTCTTATTCTTTTGAAGTTTTATATTTAATTGCAGTTATTAAGCCATGATGGGAAGCCTATGATTATGTTAGCTGCAACAGACGAGTAAACATAATCAATTTCCGATACTCAAATTCCCTAAGATTGAAGGAAAAATATATTTATGCCAAAATTATGGCCTGACTTTCTTTGTATTTGATGAACTGTTACAAGTTCTCAAAACAAGTACGCAGCAATTTCTTGATCATGAAATATATATATATACAACTAAGGATTTACACTAATAAATAATTAAACCAGTGTGATACAAAATATAATAGCCTTTTGATAAAAATATAAGAATGGGATTAATAATACAACCAAATCTGCAGCTGCAGTTATTTTGCTCACCTCCCCCACAACCTTCACCCAAAATAAGAATCTAACCAAAACAGTGGAACTTCATTCATCTATTCTTTCTCTTTTCATTCGTCTTAAATTAAGTTCAATAATACATTATATTCAGTTTAAATATATATGTATAAAGTATCCTTATTCCTTACGATACTGCAATACCGTCTGTGTTTACGCTATGAGGGTTTGAATCAAGGAGTTTCTCAAGTGACCGAGCTTTTCTGCTTCTTACTCTGCCTGCTTCTTTCAACAACTCAGCCAACCTTTTCTTCTCATCATCAACATCTGGATTTGCTGTCCCAAGTTTTTCCTCCCTCATCCCAACAACATGCTCCAAGATCTCAATTGCATCATCCAACCTGCATTAAGGATGCATATTGACCAATCGAAACTCCATGAGAGAGGGTAATACACAGTTACAAACAAAATTTCCAGAGTTGTGAACATATGGATTATCAAGTGAAACAAATAAAGCAAGTCTACACCTTATCAATTGTCATTTGTTTGTAAGACAGTAAAGTAAACAACTAAAAAGTGAAAAAATGCTTTGCACAGAATAGAGAGCAAAGTTTTGGTAGATGCATGCAGGAGATGAAACTAAAAGAATTGGTAAGGGTTGCACACCTGCCCATTGCATCATAAGTACCAGCAAGATTACTATACACCCCAAGAGTGTCAGGATGATATGGTCCACACTCTTGTTCCAAAATAATCTTAGCTTCTTCAAACAATTCAGCAGCCTCATTTATAGAGAAACGCTGCACACAAGCAAGACCCATTTGGTTAAGCGCAATGCCAAAGAAAGTAGATTTCCTCTCTCCACTTGCACGGAGCTTAGAAATTGCATTTTTGAAGGAGTTATAAGATTCCGAGTAATTCCCCAGCATGTAATACATCACCCCCATTTGGGCTTCAATTCCAGCAATTGTGCTCTGCTGACCGGGGGCATTATCATATATTTTCAATGCCTTCTGCAGCAACTTGATTGCCTGCTCAAGTTCACCCATTGATTCATAGATAGCAGAAACATCAGTAAGACCACTTGCAATCTCCTCTGGAGGGATCCCAGGAATAGGCTTTTCATAGATCCGAAGGGCATTCTCACAATATGATTTAGATTCCCTAAATTTCCCAGTTTTGTTATACAAATCAGCCAAGCGTACAAATACTTGACCAACAGCTGGATGGTTCTCTCCTTTTGTGGTCTTAAAAGCTGTGAGAGCTTTTTGATAAGCAAAAACAGCCTCATCATATCTGGACAAAGATAAGTAAGTGTCTCCAATGCTACAATCAACAGAGGCAACCTCAGGTTCCTGGCCATTTGCCACCATTGCCATGCTGGCTAAAACAAGATGCTCAAGAGCAGCTTCATGATCTCCTTTTGTTTCACATATGAGACCCATGAGCCTCCGATCTGCTGCCTCTTCAAGAGAAGCAGGTGCCCCGTTCTCTCTGTGAATGTCTAAAGCCATCTGACAAAGCCTCTGAGCTTCATCAAACTGCAATGCTTGAACATGGGCTTCAGCCAAATACCTAGAGGTCTCGCCAACTCTAGGGTCAGTTTCTCCCAGAACTTGTTTCTGGACTTCTAACCCTGTTGAATAGCACTTCGTTGAATTCTCAAGTTGGCCCAGCATTGCATAAGTATCTCCCAGCTGCATATAGCCAGCAAACTTAGCAAGGGCGTGTTCTTGTCCTTCTTCAATCAGCGGAATCTCAATAGATTGCTCAAGGACAGGGATCGCCTCATTATACTGGCCTGTGCTGCAGTATATTGCAGCCACAACATGCAAGCTCATCACCAATTCTAAACTGGGTTTCCCATTTGCACAAATTTCAAATGACTTGGCTGCTCGAAGAGCTAATTCAAGAGCCTTCTGTGGATTATCCCCTGAAGAAATCAAATCCCTTGCTTGCTTCAGCAAAAATCGTCCAAGATCAGGATTGTCCAACCCTGATTCATCCTCAGTTCCATTCTGTAACTTGGATCCTCCCAATGGAGAATTCCTCCGTTTCTTCATTGTTCTAACTCCTCCATTTGCCTGTTTCAAATTCTTATCATTTCGTTTATCAATAGGTGGTTTCTCTGGAGGACTTTTGCTATTGGGGCTCATCTTTGATGATGCTTCAGATTCCAATGCTAACTGAGAACCTTTTTTTGAGGTGCCTGAAGAAAAGGATTTCGTGCTTGCATTCTTGTCCAATTTCCCGGACTTCTTACTCTCAGATGAACCGCCCTTCATAGATGAGGTATTACTATGGTTGTCATCCTCTGGCTTATCTACCTCTTCCTCTTCCATTATCTCAACCTCCCTCATCTCCCCTCCAACAAGATGACGCAACTCCGAATCAATCCTAGACTCTTCACCATCAGATCCAAAACTATGCCTCGAGGGTGAGAGATCAGAACTCTGCATATCACACACATTCTCATAAAGCTGCTCAATCGAGGTGTCAACCACACCGTGGACAGCCACCTTATCATTTACTACATCACCAACAGGCATCCCACCAGCAGGAAGATCTACGGCTGTGCTGCGTGGACTTTGTCGACTCAATGTACTACTAGGGGACTTATTCGACACTGGATTTTCTTTAATGGACACAAAATTTCCATTCGTTTCATGATCATTAACTACAGCTTCCCCATTAATTCCATCTGTAACAATGCCAGGCATCTTTATATACCCAAATCAAGCGAAACACTGAATTTTAGTAAATTATCTGCAGCAAACATTTTATAGAATGAATAGCTCTATCAAACAGTTGTCAGAGCAGATCCAACAATGAGAGAGTATTTATATTAAAAAAATCTAATCACATACAAGTCCACCAATCAGCAAGCATAATTTAACATGTGAAAGAAAAAGGTCAATTGGAAACAAAGCAAAAACAGCAATGATAACATAAAGCTCAAATCTTTAACTTCAACTCAAACTCAAAAATTTTTGTCCAAACGAATTACATAACAAAACTTCATGTAACCAAAAAAAAAAAAAATCGACCTTCCTCGTTGGATCTTTCCCAAAACAAAATGAACCCTTGTATCATAAACTGCAACAACTAGCAGAAATCAATACAGGCCAACAAAATAACGCAAACCCACGAATATAACTGAATTAAAAGGAAACCTAAGAAAATAAAAGGCAAAAATCCATTTTCTTGCAGTTGAACTCTGAAAAGTGAAAACTAATCCAACAACAGGTAAAAAGGGTAACATAAAGAAAATAAAGACAAATGAATTCAATACCTCAAAAACCAGCCATGAAAGAAGGTAACAAGGTGATATGTTCTCTGACTCCTAAACAGAAAGATAGAGATTGAGATATTTCAGGTACATGTATATACACAGAAAAAATCCATCTTTTGGTTTGTGTGTATATATAAGCAGGAGGGTAGGAAGAAGATAAAAACAAGAGCGGTTTTATGAAAAGGGTAGGGCTAATAAGGGAATTTTAAAACAAATAGCAATTGAAAATAAATGCGTATTCAATAAAAAATAGAAGATGAAAACGAGTAAAGAAAAAGAAATTTCTTTGTTTTATTTTACTTTTTTTTGCAGAGGTGGAATGTCAGAGAGAGAAAGGGGACTTCTCTCCCACCCATAGGGGGAGAAAGGCCTGCAACTGCCGATCTGCTTTCTTTCTGTTTTTTCCAGTTGAACGGGATTTTGCCACGTGGCATTGTAACTTGGCTGCGAACTGAAAGACAATTGTGACCCTACAGCTTCTGGTCTAATTAGGTATGTGTTTGAACGTCAATGATGGGTTTCTTGACTTTTGACTTGGGCGGTGGAATGTAAGAATTAAGATCTTTTAACATTTATGGACACAAGGTCGTAGTCATGAAGTATGCTTCCCTTCTTCGATTCTTTAGATCTAAGCAGGTATGGTGAGTGTCACCTTGTCAAACTGTGCTCTTTTTTTTTTTTTTCCTTTTATAACCCACAAATATTATAAAGGGTATTTCCAATATATAAGAAACAAGACATGTATCATTTGACTAGAAGAAAAAAAAATGTGAAATAGGAGTTAAAAAGGTTAACTATGTTAATCCAGTTCGGAAATTCTTATGTTCTTTTTGAATTTGAGATTAATCTCCTCTCTTTTTGAGCAGGAGACTAATTTTATATTAAGGTTCGTTAGTTCTATAAATATTTTTTCGCATATTGAATTTTGACTTAACAAAAATCATTTATTATCTGCTGAGTTCAAATATGAATTATTACTTAAAGGGATTAAATTCAATAAATTTAACACAAGAGGAAAATAAAGGAAAGAAAAAAAAAAAAAAAAACCCTTCTCTACTATATGGAAAGAAAAGCAATTTTGATGCTCATAGGATTTATATATAGTTTAACTAAAAGTTTCTTAAACAAGTTGAGTTAAAAACAACTCATATCATCACATAAAGAAAAAGCTATGTTTTATTCATTTATATTTTTGTCTGTGGATGAAGTGAGTTAATGATTCAATCATAAAAAATGTGATTATACTAATTAGAGACTAATTATTCATTAATCATTAAAAAGCAAAATATAATATCAATTCTATTTTTTGCATTAACATTATAATTACGTCTTATGAGGCATTAAATGATCTTTGCATTGTACTCAGAAAACCTCTCGTCTTGTGTCTCATAGCAGCAAAAATGTTGGCAATGTATGGTGTGGTTGGTAGCAGAAATCTGTATATATCCTCTAAATGACAAAATCCAATTATCACATGATCCTCATTGCCTATTCCCTACACCCCCAATATTTCATTCTGCATTTATTACCACATGACTCGTAATAACAAGCCATACATATATTTTTTAAAAATTTTATTTTCTTCTCCTTCCCGTGAAATACTATCATACCACTGATACTCCTCTTATTCTCCTAAATCGGTAAACCTCTTGTAGGAAATGTAAAGGGCACACAAAGAAAATAGGATGATCCAATAAGTTTATTTCATTAATTAATTAATTAATTTAATGCAACCACCTGAGAGTTTTTGATGTCATAACCAAGAAGATGAGTGCTGTAAAGATGCCTAACTTTCTTGTACATTAGTATTATTATTTTGGCCAAACAGCTCAAAGTTGGAGTCATGTAGGCATCCAATGATTTTGATACTTTAAATAAGGGATATGCAATTCATAATCCAATAATTATTTATTTATTTATTATTCATCTCCAAAATAATGCTTCACACGTAAGTTTCCTTTTGCCAGGAGATCAAAGCCCACTCGTTGGCAGGAATTATATGATTTATACATAGTTTTCATGAGTTTATTCGTTTTTAAATTGAATTGAGTTTGAATAATAAAGCTTCCAAACTAAATCATGAACATCCTCTACCCCATACTTATAAATCTTAGTTCCCCCTGCTGAAGCATAACCCAACATGTAGAACTACCTAAAGCTTATGACAAAATAGCAATTTAAGAATTTAGAGAGCTCAGTTTCAATTCTTGCTTTGCTGAAATATGAGCAACTAAATATGATTAAATAAGACTCTTGGAAGCTTCATTTTTTTTTTTTACCAAATTGCATAAAGAGGGAAACAAGTGTACATAGAGGGATACACAATGTGGTACATGAGCATGGAAGTACCAATGAGAGGAACTACTTTTGTTCCCAAAATGAACAAAAAAAAAAATCACAAATAAGTTCCTAACCATAGTTGAACATAAAAACCTAGAGAAGAAAAGAATTATGGGACACTTTGCATCACGCATAATTGAAGAAAAGGAACTACGCGTCATCTGCCGAAGTAGAACAATGGCCAACCATCCATTTTGGAAAGCAACGCAGAATAGTTTGTTCAGAGTAAGGTTTGTAATTTTTGAAAAACTCTGGATCCTGCTCAAAGGACTCTGTATATCCTTCCAAAATTGCAACTATCTCATCAAAATGTGGTCTTTTATCTGGATTGCTTGACCAGCACCTATTGATGAGATGACTAAATGCCAATGGACATGCTGGGGGTAATGGTGGTCTTGCGTTCTGCAGAAAACTCAAAAATATCAGATATAAGTGAGAGAAACATTCTTTTTGTATGAAACATCCAATGCATATTTTATAAACAAAGAACATGGACATGAAATGCTGAATTCTTCTATACATTCTTTCACTGTATGATTAATTCACTTGCATGCATATGATATGCGTTCACATCTAGGAAACTATCGTACATGACCAATGTTTTCAGACTTCCAGAATAAAGTTTGCAGCTTAACGTTTGGAATTCAATGTGCTTCTCCAGTTTCAAGGAAACATTGCACAGATGCGAATGGCCAAGACTGCAATGCTGCACATGTGGTGACCACAACATAGGGATGGCCACATGTGAGGAAGATACAGGTCAGTAATCATTGCAAAAGATTTCTTTACAGCTGTTATAATAATAATTGTAACTGGAACATGTATTCTCTGTAGCAGAACTGCTCAAACCTTCCTACGGAAAATCACTAAATTGCATTCAAATTGAACCTCTCTCAAATGCAATAAACATCATATTATCTGCAGTGTTACTATCAACACTAAAATATTTGTAGGAGGAGACTTACCTTCAATGACTCCCTGATGATTGTTGCCTAAATGTCCTAATTTAGTTTAAAGCCTTGGCAACAGTGCTTTGTCCATGGTAGGTCTATCATCATCATAAAGTACTAGAATATTAGTATGCTACCGATTTCACAGATTATGTTATGTATCTGTATGGTAATAGAATAGCCACATCAAATGAAATGCCCCAGTAAAAATGATTGAAGCTAGCATTTCAGACCCTAGCACAGCCTACAGACAGCTCGTTTTCTAATTTAGGACCTGCAAGAGTTGCTGCTGATCTATTTCATACTAAAGTATAAGATCCTATTAACATCTTAAAAGCATCTAAAACTAAGCGAATAAACATCCCTAAAAAAAAAAAGTTGCACAAGTTAGGATTAAATCTCACATTTTGTGCCATATCATATATTGTTATTCTTCTAAGATCACCTGAAACAATTACAGGTCTTTACAGCCATCGGTTTGCTGGTCCCATAATCAATTTAAAAACTTCTCCTAACTGTCCTCAAAACAATCTCAAACTCAAAAAAGCTAGAACATTCTCTAGGGAATTAGAAAAAATGAATTATGCACAGTTGTTAATGAAAATGTACAACACACCTATAAGTTCATTTTCTTAAAAGTGTTTAGTTGGTTTGGCCGTATGCTTTTTCTATTAAAATTCAGTTGGTAGAAATTTGGAAGAAGTTGCCCAGTCAAATTGTTAGAAGTTAACATATCACAAGTTGTGTTAGAATATCCCACATTAATTGGGATTTAAAATGTAAAGGCACATAAGCATTAAGGTTCAGCTACTCAAGTGGCTAGTTCGAGTCATTTTGGAAGTTCATTTTCTTAAAAGAATTTCGTTCGTTTGGCCATGTACTTCTTCTATCAAAATTTCAGTTGGTAGAAATTTGGAAGAAGTTGCTAAGTCAAATGTTCGAAATCAATATATCACAATTTGAGTTAGAATTAATATCCCCACATTAATTGAGATTTAAAAATGTAGAGGGCATATAAATGTTAAGGGCCAACAGCTTAAATGACTATTTCTAGCGTTTTGGTAATGTTGGATCTCATCACAAGCCCAAAATAAGCTTTTATATGCAAGCCTATTTATTTTATTTGCCACCTCCTTCCATCTTAAAAAATTTTTTGAGCATGCAAAAAATCTTCTTTTGTTAATGACAAACTCATAATTATAGCTTATGCCAACCATCAATTGCCCAATCAGCCAGATTTGCTCCTTTTGATTCTATTTTTAATTTTTTCCTTCTGTATGTGCATAAATGGACTCAGGTGTAATGCACAGAAATTATTTCACTCAAATTCAGAAATGCCATGCACAGAAATAAATAGTATGAATTACCTTTTGGCAGACGGCAAATGCTGCTTGTTCTGGGGTCATGTTGTCAAATGGCGTCAGTGCAGTCAAAAGCTCCCACAGCACTATGCCAAAACTGTAAACATCAACCTTCTTTGTATGATGTTTCTCTTTGATCATTTCAGGAGCCATCCATCGGTATGTCCCAGTGAATCCCTTTGCACTACCACACTGAGTCTCCAAGCATGAGATGCCAAAATCAGCAACTTTGACACACATATCTTCTCCGAGCAGCAAATTTTCTGATTTGAGATCCCTATGAAGTATCCCTCGAGAATGAAGATATTGCATCCCCCGTGCAATGTCAAGAGCTAATTTCAGAACTAGGTTGAGAGGAACCGAATGTGGTTCTTGCTGATGCAGATATCTTCTCAAAGAACCTCCAGCTAAGTACTCGGTAATTATACAAAATACAGGAGGTTTCTTGCAAGCTGCAACAAACTGAATGAAGAAAGTCAAAAGGATAAAGAGTACCTTGACAGTCAGAAAACAGACTCCCACGTATCCCTAAAAGTAAAAAATTCAGAAGACTAATATATTAACAGTAGCATTTCCTACAAAATTGAACTCATTGACCTTAATCCACAGTAATATTATGGCCAAGCAATCAATGATAAATCAGATGCCCTGATAAGGCATTTCTGATCTATGCGTTACATTGGTAAAAGGACTCTTTTCATTTGAAAAAGACATGTACACGAGCAAATTTCTGTTACTCTCCTGTCCTTAGTCTCGAGTAGAGCTAAAATCTCCTCTCACCTCTCCGAACTCATCAATCTGGAAAAGATAACAAAGATGCCACTTGCTATCGTAGTATCTGATAATATCTTTATCTCATTGGTTTCTGTTTTCTAACAAAACTAATTTACAAATAGTAAATTCGGAACTATGCTACAATTGCTGGAGGAAAGGACTGCTAAATGCTTAAAAATGCAGAGGATAACTCCAAGAATCATAAATATTGGATAATAATCATCCACATCACTAATTATGCATTTTTATTACATGTTCGCCCCATTTTGTAGCCTCCTTGCTGGAGCACACATCTATTTATGGCCATCATCAGAAACACAGAAGATTCTTGACAAGATGAATGTTAGAATCTGCAAGTCCCATTTTTTAATTCAAGTGATAAACAGAAAGAGGAGAAAAGATCACAATAACTGAAGTCTGCAAGTAAAACTGTATATTATTGAGAGAGTTGTAAACTTCTCCTTTTCAACGGATGGTAAATAATAGGAGTAATAAAGAATGCACATGGGTAACAAGTTATTGATAGACATTTTATGCAAGATTGCAATAAATTCTATCAGAGTAGTTCTACAAACCTACCCAGAAAGCAATAAATATTAGAATTACTTAGCATCTATTCTATAATCAAAGACAGTGCGCTGCCGTTTCCCAACTCTAAGCATTTTATTATTACAACAAGGTTGCTTTCTTACGTCTTCGCAATTCATAAAATCTCACAAGTCACAACCCATTTGCACGTGTCGTTTTCACAAGCTAAAATTATCAATATAATCATAATTGAAACATTATTCACGAGTTCTAACATAACTACCAAGCTCCATAGGAAATTAGCATCACATTCCTTTGATATTCTAAACATTAGAATAAATAAGAAAAAGAACTCCATATATTATGACATAAAACCAAAAACACAAAACACATTCCAATGAAGAATGAGAGCTTACAGTGATGATATTAGGATGCCTTAACCGAAAAAGCAGCGCCACCTCTGAAGTAAACTGTTTTTCAAGCATAGAAGCCAAGTCCTCATCCTCTTCCGGCTGGCTTACGATCTTAATTGCCACATCTCTTTGCTTATATATCCCTCTATATATTCTACTATGCCTTCCTGATGCAAATTTATTACCAATAAACAATTGAGACATATCTGCACTCCATTCTACCTCTCCTTCTCCTTTAATCTCTGCCCCAGATGACACCAAATACTTTGACCAAGAAACTGCTCTCTTGTATTCTCCAAGAGACAGTCTCCTTCCTGATCTGCCATTGTTGGAGATTTGCTTGAACCAGTATAAATTCTTCATAGGTCAGAACCAAAATTAACAAAATCATCCAATAATTGACCTATATAGAATCCCAATGTAGAAACCCAAAATTTCAGAGCTAAAACTTAAAATTCCAGTTGAAATGACCCAAAAAGGAAAAAATTGAACTCGAAAGCATTGAAACTAGTTCTCCATCAGCTACATTTCGAAAACATAGACTATTAATATATTCAAACACAACAAAAAAAACCCTAATCATCCATTTAAGTTGAATTTCCGTACTTAGAAAAAGCAAATTTGAAAAGAGAAAAACTGCTTTTTCATATCAAAATCAAGCGGCGAAAAAAAAAAAAAAATGGCTTGTTTTAAACCAGAAATAAAAGTGATTCCTTCTATAGGAGAATGACCCTTTTCGAATTCCAAATCTTTAGCTTAAAATCAGACAAAAAAAAAAGTTAATTAATGAACAGAAAAAGCTACCATCCTGGATAAAACACAGCTCAAAGAACACGGCTTTTTTTATCTTTTCAAACTTTGAAGCTATGCCAATGCTAGAGCGGATTCAGAGAATGACTAAGACGGCCATTCCTAGAGCGAGAAAGATAAGAAGTAGCAGAGAGAGAGAAAGAGAAAGAGAGTCGGTTGGGTTGCTATAAATACTGTTGTTGCTGCTACTGCTGTTGTTGTTTCTGGTGTGTGCAGGAGTAGAGAGAGAGCATAGGCGAAGAGCTGGCGGTTCTCTCTCTTGAAAACTATATTAAAGAAAAAAAAAATACTAATTTCTTCTGCTATAACATTCGTAACGTGCGAAGATCCACTTCTCAGGGGACAAAGTGGGTCTTGTGACGGTGACACCTGCCCATCCCGTCGTCAATTTGTCCTTGCTTTTTTTACTTATTTTCGACTTTGTCCATTTCCTCTTGCGCTTTTCGTTCCTTCGTTAGCTTACCGTTGCTTCTCCTCCGTCTTTTCATTAATTATTACTAAGCCATTATTTGTTTCCAGTTCATTGGCTAGGGAACTGTATCGTTATTCCACTTCTATTATACGGACAAATAACTTCTTCCTTCAACATTACAACACAAGTTGATTTCACCAAGAGGACTGCGGTTGGATTCCTGGTGGGTTGTAGTGCCCTTAATAGGCTTTATAATAAATTATACTGTCCTTGATCGTGAGTTTTAAAAACTGTTATAACTGCCGCTAACAGTGCAGAATCACTGTATATAGCAACGAATGGCAAAAAAAAAGATGTATTGCATCTGTAATTAAGGAGTAATTTACATACTAATTTGGGAGATTTTTTTGCAACTATAACACAAACTGACAAACGGAACGTTAATTGGGTACAGGAAATGCAAGCCCGATGAAAGCGGAAAAGGGCAATTGAGTAATTTGAAAAAAATATATATATATATATGGAGGGGGTAGTGTGACAACATTACAGAATACAACAGAAACGCGAACGGAAAACGCACATAGAGAGAGAATGGGACCCACTATAACAGGACGATATCCGTGATGCGTCGGACAAAGCCGTATGGTATGGTCCTCTTCCGTATACGGTCACCTTCTTTCTCTCTCTTCATCGGCATTAGTACTAACAGTTAACCTAAACTTTTTCTTTAAAAAAAATTTATAATATTTCATTTAATTAATGCAAAAATAAATGCGTGAGTAATTGCAAAGCTGTTACGATAAAAAGAGGCCCACTCAAAGTGGGCAACGCGTGGGTCACGCTCCACCAGCAGAAGCAGTGGGGTGGATTGGGGCTGGCATTTCCCACCGTAGAGCCGGCAACTCTTAGGACATACTCGGTTTTTGGCTCTCTATTTGTCTCCTCCTCCTAATTCATGTGCTCTGCACCATACGTCTTTTACTCTGTTTTACTTTCTAATAATTGCTCTTTTTCTTTTTCTTTTTCTTTTCTAATAAGTTAAAAGTGATCCTCAAACGCCCTATTAGAAGGTAGGATTAGCATTAACAAATGTGGGATCCTTCGTCTTAAATTAATTAATTAATTAATTAACATGAATCTTAAACGGCAACAAACTTTTGATCCTCTAATATAAAATTACTTAGATGTTTAAATATAAGAACGAATAGGATAGGAGTGCTAATAAAACCAACACCAGAAGCCATGATGATATTTTAGTAATTACAGGTAATAAGTCATCATCAATTGGGTCTAATATATCCTTAATTAATTTTGTCTCATTTCTACCAAAAGATAACATTATTAAAAAAAAAAAAAAAAAAAAAATCTTAAAACGGCAACAAACTTTTGATCCTCTAATATAAAATTACTAGATGTTTTAAATATAAGAACGAATAGGATAGGAGTGCTAATAAATACCAACACCAAGAAAAGCCATGAATATAATTTTTAGTAATTAACAGGTAAATAAGTCATCATCAATTGGGTCTAATATATCCTAATAAATTTTTTGTCCATTTCTAACAAAGATACATTATTAAAAAAAAAAAAAAAAAAAGAAAAAAAGAAAAAATTAAGATAAAAAAAAAAAAAAAAAAAGAAAAAAGAAAAATTAAGAGTGTTGCAAATTATTGACAATTAAAAAAAAATAAATAAAAACTGATCCTCTGCTGATTTTATACTTTTGCATAATATTCTGACATGCACATGCATTGATGTTATAGTGATGAACTGGTTACTGGATAATATTTGCCAATGCATGGTGCCTATCCGATTTTTTATTTTTTTGAGAAAAAAAAAAAATGATTGGCAGAGATTATGTCATAGAGGAAACCACATATGTGAATTTTGTCCACACAAATATATTGCACAATACACTAACATAAAAATATTATCAAAAATAAATAATATACTTAATAACTAATAAGAAATTAATGTTTTTCATTTAGATGGATTAAGCTAATCAAGATGGAATTAGCTAGAGGTAACTTGTGACAAATGACATATACTTAAACCGTACTTAATCAAGGTTGGTAGAGTACTTAAAGATTGATAATAAAGTGATTAATATAGGAAAGGTGGCACCATGTATTGCTTGTACGTTATGTATATAAAGCTAGAAGTCGGGTGATACATCCATGTCTTTCTTTGAATCAGCAAAAGCTCAAATCAAAAATTGATGCGTAGAAGGGAAATATCAAATATGTAATGTATAGATGAATGATGGAAAAGAAAATATGGGTATGATAGAGAATATTTGTCAAGTAGTTAACTCAGAGCAGAAACTGCATGAACATGGCTGATGAAGGACACCACGTGAAAATTTTTTTAATTATTTTTTTCTTTATTTTTCTTTTGGAGTTGTTAATTATTTCATGGGGAAGAGAGAATTTCCATGCCCTTTTCATAACCAATACTTTCATAATTGGATGTGGTCTTCAGATAATTTTTTTTTTTTAATAGTGTAATTTCAAGTTTTAAATTTCATAATTATAGGTAAAAAAATTCACCTGAAAATGACGTCTATTAATCATAAGTTAAATATAAAATGAGTTTATAATTAATTCATTAATAAAAACCATATATTTCCTTTACTACTCTTTACATCGCTTAAATTCAAAGTTTATTATGATAAGTTTGCCAAGTTAATTTCAAAAATGACGTCTTTAGGATATTTGATTACATACAAAAAAGCATCTAATCATAGAGAATTAGAGATCGCAACTTAATGAATAATAATCCAATAATTGATTGTATGCTTTGTCATATTCCTTTTTTTTAAAAAATAAAAAATAAAAAAGAGAAAGCCTTCTTGATTAGGCTGATTTGTTTGACACAAAACGGAAAAGCACCATCGATAGCAATATTATTGCATCAATCAAATGGTGGTCTGGTTGGTCTTCTTATTTATACGAGAAGTAAAAGGTTTCGAGTTCAAATCCTCTCGTCCACTCTTATTTTCAAGAGAAGGACGCTATCTCTTATTATGTAATCCACGTTATTATTTCGCCCATAAAAACATGTAATAATTTAGGAAAAAATAACAGCATTATAGCCCATAGGAAGGATCATGGTTGTTGAATTAGGACATGATCCGTCAAAATCTGATTAATTAATCCTTGATGTGAGTGTCCACCTTTGCAACCATAAATCATAGGTGGGCTATGGTATTTTATAATAATACTCATGATAATAAATATTTTCCTTATTTATTTATTTTTGGTGGGGGGAATTTAAAGGGTGATGTGAGAAAAGTTTGTCTCCCTTTGTATTATGTTGTTATTATGGTATTCGACAGGTAAATTGATAGTAATGTTAAGTTACCTCATTTCATATTAACAATCATTAACATTTTCTTCAATGCCATTGTCCCACTCTGACTCACTTCTTCACAATAACAGCTGATTGCCAAGACTGTCAAAACAAAACACCATGCTTTCTTTCTTTTTTTCGGTGAAATACATAATTTACTCCCTAAATTTTGAAAAAAAAAAAAAAAATCTCCTATCATTTTAAAGTTTAATCGATCTTATGACACCTTAAATTTTACTTTTTATAATAATTTCACACGTTCTTACACTAAAAACAATAAATACTTAGGTTTTTAAGCTTTTATATGTAAAATATTGATTTTGTACGCTATTAATATAATTTTTTAAATTATAATTTTTACATTTTTTCAATATATAAATATTTAATCAATCTAATTTTACAAGTTGAGATATTCAATGTATTAAATAAAATATTTAATAGATTTAATTTTATAAATTAAAATGATTAATGGATAAAGTAAAAGCCCAGATTGCCATGAAATTTTTTACAAAAGCTTTGCCACAAATTATTCATTCTTGGCCCACATATCCAGTTTATGTCTCTTGGACCCAAAACAGAAAAAGGTGTTGCCCAGTGTAAGGTCAAGTGATCAGTCAATGGCCTAAAGTGCACTTACAAAGCCCAATGACTGATGGGCCTTGAGCCCAGATTTGTTTAAAGTGTATGCATCATGTATGTTTGGCAGTATGCATCAACAACTAGGCCCAAACTACAAATGATCAAGGTAGCTACAAAGTCATTGCAGGGGCAAACACCCGTTAGATATAGCGAAAAATAAAACAATACCAGCTAAAATGCTCTATTATTTATAGGGTACGCGGTTTTCATATACATCAGAAAATCCAAATTCTTATGTCTTTCTCTATTGCTAAAATAAAGAGGAAAAGAGGGAAAAACACCAAAAAAAAAAAAAAAAAAAATATTATTTATAGGGTACGCGGTTCTCAATATACATCAGAAAATCCAAATTCTTATGTCCTTTCTCTATTGCTAAAATAAAGAGGAAAAGAGGGAAAAACACGCAAAAAAAAAAAAAAAAAAAAAGGTTTGAAAATAAATTTCTCGCTATCTGTCTCGTACACCATCAAAAAATGTATTGCATTTGCATTTTTCTTGTTTCTTTTCTCAGTGTTATTAGATTAGAACAAAAAAAAAAAAAAAAAAAAAAGGTTGAAAAATAAATTTCTCCTATCTGTCTCTGTACACCATAAAAAATGTATTGCATTTGGCATTTTCTTGTTTCCTTTTCTCAGTGTTATTAGATAGAATCTGAAAAGTGCTTCTGAGATCAAGTCGCAGCATTGTTGTATAGGTTGTAACCAGAAAAAATGGAGCTAACAGCAAAGGCAATAAATGCCAGGAAAGCCATTGCGATAGAAGCACTAGCCATCTCTGTGAATTCATCTTTGCCCCAATTAGATTGCCAGTCATCAACACGAGTAGCTGCTGCTGATGATGCTGATATCAGAAGATATGCTAATATCTGCCAGATGAACCAACAAAGTAAATGCTAATATGTCAAATCATTTTAAATACATTAATCCATCCATGTACGTTAGTTTGGTTTTAAATTATGGGAACCACATCAGTTATGTATAAGACCATTCAGTCCCCCTAATAGCACATAGGTGATTCATAATCGCGCCTATGATTAACATAAGGTTATTTACCAGCATGCAAATTAGAGATTAAGGATCACAAACTATAGTTGGGAAAAAGCACAAGGCGGTAACACATCCACTGAATAAAACTCGTACATCTAACCCAAGTTCTTTACGGCCAATAACAAATAATTAATCAATCGCACAAAAGACTTAACTAATGCACCATATTAGAGATGCTTACTAACGTTCAGTCAAAATTATCAGCCAAACTAATAAGGAGTTCTACCAGCAATAGGATGACCATCCACTGAATGTATGCTTTTCCATACTCAATTCAAAACGTTATTACCATAAGATCAAAGGCTGCAGCCAAACACCTGAAAAGCCGAGTGCATGTTCATCCTATTCTAGATAATCATTAAACTAGTACAAGAAGCAACACATTGCTTGTTAAATTACCTCTGGCAAACCCAGCACTAAAGAGATTAAACTCATATCTCTCTTAAAACTCTAAATCACAAGTTAGAATCAGAATGACATGCCTTACAATAATTTAAAGAAAGTAGCAGTCTACTGTGCTATTGACATGTTTCTGCAGAAATCATACTCTTCAGACTCTACTCTCACTGAGACTACAAGGTGAGCTGAATTGAACATCCCAAGACAGCGGGGACATTAAGACAGTTACTGATACCGAATGTATGAAATTTAACATAAATACTGGGCACGAGTACTTGCCTGATCCATGAGGAAATTGAAATGACGGCGGAGGTGGTGACGGATCACATGTTTCCCCGAGACCAGATGGTAGGATAGATCATAAGCCTGAAACCCCGAATATACAAATGCAATAACATTCACAGACAAGCAATACCTGATCAAATGAGTTCAACCAAGGAACAAAATCACTTCAAGAAGTAAATCATTGAGTTAGCCAAAGCAACACCTGAATTAGGGAAAAGAGGTAAGGGGGTATCTCACATGCCAATTCAAAGAAATTTCAGCAGATAGCAAAAGATATTATGTGCAGCAAAAGTCTGAGCTGTAATTCTCTTTTGGGTTCCTATCTTTGATAGCCAAAAAATTTGAATAACTACATTATAATATGGAAAAGAAAGACCTCAGGAAACAATTCTGACATAATTATTCAACGAACACGGGCAAACATATTGTTAAAGCAGGTAAACAGAGAGTGCAAATACGATTTTTTTTTTTTCATAGAAAAAATTGATATTTTATGATTTTATTAAAAATTTATATACAACTATTTATACTTGTTCCTTTAGTAGAAAGCATTCAATTTCTGCTCTTAAGTAGCTACTTTCGAAACGGCTAAAGCTATAATTTTTTAAGGAACTAAATTGAACAGCTACAAAAGACCTCTCCGTCAAATTCATAATAATCATATACCTGTATTCTCTGTATCGATCATAGGAATCGCCACTCCACCCCTGAGTCTTATCAGCCGCCATAACCGAGAACGAAATCAAGCACAAGACAACTTCACTAATTCTAAACCCTAATTCAGCGACTTTCATCATATCCTCTCTCCTTGATCTCCATGTCTCCACCGCCGCCGATCTCTCATCAGGCCTCATCTTTCCCCTAACTGGATGCCCCTCTTCTCTCACAGCTCTGTTCATCATCAAAGGTGGAGCCTGAGACTGAGCTTTAGCCTGAGCATACACATTCTCCGGTGGCAGGGGTGACGGCTGGGGAGTACATTGAGTGAACTTATCAACAGCAACGATTGCCATGGAGTTATCGACCGGGGAAGACCTACCCGGCGAGTTCATTGGAGAAACAAAAGGAGGAGACTCGTGCGGATCGCCCTGGTCGGAGGGGAGGGGTGAGTTGCTTCGGAGAGGAGAGAGTGGCGATTCAAAGTGAGAGCGTGGATCCGAATTGGAAGAGGACGATCGTTTCATGTTGAGTGGATTTTGAGTTCTGTTTTTGGGTTTGGTTTCCATGGATTTTTAATTTTGCTTATGATTTCGCGGAATTTAACGAACAAAGTGAGTGACTGTTTGGGAAGCAAGAAAAAAGAAAAGGTTGAAGGAAGCTTCAAAATAAGTTTGAAATGCTAGTGGGGACTCTGACCACGTGGCATAATAAAGTGAAGGTTCTAAGTCAGGTATGGCAAAGTACAAGTTTCTTAGCATGAACAAGACCTGCAATGGGCTAATAGTTTACCTTTAATGACGTGGCATTATATTATTCGTTCGCTTGGAATGACGATGGAGTGGCAATCGCACTAGATTTTAACTCTTACTTGAGAGTGAGATTCCACGTAAAATATTACACGCTATGCAAGACAGAGACTTGACGTGTGATTCTTAGCAAAATAGTAATATATGTACCCAAAAAATCACTAAATTGCACATATCTCCCTCTTATTTTCAAATAATTATGAAAGCATCCATAAAAATAAAAATAATTATTTATTTAGCCCCTAAATTTCGGTCAAAATTATTTTCTGATCCTACCATTTATAAAATCTTTCAAGTTCAAAATTGATCGATCTACTTCCCAGAAGTAAATTGATAATGCAAATTAAATACAAACACTTAATACATTTCCTAAGAAATTGCCCTTCCCTAGTCTATTTACCCCCAACCAAACATCATCTTAATTGTTCCATCCAAAAAGTGTTTTCTTATTTTTAAATTACACGTAATATTTAACTATTTGATCTTTTGCATTTAATTCAGTGTTTTTAACTAGTTCCTAGTGTTAATTACTATTTAGTCTTACTTCATAACAAAAATGATACTTCTTAGAAAAAAAGATTTAAGCAGTTTAACGGGATTGATCATTGAATCCTAAAAATAAATCAGCAATTTTGCCGAACAGTTAGGATATTATAATAATTTGAACAAAATTTATGGAGTGAATAGTTAATTACCCTAAAAATAATTATGTTAAAAAAACAAAGATTAAGGTAATAATAAACGAAAAAAAGAATAAACACAAAATAATTAGAGGAAGCTTTGAGCAAGAGACTTTATAAGCAGTAAGCAAAAAGTGAACTTATTTAGCATTACTTTGTGAGTGGGATTTCTTTTAGGCTAAAAGGGAGCAAGGCACAAACTTTATCATTTCCTTATAGGGAACTGATTCCTTACAATGGCAAGCATGGATGAAAACCACCATGAGAAGAAACGTATGCATTATTGAACACTTAGTATTCTTTGCCCATTGCTAGCTTTACACACCCACTACTGATTTTGTAAGTATATACCTATAAAGGCACAAGAAAAGTTTCAAATCATTCTCTTTATATTCCTATCTCTCCAAATAATTTTAAATTTTGCAACCAGCTGCTTTAGTTTGTATTAAATTACAAAATGGCACAACCACAGTTTCCTCCTTTTGAACTTTTGATGCCACCAGAAATTTCTGCCTACTTTTCACTGGAAAAATTAATAACGGATGCCTTGATAACCTCCAAAAACTGCTAGTTAAAATACCCCCTCAAATTGCACTACAAATAGCGGTCGCCCTATTTTTTGTTAATAAAGAAGGTTTACAACATGAGAAAAAAGAATTTAAATATGAAAGGCATACAAGGAAAAATGCCCCTCAAAAAAAAAAAAAAACATAGTAAAGTGCAAAGGCCTATAAAGTTGTATGAATTTGCCTTCATTTCTCAAATACAATATACACAAAGTACTCACCTTACTATCTTATCACATGCTTTATCTCATGCTAAATCAGAATGAGGACAAAGAAGCAGCCTATTCTGGTAATTTCAATCGGTTAAATAGCACCAGGAAACTTTGTTCAGGGATGACGTAAAGGAAACCAAGATCTGCGCCTTTAACATATGGTCCCATGCCCTGAATAAAATAATGAAGCTTTCAAAAATTACCACCAAATTCATCAAGGGGATTGCATGAAGAGAAATATTGGCAATCGTTAAGAATTTTGTTACCTTCCCATTGAGTTGAAGGAGTTCACCATCAACCCACTGTGGATTTTGAAACCCAACTTCTGCTATTCTTCCTTGACCTTTGTAACTTGCAACCTGGATAAAACCGATTGCAAACATCTTTAAGATGCAATTTACAAATTGGTACAAATGAACTTGCACAACTAATGAATTTATCTACAAAGCACTAGCACTCATGACATAAAATATGGGTTAGATCCATGGCTCAGTTGCTTTGTTTATGATTCTGATCAAAATGTACATTCAATTCGGGATAAACTATGGTTAAGGAAAGAGAAGAATGTACTGACAAAACCATTAACACCTCATGGTCAAGTTTATGATGCACTTCATGGATATGCAGCCAAATGATTCTTACTATCTGTAAATAGTGCATCACATTTTCCTCTGCTATGTAATTTCTGATGTTTTTCATAGAGAGTAGAGCAACCAAAGTGCAGAATTATGTGAGGAACCATGTTTCAGCTTCAGCAATAGCTCCTTTTTTTTTTTTCTTTTTAATTATCAATATGCCATATCTGAGAAATTTTTAGTATCATGGGAAAAGATAAGCAAGCAACAAAATTGATAATGATGAGGACAATAACTATGGTTCATATGTAGCTATTTTGTTGTCAGCATTCTAACAAAGAACACGAATACCAGTTAAAGATGCAACATGAGAGAAATTGATAAATGGGCAAATGTATTTACCACTCCTAATTCATCTGGATACATTCCACGGTTAGGATTTCGACTCGCTTTCCCAATTTTGGCACGAAAAGTCACCTAAATGAGGAAATGACATTTTAGTAAGAAACTTTATCATTTTCCAGAATATACAAGTATGTTACTGCAAGATTTTTAAGATGAAAACCTGGCCAGCTGGAACATTCAGATCCCCAGTTAGTTTCACTGCCTCAACATACTCAAAGAATTCCACATCCGAAGACTTGTCATCTGAACCATTCCAATGACCAAATTTACGCCTCAATTGTACTATCTCAGTCCCAAAAGGACCAAAGGCACCGATATATAGACCTACACTTCAACAAACAGATTATAACATCAATATATATCTTCTATCACTTGATGAATACCCTATGCATGGTGGTCCTTGATTGGGAGGGTTGAGAAATAACAAGGAAAGGAGAAAATGCACAGATAGAAAAACTTACTAACCCTCGAATGGATCAAAATTGTTATTGGAAGTAGTAATTCTATTGAAATTTGTGTACTTAGATAAACGGCTTTGCTTCTGGGCTTGGCTAACAGCAAGTTTGACAATTTCACGCATACCTCTAGAAACCTGAGATACCAAACCATCAACTAACTTTTTTGTTGAGAGAAACATATTATTGAAATAAAATAGCAGGATGTCTTGTAGGCCTTCTGGGAGTAAGCTTTGATAGTAACCGACCATATTACAAAGACTTTTAAAATTCAAGTAGTTTCCAGATTCTAACTACAAAAAAAGAAAAGGTTATTTCATCCCAATATAACAGCATTGACTTCAACATATAAAAATGCCAGCATGAAGAGGCCACTTAAATTGATGCTCAAACAGATAGTGAAAAACCCAATTATTATCAGAGTAAAGATTTTTACATAACTTGATGTAAAACTAAGAAAATGCATTGAGGGTTAGGAATTTTTTTTTGAAGTTTCAATAGCAGAATATAGATAATAAATAAAAATCAGGGGCATGACATTTTTAACAAATCCTTCTCAGTCAATAAGAATGTTAACATCAAACGTGAGTTCTAAAATATTAGTTAGAAAGAAAAATTAAATGAACTTCAGACCCTAGTGCATTAATTGTAAAGGAAAACTCACCTTTGAAGAAACTTTATCAGCACTCCAAAATGCCTTTGCAACATCTGTAGGCATTAACTCAGAAACACCTTTAGCTGCTATCGCTGCCACTTTTACCCGGGATGCTTTACTTTCTTTGCTATAATCTAGACTTTTCTCTGGAATGTGTAGTACAAAAGAATCTCTCTCCATGTCATTAATTTCAGCTGGAAGACGCACATACTCATCCTTTCTAGGAGGGTCCTCATCATTGTGTACAACTCCACCGATAAAAAGCTCCATGTCCAATTCTTTTCCATCTTCTGAGGGATCATTACCACTTTCCATGGAAACTCCATCAGGCTGAATCTCCTCCAAATTATCAGCTTCATCATCAGAATTCTTGCTAGATGCTTTCTTGTCATCTTCTTGCATCACCTGCTTCACAGAATCCTTATCCTCAATTACTTCCTCAGTGGCATCGATGTTCATAACTTTTACTTTCAAACCCGGAATCTTATCTTTAAGAAAATTTATCACACTTTTTATCCCTTCCTCAGTTGTTTCCTCGATATTTATACCCTTCTCGTCAGTTCTCTCTGCCTTGACCTCATTTCGCTGAACATCTATGGCAGAAGCTTTCTCAACTTCAGAATTGGATGGGTTTTTACCAGATTTAGAAGGTGAACTTGCAGAGTTTGTTGAAACTCCTTTAGCTCGTTGCAGATATACAACCTGTCAAAAGATGCAATATTAGAAACAGCTCGCTTCCGGACATTCTCATGATGTGCTGTGTGAATTTGATTGACTGTTGAATCTACACCTTGAATGACACAAAAAATTTTCAAAGAAATGTATGCAAACACATATTCATCCAACAAGGGTAAATGACAGATAAAAGGTTTCTTGTCTATGATTGGATGAATACTTTGCAACTGCTTCTGTACATTCCTGATGTTACTGTCAACACTACAAAGGAATCTAAGCATCTATAGATGATAACAATGTCTCCAAAATTTGAGAAAAATATTGGCAGGCCCAAGGGTCAATAATCATATAGCAAAAAGTGAAGAAACATTTAATCAGCAGCCCAACAAGAGAAATTAATACTTTTAGCAGCCATTTATACATAATATTATATGTACAACTGAAAGTCATATGCATAATTGTCTTAAAATGTACTCAGTCAAGACCAAATCACTTTGACTTAGCTTTCTACTTTAATGCATTCACTGAAGAAGGAAAAGGACAAAGAAAAACATCCAACAATAAGAACAGGAAAAAAAGCGCCCTCTGTTAACATACAAAACTCATAAAAAGCTAATTATGAACATTAGAAGACCTCTTCTGAACTGAGGGCAGCAAAAATAACACAACTTTTGTTTTAAATACAACAAATATATGAGTTAAAAGGATGATATTATTCATACCGAGCACCAACCAAGAAAACTAAGGGATAATATGAAATCTGCCCAATGCTAGTTTAGTTTTCAACCCTCATAAGATCTGTACTTTGTCACTGGAACACTTAGATGAGCTACAATCTAAAAGTGTGTTCGCGACTTACCTGCATAACATATCTTTCTTCTGCTTCTTTGACCACAAAAATTTCAAACAATGGAGTTCCAGGAGACGCAGTGACCAACTGCCTGCAGCAAATTGTATTTATCAACACTATCCTGTGCATCAAACACTAATCAAAGCCACCAAGAATCTCTCACCTCGGACTGAAACTCTTGCCAACAAATCTGCCCACTCCAGGTGTTATTCGTACTAGTCTTCCAAAGGGATCATCAGAATCTGTTGAGTAGCCCACCCACCAACCTACCTGTTGACAGCAAAATGAAAATTTTGATCAAACCCTAAAAACTTTTAATACTATTAGGGCAGTTGAAACGAGCCCATTTTGGTACTGAGCACAAAATGAAGTCCCAGTGGAAGTGCTCAGCAGAAAATGTTAACATTATGCTAAGGCACAATGGTTATACTCAACATCTCTCTCTCAAAGTTTTTCCTGTTCCATGCTGTCAATTCCTATACTCATGACACATGCATCTAACTTGTTCATTCCCACTTCTCTATCTTCCATCGAGTAGACAGTACAATTTAGTTATAAGAGTCCATATATAGTCCTACAATGACTAAAAGTCTCATAAACTCAGCTGTACTTAACCAAGCTTAGTCCTAAAATATTCCAAATTATCTATAGGAACACTTTTCCCCTGCAAGATCAAATCTTCTTTACAGCTTCAGCCCAAGTCATGTTCAATCCACCTCTTTCATTTTTTGAAAGATGGCAGCTCATCAAAGCTATACCTCATCACTGAAATTCAAATATGTGAAAAGAAAAATGAAACCAAACAGCATGTGAGAGCTGAATTCTTACTTCAGAAGTTTATTTACAAAACATCTTCGATCTTCCAAAAATAATTAATGTGGAAATCATGGAATAAACTTCTTTTTTGGACTTCTGCAATGACAACTGGCACATATTGCATCAGTTTCCTTATTAGACACCACTGCTTGCTTTCTCTGAACTATTGTTTGATTGAACTTATTCAATTGTCCAGTGACAAACAGCAATGATCACAATGTCTAATATATCAAACAATGACTCACTTCTTTGCTAATCAAACAAAGTTCCACTGTGTGCGTGAATTGAATAGAGGCAAAGTTGAAAGATGACATCTTTTGCTATCCAATGGAAAGATGTTGGTCATACTATGCAGCCAAGTATGCTGCGTAAAGAAGTAATATGCAATAGTAAAGGAAAAAAAATACCCAGTCCTTAGCTATAGATTAAGTTTAAAAAAACTCAAAAAGTTGTGCCCATCAAAAAGGGAGCTTGAACAAGTTCACTGTCCCATGGCAAGCCAAAGGAGGTGAAAACAGAAAACTTTATCAAATCAGCAACTCTACTTTAAATTGTGGGGCCTTATCATCTTTTGCAACAAAAATTATTGGTCTCTACCTTCCTGGCCAAGAAAGGCAAACCTAAAATTTCAGGAAAAACTCCAAACCATCCGGTATTAACTGAGAAAGTAAGATAGTTGAAGATGAAAGTGAGTATGACCCAATTACCAATCCACTGCCAGTGTGTTTACACAATCTTGAAGCATCACGGTATCGCTCTTCACCTATTGCATTCTGCAGATAACAGACAGATAAGATAAGAACTGCAAATTACAATGCAGGCCCTCAAAGGACTTATAGAGTTCTAGATTCAACATTTCTAATCAAAGGACACTAACCTGCAACTCGGACATTATTTCAGCAATACTATCCTTTGAAGTAGCTTCTGCAATAGCCATTTTCAACTTTGCAGCTTCTTGGAAGTCTTCCTTTTCAATTGCATCTTCAAGTTGGAACTGTGAAATTGACATTTGGATAGTAAAAATGCAAGGTGGTCAAAATCAGCAGACCCTCCACAAAAATGAATCATACACTCGAATTATTAGATTGGAAGATTTCACAAACCAAGGGAAAACTTATAATTTTAAAAAAATGTTTTGGCTAAAATGATAAAGCAAGTATCTGACATTAATTGATGAATATTTAGTTGGTATTTCATTTTAATAGAGACAAAACAATTTCAAATATATTCTGACTTAGTCACAACAACAACAACAATATAGGCAACAAATAACAGAAACAAGATTCAAGAATATACGCAATAATAACAGAAGAGCAGAATCAAGATTCAAGAAACAACATCAGAGACAAACAAATCAAACTATCAAAGATAATCTCAACAGTCAACAGACATTGAATTGCAGAGATGAAAGAGAGAAAAGCATATAGGCAGTAATAAAAATTAAAAAATAGTAGCAGCAGAGCAGAAAACCTAGATTAATTCAAATATCTTACAAGCGATCACTCAAGAATAGAGTTGCATGCCATGCAGCTTGCTGCATCTTGTCGTTGCGTCTTTGGAGTAGAAGATACTGTTGCAGCCGCAGAGAAGCAAGAGAAATAGCAAAGATTTGAATGACTGAGTCCCAATTTTTTTTCCAATAAAACTATACCATCTCACCCATTTTTCTGTTATGTAACTGTCAAAATTGGATAAACTAGACAGATATTGACTCAATGATGTACAGATATGCAGTTCTCAATCCCAGAAAGTCAAAATATTTCATTTTCTTTGGAGAAGGTCGAACCATATAAAACTTAGAAGCCATTCCTTCCAAGAAGAAAGCAACAACCTCCATATATACGCCACAATATTCAAGAAATTGCATAGAACTAATAAGAATAGACAATTTTCAGTTTTGCAAAAGAAAATTTTGGAAATTGTACACCAAGAAAAAGGGAATTCCTGTCTGGATGAAGAATATTCCAGAATAAAATATTAAATGAAAGAAAAGTAAGCGAACCCACCACATAAAATAAAATCCAAAAGCAGATAAGGGGAAAAAAAAAAAGAGGTACCTTGAGTACAGAGGCAAAACTCTGGGCTTGTTCAATCTCAGAAAAATGACGGGTCCATCTATTCCAGTCCCACTCCAACGAAGAGCTGACACCAGCAGCACCACTACCACTAATGTCAGCGTTGTTGTTATTACTGCTATTGCAACGGCAGCAATAGAAGTTTGAGTTCTTGCGGTTCTTATTTGGAGAGAAAAAAGATCTCTTATTCTTGGAAGTGTAGCTATCGTGAAGAGCAGCGTAGCCCCAGCCAAAAACAAAGCTCAAATTGGTAGATTTCTTAGCAGAGAAATCTAAGCAACAAAACGGCCTCGATTGGGGCACCGTTGCAATCGCGTGCCCCATCCCCCATACATTTGGCGCTGTCATTCCCCTCGCCCTTTCTCTCTCAATCTACGACTATCGAGGGTTTCGATATAGAGCAAAAACAGTGTTTCTTCTGTTTGATAAAATATTATAGACTAGAGATAATATTGCAGAGCTCGAATAAGTATATCCAGAGACAAATATAACGATGCGATATCCCAATTTTTATAATGCGGCCTGTCGTCCTTTTCAGGAACCCGATCATATGGTTGTTGGGTAAGACGGGTATTAGACCACTTGTTTTGCCTAAATCGTTAGGCCAAAATACTTTTTACAAAAAATATTTTGTTCAAATTATTTATATTAGTTTTTTTCCTAAAAAAAAAGGATTGAAATATAAATCTATCTTTCTCATGCAAAATTTTTCATTTGTTTTAAATTATAGACTGTTTTCATTTTTAAAAGTATATAGTTTATTTAAATTTTTTAATATTATCATTATTTAATATAAATTATCATCAATAAAATTTTTCATTCAGTTCTTTATTGGAAAAGACACCTACTATTAATATATGAGTATATTATAAAAAATATAGGTAAAATTGATTCTTGAAATTATCCTAATTAAATTTTTATTAATGTTGGTAAAAATAAAATTTATCTTTTATTTATTTATTTATTCCCAGGAGGTCAAATTAAACTAAAAGAATATTGTAGATTATACCATGAGTAATTCTCCTCATTGGATAATTTTCACCAAACTCTCACTTCCTATATTCTTCAAACAAAATGTTTGTTAGGAGACCAACATTCGATTGGCAAAAGAGAGGAAGTAACTTGAATATTGAATTATAAGACTTCTTAATTTAATATTTTTAAGTAGTCAAGTTCACCAATTAGAAATGAGAGAATTACTTAATATATTTGACAGGATTTTCGAGTTTTGACCCTTCAATTCAAAAATTTCTAATGGCAAACTTGGAAATTAAAAATTCAAATGAGAGGCCAGAAAAAGCATTAGGAGATATGACTCTATCCATTTGCAATTCATTTTGATTTGCTTAGGCTCAGCTGTCTCAAACCAGACATTCCATTTGAATATTAAACTGTCGGTATCTTTATAAACATGGGCTTTCTTCAGATGGTACAATATAGGCAATTCAATTCAACTATGAAGATCCAGCAAAGGACCATTATTATATATATATATATATATACATACACACAACACACACTATTTACAAAGCAAGAACATGCCAGTGAAGCTCAAAACTTATAATCGCTTAACATACAGCAAATGCACCATTACCACTAAAATAAAATCTGATAGAAAATGATTCTTTTTTTTTCCCCAATAGAAGTGTGAAATCAATACTACAATTAAGCAGGTGTCCATGGACAACCATGATGTGGATTTTCCCTCAGTTGGCTAGATTACAAAAAAAAAAAAAAAAAGGAAGAAACAAAAACAAAATATGATTACTGATTTTTTAGTTCAGATGGCTTTAGATGAATGAGTTACCTTTATCATTACAGTGAGAACAAAAACACCAAGCAATGGCCGTTAGCGAATATTCTTTGGCTTTTCTCCGCACAAGGTTAGAAATTGGTTAAAGAGACTAGTGTTGAGGAGGAGAGGACTGACCAACCAGGTTGTTACCAATAGAAGAAACTGGTTCCACACCTGTTGCTTCTCCAGTTGCTGCCATTGCATGTCCATGTTCAACAGCTTCCAGATCGACATCTAACTCACTGGAGGCCCCTGCATTCTCAGTACGAACGTGCCGGAGCAGACCCTGCAATCTCAACAGATATCTCTGGCTGGAAGGTTGAGTTTGCACATATCGGGTGGTTGTTACAACAGTTGCAGAAGGCCGTTCAGGATCGGAACGAAGATTGGATAAGGCACTAAGGTCAAGGTTCGGGAAAACTGAGCAACGGCACCGTGGACATTTCACATTCAGTCGAAGCCACTCGTCAATGCATTCTACATGGAAATTATGTGCACAAGGCAGGCCACGGACCTGTGCTATGTTTTTTTTTTTTTCCATAAGCAACATATAATTAAGGATAGTAGAAACAGTTATTACATAACCATTGAAGAGATCAAATATTACCTCATTCCCTACATGGAACTCCTCTAGGCAGATGGGGCATTCACTGCAATCAGTAGGAACAGCCTTTAGCCTGAACTTTGGAAGTTCCTGAATAAGTGCCTCCACTGCTTCTCTCTATGAAAAAACACTATAACCATTAGAATTAAAAACTCGTTATACTATCAAAAAATGCAAGGAAAACAATGGAAAGAATTAAAAGTGCATGACCTCAATGAACAATAACCAATGACTAATTGGAATTTGGAAGAAACAAAACCTATAATGGTTATTAAAAATTGACAATTGTCATAAGCAAAAAATTGAGTGTGTTCAAAGACAACGAAAGAAAGAGAATCCTCACTTCATATGCTTAATTGATTTAAAATTACCATCTACAGGGAAATAAGTCCCCAATTTTGCAAATGCTATTAATTAGAATGTTTTTTTCTATTCAGATTCCAAACCATGTTTTCAATCATCACTTCTAATGTTAGTACAGGAATGGAGTTCATTCGCATTACCTACTGAATTGTAGCTTTCAATAATGTTAATAATGAGGAAAATCTAAAACATGGACTTGCAAACTTACACTACCATACTTCATAGCTCAAGTGCAATAACACAAATGTGCATGAATACAGGTGGACTCAAAATGGAGGAAACATGTTACTCTTGCCCTTAAAAGTAACCAGCCCTCACCTGAGTAGGAGTCAAATAAAGTCCAGGATGGTATGCTGCAGTATCTTGACCTATGCCTCTCATTTCTTGACCTGCAGCAGCTTCAAATGCCCAATCTGGGACCCGGATCATGTCGACCAAAACCTGGATAACCACGCCTGGGCCCTAATTAAAGGAACCCCCCAAAAATAAAATTCAAGTATTCCAGATGCATGAAATATTACCCCATATTCTGAAATAGGAATTCCCTGCTGCGCACGTAAAAGATGTGCTTGTCTTCTTGTTAGCCACTGAAAGAATGCAGAAAAACAAGGATAAGAAGGTGCAGAAGCAATAAAGAAAGGATCAACAAGCGATATCTTTGGGATGAGCAGGGCAAAAATACGTGTGTAAACATAAGAAAAAGGATGGATAGGATAACTGATGAGCTGTCACGCCTTTCATAGAGTTAGATACAGCGTAAATCAAATTAACTACAGGATTATTAGGATGTGCTATGCTAACCTTTCCCACGGACATGCAAGCAATACAGAGGAGTCCACAATAGCTGAAAAGCAACCAAATGAGAAAACCCCATTTCTGACCTTCTTCTGGCAACTAGAAAAAGTTAAACACACCATCCCCCTTATCAAGAATGTCCTTGCCGATGAAAATGCTTTAAAATACCAAGTATAGGAAAATAACTTACACAATTTCTTGCCCTTGTGAACCAAAGCGTACCGATTATAGTCCAAGCCCAAAGAAATGGATAGAGTAGCAAAGACAGGATTGAAAGGACAATTATTCTTCCACAAAAACGGGCATACCTCTGCTGCCACCCAAAATCCCTAAAAGCATGTAAAACAGGAAAGGAGAACAAATTATCATGCGAGATCCAGTCATACAAACCATAAAGTAAGTTTAAAGATCCCAAATGTTCTCAAACTGGCCAAATTGGGAATCAAAATTTTAATTAAAAAATTCAACTTTTCATGCAGAGATTCTGACACGAGAACACAATTCCGCAATAACAAGCAACAAATTCTTCGAGGTAGTTGATTGCATCTCTTGTGAGATGTTAGCCTTTAGGTACTACAATAAAATTATATCTCATTCACATAACCCTTTTTCCACAACATAAAGCCAGTGTATGAATTGTTCAAAATATCATGTTTCAAGCAAAAATCTTGTTTATACCCTCTATCCCCCAAGGAAAACCCCACTAAAAACTGAGGCTAAATTCCAAAGCAGTGAAATGACGTCATCACAGAAAATGATAGTAACTGTAAGATAGGAGGCCTTACAAACCCATTCCAGCAGCAAGTCCATTATCTATGAACATCAATAGCCGAAAAATAAAAACAGATGTATAGTCAACCTGAAGCAGTAAACGCATATATTAACTATAATGCATAAATCCAAAAAAAAAAAAAAAAAAAAAAAAAAAAAAAAAAAAAAAAAAAAAAAAACATAATCATTCAATTGGTTAGATAGGTACTCACCACGATCCATATGTGCAACGGGTATTTACAAAGATGATATCGTTTCCAATTGATTGCAACAATGATTCTAAGTAAGATTGTAAAGGAAATACACATATATATGAACGCTAACGTTCCATTGCCCTCAGATTGATAATAAAGTAGAAATATAATGTTAAGCCATAATTAATTTTGAGAAAATAAAAGATCAATCAAATTAATCTTTGCTAAATGATCTTCACCGGCTCAATTCACCGTCTTGATTGCTTGTGAACTAAAGGCGCAACCAAAAAAGAAAATAAAAGAAAAATAGTGTCGCAAAGTAACAGTTTTTCCAGCAACCAACACAACGCAGTACAGATTAAAATTGGGAATAAAACCAGAATAAAATATAAAAACTACACAAAATATGCAATAAGTAAAGAATCAAAAGAATTTTTGTGAAAGTCTACAAAACCATTAACCAAAGCGTACAACCACTGCCAAATAATAGAAACTGAGCAAGAACACCCAAACATGCGAATGCTACATTTCCACAAAGAAAAGGATACACACTTGTAGCCAACATGGACAAGAAGAATCCATCGTACCTGAAACAACCCATTCCCGCATAAGAAGGAAGATGAAAGAAGAAGATGAAGAAACAAATCACCCCATTCTAACGAGAGTAACAGCGTAATAGAAACATGCAGAAGGATCGATAGGAACTGACCACTTGAAATCGACGCCTCTGATAGCCATAACGGAAAACCCTAAAAGACTAAGACTGACACCAAGAACTGAATCCTCATTTCAATGACCAAATGAAAGATGCTCCGAATCCGATTCCGATGCCCCGAAACGAATCCGAATCCTTCATGTATCGGGTTCCGTTTTATGCTGTTACTGACTTAGAAACTAAAAAGTGGAGAGATATATGTCATGGAGAGAAGGAAGCTTTTCTTTGAAGCACATCGAGAGAGACAGAGAGAGGTCGGTGAAGTGGAACAGTAGAAATGGTGGGGCTACAAAGAGACGGAAGGTTGACCGAAGTCTTTGTACCGTTACTTGACGGCGTTACGCAATCCGGTGGGTTTCGTGTGGGAGTTGTCTAAGCTGCCAAACCCAACAAGAGCAGCAACCAGCGAGGCCACTATTTTCCTTTATTTTATTATTTAGTATTTAATTTTATTTAATAGTACGGAAAATAATATATGCCACGTACGATGAGAATGCTGACGTGTTAAAATTAGGTTGGCTGGCTTTTCATGTTAAAATGTAGAAGAAGCATTGTCAAGAAGTTCAAAAAAAAAAAAAAAAAAAGAAGTTCAATTGTTTTTTAGTGAGGCGAAATCAAAATTTTAATACAACCAAATTAATCAGAATTTTCGAATTAATGAAAATTTATATTTAATTGAATTTATCAAATCATTTATAGCAACTACAAGGAAGTAGAAATCAAATATTAAGCGATTAATGTTAGCCGAAATGCCTAATTAACCGATTAAATTATAATATTTATCACCTATTTCTAAAAATTAAAATAATGACATTTTATTTTTTGATTAATTCGATTAGATTAAATTTTAATTGATGATTAAATAAATCTAAATTTATTAATTGAGTTGAAATTAATAATTGATTAACCGAATCAAATTAGCCTAACCGTCTGGCCACATTGGAAAAGATTTACCAAAATCCCTAACCGTCTTCCACCACTATGTGCGACTGACATCACATGATGGACTCACGAGTCACAAGTGTACATCATTTAGCTTTTTCCATATGGGGATTGCTTTTGACTGTGAAACAACTAAATAATGTGTGCCCAAAATCAGTAGGTCCAATTATTCGACTCTAATATAAATCAATTGAAGGGAAAATAATTCTTTGTAATAATAGTTTATTTAATTGTTTGAATTTTATCAAATTTATATTTTGTTTGGAAAAATAAAAAGGTAGAGAAAAGAAAAGGAGGGAGAAGCAGGAGGAGGAACGGGAGAAGAGTGTCCTTTACTCTTTTTCTTGTTTGGAAATAAAGGAAAAGAAAGGAAGTGAGAAGTTTTTTTAACAAAACAAAAATATGGAACATAAAATTACTATAATGTCCTCTATCAAGATGGACTAATGTAACGTTAGAATATATATATATTATATATAATATATTATAATATATATATATATATATATAGTATTTATTGGTTTGGTTCTCAAATGACAAGCAACCATATCCAAAGCCCCAAGGTTAGATTATATTCAACAATATATGTATATGGTTTGGTCTCAAATGACAGCAACCATATCCAAACCCAAGGTTAGATATATCCAACAGAGAAAGTAGTTTTTTTTTTTCAAAAATAAAAATAAAAATCATGTAAGCCAAATAAAAAAATTATTTCAGCATTTCAGGTACAGATTGGTGGATTTACACATTTATATAAAGCAGATGCAGGTTGCTTGTAAGTAGGTATACTACTAGTATCAACAAATCTGACTTCTCCAGGGCCAAATGAAAGATCTCTATGCCTGCAAAAACAACGACAGGCAAATTATCTCTTTATAGAAATTTTACTAGAAGTTAAAAACATTACTCGATTACCTTCGTAGATCAAGTCCGACTAAACCAGCTTGTAGAATTGTCAGATTGTCAGAATCTGGAGAGACAATAACGATTGTTTCTTCAGAGTATTGAGTCTCAAGAATGGACATAAGCTGTGTCACACGGACAAATACATCTGAAACACTTTCATTTGGGGTGCCATCATCTATAGGGGGAGGCTTATTTCTTGGAGAAATTGTATCTGATTCATATACCTGAACAGTTTCCCAACATGCAATTCCTCAGAATAATTACAAAATGAACTGAAATTTACCACCACCAATCAAAAAAGGAACTATTGTTTTAGTAATAATTAACTTCTACTTCTTATTCAAAGACATTTTGTGTTATCAATGGTATATATTTAGTCAAGAACAAATGAATGAACAAATAAAAATCATGTCTGAATAATTTCCACCAAGTGTTGAACAAGGATATTGTCAATTGTGTGATCTATAGATAGGGATCTTACTTCTGAAAGAGCTTCCAATTTCTTGCCTTCATAAGCTCCCAATCCGCGAGCATCCAGGAAGCTGTACTCTGGAACTATATAGCTGCAATCAACAAGAAACCACTGAAGCAATAAATAGCAATTAATTTACAGGAATACATGCTAATGAAACAAATATCAACTCATATTTTTCTGAAAAATGAAGGTTAGTACGACGCGCAAAAACTAGCTTAAACATACCATCTGACTACTACAAAAGAAAAACTAATGTCACACTGGCCAAAAGCAATGAGCTTCAACTCAACAATGAACTCGAAAACATCAAATTCTTTCTTATCCAAAACAGCCAAAGCTCAATTAATTAATTCCACAAATAGTCGGTCAAAGATTCATACCTTCTGCTGATTCCATTCACTGCAGCAATAATCTCTGCAGCCTGGTAAGCTCTCTGAGTAATGGAAGGCCAAATCCAACAGCCATTATCACAAGCTCCCATTGCCTTCAAATCTAAAGCAGCCTTTAGTGTCTGCTTCTTCCCTTTATCTGACAAACCACTATCAACTGATGTTTTTGCTACTGGGTTTGTGTTGATAATCCCTAGGCTCTCAAATTCAGATTCCCCAGCTCTCACCAGAAAATACCTTTAATACCCACAAAACATTCAATCCCAAAATCAAACAAAAGACAAGCAACGAGATTTACAGTAGATTCATGTTATTATATATAAGCGAGCTTAATTAGGGTTAAAACTACAATTCTCTCTTAGAAATAATATGTAGAGAGTAAATTAGCTTGTGGGTTGATAGAATTACCGGTTGCTAAGGCGGACGGGCGGCATTTGAAAGAGACCACGTGCTCCAGCAACTGGTGTGAGTATAGGGGATATGGAGATAGAGATGGAGATTGCGTTAAGGAGTTGGCGGCGATTTATAGGTTTAAGGCCATGGTTAAGGTTTTGAAAAGCTGGGGTTATTATGGACGATAGAGGAGAAGATAGGCGTGGAAGTGGGGCTGTTATCGAAGAGGAGGTGGTCACTGCCATTTTGGCGCGTTTGGGAGCGCCTTTTGCATTACAATCCCCCTCAAAACTTAATTTTCTAAGGTGAGAAAAACAACACTAACAGAACAAATTGATAGGGATAAACGACAAGACCAGGCAGGTAACGACATGGGATTTTCATAACTCAGACACATCAAATAAACAAGGAAAACAAATCCTACGATCAGACAATTTCATAGATACTACAACTTAGAAATAAGAATGATAAATCCCATAAGAAATAAGGATTTCTACCGATTGCCCAAGCATTCACAATAACTCTGCTCCTCTCAGGTATATCGTATCCATTAATGGTGCAGTGTTCTCTACATTCTCTTGGAACTAACAATGGAACAGGAGGATGTGGCCTTAAAGTTTCTTTTATGACCAATTTTAAGTAATTTAGTTCATTAAGACAGGCTTCATCAACGTTTCCTTTTGTTCTAAAGACTTGTCTCACCTCTGCTTGTGCCTTTTACATCACTTCTGGATTTTTCATCATTTATGGCATTGCCCATTCTATAGGTGTAGAAGATGTATCACTACCCGCAATAAACATGTCCTGAAATACATTACAATTAACTTGAGTAAATGATATGTGAAACGAAAAGAAATGATTAGCTTGAGTTAATTTTCGGGATTGAATAAATTGTAAATTAACTTTAGAGCCCCTTATTCAAAAAAAATAAAAATAAAAAAAAAGATCGATTCTCAAATCCAAAATTAACTTTTTAACCTGTGTAGACTTCAACTCTGTTTAAAACAATAAGAATTATTTTTATATTTTATATATTTTAAAATATTTTTCATTTTTTAAAAAATGCTTAAAGGTCTGTTCGGAATATTAACTGTAGTTGTTGGAAAAAATTTACATAGACTAAGTCCATCATCCCACTTATGAGCTAAACAAATCAAATTACAGATATTTTCAAAAGTGTTTCAACTTTTTTTTTTTTAAATTGTATGGTTCGACGTACCATTGTTTCAACAAAAATTACTAATTTCACTGGTTTGGTCTATAAGTGGGGCTATAGATCTAGTCTAAGCAAGTGTTTTTTCTGTAGTTGTTAATTATTGTAGTAGCAATTAGTTGTGGTGATTAGCTTTGAGTTGGTAGTGGGTGATAAAAGGGTTCAAATTAGAAGTGTTTGATAAAAAGCAACTGTTTAATTAGTTATAATAAAAAAGGACATTAGTTGCTTAATAAAAACAATCAAAAAAATTAATCAATCTCTATCAAACGCAAAAAGTTAAAGTGTGTAACGTTTCGTAAAAAGTTACGTCAAACTCTAAAAGTGATTATAAAAGCTACGTTATTGAAAGTTACAATTAATAGATATAGAAACACTAATAACTAGCTTAAAAATTATTTTTAACAAACAGAAAAAAAGAAAAATAATTTTTTTTATTCATAAAAGGCCCAATAAGTCGAAATAATAGTGAGAGCTATACAATATAGGTAGCTCTTTCTTAACTCAATAAATTGACCAATTATTATGGTGGTGAGGATTCAAACTCGAAGATATTTAACAAATTTGTATACTTTTAATTTAATTAACATTATTCATATTATTTTTAGTTTTTGAATGTTTATGTGTTAGGAACTTTAGGATACATTCATATTCCATCTTACAACAATAAAAAGCCAAACCAGGGCCAGCATATGTTTACCTTTTGATGTGCTTCTGACATTCACGTGCCATTGCCAAACCTTCACCAATTTTGCAGCGTGCTTTTTGTGTGCCACCTACTTTTTTTTTTTTTTTTACCTGTTTTATGAAGCGTGCGCCACTACCACCCACTTAAGAGTAACAGAGACCCAGTGAGCACTAAACACAATCATGACATTGCGGATTGGCTTATTAAAAAAAATTATCTATTTGGATTTGAGAAAAGGAAAAAAAAAAAAAAAGTACACATACATTGATTTTCTAAATAAAATTTACATTCAAACTTGCATTTCCAATTTCTCAAATCAAACATTTTATTTTTTGGAACAAAATAAAAACTTTATTACGAAACCTTATCAAAATCGATTACATTCTTCAAAAACGATGGGATATCATAATCCATTCATTTTCGCTAACATGAAGATCTCTTACATTACTACGAAGAGAGATCCCTTAATAGGGATTTACAATCGAAACAGAACATAGACATAACAGCAATGGTGCAAGAACCAAATTGCATAAAAACTTCATTTAATGGAGAGAAATTCTAGTCGCCTTGGATATTTTCCATCTCTAGCACTCAGAACTTTTCTAACTTATGTTTGTGTCTTTAACCTTTGCAAGATTCCTCCTTTATACACTTAATTAAATCATTTGCAGTATCAATACCTGTCAACACCATTTCTTTCTTTAGCATATAAGAAAAGGAGATACAATAGTAATAATTGTACCTGCAAAACAAGAACCAGTTGCAAATCCTATATATTTATTGCTGGTATGCTCTCCTGTAAAGTATACTGGACCGACAGGATCCTGTGCATATATACACATTTATGACAGAAACAAATATATTCACAAAAAAGAAAAGAAAATAATGTATATTTAGAAATGAAATTTTGCATATAATACTTACAGCTAAGTGTTCTTTGCGTTTTTCATTGTGACTACCAGGTCCATTAGCATAACTGCCTTTCTGTAATTCATCCAAGCCCCATCTAGGCACAAGTATTGCTTCTGGTTTAGGAATATTATTACCAAATAACTTTTTAAGTACTTCCATCATCTCTGCTTCAACTGCTTCTTCTGATAATTGCTCAATCCTTCTTGACTCATCACCCGTGACCGTTACGATTAAAATGTTTGATCCTGGATACTCATTCTCTAAATGCTGTCAAAGTAATTAAGTACTTTTTAGTGATTTTAAAGGTGTAGTTTTTAATTTTTTGCGTTTTAAAAAGGAATGACAATACCTGCCAAAATGGATAATAACCGCGCCTGACACGGGTATAAAGAAAGAACTCAGTTCCAGGACCAGTAGCCCAGAATTTGTAAGGGAACTTGAGAAAAATCTTGGTGTATATGGTCATGCTAAAATCTGAAATCGCAATCCTTTTCCATAGCTGATAGATCATTAAAAGTCAAGATTAGTTAAAAGAGATGGAAACTGTCAGAAAGAAACTTGAAGGAGAGAGACTTACAGGTTATTTTGGCTGGAAATGGATTAAATTACTCTGTAGAACACCAAGACTAGCAGAGACAATAACATACTTGGAATTGTACGTAGAACCATCCCCAGTTTTTACAGTAACTCTATCATCTGAGTAATTTATTTGTCTAACTACCTGAAAAAATGTTAAAACAACAAAACTAATGATTACTACGAGATGACAAAAATACTTACTTAATCTTATAATGTGGGCTAATTTAATTTTGATTACCTTATTAAGCTTAAGCTTGGGATCCTCAGTCAAAGAGGAAAGAAACTGCTTAGCAAGATCTTCAACTATGGCCTCAAAGCCTCTAGGATCAACCAGAAAGCATGGAACGGGTCCATGGTCTACAAAACTCGTTTCTGGGATATTTGTGCTTCAAGCTTGTTACTTTTGGTGGCTCTGCATCTATGTAGTCGTGGTGATAGTAATCTATTACCATTTCAAGTGGAGTTGTGGGTACCCTGCACCAAAAAAAAAAAAAAAAAAAATCTATGTAGTCGTGGTGATTAGTAATCTATACCATTTCAAGTGAGTTGTGGGTACCCTGCACCAAAAAAAAAAAAAAAAAAAAGTTAAAAAAAAAAAAAAAAAAAAAAGTTAAATTCTACTAAAATTATGAGTTCGACGCTTAATTAATCGGTTTGTATAAGCGTTGTGCAGCCAAAATTGAGACATCAACATCCTTTTCTTTCCCAGATAGATTTTTTGAAACTGCTGTGCAGAAATCACTTCTTTGAGCAGCTACCTTCTCAATTTCATCCACCACTTTTTTTGGGTAGAGTCCACCACTATTCAAAACAAAAAAATTATTAAGTTTAAACTCCAGTTAGTGTCTAATGAATTAAAATAAATTACTAGAAGAGGAAAAAGAAGGTGGAATATAATACTCTTGTCCATAAGACGTTGGCTGTGACATTTCCATAGTCATTAGTATAAGTTTTGAGTTTGAGTTTTTTGGCTATGTCCAATAAGGGATTAGGATTATGTCCCCCACCAAAAGGACAAGTGCCACCCACTTCGACTGTGACACCACTAAATTCAGCTTTCATTAAACGACCACCAATCCTGCCACTTCCTTCTAATATCAGTATATCTTGAATTCCTGCTTCGTGTAAAGTTTTTGCTGCTGCAATTCCTGCAAATTTAAACTAACGTGAAAATTTTGGGTTTGTAAATACAACGTTAATAATAATTGATAAGGCTTTACGTTTACTCCTTGCCTGAAATTCCGGCTCCGATGGCAATGACGGTTGGTGACTGAGAGGCCGAAGCCAACAAGAAATGGGAAAGAAAGAGAGATACAAGAAGCATTGACAAAAGCTTCTTCTTCATTTTGAATAAAGAGAGATACAAGAACCAACACTAGGTGCTTGTTTTGGTTAGCTGATGCTTGTGAGCTAACCCAAGTCCTCAATTTATACTAACTAAGAAAAAAAAAAACAAACTTACAATTTTGGAAATTCAATATTTAAAATGAAAATTTTAAAGGTAAATAATGGTCCACTCAAAAATTAAAAATAGTTATTAATAGAGAAAATTATTATTATTTCTCTGTGTTATATGCCAAAATTCATGAATCCAGCCTAAGTCCTATATTAAATAGTTATTAATATTACTCAGAATTGATTTTATTAAAAAAAAAAAAGTTATTAATATTATCCAGTGCCTAAAAGTTTCACTTTTGCAAATCCATTATTTATGCCCATTGCTTCTGTCATTAAATTCCAAAGAACAACAATAATTTATTTATTTATTCTTATTCCAAAAAAAAAAAAAAAAAAAAAATATTCTTATCCAAACAAAAAAAAAAAAAAAAAAAAAAAAAAATCAAACATTACAATTTGCATTGTGAAAAAGAAAATTTCACACAAAGATTGATATTCTAGAATAAATTCTTCAAACCGAATTTACATTTCCAATTTTTCAAATCAAATATCACATAGACATGATAAGGACCAAATTGAACAAAAACTCCTGTTATTAAAAAAATGTTAAAGGATGGAAATCTTGGCCTGGAACTCCTTTTTCTACTGATGATTGTGTATGTAACCTTTGCAAGATTTCTTCTTTATACACTCCCTTTGCAAGATTTCTTCTTTATACACTCAATTAAATCATTAGCAGTATCAATACCTGTCAACACCGTATATTTATTTATTTAGCATAACAAAACATGTAAATAAATAGTAGAAATTAAATTATTATACCTGCCAAATAAGCACCAGTTGCATATCCTATATACTTATTGCTGGTATGCTCTCCTGTAAAGTAAACTGGACCAACAGGATCCTGTACATATATAACAAAATATAATTAATATACATTCAAAAAAAAAAATTAATGATTAGAAAATAAATTTTTGCATATAACGCTCAATTGCTCACAGCTAATTGGTCTTTGCGCTTTTGATTGTAACTATCAGGCCAATTAGAGTAACTTCCTTGGTAGAATTTATCCAAGCCCCATCTGGGCACAAGCATTGCTTCTGGTTTTGGAATATGGTCTTTGCGCTTTTGATTGTAACTATCAGGCCAATTAGAGTAACTTCCTTGGTAGAATTTATCCAAGCCCCATCTGGGCACAAGCATTGCTTCTGGTTTTGGAATATTATCACCAAATAATTTTTTAAGTATTTCCATTATCTCTGCTTCAATTTCTTCATCTGATAATTGCTCTATCCTTCTTGACTCATCAGCTGTTACAGTTACGAATAAAACGTTTGATCCTGGATACTCATTCTCCAAATGCTGTCAAAGTAAATTAATATTCTGATTATTTTGTTTTAATTTTTTGAGGAGTTTAAAACAAAAAACAAAACCTACCTGCCAAAAAGGATAGTAACCCCGCCTGACATGGGTATATAGAAAGAACTCAGTTCCAGGACCAGTAGGCCAGAATTTGTAAGGGAACTTGAGAAAAATCTTGGTGTATACGGTCATGCTAAAATCTGAAATTGCAATTCTTTTCCATAGCTGATACAATTTAAAAATTAAGAATATTCAAAGAGATGGAAACTGTCAGAAAAAGGAATTGAAGGAAAGAAACTTACAGGTAATTTTGGCTGGAAATGGATTAAATCACTCTGTAGAACACCAAGACTAGCAGAGACAATAACATACTTGGAATTGTACGTAGAACCATCTCCAGTTTTTACAGTAACTCCATCATCCGAGTAATTTATTTGTCTAACTACCTAAGAAAATGTTGTAAAAAAATAATAATAGTAACTCGCCAAAAGTGTATAATCTGGGTTAACCTTATTCTAATTACCTTGTTAAGCTTGAGCCTGGGATCTTTAGTCAAAGAAGACAGAAACTGTTTAGCAAGATATTGAACTATAATCTCAAAGCCTCTAGGATCAGCCACAAAGTATTCATCCTCTCCATGGTCTACCAACTCGTTTCTAGGGTATGTGTGCTTCAAACTTGTTACTTTTGGTGGCTCTGCGTCTTCAAAGTCATTGTGATAGTAATCTATTACCATTTCAAGTGGACTTGTGGGTGCCCTGCAAAGAGGATAAAAAAAAAGAGATTTGTCAAGTTAAGCCTAACTAATCAGAAAAAAAGAAGTTAGTGGATTGATTACTTCTTGAATATACGCTGTGCAGCCAAAATTGAGACATCGATATCCTTTTTCTGGACAGATAGTTTTTTCGAAAACGCTGCGCAGAAATCATCCATTGCAGTGGCCACCTTATCAATTTTCTCCACCACTTGTTTTGGGTAGAGTCCACCACTGTACAAAATTTAAAAAAAAATAAACAAAGATTTAAAAAAATATATATAATATATATTATATATTATAGTTTTTATAACTCCAAAAAAATGTCTTAATAATTAAAAAAAAAAAAAAAAAAAAAAAAAGTAAAAGAGAAAGAAGAAAGTCGAATACTTCTGTTTATATGTGTTGGATGTGATATTTTGGTAGTCATTAAGATAAATTTTGAGTTTGAGTTTTTTGGCCAAGTCTAACAAGGGATTGAAAACAGGCCCCCCTCCGAAAAGCCAATTGGCTCCCTTTTCAACTGTAAGACCACTGAACTGAGTTTTCATTAAACGACCACCAATCCTATGACTTGCTTCTAATATCAGTATGTCTTGTATTCCTGCTTCATGTATACTTTTTGCTGCTGTAATTCCTGCAAATTTAAACAATAAAACCCAATATGGAAGATGAAAATTTCATTTTGTAAGTGCATAATAAATAATAACGATAAGGTTTTGGGTAAGTCCTTGCCTGATATTCCGGCTCCGATGACAATGACGGTAGGTGACTGAGAGGCTGAAGCCGAGGCCAACAAGAAATGGAAAAGAAAGACAAAGACAAGAAGCTTCCATGAAAGCTTGTTCTTCATTTTCATTGAATAGAGTTACCGACACTAGAGGGGTACTTAGCTACTTCATTTGCTCAGAAGCTGATGTCCAAGACCAAGTCAACGATCTATAAAATTAATCACGCGGTAAAAAAAAAAAAAAAAAAAAAAAAAAAAAAAAAACAGTTTTGCAAAAAAAAAAAAAAAAAAAAAAAAAAACAAGTTTTGCATTGAGTAACGGCGGTAAAACATGGATATACCATTAAATAAAAAAGTTAAATTAAGTAATTACAAAAAGCATATCGAAAACAAAAAAAAAAAAATACTAAATAGGATGCAAAGAAAATAGGAAATAAATAAAATAAAAATCTGTCTAAATTGAAATTAAATCAAAATTGTAATCCAAGCTTAAACAGGAAGTAAGCTAAAGTAAATAGGAAGCAAACAAATAAGTAATAAATGAAATAATCGAGTTTTAATCATTAGATGAGAATTTTTTTAAAAAAAATTTCGATCTAACACATCGAACAATATCTAAACGCCAAGTCAAAATTTACATGCCAAAATAATTTATAATTTATAATTATTGATTTGTATAAATATTTATTAGAAACTTAAACGACATAATTTAATTTCTTGTACCGGTGTTAATCACAATCATTTTTATACTAAAAAAATAAATATTACCAGTATTTTTTTAATAAAATAAATACATAAATATTCCATTTGGTGTATATCAATAGATTTAGTTTGACTGTTTGCATAAATTAAAAAAAATAAAATTAAAACATAATTTTTGCTCAAATTTTTCTTATATATCTTTATAATTTTTTTTAAACAAAGAGTATGAAAAGTTCATATATTAATTAATTGTTTATTTTAAGATTTGATTAATAATAATAGTAAGAAATTTATAAATAATTAATCCACTCAGGTTTTTTATTTTTCATTTATGTCATCCAAAATCTATGATTACCCACTAAGAGAACAATAATACCATCTGCGATATATTTCCAATTTATTAACAGCATTACCAAAGTTTGCATGCAAATGTTACTTTCAACGTCTAATGATATTGTCCGCCGGTGAAATGGTCTGAAAACTGAAAAGTTTCATCTGAATACTCAATTATAAATTCTTGTCCAGAGCACTACAACAAAATTAATATAATAAAGATTTTTAACCCAGAAAGAAACTTCGTTTTCAACAGCTCATCTATTTGGATTTGGACAAGAAAAGTCATACAATCAAATCAAATCAAACGTAACATAGACGCAACAGCAATTGTGAAAGGGCCAAATTGAACAGTTCCTGTTGAAAAAATTGCCAGGGATGGAAATCATGGAACAGAACTCCTTGTTTGCCTCGGATACTCACAACTCAACACGACACCCTCTTTTCTTACAGAACTCCTTTGCAAGATTTCTTCTTTATACACTCAATTAAATCATTAGCAGTATCAATACCTGTCAACACCGTATATTTATTTATTTAGCATAACAAAACATGTAAAGAAATAGTAGAAATTAAATTATTATACCTGCCAAATAAGCACCAGTTGCATATCCTATATACTTATCGCTGGTATGCTCTCCTGTAAAGTAAACTGGACCGACAGGATCCTGTACATATATAACAAAATATAATTAATATACATTCAAAAAAAAAAAAAAAAATAATGATTAGAAAATAAATTTTTGCATATTTGCTCAATTGCTCACAGCTAAATGGTCTTTGCGCTTTTGATTGTAACTATCAGGCCAATTAGAGTAACTTCCTTGGTAGAATTTATCCAAGCCCCATGGTCTTTGCGCTTTTGATTGTAACTATCAGGCCAATTAGAGTAACTTCCTTGGTAGAATTTATCCAAGCCCCATCTGGGCACAAGCATTGCTTCTGGTTTTGGAATATTATCACCAAATAATTTTTTAAGTATTTCCATTGTCTCTGCTTCAATTTCTTCATCTGATAATTGCTCTATCCTTCTTGACTCATCAGCTGTTACAGTTACGAATAAAATGTTTGATCCTGGATACTCATTCTCCAAATGCTGCAATTAAAGTAATTTTTTAAAAAAATTTTGAAGGTACAATGTTAGTTTCTTCGCTTGAAAGGAAAACTAAAAGAAGAATTTACAATACCTGCCAAAGAGGATAATAACCGCGCCTGACATGGGTATAAAGAAAGAACTCAGTTCCAGGACCAGCAGGCCAGAATTTGTAAGGGAACTTGAGAAAAATCTTAGTGTATATGGTCATGCTAAAATCTGAAATTGCAATTCTTTTCCATGTCTGATACATTTTAAAAATCAAGATTAGTTAAAACAGAAGAAATCTGTCAGAAAGACATTTGAAGGAAGGAAACTTACAGGTAATTTTGGCTGGAAATCTATTAAATTACTCTGGAGAACACCAACACTAGCAGACACAATAACATACTTGGAATTATAGGTAGAACCATCTTCAGTTTTTATAGTAACTCCATTCTTTGAGTAACTTACTTCTCTAACTACCTAAAAAATGTTGGAAAAAGGAAATTAATGATTACTATGATTCCGAGTGTATATAATTAATCTTAAAATGTGGGTTAATTTTAATTTTAATTTTAATTACCTTATTAAGCTTAAGCCTGGGATCTGTAGTCAAAGACGAAAGAAACTGTTTAGCAAGATATTGAACTATAATCTCAAACCCTCTAGGATCAGCCACGAAGTATGGATCCTCTCCATGGTCTACAAACTCGTTTCTGGGATATGTGTGCTTCAAACTTGTTACTTTTGGCGGCTCTCCATCTTCATAGTCATTATGATAGTAATCTACTACCATTTCAAGTGGAGTTCTGGGTACCCTGCAAAAACAAAAATAAAAGATTAGTTAAGCAGTGCTAGAATCCAGTTCGAATTGTAGTTAATAAAGCCTGATTAATCAGAAAAGAAGAAGTTAATTAATTACTTTCTGGACATGCGTTGAGCAGCCAAAATAGAGACGTCAATATCCTTTTTCTTGGCAGATAGTTTTTTCGAAAAAGCTTCGCAGAAATCATCCCTTGCAGTGGCTACCTCTTCAACTTCCTCCACTAGTTGTTTTGGGTAGAGTCCTCCACTAGACAGAATCAGAAAATATATAACAATGTCTGATTAATTAAGAAGACATAGTAAAAGAGAAAGAAGAAGGTCGAATTAATACTTTTGTTTGTACGTGTTGGATGTGATATTTTCGTAGTCATTAATATAAGTTCTGAGTTTGAGCTTTTTGGCCAAGTCTAATAAGGGATTAGAAACAGGTCCCCCACCAAAAAGCCAATTGGCTCCCTTTTCAACTGTAAGACCACTGAACTGGGTCTTCATTAAACGGCCACCAATCCTCGGAGTTGCTTCCAATATCAGTATATCCTGTATTCCTGCTTCATGTAAAGTTTTTGCTGCTGCAATTCCTGAAATATTTAAACTAACACAAAGATTGGATTTTGCAAATACATATTTAATAATATTAATAAGGTTTTGGTATTGGCCTTGCCTGATATTCCTGCTCCGATGACAATGACTGTTGGTGACTGGGAGGCGGAAGCCAAGGCCACCGAGAAATGGAAAAGAAAGACACAGACAACAAGCATTGATGAAAGCAGCTTCTTCATTTTCAAGAACAGTATTACCAACACTAATTGGGTAGTTAAACTACTTGTTTTGACGAGAAGCTGAAACTAATCACCAATTTATACCGGTGGAAATCAATCGCATGTGGCTGAAAAGGAATAAAAAATACAGTATAAAAAAGGAAACAACTTTTCTCAGAACAATTATTATTTTTGAAATTTATAAATAATTAATTCACTAGTTGCACGTTTTTATTTTATTTTTCATTTTGAAGATCCATCCATTCTGTCATCCAAATTAATTACCTAAAAAGAATTAAACTTTCCTTTTTCTTTAGTTAATTAATGATTAGAATAAAGAACTTGTGACTTCATAATCGTATAGAGGACTTGAGTGCCATTACATTTGATTTGAGTGGAAGTGTTAAGTCTTTATTTCATATCAGCAACTCAAGCTTCGATTTTCCTGCTGATATTGCAAATTTAAATATTGATTTGAAATCAGAAGGAGTAACTAGGGTTGCACGTGAATCAAGTTGAGTCGGATTATGTTAGGGCCCGGTAATAAAATTACGAGAATAATAACACAGCGGAAAAATAAATATGACACAAATATTTACGTGGTTCACCCTTTAACTGTTTAGGGCTATGTCCACGGGACAAAAACCGAATAATTCTTCCACTATTAAAAATAGTATGTGCCCACGGGACAAAACCGAATAATCTTCCACTATAAAAATGTAGGCTTTAAAAAGAGAGTAATACAAAATAGTCGGCACTCAACTGTTTTCCCAATTATCGCTCACTGTTTCCCAAATTATCCTCACTATTCTCTCTACCCGAGTTTTAGAACCCAATTCTAAAACTCAAACTCTCTCAAAAACTCTCTTCGCTCGGTTGTGTGTTGAGATGGCTGAGCCATCTCCTATTTATAGGAGAGGGTGGACGCGCCGAAACTGTAACGCGTCCACCGAATCCTAACGCGTCCACCGAAAATAAATTTTCCTCTTCCTTTTTCAACTACGTGTGGATCCTACTACGTTATCCTTTTTTTTTCAAATATGGGTCCCATTGAATGGGCACCGCACAACAAATTGGTATCAGAATTATTAATTTGAAGTAACGTGATATGATAGTTAACAAATTTTCCATACAATCAAACTCATAAGTGCTTGAACCCAAGAGTTTCAGGTTTTTTTTTTTTTTTTAGGACAAATAAAGGAATTTTTTTAAACATATTTTATGATTAATATTCCATTAATTTGATTAAGGCCACCGTCCAGATTGTAAAGCCTAACAATAGCAAATATATTAGTGAATCCTGTATCACCTAATCTCAAAAAGGCACGAAACTTTTTGTGACAGCATTCAAAAATTGAAACGAAAGAATATTTTTATTCATTTTTTAATGAAGGCTGCACTTAGCACTGTCTTCTAGTCATTGGATGAGAGACAATTTTTTATTTTTCATTTCCATCTAACAACATTGAAACGTGGCCGCCATAATTGAAAATCACCTGTTGTTTTATATATTCAACTGCCATCTGCTAAATGCAATGCCAAGAGACTAAAACGCTGACTTCTTTTTTATGCCAAAATAATTAATTAATTTATAAAGATAAAAAAAAAATTAGAGAATCAATATGTGTATTTTTAAATATAAATAAAATTTAAAATAAAAATAAAGTTTTAAAAAGTTTTAGGAGTAAAATTTGTCTATCCTGATGTTAATCACAAACTTCTATACTAGAAAGAATAAATATTATTATTAATTTTTTTAGTAAAAAATAAATAAATATTTAATTCCATTCCCAAAAATAAATTTAGTACCATACTCAATTTGTGTATCTATTAGTTTCGTCTGCATAAGAAGGTGAGAGATACCAAACGACTTTATGGTGCAAATTTCTTTTTTTTTTTTTAAAAAAAAAAAAAAAAAAAATTTATTTTTTTTTTTATAAAAAAAAAAAAAAAACGCTTCTTCGATTTGTCATTCGAATTCGTGGTGGCTTAACGGGATAAAGACATCTCCCTTTTTTTTTTTTTAAAAAAAAAAAAAAAAAAAACGCTCTTCCATTTGTCATTCGAATTCGTGGTGCTTAACGGGAAAAAGACAACTCTGTCCTCGCAGGTTTTAGTCATGGGCATAGAAATATGAACCTGTGGAGAAAGTCCAAATTTGTGGCCCATTAGTGGCTTTTAATTTCATTTTCTAACAACTGAAAAGGAGCGGTCCAGCCCATGGGCCCATACCGTTGCTTACCTCTCTTTGTTTGTTGTTTGTTGGAAGACCCAATGAGCCTAATAGAGTGTTTATACCTTCTTTTATAATGTGCTTTATATGCACACACATAATATATGGAAGAGTCATGTGGAATTTTTTACATTCTACCTTAAGATTGGATTTCACATAAATGTGAAGAAAAAAAAATATATACAATGTTTTTTTGGAGTGCTTGAGCAATTTAATAAAAATAATACAATATGTTGTTTTGGAGTGCTTGAGTAATTTAATAAAAATAAGTAAATTTCTTTTTTTTTTTTTTATTTTCTCTCCAAATTAGAGAGATTTAAAATATGTGGGTAATGTAATAAAAATAAATAAATTTCTTATTTTTTCTGTTATTTTCTCTCTAAATTAGAGAGAATTAAAATATTTGAATATTATGTCCTTTAATCTGTATTCACTCCCCTTCTCAAACAAGGAAAAATTATGCTTTCATAGTTATTTGTCTTCCTTCGAAACAAATTCTCATTCAAACAAATGCTAAGGATTTTAAAATGTATCGGATTTGTCAGAAATTTATAAAATTAAAAAGTTATAATTTTTTTTTTAATTCCCATCACTCTTAAATGGATATGAAATTAATCTTTTATTAGGATTTGTGGTTATCATTCTGATAATTGTTATTCACATAATTAAATTCAATGTCCAAGATTTTAATTGAATAAAATTTGTAACAGTTATCTTATTTGATCTAAGTATAAAAATCTTTACTTTATTTGGTAAAATTTGAAAAAAGGCATTGCATGATTGAGTTTTAGAAAATGGGATGAAAGTGAGGCATCGAGTAGAGGGGTCCAGCCACTTCCGCAGAAACTTCCATAAAAAGAGAAGAGCACTTAGAATAAGAGCATTTCTTGGGTTTCACTCAAATACCAAAGCTGCTGCTAATTTATGGATTCTCTCACGCCTCTGTTCTTGCTTTTCACTGCACAATCACTGGCTATACCCACGCGCACTTATTTCTTCCGTCTCTTCTTCTTCTTCTTCTTTTCTTCTTCTTATTATTATTTTAGAAGAGAAATGTTTATAATATGTTTCAAAAACTGGAATTTAAGATAAACCCTAATTTCATATATTTCCTTTCTTGAATTGGACCCTCGTTATTGTAAGATTTATTAGTATCCGTACAGAGAGGAATGTTGGTATTGAAGTAAGGCACAGACAAGACATTTGCTTTCAGTGCCCTCAAAATCACAACCTTTGGGCTTTCGTTTTTGCTGTGGAATAATATATTTTGAAAATTTTCATTTTCTTGGTGCATGCATTTTCCTAACTTTATGTACATAATGGCCCTCATGTTTCTTTCTTTCTTTCTCTATTTTGTCAATTTGCTCCAACTGTACATTGATTTGAGTTCAGGATCTTTCATTTACATATCTACATGCTTTTTTTTTTGTCAAGCAAAATCTAATCATATCAATATAATCGTACTAACAGATAAAAAAGACACGAAAAATATATTAAAAGATGATGAAGAAGCAACTTTCTTGAAATAATGAAGCAAAAAGAAAAAAAGAAAAGAAAAACCAACACAAAACTAATCAGCTTTGAAAAGGATAAAGATGAAGTTTGTGTCGGATTTATACTAGAAGGTGAGAGTACAAATGAAAGATTGGGAATGACAAATGAGCCTTCTGCAATTCCAAATTAAAAAAAAAAAAAAAAAGTACAATCAAAACCCAAAAATTGGTTGAATGGAAATTTAATCAAAACCCAAGAAAACTATTATTCCTCATCATCAATCAGCAATTGTCCAAGTCATATCATTCTCAAATATCCAATGGCAAACCTCAATTTGACCAGGGCTGGACCCAAGTGCCACAAAAGCTCCATGATCTGGACTCCAAGCTGACGTGTCAATATGACAGATTGCAACTCCAACGTTGATTTTTGCTTTACTCTCAACTTCAAGAATTTCTGCCTCGTAAACCCTAACCTTGGGCACCGAATGACAATAATACAGTAAGTAAGGATACAGGCTTTGATGACAAGATACTGATTTGGTCACAGCTCCACCGTTGATTCCTTTGACCGTTCCGATCGTTACATTTTTCTTTGATCCGTGAACGTTTTCAGTTGTCCTAACCACCACATTGTGGCTCAAAACCGAGACTGCGAAGTCAACCATATCTTCAATGGAGCCAAGGCACCTCTTGGTCTCGCCACGGCTGGGTGTTCTCTCGCACTCAGCAAGCGCGTTATTAATCACGCGCTCCATGGTTGAGTTTTCTGGCGCATGAAAAATTTGCTTAAGCTCGGAAAGATTAGAAGATGAAAATGGTAGTTTCGACACAATTGATCGGGGCAAAAATGATCTTTTAGGCATTTTATCGGTGATATCGGGCATTACCATAACATTCCCTTGCTTTAACATGGACTCTCTGAAAAACTTTCCAGGCTCAACCCATCTATGATTCACGAAACTGCCACTGACACTACTGGTGTTAGTATAACCAGAGAAAGAGACACCCTTGTCCATATATTCCTTGAAAGATCGATCGGGACCGTAAATCTTGAATCCAACAGTGGTGAGACCCTTAGATCCCTTGCCATATTCTTTAAACGTGTCATTTCCAGGATTGAATGTTTTCCCATAATTTGTAAAACTAACTTTCCCCGCATTTGCATTCTTCGCATAAGACTGAAATGAATCTTGACCAACATTGGCGCCATTTCTGTAGTTCGAGAAGCTATCACTAGCGGCATTTTCTCCAGCGCCGTAACTCTTGAAATTAGTATGTGGGTTGTTGCCTGAAACGCCATAACCAGTGAACGAGTCATTAGCTACATTACCCAACTCGCCATAACCCGTGAATGTGGAATCAATAATATTTGAATCTTCGCTATAGTTTATGAACTCAGATGGAACTGCATTTCCTTTCTTTCCATAGCTTGTGAATGTTTGAGATCCAGAATTCGTCTCTCCACTGTAATGTGAAAATGATAGCTTATGGTTATTGCCATCGGAGTCATATGTGGTAAATCGAAGACCCGGTACGTTGACTCGGTCGTCATAGTTCTTGAACTCGCCGGAGCCGCCAGTGGCACCAGTGCCGTAGTTTCCAAATGTTGCATTAGCTACGTTCGCATCAGCAGCATAATTTGTGAATGTTTCGCTGTGGCCTGTCCCGTCACGGCTGTACTTAATGAACGAGTCGGTTACGGAGTTCAATCCGTTGGAGTAGTTCTTGAACGAGTCAACACCTCCGGATCGTGACCCGCCATAATTTGAAAAGCGTTTGTTGGAGTAAAGTGCAAAGTTGGCATCTTTGTTATGATTGGCTAGTTCAGCTTTGGAGTCAAATGAACAGAATAAATTAGCCGAGGAACAGAACGAATCAAAATGTGAAGACAGTGAGTTGTGAGTAGCGAGTTTGGAGAAGAAAGCTGAGTCAATGGCAGTGAGTGGAGAAGCTTTAGAGAAAAGAAATGGCGGGTTAGGTAGTGAGTTAGAGATGTGTTTGTTCCAATAACGGATCAAAGAAGCTTTAGGGGAAAAAGGGTTCAACGGAGTCGGCGAGTCTTGCTTTCTTGAATCGGCAAAAGAAACCTGCATTATTATTTTGGAAGAAAGCAAGAAAAATTACATGCATGTAAGCAATTGTAAGAAATAAAGTTATAAAAAAGCAATGTAATTAGATGAGAGGAGACTTCATCATCTTTTACCTTCAAAACTGAGATTGATAAGAAGACAACGAAGAAGAAGAGAGTAGTAATTTGAGTGAGTTCTCTGCCCATTGTTTGATTCTTGAGGAGATATAGAAATGAAGAGATATGCGTATAAGATATAGGGACGAGCACAGGATGGTTACAATTGAATGATTTGATTCGGTTTTTGAGTTTGATTTTTCAGGTTAATCGGTTCAATTCGATTTCTGGATTTAAAATGAGATTCTATGAAAAATAAATTAGTTGCTTATTTTCTTACCTAATTAAACTTTAAATCTAAAAACCTTTAAAAATACATTAAATTTTAATTTTTTTTTAATTTTATTTTCAAGAAAGTTTGTGAAATTGTACTTTCTAATAATTAAGGATCTAATAAGGATTTGTTTTTTGAAACTAGGACATCATGTAATTATACAGGAAAAAAGTGTTCGACAATTTGAAGGACACTAAGCATCACTAATTCACCATAAAATATATTTTTTCTCAAAGTGAAGATTGGTATAAAAATCTTGAAAGCAAGAATTATTAAGTAATAGCAAAAATTTCAATGTAATAAAAGAAAAAAAAAAAAAGAAGATATGACTAGAGTAATTAACAACAGAAATGGTAACCAGTAAATAGTAAGTTTGACAATTAACAATATATATGCTAAAAGTTTGACAATTACGGAATTCACATTTTTACTAATTAAAATACAATTCAATTTACAAATAAAGTAAAAATTTGATATTTGGTTTCGTCAAATCAATTCAGTTCAAAATCGAACCGATCAATTATACACCCCTCATAAAATGTATAGGTATATATGTTCGGGGTCTGCTTAATAAAAAAGGAGTCAATTGACTCTTTTTTTTTATTTATTTTCTAATATATATGTGTATATTTGTCTAAATTAATTCATAAAATTTAATTTATTTATGTTTTGACCCCGAAAGAAATAATTTTAGATAGGTCACCGGCATTTATATTAGGCAGCTACTTTCCTTTCCTGCCAAGTTTTGCTTTATAAAAAGTTTGTCGCGCAATCTATTGAAACCGGTGGCACACTTATGCCTTTGGCTATCAAGTATCATTTCTAGGCCACCCTATTTGGTTAACATAGCTCGCACTGTAGGATTAATAAATCAGTAATCAACTATTATGTTGCATTTAAGTGCAAATTATTAGTTTTATGTAATTAATAGCTATTCACTAACTAACAAAACCTTTTTTTGCCTAAAAACATTATGAGGATAACAGTAAATATGATCATGTTTGACTAAAAATAATTACTTAAAGCGTGGATCTCCAATTAGCTTATAATGAAAAATTACGTTAATAAAATAAATAAATATAATAAAAATAGACAAAACTGGCACGTGATATTACTTTTTTTTTTTTTTTTTTTTTTTTGGCTAAAAACATTATGAGGATAAACAGTTAAATAATGATCATCGTTTTTGACTAAAAATAATTACTTAAAGCGTGGATCTCCATTAGCTTATAATGAAAAATAAGTTAATAAAATAAATAATATAATTGAAAAATAGACAAAACTGGCACGTGATATTACTTTTTTTTTTTTTTTTTTCTGTTTATCTACAAGTATTTTTAAATCATTTTTTGAATATGAGATGTTTTTTTTTTTTTTTTTTTTTTGTTTATCTACAAGTATTTTTAAATCATTTTTGAATATGAGATGTTCTTGTTTTATTCACCATAATTAAAAAACTACTAACGAAATGGTGGAAATTAGGGTTTAGCAGATTGGATAACATTGTGATGATAATGGGTACTTGACAAAGTTTTTTTAATATAAAGTTGTAAAAATATGTGTGAAGATAATAAGGACAAAGATCAGTGGATGTATGTGAAACAAAGATTGAAGTGAAGTTGGATCTAAAGATTTGATGAGACTTCAGTAAGAACTAGACATAAAAAGCGTGGAGAAAGATAGGGTTAAGAAATCTAAACGATAGTATTAAAAAATTGTTAGTGGATTAGACAATTTACGTAAATTAATGTCTGAAAGAAAAGCAGGAGCAGTTGGGCAGATTCCACAAAACACGAATCTCAAAACAGTTGATTTCAGAATCAAGACAAAACGAACCTATTCTATTACTATTTTAGTAATAACAATACCAGAAAAATGTCAGAGAACGTTTATGCTTCGTTTTTGGCTCTATGGAGTTCTAATATATGACCTATTTAGGTTGAATGAAAGAAATTATTGTATTGCCTAGTTTTCTTGTTGCAAGTCCCAATTGCTTGGGAGAGACGACCCATCCTCACATGCTACTTTTTTTCATGTTTTCTTGGAACATCGATCAAATGAATCAAATCAAATTTTATTATTATTTTCTTTTGTTTTTGTATACATTAACAATTAATTTTTAAAGCCAAGAAAGCTTGCGAGTTTTAGATTCTATGACCTTGCAAGTGCTTGTTAGATGCAGATTAGGTATAGAAAAACATTTTAAATATAAAAGATTCGAAGAAATTAATATTATTAATAAATTATATTTTCAAAAAACGAACAAAAACATAAATTTACTATCACAAGTTTTGTCTATTGCTAAGATTAATATTTTTTTTATTTATCAGGAGATTTAAATGGTCGAAATAACACCATACATTACACAACAGAAATTATTCTTCAATAACTCACTAAATTAAGTCAAAATGAAAACTCCGACTTCACGCGTAAGTCACCAGAAGTTACACCTTTTTGTTTCTTACGAACAGGCAAAGATTAAAGTTTGATTAAAAAGCAAAAAGGCCCAAACGGAAGCTTAACTGAGCTGTCTTGTCAAATTCTGCCTAGTCTGCGATTGGAATGTCCAAAGTGAATTTCGAAATAGGATTTTGGATCATGGGCCAGAATATTCTTGTGTCTAGTTGCTATCAATTTTTAGGCCCAATATAACTTGTGAAAAATGTCTAGATTGTTGTAATAGTACACTTTGGATTACAATGTATTCTTGAATCCACACAAGAAAATATCTTCTTTCCAACGTCAACAACTACAATAATTGTTTGCAGTAATTCCACTCTCCAAATATATTAAAAAAAAAAAAAAAACTCAATATGAATATATATTGACTCTTGTTAGAAAAATTAAATTGGACCCAACTAACTTAATTTAGTAGAAATGAAATTAAAATATATTGAAAAAATATCATATAATAAACTGGGATTAAGTTGAATAAGATTAATTTTTTGAATAGCACGAACAAAGATTTTAGTAGAACTTTACAAGATTTAAGTTTTAGTTTTTTAGTTTCATAAAAATAAACCAAATTGAAAATTTTCATTTTTGTATCTTAAGCATCGAATCAAAATTTATATTTTAAAAATCAATTTAAATTGAATTTATTCAATTTGATTGGTTTAAACAATATATGAGCCGAAAATATGCTTAACTTTTCCATCTTAGACTTAAAGAAATGAAAAGAAAAAAAAAAAAAATACATAAAGAAGGGGCATTCAAAAGCCAAAAAGAAGCTAGAAAGAGTACAATGATTGCATAAAGAAAATTCAACTCAGCTGCAATTAATTAATTTATGTTCAAATGACCTTTTGTATAAAATAATATTAATTTTATTTAGATCAGTAACTATAAATATTTTCACAAATAATTATGGTTTTAAAATAAAAGATAATTTGATCTAATTATTCTTGAGTTTATTACAATCAAAGAGAATTAATTACTTCTTTAATACTTATGCAACAATCTTAAATAACTTATATTTTGAGATAGAGAAAATATATTATTGAAGGCGTTTATGATTTTTGAACGCGGATTAAAAAAGTAATAAGTTTAATTCTTGGCCTACGTACTGTCTAGATGTATATTTGTCAATTAAATTTTAATTTTTGAATTCCAAATTAGAATTTCAATTTCCTCAAAAATAGGCCAAGTACTTAACTCTATCCTTATATTTTTTAAAGACAATTTTGTGAAACTCTTTCTGAAGTTATGAACTTTAATAATATGGCACACCTTTTTTCAGTTTCTACACCAGCAGTTTTAGGAGTTAGTATAATTTTTAACATTTTTTTAATTATCTAATAAATATTTAATTAATTTATAATTTTTTTCTTTTATAATTTTTTTACCAGCAGTTTTAGGAGTTGTATAAATTTTTTTAAAAACATTTTTTTTTATGTAATCTAATAAATTTAATTTAATTTATAATTTTTTTCTTTTATAATTTTTTTATAATTTTAACATTAAGTTTATAATTTTTTTCTTTTATAATTTTTTTTATAATTTTACAAGTTAGAACGTTGAATGTCATAATTTTATAAATTCAAATATTTAATGAGTATATATTTATAAATTAAAATATTTAATGGGTCAAGATAAAATTTGAGGGTGCAATAAAACTTTTTTTTTTGCAAAGTTATGCATTTTGCCTTTTTAAACATTGTAGTTGTATGTATATATCGGGGCAATAACGGTAGACCTACCACACTGTGTTATTTCTACCTAACCAATCCTTGTTGAAACAAAGACGTTGACTGGAGTCTTTGGTCTTTATTCAACAGCGTACCATTCAAGTTTCAAGTAATATATCGTTGCTTAATTAATTGATGTGTATACCTACGAATTCTGATTTAGGAGCCCAGACTGGATATATGGAAAGAGAGGTTCAATCTCCACTAAATATATTTATAGAAAAAGACGATGAATTTTAACCGTGACTAGACTCCGAGTAAAATTGGGTGATTCTTAGTGATAGAGTCCACCAAAATTCATGTGTACTGCTCAATGTCATTGAAAATTATGTTTAAGGTAAACTTGATTTCTATGTTTTGGTCAATTCAATTCCTTTTGAATACTAATGCAATTTTTCAATTGACCCATTTTAAAATTCAAGATAATCTCTTTTTATTATGTTTTATTATATATTGACCCTCTAACTTTTTTTTTTTTTCTCTAGATCTGCCGTTAGTATATATAATGGATATCATTAAAATTAATGGGTGAAAATTTGTAACGTTTGGTTATATATGAAAGTATTAGAAAAGTTTCATTATTTGGGTAATAAGCATTAGAAAAGTTTATAACGATTGCTAGCATGTTTTACAGCTTTCAATTAAGGATTTGCATGAAAACCAATATAAAATCATAAAATCAATCGCTTGGCTTTAAAAAAT